TTATATTAAATATAATTTATAATTTATATTGAATATAGATATATATAATGATCTGATCGAGACAGTGATTGTTTAAGATTTATATAATTGATAGTTATAAATTAAGATTATTAATTATTAATTATTTATTTGAAAATAAATTTGTTATTAAATCAAATTGAATATAAAATTCCTTTTTTAAATTATAAAACTATTCTAATTATATACTAATAAATAAAAAAGAGTTTTATAAAGCTCAAAAGCTTCAAAAAGTTTTTAAAGCTTTAAAAACCTTTCAAACTCCTAAAGCTTTTCATTATATAATAAATCCTGAAGCTTTTCCTTTCCTAGAATACTTGTCCTAGAAGCTTTCTTTTAAAAACCTTTATTTTAGGATATGATATCCTCTAAATAATTATCCTATTATAATCGATTAGCTAGGACATTTGTTCTATTCTAATATGATTGTTTAGGATACTTATCCTAGGAATCCTGGGTTCTTATTTGTAAACGATTAGGCCCGTTGAAAACAATAATTAAATACCCCGGTAATCGGCATCTTAATCACCGACATCAATAATACTACTATAATCTAAACCGTGAGTCGTGACAATATGATTGATTTCGATCGGATTTCAATAAATCATATTAAACTGATTGATTAGTTCGAAGACAATTAATCAGGGCATTTGGATATAAAGAGTATAATAATATATTTATACTTTTAATTTGATTTAATTAATTATATATATATATTATTAGTCTTTATTTATAAATAATATAATATATAATTTGAATTGTTTTTGAATTAATAAGTTTTGAAATATAAGATCTTCGATTCGAATAATTGATGAAATATAAATATAATCAAGATCAATTAGATTGATTTCTTGAAGAACAGAAATCCTGATTTTTATATAGATCTTTACTTCTAAAAATGAAAAGATAATTATCTAAAGAATCTAGTTTATTATATTGAATGATCGATTGAATTTTTTTTGGATTTCAAAGCTGTTTTATTCGTTTAGATAAGATCTCGTTGTATTCAATCGAGGGAATGAAGAGAGTCCTGGATATCATTATTGATCTAGGTATCTATATAGATATCACTTAAGATTTGAAAGAAGATTGTTTTATTACAAAACTTATTATTATTATAACTTTCAATCAACGATTTTCATTCTTTTGATTTTGTAAATATTATTATAAATTCGAGATCATTGAATATAGATCTTATAATTATAATAAAGGATTAAAATTATTGATTGAAACATTAAAAGCTTTGATTATATATATTAATATCTTCTTTTTATTATTTTTTCTTCAATCAATTATAACATTTTCCAATTCTATATCTTTTATATTTTCTTCAAAAACTGATTAAGTTGATTGAAGAGATAAAGAAGGCTTTTTGATATAAATTTGAGAAGATTATTTAAATTATAATAAAAAATAGAATTTAATATATAATAAAGATATTGATATATTTTTAAAAAAGATTTTATCTTTATCAATTAAATTAAAATAAATCTTCTTTCTTTAAATAAAACATTCGAAAAGATTCATTTAAAAAGAGATTACTAAATTAAAGTATTATATGAAAAATCATTAAATAATCAGATTGTATAAATAAATTATAAATAATATAATATATAAAAACCTTATAAGAACTAAATAAACAAAATTAATTATATTCTTTAGAATCTATAATTGAAAACTACAATTTGTAAGAGTATTTATATCTATATAATAATTGTATAATTATATACAATCTGTCTTAAGATGATTATAATACTATATTAAAAAGAATAAATTTAACAAGATGTATACAGACTACCAGCTCACCGATAGGAATTGTCGATCAATTGGAATCACGTGGTCGTCCTTTATACGAGGTCTGTGACAATTTCAGAGTTGAATGATTTTAATAAAGTTGAAAAAGATTCTAAGTCAGATTTGTTTGAGATCGTAAGGTTTATATCAAGCTTTTTCCTAGATTATTTACTAGGGTATTTTAGACCAATCAGATTATCAGGATCGCGATTCACTTAAACGAGTTTCTCATTTTCTATCACCTACACCAAGTAAACCTCAAGGTTTTGGTATCGGCAAGCCGACAATTATACTAAGAAAGAGACTTGTAATGATAACTGATAAGATTAAAATCTAATCGTTATACATTTCTGTCCGCTACTCTATTATCGAAAACTAATCATAGAATAAAAACTTATCTGCATTATATAGTCCTGTTGCATAGATAATTCCCACTACTACAAACCCGCTTCATACAATCCCTTCGTTGAGCATTTCCTTGGTTTGAGGTGTTGACTTCTCTATTATAATATTATTGTATATATGGAATTATAGCACCGATACTTCTTGAGTGATTCTATGCTTACTATGAGATATTTTTTGTTAGGTCTTACCTCTAATCGCTATAATTCTCCTCGAGGTCAACAATGAGTGTCTGCAACATGAAGGAATGGAAATTTACTTTTTGCTGGACTTTCTAACACAAGTGCAATCTCTTCCCGTTAAGTAGAGGAAAAAGTATAGTTCAGGTTTAGGTCAGCGTCTCATTTTGAATGAGAAAGACCGTGACACCCGAGGTCACTTGCAAATACCTGTACAATGGTTCGTGGCGAAGATTTGGAACACCAATATTCCTATTGTCTAGAGAGATGATAACATACTTACTCAAGGTAAACATATCTGCACTTTCTTCTTCGGTCCAACACATTTTTCGCAAGGATCTAGTGTCATCCGGATCTATTCCACCTGCCTTCCACGTCTTCGCAAGAGTGTATCAAAGTTTACCGAAGGGTTCTTCAGCAGGTAGATTCGTAAGTATTGTATCATGTGCATGCACGTAGGCAATTAGCCTGTGTAACTGGCAGGAAAATCTTTAGATTTGTCCTCGAATAATCTCATAAATATCTTTTACCCGGTATCCATTGTTTTTTGAAAGTGGCTCATAATAATGCGCAGTGGTAGGGTTTCCTAATTTAGATGCAATCCATCCTTAGGGAAGTAGTTGTTCTGAGATGGAGGGAGAATAGCTGTTGGAAATTCCACAAAGATATGGAAAGAAGAGTATTATATGGTTGAGACACTGCTAGCCTGACGGAAAGAAAATTGGCCTCGTGGCACAACGCATTGCTTGATTGGCAAGTATGACGAATGAGTGGTGGTTTGATGTAAAAAAAAAAAGTGTGCGTGGTCGAGACCTGATTTCTATACAAAATTGGAAGGTAGAGACAAAAATTTTCATGATCAAGAGGTTCACTCGAACGTGGGCGCGGGAAGTCAATCAGTCTAATTAAGATGAATCTACTTTGTTGGATGTTGATTCTCCAAGTGGTTGGTCCATTCGAGGTCTCATCTCACGTTTGACCAATTCCTTGTGCTCCGCCTGCAGGCTTTATCTATACGCCGACTTTTCCATGGAAGCTTTCCCTTGTAATATGATGCTGCGGTTGTATATCACGTTCGATATGAACTTTAGTATCTACAGTACATACTTGCAATTGTTGTAGGTAGAAAGTAGCAGCACGGACGTTTCGGTGACCCCTAGTAAGGTTAACCCTAACCTAAAAACTTGACGAGCCAATCGCCGTGACGGTGCCAAGTAACCGCAGCCTCCTTTATCCATGGCTGTATATTGTTGTATTACCAATGGAAGCTGCGTTATTGTTCGAAGTCATTCAATTGAGTTTGCAAAGCCTAGTTCATTTCATGGTCCACCTTGGCTAAATAAGATGTGAAGATGAAGATTTCCCCGCCTTACATTAGGTTGACAGCCACACCTGGCAATCGTCATTTGAAAATTGAGTTCATCACAAGGTTAACATACCATATCGAAACATCGTCCCAACTGCCACATTCTGAGTTAAAATTTTATATGGGGAATGGTTGCTTTTTCCAAGTGGGGAATGAACGTCCTTTAGGCAGTTGTTTAATAGCTGGGGAATGATTTGGGGTATATATAGGATATGAAATGCATCATCTGAATATCATTATATTGATCGAGAGAGGGAGAGGATTGGAATTGATCTATATAAGAGTTACTAGACTGTGAGGAATGATGGTGATGATAATGGTGGTTGAAAACTCTTCAAAAAGGATTCGATATTTAGTATTATTGCAATATCCTTTTCGGAATAGAGTTGGAAGTTACATCAATCGATTTTCTGGGATCAGTGGAATTTTTTGACGTATTTTTCGCTGGATTGGGGAGGTGGCTATGAAGTATATCGGTAATAATGGGTGTTTATTTTCTATCGATATGTGTCTATTCCCTTCCAGCTTCCTGAAAAGTAATGTTACATTGGTAAGAACATTATGATAAGGGAGAAGGGGAAAAGATTATATTATCATTGGGTGATGTTTCTGGTGCTCCCTCTTCGTCGGAGAGAGTGATTTATTATGCTTTTTCTAATTTAGTTAAGGTGGTCTGAACATCCGAGACTAACCAATATCACTCTTCGTATACCTCGTGACCTACCTTGCTAGCTTCGGGTGTTTGTAAGACTGCCGAATTCTTACAGAATCTAGACTGGAAGCCAGGTTTACGTCTTGAAGAATTTCTTCCTTCTTCCTCTTGTCCAACTCAGCTTGATTAAAGTTAATCTTCGAGTTCTTACGATAGCCTCTCATGTCACACAAATATCATTCAGATGTCACTGAAATATGATATCTCTCTTTAAATTCCGAGACATTAATTTTCATTGTTTAACTTCTTCAATGCACTTCCTGACGTTGAGAAATAAATCTTCCTTAAAGATATGTTTGAGCGAACCATGCGTCATCTCTAGGGGTTGACCTCTTGTCCCTCCGCCAAGCGAGGCAGTGTGTTTGTCTTGGGCTGCAACTTTATTTTGACATATAACTGTGGTCCGAAGTAGTATTGACTCCCCCCTGCTGAGGAAACTAATGCTAACAGGTATATAAATCCTTATGTTTCCTTAACTGTCTCGTCAATTTTAGTACATTCTATGAATTAAGTGCATATAAATTCAACGATGTTTATTTTCCGTACTCTCGCCGCTGTTATACTAACTTGTAAGTAATAATTTTATCTGGCTTCTCCAAGCTAACACTAATCAATCAGCATCTGCAATATCCGCTCAACAAGTCTCCCACTGCTCAGATGATGTATGCTTCGCCGTCAATGTGCCAGCCGCGGCTGCTTCAAGTGGCTCAGGAGACATATATATTCAGATGAGTGGACCGAATACAATGTCTTGGGTAGGCATTGGACAAGGTTCTGCTATGAGAGGCTCAAATATCTTTGTCATGTATGCAGATTCGACTGGGAACAATGTCACACTCAGTCCTCGGCGAGGTGTTGGAACTGTTCAACCAAACTTTGACGCATCTACTCAGGTCACTCTACTTGATGGATCCGGAATAATAAATGGACGAATGGTAGCTAATTTTAGATGTAAGTTCGTGGTCACGACTATTAGTCATTCATTCTAACAATTCGAGCAGGCTCGAATTGTGATAGCTGGAGTGGTGGATCAATGAGCTTTATCGATGATTCTTCTGAATGGATTTGGGCGCATAGAACCGGCCCTGCATTGTCATCCGACAGTGTTGATGCAAATATTGGGTTTCACGACGGATATGGATTAGCAAGTTTGAACTTACAGACGGCTGCAGGCGGAGAAAGCGCGAATCCATTTTTGACGGCTGAAGCCGCTTCTACACCTACCCAAACACCAGTTGGATCTGGTCAAGCCGCCACTGGACTTTCTGATTATACAAAAGTGCTCATCGCACATGGCGTCCTGGGTTCCCTTGCATTCGTGATTTTATTTCCTTCAGGTGCAATAGGGATCCGAATCTGCAATTTCCGTAATTTACTATGGCTCCATGCCGGGTGGATGATCGGCGCTTACATGATTGTACTCACATCACTCGGAATGGGTTTATGGTTGGCCAATAGACGTCAACTCCTTGGCTCGGCCCATGCAACCATAGGTCTTATTGTTACTGGATGTTTGTTACTTCAACCCATCTCCGGATTGACCCACCACATGCTCTACAAGCGTCACGGTGGTCCAAATGTTGGAACTTATCCTCATGTATGGTGGGGTCGTGCGATTATTACTCTTGGTATCATCAATGGTGGTTTAGGTCTGAGGTTAGCGGGTAACAGTAAAAAGGGCGAGATCGCCTATGGAGTAATAGCAGGTTTTATGTGGGTTTTATGGATGGCGGTCATTCTTCTCGCAACAATTAAAAGCAGAAGTCGCCGTGGTGATGGTATGGATAGGCACGGGAACTCGGTGATGAGGGAGAAGTCCAGCACGGAAGCATCGTACTTTCATGATCAAACAACATCCCGTCAGTCTAGCAGCCTACCGATTTCTCATCATGCCTAGATTTTGTTAGGTTTTCCGACATTTTAAAGGATATAATTCATGACAGAATCCATGGGGAATATTCGATGTGTTTGATGATAGTAACGATGAAAATATGCACTTAAAAGGGGACTATATAAGGAGTTACATTTTTAATTTTGGACATTCGTTTTAGATAGGGTATGACTTAAATGAATTTAGCTTCTTGAACTACCATTCCGACTACCGATCCTTTTGTAAATATAAATGCCTTATCCAAGACCAATGACAAAATTCCATATTAACCCTTCACCCTGTTGAGTGTAGAAGGATGATGAGGTCATGAGATTCGCCAAGGGCTGATTACATAATAAAACTGTATCTCTACTTACCAGCAGAGTTTCCAGATTAAACTCTTACAAATATTCTCCCCTCACAAGTTATAAACAACTTTATTCGCATCCCCAAGTTCGCCATGGGAATAGGACGTGTTCTTGTCATCGCCGGTTCTGATAGTTCCGGTGGAGCGTTAGTACTCCGCAATCTTCTTCTCCTGCACGTTTGCTCCGCCACAGATCTAGACTGACGGTTGGTTATTCTTTTCAGCGGACTCGAAGCAGATCAAAAGGTAATAGCGGCACATGGGTGCTATGCTATGACTGCTACGACAGCCTTGACGGCTCAAAATACTCAAGGTGTTGAGGATATTCATTTTGTTCCTGCAGAGTTTGTTGGAAAGTTGATTGATGTGACGATTGGGGATATGGGGGTCGATGTAGTGAAGACTGGTAATTAATCTATTTTTACATCTCACCTAGAGAAAGCGATGACTATGATCATAAGTATTCTAGAGGCTAACGGTATGTTGAAGGTATGTTAGCTTCCGCAGAAACAGTAGAAGTGGTGGCGAAAGCATTAAAAAGACATCACGTGAAGACTTTGATTGTTGATCCTGTGCGTTAATTTTCCTTAAAAGATATAAATTGATCTGATTTTCGAAAGGTGATGATCTCTACAAGTGGAACGCAACTTCTTCCTTCTATAGCAATCCGTCATCTACGGGAACTGCTGTTGCCCTACACCACTGTACTCACACCCAATGTGCCTGAAGCGAAACTACTCCTTTCTGATGCTGGCAAGTTTTTCGAAGAACCAAAGAATTTGGATGACTTAAAAAACATAGCGAAGGAGGTGCAATCATTAGGGCCGAGATATGTATTGGTGAAAGGAGGCCATCTGCCTTTACGGAAAGATGGGACAGTGGCGACGAAGGAAGAGGAAAAGGAACTCATGGTTGATATTTTGTACGGAGAAGGAGTCATCACAGAGTTCCGGACTAAATATCAAAACTCGCGAAACACCCATGGAACGGGATGCTCGATGGCATGTGAGTTTGTTTTTGTGTCACTTGGTGAAGCAGAAGCTAAGTAAAGGTAGCCGCTATTGCTTCCAACATTGCCAAAGGAATACCCCTGGTACAGGCCGTGAGGAGTGCTTGTTGGTATGTTGAGGCAGGAATACGAACAGCGCCTGACTTTGGGAACGGTAATGGTCCGATCAATCATTTCCATTCAACTTATACTCTACCTTTCGCTCCGTAAGTTTTCTACTGGCGATATCAAGCGCCTGAGCTGATCTTCGCAGGGGTCACTTCATAGAATATCTTCTGGAAAGACCGGATGTCAAAGGAGCTTGGCGTGATCATACTGAGCATGCGTTTGTTGCTGGGATTGGGGATGGAACCTTGCCAATGGAGTCATTCAAGTACTATCTCATTCAAGATTATCTTTATCTTGTTCGTATGGGTTTTCAAATATTCATAGATTAGGTCTAACATCTCATAGGTGCAATTTGCCAGAGCTACTGCTTTAGCTTCATATAAAGCCAAAACTATGGAAGGCATTGCTGCAGTATGATACAGACCCTTGCCGGAGACGTTGTGTGCTGATTCTTAGTCAAGTCTGCAGGTATCGTACTTCATATTCATCGCGAGATGGCTTTACACATCAATTATTGTGAGGGTTTCGGCATGACGAAAGCAGAGATAGAAGCATGCGAGGAGAGTCAAGGTAAGCTCCCCAGTATCGACAGATCGAGTTGATGTTGACAGCATCGAAATAGCATGCACAGCATACACCAGGTACATGTCTTTCCCCATGGTTATCCACATAATACTGAAAATGATAGGTACGTCCTCGATATCGGACAATCTGAAGACTGGTTGGCTCTTCAGATATCCATGGCGCCTTGTCTTATCGGCTATGGAGAGATAGCCAAACGACTCCATGCAGACCCGAAGACAAAGCGAGAAGGGAATATTTATTGGAAATGGATAGAAAATTATGTAGCAGATGATTATACGGCAGCAGTGAAAGACGGATCAGGTAATTGATATGATAGCCCTATAGCTCATGGGATTGGACAGAATTAACGATTTGGGCAGCTTTGCTTGAGAAACATGCTGTCTTGCAGTCACCCAACAGGATAGAGGAACTGGTCAAGATATTCATTCATGCAACAAAGGTACGTACATATCTCTCCCTCTCTGGCTATCATTTTGTAAAATCAATCGGGAAAGTCCACACTTTCACAACTTTCCTTGCGTCTATTTCCGTCGAGTGATGTTGTATCAAACATAGACATATGGGGGGATAGGCGATAAAGAGATCTTTATTACGGAGTAGTCGGTAGAAACGAAACATATCTTTGGAAAAACATTTGCTAATTAACTACCTTGCTAGATGGAGACAGGATTTTGGGACATGGGTGGCGGTGGAGGAAGAGTATAGATTTTTCGAGGTACAGTATCGGGACCGCAGTAATAGCAAGTGCGGATGGGAGTAGGGTAGTCAATTCAAAAAGTTTTCAAACGTGGATGTACCTACGAAGTGGAAAATGGAGAGAGAAAGAAAAAATTGCAATCAGGGATTTATAAGCATTTCTGAAACAATTCTATCCTTTTGATTGGCTCGAGAAAAAGAAAAAAATTGATAAAATGGGTTGAACTGGAAAACTTCTGGGAGATCTTTTTTTCAGGGTCCAAAAACAAAAAAAAAATCAAATGTCACTAGATCTCTATTGGTATTAGCCACACTTATCTATAGCTAACCCAAAGTAGAGTTAGCGCAGTTTCCTTTCTACCTTTTTTTTACTCAAACCTCTTCTTTCTCATTTTCCATTATTTTTGCCATCTTCTCATCAACAACAATAATTTCATCTGCCCGACTTCGTCTCATCAACTAAAGGAGTCATTTTTGCAGCAACAATCAAAGCAATTTTCAAATCACAATCATAATCTCAATATCTCCCCTTCAATTTCTCACTCTCAAAACCCTATCGCAAATATGTCATATGGAGGTGGATATGGTGGTGGCCGTGGTGGCGGTAATGGGTATGGAAATGGAGATTCCTCATATGGCAGAGGCAACTCTTACTCCAATGGATATTCAAATGGGTATGCAAAAGCCTACGAGTCTAGAAATTGTTGATAAGTTTTCGCGCATCGCGTTGCATTGTGTTGAGTGTGTGCGAGATAAGGCTAAGGCTAGCGTTCGCTTTGAACCTGAAGCCTAATTTCTCATCACAATCACAATGTAGCACCATCTCCCTTTTCTTGATTTTAATTCTCATGTGAATACTTACTGACGTGCAATTTGTAGTGGATCAAATGGATACTCTGGAGGCGGTGGAGGTGGCTACGGAGGTGGTAGAGGTAGGAAAACCGAATTATCATCTATTCGCAATCATTGCTAACAATTCTCACAGGCGGCGGCGGTGGCGGTGGAAACGTAAATGGCTACTCCGGAGGTGGTGGCGGCGGCTACGGAGGAGGCGGTGGATATGGTGGTGGTGGTGCTGGTGGAGATCGCATGAACAACCTTGGTGCTAACCTTCAAAAGCAAAACTGGGGTGAGTTTTGAAAAGCTGCTAATGACCAAATATCACGATAGAATGCTAACTTCCATACGCAGATCTCAACACCATGCCAAAGTTCGAGAAATCCTTCTACAAGGAGGACCCCGTTGTCGCTGCTCGTTCAGAGGAAGATGTTGCCAAATTCAGAGCTCAACACAACATTGCCGTTCAAGGTCCAAATATTCCAAAACCTGTCGAGACCTTCGACGAGGCCGGATTCCCTGCATACGTCATGACCGAAGTCAAGGCTCAAGGTTTCCCAGCACCTACTCCAATTCAATCCCAAGGATGGCCTATGGCTTTATCCGGACGTGATGTTGTCGGTATTGCCGAAACCGGTTCCGGAAAGACTCTCACCTACTGTCTCCCAGCAATTGTTCACATCAACGCACAACCACTTCTCGCTCCTGGGGACGGCCCAATCGTTTTGGTCCTTGCACCTACCCGTGAGTTGGCTGTCCAAATTCAACAAGAAATCACCAAATTCGGAAAATCTTCCCGCATTCGCAACACTTGTGTTTACGGAGGTGTTCCTAAGGGTGGTCAAATTCGTGATCTCGCCAAGGGTGTTGAGGTCTGTATTGCTACTCCAGGTCGTCTCATTGATATGATCGAGTCTGGAAAGACGAACCTTCGTCGTGTTACATACCTTGTTCTTGACGAGGCTGATCGTATGTTGGATATGGGTTTTGAACCACAGATCCGTAAGATTCTTGGACAGATCAGACCAGACAGACAAACCTGCATGTGGTCTGCTACTTGGCCAAAGGAAGTTAGAGCACTCGCCTCTGATTACTTGAATGATTTCATTCAGGTCAACATTGGTTCATTGGAGCTCTCCGCTAACCACAGAATTACTCAAGTCGTCGAAGTTGTTTCCGAATTCGAGAAACGCGATAAGATGACCAAGCACTTGGAAAAAATTATGGAAGACAAGGATAACAAGATTCTGATCTTCACAGGAACCAAACGTGTCGCTGACGACATCACACGCTTCCTCAGACAAGATGGATGGCCGGCGCTTTGTGAGTACTATTGGCAACATCTATATGAAATATTACTAACAACTTTTAGCCATTCACGGTGATAAACAACAAAATGAGCGTGATTGGGTATTGAATGAATTTAAGACTGGCAAGAGTCCGATCATGGTTGCTACTGATGTAGCTTCGCGTGGTATTGGTATGATTGAAACCCCCTCCCCCCTCACAGCAACGCCCAGTAGCCTATATAGTAGTGCTTTACTCTCGACGCTCCGGTGCTTCCTAGATTGCGTTATATTGCCCGGGCTCTATCGTGTCTTACGGTTCTCTAATTTTAGGGTGTCTTGGATCCTTAGTGTAGCATGACCGTGCTGCGCTCGTAATTCCAAACTCGACAGTACTTTAACAGGTACCAGATATGGAATTGGCATCTCTTGACTTGATCAAGCTGTCTCCAAGACTCCCATCCCCTGAGAGCCTGGATGTGTGGATCACCTACCCTGGCATAAGCCGCATTGGACAGTTTCATGCCAGTCGCCGAGAGAGTATTGGATGCATTCAATGCAGCTTCTCATTAGCCGCCCTGGACCGTTGCTATACCAATTCTTCCTGTTCTTGCTAACCCATCAATAAAGATGTCCGAAACATTACTCATGTGTTCAACTATGACTACCCTAACAATTCGGAGGATTATATCCATCGTATTGGTCGTACAGGTCGTGCTGGACAGAAGGGAACCGCAATCACTCTCTTCACCACTGACAGTATGTCTCTTATTCGCTTTGAAGTTTACATCAGCTAACGAAATGATTTAGATCAAAAGCAGGCTCGTGATCTCGTGAACGTTCTTACTGAAGCTAAGCAGGTCATTGATCCTCGCCTTGCTGAGATGACCAGATTTGGAGGTGGTGGCGGTGGTAGAGGATATGGTGGACGTGGTTACGGCGGTGGCCGTGGACGTGGTGGCGGTGGTAAGTTATTCTAAACTCCTTCACCTTCACATTCTCTCTTGTTCCATCAAAAGATGGGACTAACAGAGCCGCTGGTAGGCAATTTTTCATCTTCTAACGCTGCTCCTTTAGGTGGAGGCAGACGTTGGTAAGATGTCCAATCCCGTTCGATCGAACCGGAGTCTCGACAATGACGACCCTCGGTAACCGACATCACTGACTACGACGAAATCACGTACATTCATCCCATGGTCGTTCCGGCGTTTGGTTGTCTTTTCTAAAAGGGTTTGGGGGGTAGAATTGCCTTTTATGATTTCTGCGTACCCTTTCAAAACCTCTTCTGTAATCTGATTCCTCTTTTTCTTTCTATCGTATCAAAAATTGGGTGGCATTACCATGAATTAGACTGAGGAGTGAAGTTGGGCGGAAAGTATTATAGATTGCTTCACATTCCTGGGTTCATCTATTGAAAGATGAAGGCCATGGTTTGTATGTGCTTTTATCCTGCGTTCTTTTTCATCAAATAGATTGCTCTCTGTAGCTAGTTTTAACTAGGCACATCTCGTATTAGATGAGAAATAGTGTTCAAAATATGAGATCGCTTTCTACTGAATCATTGGTTTCTTAATTATAATACTTTTTGGTGTGAGCAAATCATGGATGGACAACCCATACAAGCGAAGCCGGTGGTGATATATTTGGGTATGCGCGATGAGATCTAGAGAGTAGGTAAGCTCTATCGTGGCATTGGACATTCTGGTAGACTTTGTCTTACTCCGAAGAATTGATATTGATAAAAAGAAGCACATTGAAGTTCACGTATTGTGTGTGTAAGAATGAAATTTGATAGGTCGGATATTCTTTCTTCCGATATGTAACCTTAATCTTGGCAGAACACAAAGCCAATCTACGAGCCCTCCCTCATGCCAGTACACGTAAACTACCACCAAAATTCTCATCTCATGTGGATGCATCTAGGATATTCGAGCTTGGCTTAGCTTGTGATCTTTGTTACGGCTCACTAAATAACCTCACGCTTTCGTTTGAATGAAAATGGGTGGGTCTGGGGAGTGGAAGCAGAGATAGGGATATGATCATGAGAGTTGAGAGTTGGAAATCCCCGCCCTGCTATTGGAATGTCGCTGGATCGGGATAGGCGCAAATAGAGTACGGTACTCGTGCTGCCCAGAGCTAAATCACTAGTTATAGGATCTTCCTGTTGTCTACCATTCTCTGTGTAGTGTGTGTGTAGAGTTACGGAGGTTCTACTGGGAATATTTCTAGTCGCCCGAGCACTAGGAGGATCTCTTCATGGCAAATATTCGACATAGAGACCTGTTCATCAACGCTGTCCGGCTTTTGTTTAAGTACCGAGTTCCGGAATGTGGCACAAGCATATCGTTTTGCATTGATTGCAATATGTAATCATCATCGAGCAAAAAAAGTCCACTCGCATTCTCGCAATCCTCGGGACCGAATATACTCTTTGAGGCATTATTTGTTTTTAGCTCCTTCGTACTCGTTTTTAATATCGAATGTAGAAAGATCCAACGACGCCGTCGTGATAAGCGACCAATCATCTCGCATCTGACGGCCCGCCTCGCGAGATGTGAGATGAGCTTTCGGGACCGAAGATATGTCGATGTGCAACAAATCTTTTGAAAGAAAAATTATTGGCTGAGATGGTGGTAACTCATAGCTGTGCGGAGTGTATTTGATTCCAGTGTCCCGTTCGAGTTGGACGATTATATGCTAATATGTGGAGCCCGCTGCCATAAAGGGGAATACTTGTAGCCAGTGCTGATAGCGTCTAAATACAGCTATTATAGTTGATGCTGATTTACCTTGTAACAAGAGATTACTCTAACTTAATGTCCTTGGATTCTCCTTGCGATCCGTCATATTACATCACTAAACACCGTTTCCTGACGTTGATATATCTTTATCCTCAAAAGATATGACCGGCCACGGTCCCACCCATTCATTCTTCTCCACGTTCAGCTGCTATTAGAACAAACTGCGCAAGTCTAGAATCTTGCCATAATATTCTTCTAGTCTATAATCATTCCCTCTCTTATCTTCACTGCGAATGGTACAAAAAACCACATGCCCAAAAGAAGCAAAAACATACAACAGTGGGGATTCGCTAGTTGTCCCCGCCAACTGTTAATTCATTGATTCGAAGATTGGATATTGCAAAATGGGGGATTCTCGATCTTACTTTTTCCTCTTACATATCAATCTAGAATCTAGAATCTTCAAGATGGGTCACGGCCATTGCTAGACTCGACTTCTACGATGTGTCATACCCGCCAATATTGATAAGTGTATTCGGCAAGACATAACATAATGCCGTACATAGTACCTTCGAGGCATCAGCATTCTCAAGTTTCCCCGCATGTCCTTACTAAAGCCAGGAATTCCGATGACAGTGTAGGTCTAACGAGGCGACAGACTTGTTATAATGATGCCCTAGTTGCTCGTGGAATGCATAAATTACAATCTTATTGTCAGGGTAAGCCGGTGTTTAAAAATACTGTCTATACGGAAACGGAGTATTATCATAATGCTACTTTGAAAACTTTACACTATTCATGTCATCCTGTTGCTCTCCAGTGGTCTCTTGGATTTGCATATGATTCATATAAAAACCCTGGATCTGGGGTAGTGGCCCTAATGACTGTCGACAAGGACTTGGGATGTCTTGCAATGCAAAAGTCTAGGTCAAATGGCGGAATGTACTCATATATATTATCGGCAATTATAAAAGCAGAGATGATAACTTCATAGTTACTTCCCTGTCAATGATTAGGTGGTTTGATGCTCTTATGATAATTGGAATGTCTAAACCTAGAGAATAAAAGAATGGTAGCCATAATCCTGCATCAGATAAACCAGTTTTTGTCTGCATATATCCATCGCCCTGGACGATAACACCGGTTAGGTAGGCACATAGACCATGCTGTACGGTTTGGTCTCTTCCTCAATTTTTTCCACTGCGCATGCTACAAGACTAGATGACTTTTGTGCAATGAGTTAGAGTTCAAGGGTCCATATAGTAATTATATTATGTCGCCAATTTATATGGCTCTTCTGTTGTGATATAATATGTGAATACAAATCTTCGAATTGGGAATTGTTCTTCATTATTGTAAGATTACATATACTTGGTAAATCTTTGAATCCACAGCAGTAATTATAAGATTAGACTCGAGTTTGATATATAATGTAATTAAAGAGGGATATATTTAGTTAGGTAATCTTAGATTAATCTTACATCCATTATATACTGGCTCATCAAGTCATCACAAGCCAAAAGACTTATAAATCTCAAAGTCTTTTAGAATAAACATTCTCTGTAATTGAAATTATTGAAATTTTTATATTTATCAAAATGCTGAGTCTTCTCCATATGCACATATCCAAAGATATGCTCGTGTCCGAGGTAATCTTACGTACGTCTTCTTAGTAATATCTTACATGGCATCGAGTGCTTTAAATATATCTCTAGATTACTCTCTATCCCTAAACTCTCAAGTATAGCCTGACATTCGTGTTCTCTGCATTCGTGTTCTCTGCATTCGTGTTCTCTGCATTCGTGTTCTCTGCATTCGTGTTCTCTGCATTCGTGTTCTCTGCATTCGTCGCTCTGGGCACACTTAATTGGACTTTTAAATTCCTGCCTATGCTTTTCCAGCTCAGCGGCTCCTCGAGCAGTCGTAAAGTCAAATATCGCTTTTTATTCGTCTTTGTTGATAATATTGTAGCTATTGTCGCCATTGTAGTCGAGAATAGCGAGGATGTCTCGGTCGGTAATGATACTGTAAGATACATTAGTTCCATATTTGGAAAATGTGAAACTGATATTTGGTAAAGGGAAGGCAATCACATCAACATGAATAATAGTGAATCTGCTAATGCTAGTAGCCCTGTTAGCTATCCGCTTAGCGAGCTTCGGCGAATAATTACTTCATTTTATTCTTGGGGCTGTCTTAGATTTCTTGAAGTAAAGTGGGCAGGAGTATGATTCTGAATACTGTTTCCATCCATCAGGGCTTGCCGAATCGTCGTCGTCAGAACTCATTTCAAATGATGTAATCGAGATGTAAGATGTTATATATGAATCCACAACAAATAACCAAATCCCGCTGTGAAAATTTCCTGATACTTGTATTTAGATTCTTAAGATGATCTATGCTATGATTTTTGAAAGATGATTAAATTTACTTTCAACCACGTTCTACGTTCCACGAATACTACTAATTGAAATAGCTAGATGGTCAGCTCCTCCTCCGATTTTACTTGCTCCCCTTTAAAATCTCGCTTGAGATGAGGGATCTGGATACTCCATATTAACATTTTTTGGTTAACGATCTGCAGGAGACAGACTGATGCATAATAAATGATCTTTCATGCGCAATATTTACTTAGCTGTAATTAAGAGGTTGGCTGTCGTAATACAGAAATTTTGGCGTATCTAGCATAATTTTTCAATCGCCGATCTATATCTAATTCAATCCAGAATTGGTGAGCTTACTCAAATGCATACTGTCACTAATTTATTGAACCTGGCGTAAGCCATACATAGCGATTTGGGATCATAAAAAGCAGGTCATAGGGCTGTCTATGAATCCAGAATAAGTTACATAACCAAAAGGAAACGGATAATTTCTGGGCAATGCAGATACTCCTGTACTTAGTTCAATCCGTGGAATCTTACCAAGGAAAAATTAAGTCTAAAGAAACCTTTAGTGTAAGCTGAATCCTGCTAAGCCTCTTGCTTGTATAGTGTAGCTCTGAAGAACCGTGGAATATAATCTGAATCCGAGGTTCTCTTTCTACCTAGTAGGCTATGCATAGGTTTCTCGGTAACCCCCGCCACCCCTCTCAATGAATGGTTTTTTACTACACACAGGCAGGTAAGAGGTTATCAACGACTGTATACTAAACTGAAGTGGTGTAGTTTAAAGTAAAGCGATGGCACTTTAAATTGATTAATGATGGGATACGCGAGTTGACCATTCAGCGCAACAGATCTCAAATTCTCAACCTGAATGATGTAATAACGTACTCTAAGGACAACGAGTTTTGATAAAACAGTATAATATATGAGAATCACTAATATCAAGTTTCGATTAGAGTATCTGTATGCTGAATTCTTGATTCATCAATCATGTATGCTTACCTCTCCCCAGTCATCAAACTTGTGATGTGCTGAAAATTAGATACAAATGGCTACCTTGGTATCATTCAGTAGATCAATTTGTCACTAAGGCTACAAATCATGATTAGAGATAAAAGAAACTGCTTGATTTCAGCTGATGATCGTCAAACAAGCCGATAACTGTAGTAGACAACATTTCCCAACTTCCACCGTATGAGATCCTCCTTATTAGTATAACTTCACTCCTACCACTTTTAGCTCTACTGCAGAACTACTGTGATATTTCAGTACCGACGTTTAGATCAACCCAACCACTAGTACTGAGTCGCCCCCGGTTCCCGAATCGGTAGATTCTTTTACGAATAGTTTGACTTAGGTCAATATGGAACTATTCGCCAGTTTCGAAAATAACAAAACTAATTCGTCCTCACAGACTTGAACTCCACCTCTTAACAGTGCACATTTTCAGCTGCCGTCATTACCACTAAATGGGTTTTGATACATTTAATACGAGACACCAAAGGTTGGCGTGTAGGTACTGTGGTAAATAGGAATGCACCAGAATGGGAGGTTTGAATTAAAAGGAGTGATTCCAAGGGATGCATTCTCGAATATGCACCCCTATTTTAGAGACATCAACTGCGTTATTGCAACTTTCCGAGATTGTTTGCTTTAAACATAATTAAAGACCGAGAGCTCCTTTCTATTCATAACTTGAGCATCATGGATGGTATGACTCACGATTCGGCTTTGCTTTCATCAGACCCTATTCAATAAGATGGCAGATATTTCTCAACCCAATCGCCCGGTCTCCATCGTCCTCAAGCTTGTTGTAAGTTCACTTTTACTCTTTCATCATGTTTCAAGAAGGAAGCATTTGGTATACATATATATGCCTTACAACATGGAAAGTCAGGCTCACGTTTAACATTACTTTTCACCTGTAGCATTTTCGCTCCCAAAAATGCCAATATACTATCTCATACCATATAGATGTCTTTCTTTCCACGACAAAAGATTATCTCGACAAGTCACAATACACAGGTCTCGCAGAATAAATCGAAGCCCCTCTACAAGACCACGTCCCAGTAAGAACGATCAAACCCCCCATCTGGTGATCCAACAACTAACCGACCATTCAAAGTGCAAAGAACACTGCACACCCCAGAGATATTACTGATTCTAGTCTCGTAGCCTTAGTCGATGCCTTTTACAGTAATAGTTACGCACAGAAAGCCAGCAGCAAAGAAAAAGGATCAAATATTATCAGATATAGAAAAGACGCTCTCCAACGAGTTACAAAAACCCCTCCCCTCGGCCAATAAGATGTAGCCGTTATCGCGAAATACAAAGAAATAGTTAGTGAACTGGTTGACAACCAAGTCACAGGAATGGACAGCTGCAAGATGCTGCCAGGAAGGCTACACAGGATTTCAAAACTGATAGACTGATACTATATTGCTCGTGCCAGTAAGATCTTACATATTTCGTTCTTTAAAAGGACAGACCTGCTTTCGATACAAGGAATAATGATATCAGTTAAAGTTGCTGGTGAGGATGGAAAGATGGGGCAGCTTCAGGTCACTTCTCATAATCGAACACGAACTTTGCGGTGGTGACCGCGTCTCTGGAGCTGTCTCTTCCATCGTCTTTGCATTGTACTGATTATGCGAGATCACCAGAGCACAATTGACTTCATTAATTTAATTAGATATACGGTATTAATGACTGTGAAGACTTCAGCACGAGTCCAGGCTAATCCATCTTCACGTTTGGTTTTATCGGATATTTACATGCCCACCAGACTTTATCCACGTGAAAACTCTACATATAATGATTCAGGAGTGCTCGATGTACAACTAGACTTGGTGCAATCAAGATTATGCTACCAGCAGTACTCTCCGTGTCTAATCCCGATAATGGCTTTTTGATCAATCAAGACCGAGTGGTATGTAGCTGGTAGGTTATTGATATTTCGATGTATTGTACTGTTACAAGGTGATAACAAACTGCTTATAAAAAACGACTGACAGCTCGATGCAATGATATGTATGTAGTCCTGCATGCGCCACCAGGTAAACATATAAAACACGACAGCGCAGTTTGCCCACCCATCAATATAGTCACACTTCCTTACAGCTTCCAGCAGTATAAACAAGTAAACATACCAACGCATTAAAGAAAAAAAAAAAAAGGATATCTATCACAAGCGCCGTATTTAATTCCTCCCAGATCTAAATCTAAACACCCACAAACAAACAAACAAACATACACGCACGCACGCACGCAAACACACCGAACAAGCTGCTCCATAAACATAAGAGGACTAAGACTCATAGGGTATTAAGCTATATATTCATTCATTCGATTAACTGAGCAATAGCAATAGCAATAGAGAAAAGAAAGCTCTGGGTATATTAGAAATGGTATAACATGCACACTCCTGCACACATTCCAAAACGTAACAAAATCTCAGACTGGTTTAGACCTGGTGCCTCCCTTATTTCCACAGAAAGTCAAACAACCATGCAATTAGTGTGCTGATCGATGCGCAAACTCCCAACTATTTAAACCTCATCTCCCGAGGAAGAAAGGTGGCTTCAGCAAAAGGTAAATGCAATGCGTCTAGCATGCTTTTTCGTCAACATGATGGTATCGTACAGAAAAATTAAAGGAAATCGGGAACCTTCATATTATACATAGCCGATTCGATTATATCTAAGTGTGATGAGAATTATTTTCATGTCGATCCTGTTGTTCCAGTGTAACCGATGATCTCTCGGTCATCATCAACTAGTCTGCCATATCTTTATGGATGTCAGTATTGTTTCCGAAAGCAAAAAAAAGCAGAACCAAAGGCGAAATGGGCACTTACTCGAGCATTAATCTGAAGAACCATACTTCCAGGTCTTCATTCCTGAGCACATTATTTGCCCACTCCCTCCCCTGAAGGGCAATTCGCTCCGCTTCTTTCTTCCCAACATCTTCTCCCGCGAACCATCGTACCGCCTCAACCCATTCATCCCCTCTCAAGCTCAAAGGAATATAATGCACCCAAGGTTTCAACCATTCCTCATGCCATTCTCTGAAGATAGCCATTTTGTACACTAAACTTTTACTTTTCAAGAACGCGTAAAATCTTCCACTGAAAGCATTCCCATCCATATCAAGTAGGTACTTATATTTCCACGCATCCTGTTGCTTCGCCGCCTCTTTAACATCAAAAAACTGTTTTTGTGCATCACAATCTCCAGGGTCGCATTGTCCGACATGGGAGAAGTAAATGTCGAAAATTTCTTTGAAATCACTCCGTGGTACATTCTTCACCTGCCAATCTTCCTTGGTCTCTTCACCTCGATTGACCAAAATTTTTGCCTGATCGCCAGAATTGACTTTTTGCACCACCTTTTGCCTGTGTTGCCGTCTCCAGCCACCGTCTCGACTGAAACCCCCAGTTGTCGAACCCCTCCAGTATATCCTATCTTCCTTGTCCTTCCATGCTTTGTCTTCGGCTTCCTCATATGGTACTTTGCCATACCAGTACCAAGGAGATGGGTATAATATATCGGAGAACGACGAGATTTTCGACTGCGAGAAAATCGGGAACAAGTCATGTACGATGTTGAAGGCGTTGGGCCGATCAAAAAACCCGAAGGATTCGCTGAAAGAAGGAGATTGACAAACATCGGAGAAAGCGGTTTGATTGTAGACAAACCCTAGCTCCGTCACGGCATAACTAGCATAATTGTCCTCTTTCAGTCCATCATCTAGACTCCTGGCGGCACTATCTGGAGGGCAGGACAGCCTCGAGTGGGTCCAGGTTGGTTGATGAGAAAAGACGTTGAATCGTGTGGTCTTCACTTCCGGCACTCTCAAGCCATCGCTAACAACATCTATCGGTCTTGGCGACCATGAATTCCTGGGTGCTTCAACTGAATTTGCGTTCGGCATATTCTGATCCTTTGCAACATGCACTAGTCGAGCTAAGTCATCATATGGCACAACCACGCGAGGTTCGTCGTGAATATTGAAGCAGAGGTCCATATCAGGGAGATACTTCAAGAATGGCTTCATCATTCCAACCGTAGCATCTTGTTGCCATTGATTCCCTCCCTCAACCTTTGTAACCTTTCCTCCTCTAATCAGCAGCCCTATTAGATTATTGGGAAATCCCAATGCTTCTCGCGCTCTTCCTCTTATAGTTTCCGGTTTTAGCCCCCAAAACGGCGTTAAGGATGTATGGATGTTATCGTATTCGTCAATAAGTTGTACCCCTTTTGACTTTGCAAAATTGTACCATTTGTCGAAGTTAGGAGGTGGAGGTATTCCATATCGTTTCCTATATTCTGCCACTGCTTCCTCCAGCGTCTTTGATTGTTTTGCCTTTACATTCTCGAATGCTTGCTCGTTATCCTTGATTAATTGGTAAACTGGATGCGAAGGACCAATATGATATGAAGATGTCTGCGGTTTCTTCACATCAATGGTGGTAGGTATTTGAGGGTTAGGTATGCTTGGCTGTTTCGGTTTCTGGTTGGAAGACGGGAAGGAGCTCGAAGGGTATGGAAAAGGCGCCCGTAAATAGAATATCGAGAATGTAGCCAAGGTGAAAATGGTAATCAGTAGTAGGAATTGGCGAGACTTCATTTTCCGCCGGGTCGTCATTATCATTGCGCTGAGAGAAGGTCTTCTTGAATCATCATGTCCATCGAATGGAACAAAGTGCACTTTTTCAGCGCGATGTTGAAATGCCGCACTCGAGCTCCTACGGCGACTTTGTCCAGCCATCGTAACGAAAGGGCCAGAAACAGAACTCTTTGTACTCCTGCTGGTACTTCCGCTGCTTGTGAGACCCCCTTGTTCTGGATAATCCGTTAATTTATCCTTGCACAACGAATGCGGCCAGTCCTGCCGACTTGGGAATGAAGACTCTCGACGCGCATATGAGTGGATTGGATAAAGTCCTATACGAATTGTGAATAAACAAGGAGAGGAATATACAAATGTTTGTATATGTGTGAGTGCAGTTGCGACGAATAGAAATTTGCAGATAATTCTCTTCTTTGGCTGGGTTACTCGATATTTATTTTCTTATAATACTTTCGCCCTAACGTTGTTGGCTGGATGTGGGTGGAGATTCCTTCCGATGTTCTGGCCACAACCACAAAATGCTACCTTACTTAGGTACTTACTCCGTATAAAGTGAACGTCTAGCTCTACCAAAATCCCCCAGCTAGATAGATTGCCCTGAGCCAATGCTCCTTTCTTTCATTCCACCCAAAAGTTATGTTAATTCGCCATATTGCACAGAAGCCCCCATTTCCTGGTCATGAATATGAACGGTTGTATAAAAGGATTTGAGTGACGGGACAAATCCGATCCGTGAAACATAGGCTCATTCATTACACCTTGGCTATTGAAACCTTCCTCCAAGGATTTTTGTGATGTTTCTCACAAAGATGCTTGAAATTATATATGATGCATTTTGCACCGTAGGAAGTAAAATACTCCTTCATTTATCCCACTACTCGGACGTTTTCCAAACTTCGTATTTAGATAGGAATATTTTTGTGTTCAAGCCAAAAAGCTTAGAATAATGAAGTTGATGTTTACGCCCCGAATATGCGCCGTCGGGTATTATGATTGGCTCGAGTTCACACATTCAGGAGTTGTCGTTAGTGCCACAACATATTGGCTTACTGCCGATGTGACATGGCATACGAGTAGGAATACCCCTTGTAGTAGCGCTATACGCGCGCCTTGAGATCCCGTCTGGATAATATTTGTTCACATATAGTTGCTTACATACTACAAAACAGTAGATTTGGCAAGGTAAAGTACAGCATATTATACTTCAAGAACATTTCAGAAAGATGCCATTTCAAGGGTATGCATATGCGCAACGGAGAAGTGTATGTTCATGAGATTAAATTGACTTTTGGCGTAGATCTATCTATTCCTCAAGAGAAGAATTCGAACTATGCGGTAAAGCAAGAACGAAATGGGTATATTCCGCGACCTGTCCCAGATATTATTCCAACCCCGGAAGCTGGAGACCCTAGATGGCTACATTTCTCATGATGCTTTGTATCCCTTTTATTGATATTTTTCGTTTAGTAGAAGAAACCGAGGATCTTTCCGGCAACGTGCTTGCGTCTAGCCTCCTCGTGGTCCATGATACCAGCGGAGGTGGTGAGGACGATGTGTCCGAATTGACGGGATGGCAAAAGCTTGACAACCCACTTCTCGAAATCCTCGATCTTGACGTTGTATCTTGGGGAGATAACACCGGTCTTGTTGAGACTATGTAGTAGAATTAGCAGAGTATTCTTGAAGATGACATGGACGTCTCTGCTTACCGGCCGTTCAATTGAACGACAATCTTTCCGGCACGGTGGTCATCAACCTCCTCAAATTCTCCGATGTAACCTAAAGGAAGGAACATTAGTATGTTGCGAAAGATTAAACATATAACTTCATGGGTAAAATTCAGAGAACGTGTAAGATCCGCGCAGGTTAATATATCGGCAACTTAAAGGACTTTGATCGTGTGGAGTTGAGATCATTATCTAGTTATCATGCCGAATAAATGTATAATATAAATGTTGCTTGCATACCTTGCTTTTGCATGACACCGAGGAACTTAACAATGACCTTGGAGGATGGGCGGATGAGGACTTGACGCTTTCCGGCCTTCTCGGCGTTGTTGATGGCGTTGAGCGCATCGTTGAGGACTGAAGTCTTAACCATTTTGACGGATAGAGATTCTCAAATAATCTTTGTTGATCAAAAGTGAGGTATCTGTAAAGTCGATATGTTAGCCTTCAAGATTTCTCAAGCATAAAGAGTGCCCTCATGATTGACAAGAGGGTTCTAAAGCTCGTGTCGAAGAATAGAGTGAGTAGTGTCGACATCTTTCAATTGCTATGGATTCATGGTGACAAAATAAGCCAAAGCTCATCAAATGCCGGCACCAAGAAATACCACGATCACAATTGAGTAGATGATCGATTTTCTCCTCCGTGTCAATCATGAAGGACGTCGAAAATAAATATCATCATAGCATATACACACCTCGTTGAATTGGCGTGGAAGTTGTCGTGGAGAGGGAGTAACTGTTCAAGATCGTGAGGTTTTCAGTCAAAACTTTACTATGGAGAATTCTAAAATTGATTGTGGGAACTTTTTCGTGCTTACCTAATTAATCGCTAGGGTCTCGCTAAACGTACAGTAATATCAACACAAGATTCTGAAGCTAATTTTCTCCATACATTAAAATACAAATATACCAACATACTCTTCGAGGACCTAAAGATATCATCACAATCAAGATGGTGAGTTTATTTTTGTTATCTTTTGATCGAAAAGGTTCATGAATCCTATGCGCCATTGGCGCAATACATGTTGTCTTATACAATTGGGAATATTCCCTCCCCCACCAACATTCGAGAATTCAAGAAACGTATTTTTACATTCAAGCAATCGACGCTAACCTCCATTCTTTACACAGTCTGACGTAGAAGAGCCAACCTCCCCAATTGTCGCCGAGGCCGATGAGGTCGAAGTTTCTGGAGATGCATCCAAGGGACAAATGTCCGTTATCGACGCATTGAAGGGTGTCCTCAAACTCGCACTTATGCACGATGGTCTCGCCAGAGGTCTCCGTGAAGCCTCCAAGGCTCTCGACCGTCGCCAAGCACACATGTGTGTTCTCAACGAGGCTTGCGAGGAGGAGGCATACAAGAAGTTGGTCGTTGCTCTTTGCTCCGAGCACAAGATCCCCTTGATCAAGGTTCCAGACGGAAAGCAATTGGGCGAGTGGGCTGGTTTGTGTAAGTCTTAGACGTAACACCACTACCATGGGATATCACTGACGATTTTTTTTTTAGGTGTTTTGGACCGTGAGGGTAACGCACGCAAAGTTGTCAACTGCTCATGCGTTGTTGTCAAGGATTGGGGTGAGGAGTCCCAAGAGCGCACCATGCTCCTCAACTACTTCCAGACCGAGCAATAAATACGCTACGGAGATGGAGTTTTCAGAGCGGATAGACATTGTATTAATCGGATTTACACACACATAGCGTGGATTACTCGTGACAATGACATTGGCTATGGAGCAACAAAATCTTGTCTTTTTTCGCAGGGTGAACGCGCGTGAATATGCATGTATGAGGCCGTTCTTTGCAATCCATTTGTTGCCATAGCAAATGATTTTAACTTACACTTCTGTGAGTTGTGGGACAGAGACTTATGAGCTTGAAAGCAAGATAGGTTCTTCGCCCTATCCTTGGGCTCATCTAGAACCTGATAAATGTACCCTGAAACAACGCCCGACACCTTTCCGCTCTCAACCTTATGTTCTCCCTATCCTCCATTCAGCCCTTCAATTTTGCTTCATCGCGTCATCTAGTCCTCCCTACTTCCTCCCCTCAACCATAAGAATATGATATCCAAACCCTGTCTTTACCTCTCTATACTTTGGCTTCGTCGTAGTACTCGCCTCCATCTCAAAAGCCACTTTCTCAAACTCAGCATCTAAATCTCCTCTCCCTTTCCATCCCAATGCTCCTCCTACATGGCCTCATATCAGCTCGTTTCCCTAGTCGAATCTCTCTCTTACCAGAAAGAGATGCATATAAAACGCAATAAAAAGCAAACAAGAAAAACCTACCAGCCCTTGCCTTATCCTCCGAAAACTCACGAGCAACATCGTCAAATTTAGCACCAGCCTCTAGCTTCTGCAGCGCTTCCGTCATTTTACTATGTTTGGAGCACTATTGCAAATACATATATTAATATTCAGTCCAGAAGAATGACACACTCGAAAATGAAAATCAAAATCAAAATGTCAGGTGAGACGCACAAGTATATGTCGAACATTGATTTGCTGGGCACCTTTAACTTTCGTTTCTTTCGCATCACCAGTATCGTCTTTACCCTTTCCTTTTCCTGCTTTCCCGGCGGCTTTCTTGGCTGGTGGCATGATGATCGATGGCGCGACGTAAGTAGAGTATTGAGTTTCCTATTTGTTGCGATGAAGAGCTGGAAATCTGGAGCGGGATGTTGTTAGTGGAGTGCGATCAATTTGATATGTACGAAATATGCGCTAACCGAATTCGATGGAGGGGCATTGGACATGCCTGTCAAAACCTCGGAGCTTTTTCCGATCATGGATGGGATAAAGTTTGACTTCATTTCGTATCTTTGCGTGATGAGATTATTTTATTTCCTCTCATATACAATCATTTATTTTTTATAAAGTATTTCTTACTTGTTTCATGATTTTCACTTGTACAAACTGTTCCCTGTTTCTTTCATCTTTTCGCATTTGCTTGTATCATCCCAGATATCTACAAGTTTTTTATTTCGTTCGATAGACTTCCTTCCATTGAAAATATACCCAGTTGGACAATATAATACGCCAAATGACACCATCTATAGCCCTCGATGCCACCGGCGCATGCTCCAACTCTTTCCCCTCCACAAAATCTACCTCACTTCCAGACTCCTTCCACAAACTTGTCACAGACCTCTCCAGAATCCTCGGGCCATCTTCTGGCCTCACATCCGCCGACGTAAATGTAGAGGAACTTCACTCCTTAATGGAAAACTACATATCTAACGAAGACGAATGGAAAAAATATGCATTCGCAGACCTAAGTAGAGGCTACACTAGAAATTTGGTTGATGAAGGGAATGGAAAAAGTAACCTAGTAAGACTCAATCCACCCTCCCTCCCTTTTCTCTTCACCCTTGAAACCGCAAAACTAACCACAAACTCCCCATCCAGCTAATCCTCGTCTGGACCCCCGGAAGAGGCTCTCCCCTCCACGACCACGCCGACGCGCACTGTCTCATGAAAGTCCTCTCAGGAACCCTCACCGAAACACGCTACACATTCCCGTCCACCAGCACCCAATCTTCCCTTTCCTTCGATACCCAACCCGTCCCCGCTCCACCCACAATAATAAAAACTACCACCTACACCACCAACCAAGTAACCTACATGTCGGACAATCTCGGACTCCACAAAATCTCCAATCCCTCGCCACACAATGTAGCAGTGAGTTTACATCTATATACGCCGCCGAATGCGGCGAGGGAGGGTTGTAATATTTTTGATGAGAGGACTGGAAGGAAGAGTCATGTTACACAGTCTAATTTCTATTCCGAGTTTGGGAGGAGAGTTGGCGGGCAAGTGTAGATTGTATTGTATCTTATTGTATTGTATGAAGATTTTGATATAGGAGTCTAAACGTAAATATTAGACGTAGATATAGATATGGATGTAAATGTAGATCGTATTGTATTATAAATTAGAAGATTAGAATGCTATAAGTACAGAGATAGATATAACATAACATAACATACGCAACACGAAAGTCTAGACACCAGGACAGAACACCATCCATCCATAAGCACATAATACAGATACAACAAATCCAACATCTACTACACGTCTTGTCTTGAATTAATTTAGCTATAGTTCCCACTACCTAGGTACCTATTAAATACTAAATATTAAACATTAGACTAGTTCCAGTACAAATACTTATATACTATCCAAAAAGAAAAAATAGGAATAGAAATATGGTATGATGTGATATGTTTGAAGAGTTCGGATTGACCATGAGATAATTACCAACTTGTATAACTGTAATCAGCTTCATGTGTGTGATAGGAGAAGAAGGAGGAGAAGGAGGAGAAGGAGAAGAAGGAGAAGAAGGAGAAGAAGGAGAAGAAGGAGAAGAAGGAGAAGAAGGAGAAGAAGGAGAAGAAGGAGAAGAAGGAGAAGAAGGAGGAGAAGAGGAAGGAGATTAGAAGTATATTGGAAAGGATCTATGAAAACTTGAAAATATTTTGATTCATGTATCAGAACATACTAGGGAAGTATGGTAGTGGGCGAGGATCTGAAAGAGGGATAATAAAAGTCAACTCCAAAATATAGTTCAAAACACTTTTTCCTTTCCGAGGATCATATTCTTAACAATTTTACTTTCTATTCATGTCATATCGACAGGTATGGAGTCTATTTACAAGTAACTGCATTAAATTTGCGGTCGATAACCTCCTACCGGATCTAACTACAATTAATTTGTCCTCAAAAATCTCATCTCCAACCACACAGCGATCGCTTCAATGCAAAGAAATAAATCATCTGCCAGAAGAAAAGTCTGGTAGATAGACCTGGACGCCTCCTCGCTGCATTAACTCTCGAAGGGCCATTGTAGCATACATACTTGAGCCAAGACCAAATTTGACAATAACCGCAAGTCGTGCAGGTCTCGACTCCTCGGTAGCTTCCTCGCAACCTGGTGCACTCGCCATTTCAGCATCAGCAGATGTTGCCTGAAGTGATTCGGATGGTTCATCCTCCTGCTTGATCTTAGTAGAAGCTACACCAGGATTGCTGACCTTCCCATCGTCAATTTTAACAACTTGGATGACTGCTTCGTCTTTTTCGTTCCTGTCAACAGGTCCCTTCGAAATCTCTTCAGCAGATCTCTTCAGACCAATCGAAGCTTCGAGCTTGACGCCTCCCTCTTGAGCCTCATTGTCTTCGTCAGATTCGGCACCCGGGAGCTCTGCGACTTCGACCTTTAGCTCCTTCTCGGTACCTGACACTGCATCTTTCGGGGCGTTCTCTACGATAACCTCGTTCTTCGAACCGAGAGTCTGTTGGATTCTAACTCCAGTACGACGACCCTCATCATCTGCAGAAGTTTGTATGAATGTCTCCTTATAAATTGGCTGTTTGATAGCATCCACATCGACAGGCTTTAGCTTTTCTTCCTCCCGGGCTTCAGCAGCAGCTTTGTCTTCTTCAGCAAGCTTGGTTGGTAGTGCTTTCCAAGCATTATGCTGAGCGCTACCAGCGTAAAGAGCGTTATTTTGGCGACCTTCTTTCGCAGCATCGGCCATGTGACGAGCACGGGCACCTTGGTCTCTTCCACGTCGACCGTTTTGAATGCCATTGTCTTGCTGACCATTATGTTGTTGACCATTCTCCTGAAGGCCATTGTTCTGTTGATCATTATCTGGATGAAGGTTTTTCTCCTGGAAAGATGCATACCCGTGTGGATCGCCTTCTTTTCTAGTATATACGTGAGTGGTTGCGATGTGGCTAGGACCATTCGCCTGAGCATTGGCCTTCTCGACGATCTCCAAGTCAGTCTCAACCAACTGTTCTCTTTCGTCGTGGTAGGTTTTGACTTCGAAAGTCATGCCCTCTTTGACTTGGCCGATAAGGTTTCTGTAGCTACCACTGAGACTAAAGTCCTTGATCTTTCGACGCATATCGGCAGGATCCAGGCCGCCGCCTTGTTCACTAGCCATAAACTCCTTGTAATAATCTCCAATTTTGTTGCCAGGGTATTCAATGTCAAAACCTGGCATAGGGAGGACAATATCAAAGATGGTGAAATTGCCACTGCCAGCTTCTTCGGCCGAAAGGCAGCGTGCACGCTGGAAAATTTCATCGGAACTAAGTGCGGCATCTCCTCCAGATGCGTGAATCACAACTTCTCCATTTTCATCAACTTCATCTCTTTGTTCGGTGGCTTTGCTCTCTATCAAAACAAGATCGCCCTCAATAACTTTGTCTCCATAGCGCTCCCATCTTCTAGAGGCTACGACGTTCCAAATGAAAGATTGATATGAATGCACGTACATGGTACGAAGATGGCGCGAAATTGATAGTATGGCACCTGCGTAATCGTCATGTTTGCGGGCCGAGGACAAGTGTTGAATGACAGCACGCTCCGCAGAAAATCTTGGTGGAAGATGGTCTCTACAGTGGTTTTTGCCAGTTTCCCGGAATTTATGGATAGCAAGGGCGCGTCCCATATCATCTCTGCCAATACTTCCTCCATCTTTTCCCGACTGAGCTGCTGCGAGTGCATCCTCGCTGAATGTGAGCAAAGCATCTACAGCACCCTTGAAGTTTCCTTTTAAGATCAACTTGCCGATCTCGTGTGTGCCGATTGCGAAGGTACCAAAACGTTGTAAGCCAAAGTAGTTGAGGAAACCACGGGTTTGTAAATGTGCAATAGCATCACCAACAACTTTTTTTGCCGATTGAAGCTTTGTAGCATCATCCATTTTAGTGTCGTCACCGAAATGGCAATCACGTAAGGTAATGGTAAAAACGTTGCCTTCGAGATCACCCAGTCTAAGTGGATACTTCTCATACTTGAAGTCACCAACTCTTACGCCGTATCTCAGCTTATGATTGAGATCAGCCATGCTTTTAACATGATGTCTGAAAGCACTAACACGCTGTGCGGTGGCCGCTCGACGGTCTTTGGTGCCTGCGTAGGCGAAATCTTTGGTTTTAGTTCTCAGCAATTTAGACAGCAAGTTGACAGTTTCCATGGTGTCCTTATTCTCTTTGTAAAGTGTGAAGTGAAGGTATTCACCGCCAAGTTCTTGCCATCCAACTTTTCCCTTGGGCTTTGGCTGGCCATTCGATTGACCACGGAAATCCCCTCGGCCGGAAGTTTGTTGTCCTCTCCCACGTTGGTTTTGTCCTCTGTCACGTTGTTGTTGCGGAGCAGCTGCGAATATATTGATAGAATTATCATCCAAAGCTTCAGTCTCCAAACGCGACTCAAAACGCGAACGCACAAAACCATGAATTCGTCCACGACGGGGTCTGTCATCAATCGGTTCGGACTGTAAAGATCCAAAGGAACTAGGTTTAGCATTTGGTTTCTGTTGAATTTTTTTATCGAGCTCAATGATCTGGAGAGCTAGGATATCACCAAAATATTCAACAAGAACTTCCATATCGTTAGATCGGATTTCTTTAATTTGAACGGCATTTGGATTTTCCGCAGATGGCTGTGCAGGAATATCAACATTTGTTTCAATAGCTGAAGTGGTTGGAGCCGCGGAGGTGCTGCCATTGGGAATATCAGCGAGAGGCGCCGCTTCAGCTATAGCAGAATTTGTAGAAGTGGTTTGCTTTGATTCATTCTGTCCCGCAGCTTCTGCTACTGGCTGGTTCTCATCAACAGTGTCTGCTGAAACAGCATTGGCATTCACTGCACTCTGCTCACAATCGTCAGCTTTTTGTCCTGCTAGGAGAAGGAGCATGAATTGGGATGTCTTGTTGGCTGATAACGTACTCTGTTTTGATGAGTTTGGGGGGCTTTTAGATCCTTAAGGTGAACAACTTCCCCTCCTATGGAAATTTCATTGACTAGGAAATCTGTGTATCTGATCACCAAAATTAGCTGGAGTCCATGAATGAAATAAGTTACAATTAACATGTGACTGCAGAAACATAGCTGCAATAAATGCAAATTGCATCCACTACAACGAAAAGTGGAAGTGAATGAGTTGGATAGATCTTTGAAACATGGATTCTATGAGGTATTGACGCGAACTTTTTGAAAAAAAAGTGCCAAGGTGATTGGGTTGTTGCAAGCAAATCATTTTGAATGACAATAAAACACATGGCATCATATTGGTAAGAGAACAAGACAAGCATACCTTTGCTTTAATATACCTTGGAATCCGGGATTTTTCTTGTTGACATAGTGAAGTATTCCAGATCTAATTTCTTGAGCATGCTCAGGTTGGGAAGATAATGGAACTTCAGAAACCAAACTTTGGCTTGGCTGATCGATTTCCATTTTGTCACTTGGATATGCGTTTATATTCGAATCGATTGTTGCGTCTGACTGAGAAGGAGGATATGCAAGAGAAATTGAGGTGGGAACAGAGCTTGGTTTGGAATTCGAGGAGCTCGAGTCGAGCTTCTGCCTCTTTCGAGGTGACGAACCTTGTTCGTTATTTTCGAAGCTAGCCATATTTGTTGATAAAAATTCACCTTCAACACCAAATATCCTCGTATTGGAAAGAACCTCAATTTTTAATTTTTAATTGGGAAGATTCCGGACGGGGAAGGCGAGAGTGAAGACTGAATTGAAAGGAGATGAGATTTTTCGCCAATTAAGGTTATGGTATCACGTGACCACCAATCACACTAAGGTTAACTACGGCTACGGCAACGAGCCAATGCCGTAATTATGCAGGGGTGTGCGGATGACCTTCTTCGGACATCACCATCACCACGAACATTGGAAAAGGTTAAGATGAAAATCTTCAAGTCTTTGTATCCATATTCATTCACTATGGACAGTCTCAAACCGTCAAGATGAAGACTCTGAACTTTTGAAGCTATCATATTCATTGTTATATACTAGGTAACCTGATCACATCTCATTACTCTCATTACGAGAGCTAATGGCAGGCTTTTTTCTTCTCCTCTTCCCCTCTAAAATTAGCATCACCTATTCCACTCCTGTCGTATTTATCTCGATTTCACGTGGTTAACTACACGCTCTACCCTCAAACTACCGATTCCGTGTTGTATCCCTTGGGGGTGATGCCGGATATGGTTCGAAGGAAAGCGGGAGCGGAAATGCATTTTCGAGTCTGTGGGTGCTATCATCGAGCAATTTGTATGCAGGCTGATCGTAAGCTTTCAATTTCGAGATGAAAACTTTTCTAGCTGTTTCCTTTTTACTTTCCGAAGATCTATGTTCTTTGTAAGCAGCTTCACCCTCGCGTGCCTTTATTTCGTTCTCAATCATCCTGTTATAGATGACAAAGTCGTCCATCTGCCATGGGGTTGGAACTACATCTAGTTCTTCCATCGTGTTTTGTCCTGCAAGTTCTACAAGGGTTACGGTGTTACGATAAATGTCAGGTCCAGATGAAAGCTTCAAGAGAACTTGGCCCCAACTTTCGACCTTGTAGCTACATAAAGTCAGCATATGTAGAGCACAATGATGAAATGTACTTACAGACCATCATACCGTACCCCAAGCCTGGGTGCCCTCTCACTCTTCAGCTTGTGACCTCGCAGAAGTCTGACCACAGACCCAACACAAGTGAGTCTGACAGCATGATATGCGCAGACTCTTGATTCGATGATGTGTATCCACTCTCTTCTTCCGATACCTTTGATTTCAAAGCCGGAGAGCATGGAAAATGCAACAGGTTTCCGATTCCCTCCCCAAATGAACCCATCCTTTGCGTCGGAGACGATCCCGTCACGCACGGCGCAATGTGTGTTTAAAAACCAGCTGTTAATTTTGTAATAAATAACGGCTCTGTAGAGGATAGGGAAAACTTACGCTCCAGGCTCAAAATTTTCATTTGCTTCCTTCTCTGAAAAGGTTTCGACTCTTCTTATTTTCCACATAGGGCCATCTACTTTCGATACCTCACCAGTTGTTTGTAAGTCTAAGTCCCGGAGACAGCCATCCTTCTTCATGACCTTCAGTCGCTCTTCATCCATGGCATGATATCTTTCTCCGAAAGTTTCAATCCATTGCTCGCGAAGCTTTTGTACTTTTCTCATAATTTGTCTGAATGAAGGCCCATGGCTTAGGAAATTGTTCCTCACATGTTGCAAGATCTCCTCCACTATTTTATCCAACCGAGCATGGGCAATAACTTCAAATTCTAGAGATGGTCCTTCGTGTAGCAGGTCGTCAATCAGATTTTCCAATGTGTGTATCTCATTGATTGGAACGACGGGTTTCCTCAACTCTTGGCGTATAAAATCCGACTTTTCAAGACGATAATCGTCTCCATCTTCATGTGGAAGCTTCGATAATTCTGATATTCTTGAGATTTCGGATAAGAGAGATTGGCCAGATGTTTCGGAAAATGCCGGCGACAATGGCAACGGATTGAACGCAGAGGTCACTAATTGATGACGCGAGGCTGTCACAGTATCAGCTCAACATCTTGCCCAAAAGCAAAAAGACAAGAGTAAGTTTCCTCTTACAAGGGGGAAGTGGAAGTCTTAATGGGCGTTGTTTCGGTAGAAGCTTGTTCTCTGAAGGTAGTTGAGTAGAGCCAAGACGTCGGTCGTCTCTATCCCCGGTACCATCAAATCCATTGGAAAGCAGTGTCATCGTTGAAATTTTGGACTCTTCAGTATCGATTTCCGGTATATCTTCCAGACGTATCAGTATCGAGACTGACGGGGACACCATGCAATCAGATATTACTTCACTCATCTTGAACGGATTGTTCCCATACTCCTTGAATGACATATGAAAACCTTTACAGTACCGACAAATAGCAGTAGAGTTTACACGGGAGCTCTTCAACGGGACGAGTGTTTAAATGTGACTTCCATGATCACGGCTTTCCGGAAACGGCAAATGGATGGTCTGTGGATCCATGATCGGCAGGCAGGTCCGCAGGGAGGCTACTTCCTCGTGACGATTGAGTTAGTACGATTCGCATTCACATTTAGTGATAAGCCAAGTAGAGTAAAGCTGAGTCAAGATTCTGCAAATAAAGTCGTATTTTCATGTTCTCTTCCAAGGTTGAGGAGCCATTGTCTGGATGTGTATCCATTTCCAAAACTCGTTAACTAATTAATGTTTCTTTTGCATTGTAAGACTATGGAAGAAACAAGTGTTAATGTCAACTTTAATTGAAGTATATGTAAGTTTTTTTCGCCTTGGACAATAAATTGTTGAGTAGACAGAATATATCCGGGTTCATTGCAAGATCGTAATTCTTCCTCGGTTTATCTTCACGTGCATTCCTCATATATACGCCAGACACGAAAATGGGCCTTTCAGAAGGGCAACTTCCATCTGAAGGATATGTCTACAGATTCTAATTCCAACCGAACAACCAATTGCATGATCATATTAATGATAACATGCGTGATGTAATAACGGGTCTGTCCGCAACTTTTATCAAAAGATCGGTAGATACACATGGAGCTTACTATTGGATGCTCGAGCTTCTCTAAAATGCCAAGCTTCCCTGTTGTGTTTCTTTGTTGTCGACGGGAAACAATTACTAGCTCTATCTTTATGAGAATGGGTATCACAATTACCTACCAATCTCATGTCTTCGCTTGAAATCACCTAACTTTCCAAGTTGACGAAATAAACCATCGAGAACTTCAATTCCAACTTCAAATTAAGATAAACTAATTATCATGAAAAAATTTCTGATAAATTCTGGCTATTATATCAGATGTTCATTTCAAACCCAGTCAACTCAAATCTACAGCTCATTCAGATCAAACCGCATATTTCTCACAACGATGCAATAGGATCCAAAGTTTCCGAAAGACAAAGCAATAAAATAAGCCCACTCAATTATCTTCCAATACTAAAAACAATCACAATATCATTTAATATTTAAATTCTCCTTCCCTCTACACTCAAAACCTATTCACGGAGAAGATTCTCCATCTTTACAGACACACATACATCTATGGTTCCTATCTAATCGAGTAATAAAATATCTTTCTCATCAAGCACTACCAATTTGCCAAACACCTTTCTCTTTAACTACAAAACATAATAAATACCATGTCGTCAAACTAAGCTTTCATACCTAGTGCATACGGAGTAACGCCATGATGTCTTTCTTTGTTAAGCTGATATGGCGAACGGGGAAATTCGCCTAGCGTATGCGTGTATGCGTCGGCAAGTTCCTCTGTAACCTTAGTATTTGACAAGGTTCCGCTCCCGATGACTGGATTTTGGTTTTGGTTTTGTGTTGTGATTTTGATTTCGGTTTTGATTTTGAGTGTTATAGCTAAGTGTTCGAAATTAGATCTCGTTTGCGGAATATAATCAGCTGTTGCATATATTAAGTTTTCGTCGCCTTATTCCTTGTGATTGTCTTGTCTCTGGTTAGACTACGCAATAATGCATACATCATTATGTTAATATGTTATGGTAAATCCCTTTTGAGTTGGGAAACTATGACTTAATTACACTGTTATTTAAAACTATAATAACCGGAAATAAAAGAACTACCTCTAGAGACATAATTCGATCCTGTTAAATAAAGTTTAAGTTCTTTGGATGGCAGATTTATTTATTTATTTAGTACAAATTGTTCGCAAAATAGCGAGTTTTCATATTATTTTTGGCACATAATTAGATGATGGGACGAGTTTTTCGGTTAGAAATGTTAGTTACTATGCATTGGCTTTGATAGCTATTTACTTATTGCTTTCATGTATGTTTTATGTTGAAGCATAGTTTTGGATGTTCTTGGAGGAGGAATTCAATGACTGGCAAATACATTAGATCGCAGCACTATTATGTTTCCATGCATGGATTGGTGGTTTTTGCTTGTGGGATTTCTAATTATATTTTTCATAGAGCATTATTGCGGATGCAGTTCTATTTCGCGTGTGGGTGTGATAAGATGGGTGTATTCTAAAATTTGTAGACTTGAGTTTCCGTGGTAGATGATAGGTAATCTTATATAAAACTTAATTACGGGGACTTTCTTACGAGATTTGAGTCCTTCACATTCGGTTGCTGTATTAATGGCAAGAAATTGCGGGAGAAGATCATGCTTTGAGTTGAGTTGATGCTGCACTATTTTCATGGGGTGATGTTCTGCAACAGAGACGGACTGGAAGGTATCTGATTTCTCGGCTTGCTCGTCACCAATTAATCAAGCTTGAGCTTGGGAGGCTTTATGTGACTTTCTAGATGGCGAGTAACACTTCCCTCCCTCGAAAAAATCACATTTTACATGTGTTGCGTAGACGAGCTGAGGTCGAGAGGTCTATCGTGTCTAAAATGACCGATAATCAGGAGGTCACGTACTTCTCTAATGCCAGATCCAACTGCAGCAGTAGCGACAGGATGAGATATTCAGCTATGTCATTGATGAGTAAGATAATGATCTTGACTTGTCGGTGAGGTTTGAGAGTGCTTTGACATTTTTGGTATCTTCTGTCCCGGATCAAAAATTAGTTTTCAGGATACACTAGACAAGATACTTTGGCGTAAATAATGCGTCAGGTCAATAGGAGGTTGAAGGTATGTTTGTGTTATTTATGCTTGAGATTTCGGCTGTGTTGCGTGAGGTCTTAAGGGGTATCCTATATTCGCCTTCTGCCGTTTTTCCTCCTTGATCCACGCGTTGAAATCACGTTTTCGTTGAGCCTTGAGCCGGCTGTGGGATAAATATATTGCTAAATTAAGAGTGGAAAGGAAAGCAGGGAAAACTGATTATTTATCTAATTTCTGGATATTGATAGCCGGTGAGGATAGATGGACCTTATGTATACGATCACGGCGTTGGAATTTTGTTGTCCTTTTAATACTTCACAATATTATTTATAAGAAAAGAAGAAATACTAAAAAATACTCGGGCTTGTTGTTGAAGAGGGCTAGGGGGCTTAGCAAAATATATATATATAATATATTATAGAAGATTTAATATTACAATATTTTACTATTTTCAAATAATTTTATTTAATTCAAATTTTAAGTGAAAATTAAATAACTTAAAAATTTAAATTTTAAAGTAGAAAAATTAATTAAAATTTTAATATTGAAATCAAAATTATTTTAATAAAGAAACGTTGCTTAGAGTGGTTTTTAATATTTTTAATATTTGATTTTAAAAATTTAAAATTCTAAAGTATGTAATTGTATTGTTAGAGATTTTTGAAAAAGTTGATTTTCGGTGAAGAAAAACACAAAAGCTCGACCCAGGAACAAGCCCTAGTAGAGGCTTATGAATTGCAGTAGAATCATATTTAGTAATCAGACATGTTATATTTCAATAGCTATTCTGATTGGTTGTAAAAATGCCGAGGTTGAAGTTGGAGGAGGGGTTCCAACCGAGCAGATGACAAATGCAGGTCTTCGACCTCATATCTCAGTGAAAGCATTGGAAATTTGGAATACATTTTTACACTACAATATAGTTATTCAATATACGAGACACCATGACACAAATCGATTTAATAGCAATCATATATCCCAAGGAGGGAAAAGCAGATAGAGTGAGCACTGAACTCCACCCGCACATTTCCGTTTCCTCGTAACCATTAACCCCTATCCTCACTAGGTTGCGGAACTCCTCAATGAGATATCTCAATATATCAAAGCAAACGAGCCCGGAACATTGAAATATGAGGTTAACAAGGAAGTTAATAAAAAGTCTGGTGCTGAGGAAATTATTTTAGTGGAGAGGTGAGCATGACATACATACATACATACATAGCCTGCGCCATCAATACATGAATCATGAGACTAATCAATGAATTACTAGCTATAAGGATAAGGCTGCTATCACAGCGCATGGAGCTTCAGAGGCATTCAAGGCTTTTGGGAAGAAGTTGAAGGATGAGGATGTGATTGCTAAGCCTATGCAATTGAAGTTTTTGAAGAATGTTGGAGGTTTCTCTTCGAGGCTGTGAGGATGGATGAAGGGGGCGAATAGCAGACTTGTACTTGACGAGATATCAGGGAGTAGATGAGGAAATGCCACGGATAGATGCACATACTTTACTGCTGAAGTCAATCGATGTTTAGATGTGAGCGGTGGCACTTGATTGGTCAGTGACTCGGTGGTTGTCGACTTTTGTTGAAGATCTAGATGGGAATGTAAAGCGAGAAAGCGTATCACGTATCACTTTTTATCACTTTCATGTGTTTAACTTATTCATCAAGTTATCGCCCGTCATGATGCGTTTGTTCATTCTATTTTGCTTTCCAAGGAGAAATGAAGACTCGTGCCAATCGGCTTCGGTCTGATCATGACCCATCGCGACTTCCCTATTTAAACTTATTACCACATTCGTGGTTATCGATAACCGCGCACTCACCATTTTGCAAATTCAAAAATCCGGAGAACTCTTTTCTTTTTGCGTCTCTGCACATCATCTTCAATTGACTTCTTTTCCCTTCGATTCAGCAAAATCCTGTAATTTTATCATGGAGCATGAATGTGAGCAACAGCACTTCAGTCCACTGGTTTTCACTTCCCACACAGGAAGAGTATTCCAGGTAGATATTGATGAGACTTCGCCATTATCGCCAAAACATGGCAGATCCAACAGCATAGTGTCAATTGTCGAGCTGAGGGCTTCATCTCCATCTCCTCTGGGGCCTCCTATCCTAGGAGGATTTGATGGTCATGGATCCGAGAGTCCACAATGTCCAAAGTATGTCCTCAATTTGAGCAATCAATTAAGAACTATCATGCCAGCATCAAAACTTAGTATGCCTGGTCAGATACACAAAGGCAAACGCAAAGCGTACCTGATCAATAGTATGCTAACAAATTTGCAGAATTGGACCTTCGCACCATAGAAATCGTTCCTCATGCGGAGGCCCTCCTCTCATTTCCATCACGACTCCTAGCCAACTAAGTCAGGGAGTGTCAAATTTAAGCATACAATCATCATCCTCTCGGAAGCAAGCACAAAATTCCTTATGTGATGACTTCGACGAAAATGAGGAGTTTGATGTTTGCAGGGCTTATATGGTTTATAATGAATATGGCGAACTGGTTGATGCTCACAGCCATCTTCAGACTCGAAATACTCAGGATTTATCTGTCACCGAGATATTGAGATTGATTAGAAAGGCATATCACCATGATGTTAGTTCCTCTTGCATCCTTGACTGTTGCGGGGCTTGCACTGGGCATCGTTGAAGGTGGCTTGGAGCTTTTATGCTGACTTCATAATAATAGTTTAGGGCGAGAATGAATGATATTGAACAGATCAAGGGCCAAAGCTCATTGAGCTCAGAAAAGGGCAATTTAACATGGGAGGAAAAACTGTCATCTTGGGAGTACAATCCGAGCGCATCTGTAAAGACTACGCCTGTCAATGGAGACCTAAAGACTGTTCCTGTATATCAAGGACCACCTCGTGTCTTGGAGGTATGTATTACCTGCTATCTACCAGTTCCGTGCTAACAGGTTTAGATTGGTTGTAGTGACGGGAGTTGGTGTTTCAAGGTCAAGGAGGATCAGCCCGATTGGACAGTGGAGGGAGTCGATGAGACAGATCACTGGTCTTGTATACAAAGAGACATTCAATTAAAGTATAACGCCTTCTATTTTAAGGATCGATGTTGGGATTCAGCATGCTAATCAATAATAGGGATTTTATCATCACAGCTCCGGAGATGGATGTGTCAGATTACTTCAGCCGTGTTAATTCTTCACAAACACAAACCGCTCCGGATTTCAATGTTCGAAACCTTAATTGTCTCATAGCACATCCAGATCCTATTCCACACAATCTATACTCCTTCATCCGTGGAAGAGATGTATTTGATAGAGTTGAAAGTTACAAGAGTTTTCTAGATGACGTTCGCTTGTGAGTAACTTCCTGCGAGGTATAGACATGTACCATATATGAATACTAACATTTGATAGAATTCTCCAGCCCGGTGGCGTTGTAGAGTTCCTTGAAGTAGACCCTAGGCCAAGGTCCAAATTGGCCGGTCACACTTCGATTAGACGTGGAGATTATCACCAGAGTGAAGCTCAGACTGACTGGACCGACAATATCGCCGATCGACTCAAGCAACCAAATCACGATGGAGAACTTGCAAAGACAGTACCAGGCTGGATGGAAAGAGTCATAGAACGTCACAAGGCAATACTTCGTCCACGAGGTGGAATTCCTGCGGTTAAGCTAAAGTCTTGGCTAGAAGGGGCTGGGTGAGCTAATTGATGCGTATCGTGAGGGCAAGCTAATATTATATAGGTTCTGGGATGTGAAAGAGATTGTACATCGATTACCTGTAGGTGGTACCACAATTCCTGGTCAGCGATTGAAAGACTTTATTCTATACCAGATTGGGCTGGAGAATGATATACCACAGGTGCCACTTTCTTAGACCCCTTGACTTTTCGCCGCTGATTGGAATTTTAGCTTCGCGAGAGGTTGTTACCTGTTGAAATGGAAGAGATCGAGAGCGGCAACTACTACCTCACTCTGCACATTGTGACAGCACGCAAGCCACGCTCACCCCGAGCAGGCGATCTTCTCATGGACGGCACCAGGCAGGAAATGACGGATATAAAATATGATCAGATGGCTCGCGGCAATGAATTGAAGAACCAAGCAGGGTGGAAAAGGTTGTCTTGAGAAAGAAATGGCCTTTGACCTTGTATATGCTAACCTATTTGGATAGATTCGAATTAGGTCGCATCTCTGAAATGATGACTTCCTTCGAGGAACATCATCCTGGGAATATTCCCAACTCGTCACCGCTCTCTCACCTCCGAGAGCCTGATAAATCTGGGGCGACAGCAGGGTTTTGATGGAGTATAAAGTATGGATTGACTAGGGTGATAGTCGATGACTAGAAGATGGAATATGGGCATTACAAAGCGAGCCTTGTGCTTTCATGATATATCACAAGTTTAGCTGGAGAGTTTAAAACAAGAGTAGCTTAGAGGATGATCATTTTTCAAAATCAAAAAAAAGAAAACTATGTGGCTATACTGTTTGATCCAGCGTGCTATCTATGCACTCTGGGAGATTTCGATAAATCCAATTGTTGCCCGATCACTCAGTTATCTCCTCTGCTCAATGTCCAGATGATCCAAGCACGAGATACCACGTGAACGTGAATTTTAGATATAGGTAGGTAAATAGATAGATTGGTAGGTAGGTAGATAGATAGCTAAGGATATGTAAGTAGTACAATCAGAACGAGAAGCCTTTACAGCGCTACTCATTCGCATTCGCAACCCCTTCAACCGCTCGCTCTAGCTCTCGCTTTCAGTTTTGCTTGCTCGCTCGCTCTTAATGCCTTCCAACAAACCCCGGAAAAAATCCATTTCTCCTATACCCAAGAAAAAAAGCCGTTTCGCCGTACCCAATTCGAGAGGAAGAGGAAGAGAAGAGGAACAAAGAAACATGGTGACGCCGGTAAATGCAGATGATCGTGGATTGCTGATGTGAGGTGATGTGGTCGATACAGGAAAAATTTAGGTAGATAGATAGATGTTTGATGATAGATTTGAGGACTAGTGGTTGTGGTTTGATCTTTTATATCTTTTGCGCTTGCCTTGGGAAATCTCAAAGTTTTGCCATAATCGTATCGTGTCATATCAATGTCGTTAGACATAATACATCATCGAAGGTTGCTTCTATTTTCCTCCTATCGTCAAATAGACAGGACTCCCTTTTGCTTGCTGTTCCATCCAGTGGATTCAATTCGTTTATGATGATGATGCGGTGCAGAATCGTTCCCTGACATGGATTACCAGCCCCATACCGTGGCTAAGAAATGTGCCATATTCACACGTTTGCCACGCATTTCGACCATCCATGGGTGCTCCAACATTCGCCAAGGCGAGGCGCGACGAGTAGGATCTTTTTCGAGACTGTGATTATAAAGTTAGAACGAGTTAGGTCTTGAGGAAAATAAGGAACAACATACCAGCACTCAATGAAGTACTTGAAACTGTCACTCCATTTGATACCAGCATCCGGTTCATCCTTCAACTTTGGAATAGGTTGTCGAACAATGTACGTTAAAAGATCAATCAATCCAGCTCGAGGCTGCATTTCTGATCCATCTGCTGGAAATGGGAAGCGATGTTGAGCTACTTCCAGAAGGGTGACACCAGTAGACCAGACGTCGGAAGTGATAGTGTATGACTGACCAGTAATACGTTCAGGCGCCATGTAGTAAGATGTTCCGATAAAGGTGTTTGCGTCGCCCTTGGTACCGAACTCACCACTGACACCGAAATCACATAGCTTTACCTGACCATCGCGACAGAGGAGGATATTGGAAGGTTTGATATCTCGGTGAATAATCTTCTTTCCATGGAGGTAGGTCAGACCGTTCAGGACACCCTCAGCAATCTTTCCAAGGACCTTCTCGCCGGTACGGCCACCAAGTTTCTTTACTTCACGATATATTGAGTCGAGAGAACCACCTTCACAAAATTCCATGGCAATGGAAATGGTAGCTGTTGAGGGTTCGACGAAAGCGCCATAGTAGCGACAAATGTGCTCGTTATCACAGCCTTTGTTGAAACCTAACTCACGGACGATCTGTTTTTTCACATCGGGATCGGGGTTTGTGGTAATGATCTAAGAGTGTCAGTAAGCAGCGTAGAAGATATTGTGAGGCGTATAAAATTACCTTCAGAGCAAAGACAGTCTTTCCACCCTTCAGCATACACCGAGTTACTGCACCTCCAGCTCCCTCTCCTAAACTCCCAAGCTCGTCGATCCTCTTCTCCATACTTGCTATCCGCCATCCATCATCATCTAGATCTTCAACATCTAGTGTTCGTCCTTTTTCTAAACTCAGTTTATCGAATGCCTCAAGGCCATTCATGCTACCATCCCTTTCCATACCAACGCCTCCGTCGCTCCTTTCTGAGTATAATGACCCGACGGCTGATGAGGGATCTGGTGTTCCTTGCGGTTTGCTCAATCCATATTGCGATGCTAATGAGAATGCAGAGTACTGTGAGCCTGCAGATGTTGGTCCACTTCCCTTGCCATCCATTGGTCCAAAGCTCCCTGATCTCGAATGTGCCGCACTACTTTCACTCCCTCCACTTGCAGACTGACCTGGAGCAGCTGCGATCCTTCCAGATTGTTCATATGGCGTAGCGTTACTTCCCATCGGTGTAGCTAATTGTAACCGAGGTAGTGAAGGTCGTGCAGGCATCGAGCCAGGCATTTGTAGTGTAAGACCTTTCGTTGCAGGGGCATTGACAGGCTTAATGTTTAGAGAAGGTGGTATAGCCAAACCCAGCCTAGGTGTCCTTGCGCCGCCATTTTGTCGACTACCGGGAATGGGAGGACGTAATAAGGGTGCTGGAGAAGACATGTTTGGTAACGAGTTGAGGGAGAGATTACTTGAGGACTTTGAATCAGCAGTGTTATCTTCGTATTGTCTACTCATATTACACTTAGAATAGTCGAATGATCGTGGTGTACAGATGAGGCGGATACGGCAGGGTTTGAACTCGTCGCCGTCTTCCTAACTTCCGAATCTCGGGTTACACCGTTGCCGGTGTTTTATGTATTGTACTGATCTTGCGTCGGCATGCAGTCCACGGCTGCAGGAGACCGTTGCTTTGCTGCAAACGAGGAGAGGCTATTATACGATCGAGATGGGTCGGAGGACCGTCTTGTAATTGATGCCGATATCTCGAAATGTTTAGATGGTAAAGAATGATCTGTTGGCTATTGGGTATGCCAAAGGATTTTCGTGATAATTCTCGTAAGGTTGGGAAGGCAAGTTGTTGGACTTTCAGATCGAGTACTTGGTTGGTGTTTGTGATAAATCTGCGGGTATTTAAACCGAGACTCGTTTCCGTTTCAAAGCTTATCGCTAGGAAGTGTGGGTCGATGAAATAAATTGAGGGTTGTTGGGGTGGAAGGAGGAGAAGCCGTGAAAGAGGGGAAAGGTATTTTGACTTTTGATGTTAACAATATTCTTGGAAGTGGCCGAGCAGAATGTATTGAACTGGGTTGAACGTGTGAATGTATCAATGTATGTAAAAATATTTGAAAAGAAAGAAGATTCTATAATAATAAGAGTAATAATAATAATAACAACAATAACAACAACAATTGAAATTGTATTATATTGTATTGTACTGACTGTCTGCCTGCTACACACACAAGCACAAACAAGCACACGATGTTGGTTAGTGAGCTAGTGAATGAATGAATGAATAAATGAATAAATGAATAAAATTATAGCTTGTAATTCTTGATGAATTTGTAGTAATCAAGAATGTTTTAAAAGGAAAAAGATTCGATTCCCGAAACGGAAAGGGAAAAGTCCGACTAAGACTAGGTAAGCCTACTTCGTACAAAAACCTTATAACCCTACAAGTCAAAGCTGCAAGGGAGTGAAATTGGGGTCGATGCGGATGCGCGTACGACCATATCATTAGCTAAAATGGGGCCGGGCCATTAGAGTTTATGTGCAATCCATGTAAAGACAGTTGGATCTTTTGATTTTGGAGAAGGGTCGTATCATGCATGTATGGATGGACTGGACAAATATAGGTAGTTGATACTTTATACGGTGATTGGAAAGTGGGAGAGGAAAAGAGTGTTGCAGATGTAGATGGTGTTGGGAAGTCAGAAAGTGTTGTAGGAAGAGCGAAGATGAAGGGGTTTACACGGATACAGTAGTGAACAAGTGAGAGTGAGTAGCGAGAGAAGAGAGAGAGAGAGTTAGAGTTGGAATTAGAGCTAGAGTGAGAGTGAGAGTGAGTGAGTGAGAGTGAGAGTGAGAGTGAGTGAGTGAGAGTGAGAGTGAGTGAGGGAGGCTGAGAGGAATTGAATAGATACAACCTCTAGTTAGAGCGAGTACAACGAAAATCCAAGAAGTGTTATTCACCCATCTAACTCATCTCAACAACTACAAACTACCTGCTCATTGACCAACTGGCAGCCGCCCGATGAATTCTATTTTAAAAAGAGGATCAAAGAACCTTAAAAATGTCGTTACCCTTACTCACACATCTCTTACTGAATATCTATCTATTCATTCTTCACCTCGGTCACGCACCGATACTACTGCACAATGTATCAGTTGGGGATAGAATGTAACATGAATCTTTTTACAGTATGCAAAGGATTGGCTATCGATCAAAACGGGGATGAGCTAGAATCGAGAAGTTCAAGGGACTGATCTATTTTTTCGTTTGACGGCTCAACGGGTAGCATGACTAGTTCGTATGCGGCGCCAAAACTAATTATACATTTCTATGGAAACAACACAACAGCAACAGCAACAGCACTTGGCTAACTCTCTCCTCGAAACATAGGAAAGGAAAGTTGATCGGGCATTCGGTTAAAGAACAATTGAAAGCTGTCGTCGTCGTCGTCGGTGTCGTTTCTTCCTTTGTTGTAGAGATGCTTGCTTGATTGCTTGCTTGCTTGCTTGCTTACTTCTAAGTGCTTCTTCGGTGTTTCATGACGAATTGGGCAATTGATATTCGGCCATATATCTTATTTCTCTACCTACGTAACGATACCTCCTTTTCAGCCAAGTTCTACTCGGCATCCTCCGTGTAATGCCATAAGTGGTGAAGATTACAGGAGGGGTAAGAATAGAGTACAGTAATAAAGGGATGAGCGTGGAGAGGTAAGATGAGGGTGGTCAGAAAAATGCAGTCATACAGGGAGAGGTGGGTTCTTGAAGGTGTCTTTCTTTTCATGTTGATCAACATCCAGTGTTATCGGTACCCAATACCAGATACATACATGTATACCATGGAAGGAAAGTCGCTTCGTATATTCGTAAAAGGAGTAGTGAGTGGTTCTACTCTACTGTACCTGTCAACTCTATACAATCGTGGGCAACTGTTTAGTTGTAGTTGTACATGATGATTTCTTGGACCTTTCCCACGTCGTGGTTACGACATGTCATCTTCATTAATTCATAGGCTGCTGATATTCTGCCTCGTAGTAAGCCGCCCAAGCTGCCGGTTCCTGAAATCCCCTTCCCCATATCGGTAGCTTCTATTCACCGAGAATCATACTCGGTAGGTTAGCTGGACCAAGAAATAGAATTTAATCAAACTGTTTCTTTCTTGCCGTTTACTTCACTAAAACATTTCTTCAAAGAACGACTGAAATAGACATTATATTTACAGCTGGTAACTGGTAATTGGTAGTCAAATCAAGACCTTGAAGTCCCATATCCTTGTAAAAATCAAACCTGGTATTCCTATTGGTTGTATATTCCATTTTTACCTCTTAGCTTGCTCCAGAAAAAAACGATGGGCAAAAGCTAAGCTTTTTTTATCTTTAAGCGCGCGCGAATGTGCAGAGAGCCATCGTACAGTCAGCAAATAGTGTTCAGCGAGGCCATGAAGTAAGGTAAAGGGAAAAAAAAATATTAAATTTCCTACAAATTTTTCAACAAAAACACATACAACGAGGTACACTACCAAAAATGCCCTCCAAAAAATCAATACAAGGGTCTGAGACTGTTGAGCAAGTTTCAATTGAAGCGCCCGGCTCATCCCCACAATCAAATCACAATTCCTCATCCGATGACGAACAAGATGTCCAGGATGATATTTCGCAATCCGATTCAGATTCATTAGACAGTCAGGCTTCGCGGAAACGGCGAAAGACATCCCAGGTCCTAGAAGATGGAGATATTCCCTTAATCGCTACTACTTCTGTTCCCTCCCGGGTAAAGGCAAAATCGCAAAACAATTTTCTCGAACCCAAAAATCTCAGCAATGGCGCGATATTGGCTCCTACGGATGCGCAAACAACATTTGCTGCCTTGGATGTGAAGCCATGGTTGGTGGCGTCATTGGGGGCCATGGCCATTAAGCGGCCTACAGGTATTCAAAAGGGCTGCATACCGGAGATATTGAGGGGGAGAGACTGTATAGGAGGTAGTCGCACGGGTTCTGGAAAAACAGTGGCATTTGCAGTTCCAATTCTACAAAAATGGGCTGAAGATCCATTCGGGATCTTTGCTTTAGTGCTTACACCCACGAGGTAAGACCTTGCCGTAATGAAGGGGTATCATCTGGCTGACATCACTTTCTCAGGGAATTGGCATTACAAATTTACGAGCAATTCAAAGCCATCTCATCCCCTCAATCTCTCAAGGCCGTTCTGATAACCGGAGGCTCCGATATGCGACCTCAAGCAACGGCCCTTGCACAGCGACCACATGTTGTTATCGCAACCCCTGGCAGATTGGCAGATCATATTCGAACCTCGGGCGAAGATACAGTTTGTGCTTTACGTCGGGTGCGCATGGTGGTTCTTGATGAAGCGGATCGATTGCTTGCATCTGGCAGTGTAGGAAGTATGCTTCCAGATGTTGAAGAATGTCTTTCTCTCCTCCCGCCTCCCAGTGAGCGCCAGACCCTATTATTCACAGCTACAGTTACTCCGGAAGTACGAGCTTTGAAGGATATGCCTCGCGCACCAGGAAAGCCTCCAGTTTTTGTTTGTGAAGTGGATACACAGGCTTTGGCAATTCCTTCTTCCCTTAATCAAATGCATCTTCAGGTACCCGTAACACATCGAGAGCACTATCTGCACATGTTTCTGCTTACTGAAAAGAATTTACCGAAATCTATCGTGATTTTCTGCAATCGAACCGCTACCGCCGACTACCTTACCCATCTATTACGACTTCTTGAGCATCGAGTTACGGCTCTTCATTCTAAGCTCCCACAACGACAAAGAATTGATAATTTAGGTAGATTTCGTGCCTCTGCTGCCAGAATCCTAGTTGCGACTGATGTCGCAGCTCGTGGTCTCGATATCCCAGAGGTCGGTCTAGTAATCAATTACGATGTTCCTAGGGACGCAGATGACTATATTCACCGAGTTGGTCGTACAGCTAGAGCTGGCAGGAAAGGAGAAGCTGTTACATTCGTAGGTCAAAGAGATGTACAATTGATTCTAGCCATCGAGAAGAGAGTTGGAAGACAAATGGAAGCATGGACAGAAGAAGGTGTTAATCTGGAAACGAGAGTGATTAGGGAATCATTGAAATTGGTAGGAGAAAAGAAACGTGAAGCTATGCTAGAAATTGAGGAAGGAAGAGAAGTTGGTGGAAAACGAAAGAGAGGCATGAAAAAGTTGAGTTGAGTTGAGTAAAAAGCAACAGTGATACCCAGATATGAAGCTTTTCTATATACCTAGTATAGACTTGGGTACAATCAATCTTCACATCATTTTCTATAGGTCAATGAACTTGTGATGCGTCAATCCTAGATTTCAGCTGAGACCTGCGTAACTAACTTACTGTATCCAAATACAAGAATGGAATCCATTGCTTAACTAGATAGAGTGTTGTTTGATCAATCGGATTTTTAGAATTCTTTTAATTTAAATAGTCTTTTTTATATTTTATAATCAATATTGTTATATAATAATAATAATAATAATAATAATAATAATAATAATAATAATAATAATAATAATAATAATAATAATAATAATAATAATAATAATAATAATAATAATAATAATAATAATAATAATAATAATAATAATAATAATAATAATAATAATAATAATAATAAAATATATTATCTCTTAATATTATTTCAATATTATTATCTTTTCAAAAATTAAAATACATTATATTATATTATATTTATATATTTTTATCATTTCATTCTTTAACCAACCAATCAAACAGCACCGCATCATCATTCAGCGAGCCCATTTTACTATTCGGGGAAGTTACAGCAGGAGCGACGCGGTGTGGCGTTACACATGCACATGTGCATCTGGATGGATGGATGGATGGATGCGGGGAGGTGCTAGGTGAGCTGAGCTGTGGGAACCTTCCTTGGATAAATACTTCGTTTTGAATCCTTGCGTTGCTTTTTTTCTCTTTTTAAGTTTGTTCATTTTGTTTTGACCTCGTTCTAATTGTAGGTAATTGTAATTGATGTTCTTCTCATAGATAAATACACTTACTTAAACTTGTCTGGCACTAATTATTTGTCAACAGAAGCTCTACAGGAGAGAGAGAGAGAGAGAGAGAGAGAGAGAAAGAAAGAAAGAAAGGGAAAAAGCAAAGCACAATCCCAAAATGTCTTCTTCGAATCTTTCGCAAAAGAAATTAATCAATACGTTGTCCCTGGGCGAGAAATTGGATGTTATTCTCGTGTGTACGAGTGTCTGTAGGCAAACCCCGTTATCTTTATCTTTTATGACTTCCATCTCCCTCCCTTCTTAACGTTCCAAAACTACCGATTGTTTTGGCTTGGATGATAAATCGGGCTAATTAGAGAAACGAAAAACTTTAGTAGGAAATACGCTTCTAAGTCTTCTGACGGGTGTATGGCGCACGAGAAATGAGGGAAAGGGAAGTTATAAGAGATTTGTTCTCCATACGGCCGTGAGGACTATGTGTAGGAGGATGAGTGCGAGACAGATTTTGTGAGTTGTTTTATTTGATTTTTGCTTTGGTTGAGGTTTGAGGGTAAAGAATTTCATGTCTGGTTGATCAATTATCTTTCATTAAGATTGTTTTTGATATTGAGGTTCCAGAAGAACGACAGGGCTAGGAAATTATAATCACATGCTAATAAGAAACAGATACATGAATCCAAACACAGATCATGCATATGAAAGTGTTTGCAAGCAGCGGGGTGTAAAACCTATGAGTGAGACTTTAGAAGATGGAACACAGGCTCACTGGATAGGCAAAAAGGATGCAAAGAAAATACTTCTTAACTTTCATGGTTTGTCCAGAGTTCTTTCGCGATGTCAGATAGAAAACTCGAAACTGATTTTTGGCTATTAGGAGGTGGATATGTACTTCCTGCAAGTCCCGAGATGTTCGAGTATATCTTTAAGCTTGTGGATGGTGCAGAGAAAGAAGGGAAGAGTTTGGGGGCCTTGTTTCTGTCTTATGGTATGTTATTCTCCTTTCTTCCCAGGTATCGGTTAGTATGTGCGTATTAATACTGAGAACGCATATAGATCTTGCCCCAAGCGCGACCTATCCTCGACAATTGCAACAAGCTGCCGCCTTGTTGAATCATGTCATTCATACTTTGAAGTAAGTAACTCTGCACTTTTTCAAATGATTTCATTATCATAACTCCGAAAGCTGACCATATACCTCCAAATTCATAGCTATCCCCCTTCCTCCATAATTCTGGCCGGTGATTCTGCAGGGGCGAATCTTGTCCTTGCCCTCCTGTCTCACATTATGCATGGTCATCCTAACGAAAGCATACCTCGAGTCCGTCTCGCGGAACCACTCGATGGAGCTGTACTCCTAGCACCATGGGTTACATTTGCCACGAGCTCTAAATCATACGAGGCGAATAAATATAAAGATCTGCTTCATCCATCTGCTCTCAAAAATGTAAGTCCCTTTTCAACGCTTCCACCCCTTTACACCCATTACATTTACCATCAAGCACTTCTCACTTAATCCAAAATATCCTATCGAATCTAACACAACCCCTTAAATGTCAGTGGTCAAGCGCATATCAATCCACCATCCCATCAGATAACTACATAGAACCACTATACGCATCTACATCATGGTGGACACATCTCCCCACAGCTGTTTCCTCGATGCTAATCATAGCTGGCGAAAACGAAGTCTTCATAGACGATGTTAAAGCTTTCGCGAAGAAGCTACAGGAAATAGAAACAGAGACGTGGGGTAGAGAATTGAAATTTGTAGTGGTGGAGAATGAGTATCATGATCAGCCAAATTTTGGGTTTGGTGAGGATACTTTGGGTAAGGAGAGGAGTCAGGGATGGGAAATTGGAAGGTGGGTTTGGGGGAGATGTTAGATTTTGGATGTTGGATGGGAATGATGGGTTTTAGAGTGGGGGTTTTATAAGGAATTGGAATTGGAAATTGGGGATATTGATGTGGTTTCGGGGTTTCTTTGTCTTTGGTTTTTTTTTATGTTATAGTATTATATAAATAAGAATTATCAAATTGTTATTTATTAATTTATATTTTTTAAATATAATTACTAAAAGTAAAAGATTTATTATTCTTCCTATCAAAAACTAATTTGTTTTATAAATTCTATATAATTCTATATTATATATTATATTTAATAACAAAAATTAAAGTTTTTATTCAATGTTTATATTATATTATATACTCTGTATTAATATTAATTAAATCAAATCAAATCAAATAAAATCAAATAAAATAATTTCTAATTTTTTATTTATTTCTAATTATTATAAATTTTATGGGGTTATATATATAATCTAATACATTGCACGCCAGAAAAATTTAAGAGGATATTTGTCGGCGGTAGTCTATGGAAATTATAGAGGAGATTAATTTAAGATGATAAAGGAGACGGGTTCTATCTGTTCTTTTGCCGAGTTTTGATTATGTTGGGATTGAGGATTGAGGATTGAGGATTGAGGTTTTGGTGGAGTTATAGAGTTATGGTGCCATTTGTGTTTTTGGTTCCCTGGGGGGATGGACAGTGGGCGATGGGCGATGGGTAATCGGCGATGACAAGGTGAGTAAGTGGATGGATGGCTTTCTTTGATGAGGGTCTGATGGTGGTGAGGGTGTATGGTGAGGGTGTAGTGAGGGAAGGTAGTAGTGGTGAGTGGGGAATGGATGGTGTTGATCGGGTTTGATAATTAGAACGAGGGAAAAGTTGATGGCTATCACATTTAGAATAATTGTAATACTTGAACTTATCTATGAAATCAAATAGTTGACAGCTCTTTTCATATCCCCCAAGAAATAAAGAGACACGGAGATACGAATTTGCAAGCTCAATTAATGATAATTTCAACCTCCAAACTAGACAAAAAGAACCATCTTCTTAAATCTTCCTCGCCATGATAAAATAGTGCATCTCATCATCAGTAGCTACACCTGGAGATGGTCTTGGTACGAATAAATTACTCTTCGTATGAATGATCTCAAACCCAGCTGTCTCAATCACACTTTTCCAACCCTGTTTTGTGAAAGCTGTCATAGAAGAACATCTAGATCCCATGAACATCATTTCAACATTTGTAGCGCACAATCCATCCGTATCATACATCGAAGGTGTTGTTTTGAAGTCTTCGGCGCAGATCGTACCGATGCAAAGGAGTCCATTTGGCTTCAACCAATTGAACATCTTTGAGGCCATTGTAGTCATCTCTTCACGTGACAAGCAAAAGAGGGAGAAGATGGAGAAGATGACATCGATATCGGGCGTGTTGTTTTGAAATCGAGGTGTATATTCCAACATGTTTGCTTGTTCGAATGAGCCTGTGGGAACATGCTTAACGGATAAATCGACCATAGCGCTGGATAGGTCAAAACCATGAACATTGTGACCATGGGCTGCCATGGTATATGAGACAGGCTTTCCAGTCCCGCAACCGACGTCAAGAACTTTGGCATTTTTGGGTAGTTCTAGGAGCGCATGTTGAATGAATTTCTCTAGACTAGTGTCATGAGAGAAAGCATTCTCATAAATTTTTGCGAGATGGTCGTAGTACTCAACAGAAGGAAACTCTGCTTCTTCCGGCTCTAGTAGACGAGAAGTAGGAGGAGCGAGCTTGGTCTCGCCGATGGTGATCGTTGAATCGAGCTTAGGTTCATCGATAACAGCTGAGGGAGGCATTTTAGGTATTAATTCTGTCGGTTGAGTTTTCCTGTGTTGATACCAACTTGGTGTGTTGAAAGTGCGAGTACTTAGCTTTATCGTTGTATGTATCGATCATAAACTAAAGGGTAGTTTGAACCATTTATAAGGGTATCTAGATCCGGCGCTTCACTAGTGTGCGGTCCTTCAGTCACTTAACTGCATAGAAGCTATGATATACCCAAACTTATGGTCAAGCATTGTGACAAACATGCTAGGAAAATGCAAGTTTCATACAAATTTGAATGAAGCGTAGCGAATCATGCGTGGAATCTGCAAACAAACTGGATATACTTCGGACTGGGATCATGCAATGAGTATTTGACCTGAGGCATTTTGTTCATATGCCGGCGGCCATGATAGTGTGTAGGGAAGGTCGTGCGTACACGTTCTTTCTAGCAAAAATATTGTCCGAAATCATGCATCGGTAAAGATAACGTACCTTTTTCGTCCGAGATATCGGAAAGGCCGAGAACTTCTTAGGGAAATAACATAGAGCAAATAAATCTATTGGCATAGACTATGTTTGACAAGCGAACCTGCCATAGCACGATGAGTGAAGAATCCGCGAAGTAATAGGACATCGTAGTAGGACCACCAGACGAAATGCCGAAGGTCGCGGCTTAGAATTGGGTGTTCCCACAGGTAAATAGACCATCTGGTTTGCAGAGATGCAGAAGATAGGCTAGGGTAGGTACATTAATATGCAACCAACTTAGTTGGGCAATGTTCCTGAATTTTGCCTTTATCTGTGAAAATTGGTTACGAAGTAGAGTATGTAGGCTTCCGAGCGCTGTGTCATAATGACGAGCGCAAAGTTCACCAGCATAGCAGGGACCTAGTAAGCTTTCACATATACAGTTCGTATTAAAGATTTGTATAGTTTATTATTAGTAGGATTTCTTTTGAGATAGTCGTAAATTACTTACCCTTATGTGCATTGATGATAAATTCATAATATATCAATTGGAATTGCGTGAATGGAGTGAAGATAGGATTGCACGCTAAAAAAGGGCTAGTCTCAAGAGAGTATAGTGCCAGCCGAGCATGGGCCTCACGAGGATGGACAACATCTGTTATGTTCCTCTTGGAGACGAGATTTTACAATTATCATTGCTTCTAAATCTCCTGCTGTCGTATCTTATCGATGTGTATAGAAGCACGGCACAGTGGATATTCGTGGGTACTTCACATTTGAGCAAGCGAAAGCACTGCAGCTGTATGATCATGAACATACACAAATGTATCTTTGCGCATGGCAGACTTGATATCATATGGTGCTAAAAGTCATTGGAAGAACAGTAAAGGTTGATGCTCAAGTGATTCAGAATCAGTGTTATGCAAAGAGGGAGAATTTGGAGCCGGTGTCTTTGGCGTCATTAGATGGCTACCATAACTTGATACTTCGCAGTTCGCCAATACCTCACTGACTTTCATCATTGCGACATTGTTTTGGATTGGTCTTGGCCTTTCTAAAGCACAACAATGCAAACAGAGAACGAAAAAGAGTGTATACAGCTCAGATAACAATTACAAACTGATAGCCACGAGGTTTCGAGCATCACGAGACCATAGTTACAGGGAGCTACGGGTCTTCCGAATGTTCCACACCTATCTTTATTACGCAGATTTCCCTGGCCTTGGTTGACGGATGTCCTGAATATAGTACACAGATCTTTTGGTGACATAATTGGTGATTGGATGCCCTGCGTCTGTTCCTGGGAACCTCATGCATGCTAAATGCGGAAAGCGAAAATCGGATCATTGGTTTTACTACTGAGCAAGAGTAGCACTAAACGTCATTGATCTAAATTATAGCAGGGCTTTCAAGGCATTGCTTTTCCCTTACATCTATTATCTCGGAATCTGTGTCAAGGATATCACAAAATGTTATTCGACAAGCACCACATATTGCCCATCTATCTCTATCATCGCGGGAACAACTATAATTCTGTCTGGCAGCTCGTTGTAAAACAGATTTTGCAAGGAGGGACTGCTCGTTGGTTGCGTGTAGGAGCTCCTTACTACTGTAGGCATTGTCGACGCAGACGTGTTCTTGCCTTAGGACCGAACCATTTCTGATTAACTACGGCCACAAATTCAGGCAGTATTTTCAACAGAAGTATGGGACTCAGCATGCTACGCGCATACTTACGGTAAGTCTCGCATTCGGAATGCTGGCATTTGCAACCCATATATTCTAATTCAGGGGCTTATGTCCTCGATAACGATTCCGCCTTTATCTTTTGGACTATATTTACTCTCATCCTAGTGTCACTTGAGTCTAGGTCGCGAACCTCATTCCGTCGTTAAATTCTGCTTCTTGAATTTTCGAGCCGCCATCCATATTCATGGTTCGTGTTTCTGCTTGGCTATATTGCACGAATTTGTTGTCCGTATCAATTGTTTGTCTGGCCACCAGCACATATTCATTGCTGACGCTGGTTATCTTTTTGTGGGAGAGAAAAGGTCTAAAATGAGGCCATCTCGAAAATCTTGGTCCCCTCTCTCCATCCCGGTCAAATAATAGTTTTTGATACTACCCTCTCAGCCCGATTTTATTTTGGGCTCAAGTTTGTTTCGGACAGTGAGTGATAATATCATCGGCAAGGACGCAACTCAAATTATTGCCTGAGGAAAAATCATAGCGAACACGGAACCATAACAATACATGATATAGAACGCGAACTGTAGTTTGTTAGCTGGATCTTTTGATGGGGGCAAAATTTGATAAGTTCGTGGGGCTCATCAAGATCCATTGTGTTTATATACTTATAGGTTCTGCACAGTTCCCCCATTGTACTCAGAATAGCAGAGAAGTCATTCCATTTTTGCGCACAATTCTCCTCCTCCGATTGCTCTGTACACAGAAATATCACTCTATCGTCTTCCTGTTAACCCCGACACAGGATCTAAGAGAGGAGATGGAAGTTGATTACTTTGACGACTCGAAACATGAATGCAAGACATCATTCAGTGATCTTGAAATAGGTAAGAACGGTAAAGTTCGGCTCTAGAACTAATCATCAGTGACGCTCTCAAGTTATGAATCTAGATGGTCAGGATTTGCTTCAATAATGATCATATTCATCTACCTATTCTTTTGTGAGACTAACAGGTGAAAATCATGAATCCGCACGAGGTACAATCTTTCATTGAAAAAGATCTAACAACCGTCAACCGTGAGCTACCTATAGATATAGATCACCTGGTTCGGATTCTGACTTACATCATTGCGCACATACCATCCAGCCCCACTTCTTTCTGCAGAACACAGGGAGATCAAACGTTAACGCACTCGAGGACCAGCTGACGGAACACACGAACCATAACCCGGGATTGTAATTGGATAATATTCATCCGATCTATTACGTGCTCGAACTTTGTTATTCCTCATGATACTGTAAGATCTTACTTCTATGCTTACGGACCACTTATGGTCTATTTGCCTGAAACTGTATTGTTTAGACATATAAAAGTAAAGATTACATTTTCCATTTAGCTTCCTGTTTGAGTCTTCTCTATTATTCTTATTTATGTCTGTTGAGGTTTTGGTTTTCTTTAGTATATTAGATGCGAGATACGGAATTTCACTGATACATATACAGCAGTTGGGATCGTGCCGAATTCGTTTCGTTTCGATAAACAGGTTGATGTTAGGTTAGGTACATGGGTTTAGAATAAAGACGATGCAGGAGTTCGACATGGATGAGACCAAGGGGGAGGAAAACAGGAGTCTTCTCCCCAAAAGTATTAGACGAGTTAGGAGTGTAAGGGTCATTGGGGGTTATTCCACCTGGCCGGGCCTTACCGTTGCTACTCTCTTTTTCGTTTGGTGGACATGGTCTGTTATATCAGGTTTAGTGAGATCTAGAGGACCGACTCTTGATACGACTGGGGACAGGTATTATGACTTTGATGAGGTTGGAGTCTGCTCTTTTTGTTGAGTGAATTTGGGTCGGTTGACGTATTTTATAGATATTACCAAGTGAAAAACTCATCTGGTATCCATGCTTTGACGTCCCCGGATCATCTTTCAAATGTGCAAGGCTTACTGTTCCGATGGACTATCATCGACCACTCAATGAATCTGATGATAACCCTAAAGTACATATTGCGTTGATCCTGATACCCGGGAATCATACGGGGCATAGGCAATTCTCCAAATCACCGTTGCTACTGAATCCCGGCGGGCCTGGAGGTTCTGGTACACTATTCGGTTTGGCAGCCGGACGATCGATTCAGAGCATTGTTGGAGAAGATCAAGATGTAATTGGATTTGATCCTCGAGGTGTTGGAGCAACGACACCACGAGCTGACTGTTTCTCGTATGGTGGGACATATGATGGAGCAGGAGATGATCAGGCACGAGGAGATTACCACAGAACGCTTTTTGCGGCCTCAGGGCAAGGGATTGGTTTGGCTAATTCGAGTTCAACAGCGTTGCGGCATCTTGATGCACGTGCAAAATCTGTGGCGAAATTGTGCGCGGAAAAGGATTCTCTGAATGGAAATAATAGCATTTTCCGACATGCGGGAACACCAAGTGTTGCAAGGGATATGATTAGCATTATAGATGCGTGGGATGAATGGACATCGAATATAGAAGAATCATTAGACTTTGATTCTACTAATTTTGATCCTTCTGATGAGATAGAGTCCAATGATAATTCCGAGGGAGCAGGTCTAGAAACGAAGAGTAAGTTACTGTATTGGGGCTTCAGCTACGGGGTAAGTGCCTTCGGTCTCGGAGCGATAGTTTTGGAGTGATAATTGCTGATGTTTCCAGACACTTCTTGGATCTACCTTTGCAGCTATGTTTCCGGACAGAGTAGGTCGGCTTGTCCTGGATGGGGTTGTTGATGCCGATCATTACGTGGCTCCTATTTGGCTAGAGAGTCAGCGTGATACCGATAAAGTGTGGTCATCGTTCTTTAAATACTGCCAAGAGGCGAAATCTTCGTGTCAATTCTACAGAGCCAACAACGAGATAGCCGATATCGAAGAGAGGTTCAAGTCTGTTATGAGAACTCTGAAAGAGAACCCAATGTCTCTTGTTCTGAAGGATACCCTAACACCTTTTCTTATGACATATTCGGATGTCAAATTGCTCATTTTCGGGGCGCTGTACGCCCCAATACAGGGATTTCCATCTGTTGCTCAATTGCTTGACAATCTGGAACGTAGCCTCGGTGATTGGTTCGAGCTCACCCCAACCCCGCTGTCATACGATCTCAAACCTGTCTGCGAACATGCTCAGCCACGGTGGAGTTATCCTAACGACGCGCAGAAAGCCATTTTTTGCAGTGACAAGAAGTACCCAGTAAGCGTACCATAGTACATATTCCGATCAACATTCTAACATGTACTATAGCTTAATCACACATTCCCCGAAATTGAAAGCATGTTTAAAGACCTAGAAGCGCAGTCGGTATTTGCGGATGCATGGATGTCATTCATGATCCAGTGTTCTGGATATAACATCGAAAGTATTGATCCCCCTATGCAATGGGATAACCATCCAGCACACAGGCAAAAGCCAATTAAAACGGCATTTCCATTGCTTTATATTAGCAATAGTGCAGACCCTGTTACACCACTAATTGCGGGTGTGAAGATGGCCACAAAGTTCGCGGACGCGGGGTTCTTCGAGCAACAATCCGGAGGGCATTGCACTATAGCTGTGAAATCTAGATGCACGATCGAGAAAATAAGGGCATACTTCCGCGAGGGGAAAGTCCCCGATCCACCCAAACTAAAGGGGAAAGGAACGGATCTTCTTGATGGCGATTGGGAAAGATGTCCGACTGATGAATGGCCATGGCATGAATATCAATCAAGTGCACAGGCCGCAAACGAGATAGAGGCTGCAGAAATAGGGCGGATAGATGCATGGGGCGGCATACGTGATGCTTTCGCGCAAATCGATGTTTGGGGCGCGAGGGGATCCAAGAAACTCGGGATTGCATTGTGATTTAGCGTAGATTGATATATATTGGCTTAAGCGGGAGTTTGCTGGGACGTACATACACATGGGCATTGATTGGAGAGCTACTTATCTCCCTGTCCGAATAGAATCATCCAAAGACCTTCAAACATTCAATTTTTTTTTATTGTTGGAACGGTGGACTTAATGAACGAGGCAAGCACAACGTGAAAAACCAACTCGAATTTCATGATTGGGGAGCTTGATGTAATGTCTCGTGTGAATTTACAGGGCGAGGAGGGGTGTTGAGATTCATGGTTGCAGTCCATGTAAGAAGGGACCGAGGAAGGAAGAGGTATATATACTATCCAAGACAAAACATCTTGCTAACTAGTGCCAGTTTTATATATCTCTAGATTCTCATAGTAATTAAAGGTGGTAGTTAGTCAAAACCCAAAATCCTTTTCCCATCATCATCGATATAAATACCGCACAGACCAATCATTCCCTCCACTACGGTGACCGAAAACAACCCAAAAAATTATTTCGAGATGGAATCAAAATATTGCCAGTATTTGCAGAACCCACTCCAAACTCTCATTTTCTTTTCTTTCCTCTCCATCTTACATTCAAGATGCCGGCGTTTGCAAGATCAGTTACTCCTTTCTTCCAGACCGCACGATCGGCGCTGCGTCAAGGTAATGCTGTCAGTCCTTTGCAGCATGCTTTGAGAAGACAAAATGGAGCCGCTGTGATCAATGCTGCTCGTTCATATGCTACCGCTTTCGAGCGCTCGAAACCCCATGTTAATATTGGTATGCTTTCTGTCTGCTTTGATGCTGGGTCTTTGCTAATGTTCGATAGGTACAATTGGTCACGTCGATCATGGAAAGGTATATTTTTGTCCATGTCGATGACCCCGCGTAGGCAAACAAATGCTAATGGATCATGAATGCATAGACTACTTTAACGGCCGCCATTACCAAGAGACAGGCAGAGAAGGGGTTGGCTAATTTCCTCGATTACGGTGCCATTGACAAGGCTCCTGAAGAGCGAAAGCGTGGTATCACCATCTCCACTGCCCATATCGAATATGCTACCGAAGCTCGCCACTACTCCCACGTCGATTGTCCCGGTCACGCAGATTACATTAAGAACATGATTACTGGAGCTGCCAACATGGACGGAGCCGTCATTGTCGTTGCTGCTTCCGATGGACAAATGCCTCAAACCCGTGAGCATCTTTTGCTCGCCCGTCAAGTCGGTGTTCAAAAAATTGTCGTTTTCGTCAACAAGGTCGATGCTCTCGAGGACCCTGAGATGTTGGAGTTGGTCGAGATGGAGATGCGTGATCTCCTCACCACATATGGATTCGAAGGAGAGGAGACACCTATCATTCTTGGCTCCGCCCTTTGCGCACTCGAGGGCCGCAGACCGGAACTTGGAACGGAGAAAATCGATGAATTGATGAATGCAGTTGATACCTGGATCCCAACCCCACAACGTGATCTCGACAAGCCTTTCCTCATGTCCGTCGAAGATGTTTTCTCCATTCCTGGTCGTGGAACCGTCGCCTCCGGTCGTGTCGAGCGCGGTATCCTCAAGAAGGATTCAGAGGTCGAAATTGTCGGAAAGGGAGACCAAATTATCAAGACCAAGGTTACTGATATCGAGACCTTCAAGAAGTCCTGCGACGAATCCCGTGCAGGAGACAACTCAGGCCTTTTGCTCCGTGGTATCAAGCGTGAAGATGTCCGACGTGGAATGATTATTTCCGCCCCAGGAACCACCAAAGCACACACCAAATTCCTCGTCTCCATGTATGTCCTCACCAAGGAAGAAGGAGGACGCCACACTGGATTCCACCAAAACTACCGCCCACAAATCTTCATCCGAACCGCCGACGAAGCCGCTGCTCTCCACTGGCCCGAGGGAACCGAAGACGCCGACTCCAAAATGGTCATGCCAGGTGACAACGTCGAGATGCAATGCGAGATTGAGAAGCCCTGCGCCATGGAAGTCGGTCAACGTTTCAACATCCGTGAGGGAGGAAGAACCGTCGCCACTGGTTTGGTTACCAGAATTATCAAGTAAATTAATTCCAAATCAAAATCATCTAATCAATTCCAATATCTACAGTAGAAAAGAAAACAAACCAGAATGGATCGGATGCTATGACATGTAACGTGTATGAAATGGGTGGCGTGGCGTGAAGGTAAAGGAAAATTACACTGCAACGCATTGAATAAAAAGGACAGACAATGCAAAGCAATACAATGGAAAAGAAAGGCAAAAGACAATCAAATAAATTGAATTGTGGATGGAAAAACTAGGATGAAAGAGAAAGGAAAGAAAGAAAGATGACAGAAATGAATCTCTCATTCAACCATTCATTTATTCATTCGTTCATTACATTCATTGTTTGTATACCTACCTAGGTAGTATTTGAACGATCAACGATCAACGATGAACGATGAAAGATGAAAGTTGAAAGTCGAGAAAGTTGCAAAAAACAGGAGTTCGTCTATTCAAATCGACATCACACTTTGTAAATTTATAGCCCCTTTCTTTTTCTTTTTTTTTTGTAGATTACAGCAGTAGCTACCTAGCTAGTTGGATGGCTCTTTAGCAGCGGAAAAATGAAAGATAGAACTCCTCTCATTTTGATCTTGGTGATGATTTTGTTTTATGTGCACCAGTATTTATTACATCATTTGTATGAATACTGTAATTGATTCTTACGAGCTATCTGGCCTAAAACAGATCTGCATTCCAAGCGAGCCCTGATATCTAGTACCACCCTGCACCTGCTCGATTCGTCCGCTTCGTATGTATTGCATACTGTATATGTGTGCTTTTTGCTATTTTAAAAACAAATACATACATAACATTGCTCGTATGGAATCTTCGCTATCTTCATCATTCGTCATCAATGGTATCATCGCATCATTAGTTGAGTTTAGGTCCCTTTCACTCCACTCAAATAATAGTATCTTTCTTCTCCTCCCTCAACGACTTCACTTGTCCTTCGAAATCCTTCTCTACCCATTCAAAATAGGTTCTCCATGTCTGATGTTGGCTGCCTTGCGCACCTATCCCCGTGCTTGCTGATGGGATGCGAGCATGCAGGTTTAGTGTTGAGCGGAGGGTGCTCTTGATTGCCTCGTCTTGCTTCTCAACTTCTTGTTTGACTGCTGTGTCCTTTAATTTGACCGATAGAGTAACGCGGAAGCAGTCTGCAATTGCGTCGAGGCGTCGAGATGTCTCATCGGGATCGAGGATAACCAACTTGTTCAACATGAGATTGCAGAGAGATCGAATATCGTGCTCATCCTTCAGACCCGCGATAATACGATCGTAAAAGTCAAGAATGTTCATACGTGAAAATGCCGTCTCCATAAGAGCATATAAAGTCTCGTATGCACTCTGTAGTTTAGATTAGTAATGTACGGCTGAAGCTATGATGTATGTCTTACCTTTCGGACTTCTAAACCATCATCAACCTTATGTTTAAAGGGTCCCATCATTACCTCATGAATCAACTCTTCCTTGACAATCGATTCACTCATAACAAGAGGAAGCAACTGATTAAGGTTTGGGTTAATGAGATCTGCTTTATTGTGAGCAGCAGCGTTCAATGTAGTCAGTGCCAATCGACGGTTCTCCAACTCGGTATCAGTCAGCATGACCTTGAGCATATCAATCAACATGACTTTCAATACTGAGTCGAGCGAATCATCACTATCAGATAGTGTATAACGGATCGCTTGAATAACCATAGCCCGGATCGAAGCAGATGGATTTGTGAGGTAGCCCTGTGAAATAATTAGCTGACGCAATTCATTATCTTCCATCACAACGAACCTTTAGTTGTGGCATGAATGCCTTAGGGTCAATCATTGTCAAACGACCAATACACTCTGCACCGACAGCTTTATTGTCCTCGGCTTGGGAAGCGGCAAGCAATCTTTCCCAAAGAATAGTAGTATGCTTGGTGATGGCAGTGGGGTTGCTGCCGGCTTGCTGAAGTATCTCCTTGATGGAATGTAGAAGTAAGAATTCGTTTCCGTCCTTGATCATATTCAATACTTCTGGAAGATACAAAGGTATGTTTCCAGCTCCAGCACGTCCCAATGCGATCGCTGCAGCAAGAGGAACTTTGTCATAAGAAGATCTAAAGCGAGCTGTGAAGGTGGATGGCTTCAAAGGAGATTTTTCACCCAATTGTAATCCGGCTTCTCCGAGAACAGCCAGGGCCAAGCATTGTTTAGCTTCGTCCGAAGAAGAGTTTTGTAGTTCGCTCAAGAAGTTGTCAAGTGTGACACCAACTGAAGATCCTCCGAATACCAAAAGTGTACCAATGGCTTTCCCTACAACCGTGGAGTCTCCACTAGTACTTACATCCCTCAACAAACCAGACATCAAAGGTTGGCCAACTCCCTGCTTGCCGATATTAGCGACCAAGAGAAGGACGGCATCAAGTACAGCGCCACCTAAAGTTGAGGTCAATAATCCGCACAGAGCAGAATTTAGCTGATCAGTAACAACAAGCTTTGCATCATCCGTAACCAAAGTAGCCAGTACGAGTAGTGCTGGACCGAGAAGATGAAGATCGACTGTGGTCAAGAGTGGAAGAAGTGCATCGATAAGGCCTTGAATAGTGGGAGCATCGAGGGAGCTTCTAGCTGCGGGAGATACGATGAGATTCTTCAGAGCACCAAGACTTGCACCGCGCAGAGATCTGTTGGCCTTTCTGAGCTGTGCAGCAAGTTCTAGGGAGACATCTCGGATCCATGAAGGCTGCAGTTGGTCTTTAGCGGCTGAACTAACCTCAAGTGAACCAACCGCAATAGTATCGATAGCTCTTACAGCAGCAAGGCGAGTAGTTTCGTTTTTTAGTCTGTCACTGAGTACACTAAGAGCAGCACTTCGGTTGTTTTCTGTGAGAAGCGATGAACCTTCCGGACTTGCTGTACGAGCAAGCATGATACCTAGGGCATGTATAGCACGTTGACGGACTTCGACATCTGCATCAGTAGCAGATACACGGTCAACTATCACCTGGTATAATTTTAGAACATCTTCTTGCTGGGTTGGTTTAATCGACTTCGAACGTGGCGGGGTCAAAGCCTTTACAAGTTGCTCAGCTGTACCAATAGCCTCACTAGATATCTTGTAAAACTTATTATGTACAGCTGACGCTACGCATGGAATAATTTTGGGCAGGTGAGGCTGTAACACGCTTGAAGAATGAGTTTGTGAAATGTCGCCTAGTAATTTGAGAGCAGCAATTCGCAAGGTATTTGCAGTTGCTGATGCAGCACCACCACCAGTGACGGCAGTAGATGATGGTCCAGATGATGGCTTATAACAATCCAGGATAGGATCCACAAGCTGACTGAAGTGTTCTGAAAGACTCCCAACCTGAACCGAAACCATCTTATCCAAGAGATTTATGAGGGCTTGCTTCGTTGGAATGGGGCTTGTCTTCAGTAGTCTCACGACAGCCTTTACAATCATAGGAGTCAATTTTGCCAGGTCTGCGCGGGGACCTGAAACAGGAAGCGGCTCAATGGTTGGTGATGCCAAACCAGCAGATCTCGAGATGAACGATTTATTATCAAAAGTAGCTGAACCACTACTCTCTCTTCTGCGTTTTCGACTTTGGGGTGCTTGATTTGCATAAGCCAACGACTCATCCGGCGAAAAGTCGAGTACGACGCCTTCCCCAGTTCTCCCGATAAGAGATGCCATGGTAGCAATAACTTCAAGTCGGACATTCTCCTCACGTTCATTGAACCTCTGAACAAGGGTTGGAGCGACTTGAGCATATAGAGTTCCATCTTCAAGTAGATCACCACTGCCTCTAGTTGAGATCAAAGTGTAGAGAGTTTTCGCTGCACATCTTCGAACTTTCCAACTTGCATCATCATCGTCATCATCAAATCCATTGTCTGCCTCAAAATCATCATCGTCGTCGAAATCACCCATATCATCTTCGTCAGCTTCAGTCCCTCCCATTTCCTCGTCATCATCGTCGTTATAATTCGGATCATACTTTAAGAATCTAAGAGCTGCCGCAATTGTTTCCTCTGTGTGGATTCGCATTTCCGTACCACAAGAAGCCAAAAAGCCGTCCAGCGCGACAAGTGCAGATTCCCTCACGTCGTCTATTTCAGGATTACTTTCGCCATCCTCGGCGGCGTTTTCAAGCTGATCCTGTAGTTCTTGCTCGCTTAATGCTGAAAGTACGAAGGGTGCAAGGGCCTTCAAATAAGGACCGAACCTAGAGGGTATTGATCTTGCCATTGATCCTAAAATGGTAATGTACAAACGTCGTTGTGGCGCGGTCAAGTGTGGGTTACGAAGAGACTCGATGATGTGAGATACAAAGCCACTGAGGTCGGAATCCGTCAAGTGCATAGCTAGTAGAGACACAGCGACTACGGCCCGCTTTTTCACAACAGAACTAGCCTTTTCGGTTTCTAAGATACCGACAACCAAGTTTTGAAGTGCTTCAACTTCTGCGTGTTGTAAAAGAGGACCGAAGCATCTTGCGACTTCAATCAAAACATCAACAGCATCAGAGTCGATTTCTGGGTTTGTGGAAGGGTCGAGCATTCCTGGTGGAGGATTCGGAAGATTTTGGCCCCTGGTAGATGTTGAAGTGACTATACGACCTACTAATCTTGGTATCAAAACTCTGCTAATCGCAGAATATGCTTCGAGGACTTCTTTGGACGGTGCAACACCACTCACGGGTCTTGGGAGCGTGATGACCACTGTACGTAGAGCCATTGCAGGTATTGAGTTGTCAACAGAATTTTCAGTTGTCAATGTCGAAAGTCTTTCGATTAGCGGAGCAATTATGTTGCTCGGTAACTTTGTGACGAGCGGTCCAAGACTATGTCAGGTCAGCTAAATTCTACTTCTATTAGGGGCCATTGACAGACTAACCATTTAATGGCCAAATTTTGTACCTCCCCATTTTGATCATCCAAGGTTCTGATAATACCATCTACCGTCTTTGCAGCTGTACTATAGTCATTGTGAAGAAGATCCGCCTTTCCAATCGTCAGGACTTGAAAAAGATCATTCAGTGACATGAATCTATAATCAGGGTCCGCATCATGAAGCTTTGGTAGTAAAGATGCGACGGTTTGTGAGGTCGGATTTGTTGTTATCGAGTTAGAAGCCATTGCCACTATGGACTGGCAGACCGGTTGGTAATAGCTGTGAGAGGAAGGCTATGTTGTGACACTATCAAATTACCATTTGTTTATTGGAGAAACTGGTAGATGTTGCTTATTTGTTCGTCTGGTTATATGCGGCGTGGATAGGAGGAGGCTTGAGAAAGAAAGGTAGGGTTGAATTAGCTTCTTATACTGACTGTTCGAGCTGAAGCTATAAAATCTAGAGCAAGAATAAAGTAGGGAAAGAGAATAAAACATTGGCTTACTATTGGTATATTCTTAATGTGAGAGATAGATAGGTTGATTTAAATCTTGTGTTGGAGAAGGACGGGTGTCAATAAAGTGTTGATATACTTTGTGTGTATTATTTTACAACTCGAGTACGGGTAGATAGATATCCCATATCCCATATCCCATATCCCACCAAGCTCGTTACTCTAGCATCGGGCCTTGAGGTGGCCGTAGAAGTACTCCGTAGTGGGGTTAATAAGGCTTTCAAGCTAGGTAAGCAGTGTCTCTAATAATAAAGTACGCTCGGTACGTCCCGTCATCCCATCAATAAGCAATTGCTGCCTCAGGATACCAAGTAATAGTACCTACCTACCTTACCTTGCCAGGAATTTTTCGGCAACTCAATTGATTCATTTATTTTCTATTTATTACCTCACCCCCAAGTACAAATACTTTCCTTTCATTACTCCCGAATATCAGTTAATGTATGCTCTCTTTTTTCACCCTTCCTCCCTCGCAAATGTTTGTACTGACCAAAGTTCATTAGATTGTATATTTCTTCTAACAATCCTACCCCTCCGATAATGGCATTCTCACGAGCAGCTATCTTGCGCAACTTGCGCAACTTCCGAGGTAGACCAACCCTAGCTCGCCCCCAGGTCAACCAAGTCGCCAGAAGAACCTATGCCAGTGGAGGTCATGGACATGCCAAGGCAGGTGGTGATGCAGTTTGGTGAGTGTTACTTTGCCATGTCATATCCTAAATTCTTGACAGAACTCATAACTAATACATCACACTCTAGGGCTGCCGGAGCAGTAGCTGTCACAGTCCCAACATGTTGGTTCTTGATCTCAAACAAACCAGACAACTCTCACGGCCATGGAGGACACGGTGACAGCCACGCACATGTTGAAGAGCATGAGAAAGAGCACGAGGAAGAGGAGAAGCCCGAAGAAAAAGAAGAAGATAAGACAGCCGAGGCTGAGGAGAAGACTGAGGATAAAGAAGAGTCTAAGGAGTCTGAAAAGACTGATGAACCTGATAGCGATAACGGCGCTAAGGAACAAGATACGCCAGCTACTTCTGACGATGAGAGCGTTGAAGACACAGATAAAAACATTCGCAAGTCATTTCCCGACGCAAAGGGGGATAAGAAGGCTCGGTTAGAAAGCAAGCAGGCTATCAAGCAAGGCGAGGACAACTCACCACCAAAGGAGGATGAACCAGAGGACAAGGTATGCTGAGGCGTGTTAAATGATGGTGTTCGAGGCTAACATCCCGTTTCAAGCCCCGTGCTTCAAAGGAGGCTGGAGGCATGAACACTCAATCTGGCAAGCAGGAAGGTCTTTCAAATACCGATACTAAACACTCCACCGATATCACAAATAACCCAAGCAAAAGCCAAAAGCTTGAAGGTGCTCCCGAGAGTGCCAGACTCAAAGGGACCGTCGACCCAGCCCGTTCCGAGGTATAATCTACTTTTAATTTAGAATCTATGAAAATGCCGCGCGTCCTCAATGCTGTATGCTCACGAGGATATAGCCTTTCCTTGCGAATGAAATGAGCTATGCTAACGATGATCCCAGGATAAGAAAGAATCCGATTCTTAAATTTGCAAGTCCATGGTCACGATACAGGCACAATAATGTATCATGTACCTCGCCGTAATTGTACATAATGTATCAAAATTCTTCACAAAAGCGCAATGGTAGATTTTTGTGGAAATTTTCGTGGACTACAGTTCTTATTTTTACCTTCTCTTCCGCAATTTGTGCACTTCCCTAATGAGTTAACGCAATGTCAAAGTTGGGCGACAGGTTTATCAAACAGCTACCGTGTTGTACCTGTATTTGATTGGAAAAGCATAGGAGGCATGAATTGATAATGAAAAAGCTGTTGCATACTGGGTTGTTACTCGCTACAATGATGTGAACATTCACGATGATTGCCATTGAGAAGTCAATTTTCTACATTCATGTGACGTTCGTAACTGAGAAGCAGGATTAAGGTTCAAAATTTGAACCCAGCGTGCTTTATACCTCCTTTGGTCTCCATCGGATCTGGAAAGTGTCATCTGGTGAGTGGTAGACAGACAGTATGGAAGGAGCGACAGAGCCCCGCTGTTCTTGTTGATGTATACATTTTACCTCTTCGCTTTTTAACTTCTACACAACTATCATCAAATTATCATATTTGGCATTCAATCATTACTACTACAAGTGCATCGTAAGTTATCCCTCTACAAAAATACTGACATCTATCACTAATTCAAATAAACAGGCTCATTCATAGGTATCATTCCGTCAAACATGGCAGCTCGCCGCGAAAAGCGAAAGCTGGCCAAAAATCCACCCGTCACGAAATATAATTTAGATCCAACTACACCCATCCATCGACAGTCACTTGCAACTACCTCTGCTCCTGCTATGGTCGAAACCAAGGAGCCCAAATCCACTCCTCAATTGCATTATGCCATTCTCGATCAACCACAAAGATCTGAACTACCCCTGAACAGGAACAAGTCTGAACATAAAGGACAAAGCGATTGGATGGTCCCATTTTGCCATAACCCAGTTGGTGATCACAAAACTGCTTTCACGGGAATATTCGCTCCTTGTGTTCTATATGGAAAGACTCACCGGCGACTTAAACATGTATCTCTCGGTCGAGACCCACATGATTTCAAGTCTTCCGATGGCTGCAACTCAATGTGCTGGATTCATGGTGCTCTAACAGTTGCTTGTTGTCTGTCAAGCAAGTATACACTGATATCATAATGCAGAATATGTTTGCTAACCAGCGGGAATAGTTGGTCTTACTGTTATTCAGCGTGCCCGGATTCGTGCTCAATACAGAATTCAAGGGTCCATGGGCAATGATATCATAAAATCATCTTTTTGTGGTCCCTGTGCTATGATGCAACATGATCGAGAGGTTCGTGCTAGAGAAGGCGACGTAGGATTAGCAAAAGATTTTGGTGGGCCACAAATGTCCCAAATTCAACCCAAAGCGCCGCAACCAATGAGATATGCCTTGCCACGAAGCACTTCAGCTGAAGATCCTCGGGTAGAGAATAGGATATTCAAGCAAGGACAGAGGCGTTATACAGATTCTGAGCTTCAAGAGGTCCCTGCTGTAGCAGTATCGTGTGCAGAAGGCACGAATTGTCAGACATCGAATGGCCACCGCAGTGAAAATTGCGTTGAGGCATTAAAAGATCATATGCTTATGGAGCCATATAGGAGGGCTATTAACTCTAGCAACGCTGGCGCAAATGTTGCGAAGATTGACGGTGCTACATCTTCACAACAGAAAACCCGAGTAGGTTCTGAAAAAAAGAGTCTCGACACAGACTCACCGATTCCTTCGCTCTACGAGCATCATTTGAAAGTGAAAGGTTGTGAGAAACTCTCTAGGATGCCAGCAAGAGGACATCTCTCCTACGTTCATGATTTCTCTGATTATTCTGCTACTAAGATTGTTTTGGATCATTATGCTGAGGAAGAAAGGCGATTGCAAGAAAAAGGCATCGTGCGCTGTCTCGCCCACTTTAGCAAAGAAAAATTAAACCAGCTAGGCTCAAACAATGCTGCTACACAGTCTATCAGATCTTCCAGTTCAAGCACGATTCGGCAGCATACCTCTCAAGAAGGTGCTGTTGAAACGCCGCCTTTGGACCTTGTCAACAAGTCTGGCACCGATAGCTGCGCTACTGGATCAGTCGATGCTGCATGGCTATTAGATTTACCAGCACAACATCGAATTTCGAGTTGTTCCGTTATACCTGAGGACACTGCTAGTGTACAAAAATCACCAAGACAACACCGAATAGTCAGTTGTCCTACCACGCCTGGCACTCCTGTTACCGACAGCTCTGCCAGTTCCACAGCAAAAGATCGCGCGCTGTACTGTACTGTCGAGGCTGCATCTTCATCCGGCTCTTCATCGTCAGCTTTGCACAATGAAGTTCCAGCGACCAAAATGGATATTATGGAGGATTCCGATCTTTCAACTCCTCTCATTCAATATTCCCAATATTGTCATCTCTTGGACGAGAGCACCCTCAAATCAGACTCGCCTATTCATAGATCATCATCGAGATGTCGAGCTTCGAGTTGTACGGCTCTCAGCCCAGCCCGCGAGCAACCTTCCAAGGAATGTTGCTCTGCGCTATCTGGTAATTCCAGTCCTATTTTGGTTAAACAACATCGAATATCTAGCTGCTACGCTTCTATTCCTTCTAGTAGTAGCAAGAGTTTATACGGGGAAAATGATTCTCGCCTATCAGGAGATTGTAGCTTCACGACTGGATCTTCAACGCCTCTTGCCCCTAAGCAGCAGATATTTGCAAGCTATACAGCTGAAAGCTCATCAGTTAGTCGAAAAAGCTCGTCGTCGATGGGTCATTTGATGGAAGATGGATGCCTGCTTTCTGGAGCCGCCAGTCCTATCAAGCAGCATCGTGTTGCAAGCTGCGGTGACAATGTCGGTGGCCAGAATTATATCAATACAAAGAACAATTTCGGGAATGGCTATATTTCATCCGGGTCGACAACTCCAAAACCACGTCAGCATAGGGCAGTAAGCTGCATCGCCTCTAGCGCTATTTCCGAATGCGAGGAGCATTTGTTTGATGATTGCGAGTTCGACTCTAAAATCGCTAGCCCACTTCTACAACACAATCTCGCAGGCTGCGATACAACTTCAGTGTCAGCAAAAGAACAAGGACATTTGTTAACGGTATTTGAGGAAGAGCAGCAACACTTGTTAGAGGATTGTGCGGCAGACTCTAGCCCTTCCAGTCCACTCCGACAGCATCGTATAGCAAGTTGTGTCATTTCTAGTCCTTCGAGTAACAGAAGTTCCGTGGTGAAACAGCACAGAGTTGCTAGCTGTCCTGATATCATACTAAATGAGGGTAGTGGGGCACAAAGATTATCACCTGATTCTCATCACCTTCCTCGTGATATCCTTGTCGACGCCAGTGAAAATGATCAATCAACTCACACGAACTACGAAGATTGTCTACACACTCTGGATGAATGTATTACTCCAGCCGATAGAGCCAAAATGGAAGCTAATGCCAGTCGGGCTACAGAATATAAAAAGTATAGCATGAAAATTGCTAACCATTTCAATGACCAAGCCACTGGGCTCAATGAGAAATCCGCTGAAGGGGAAGAAGTTCGAAGACCTAGACTCAACGATTTTGCTTCACACGAAAGCGATGCTCAATTTACGCTTGCTCAAGTCCTTTCCTTAGATCAAGAAAATCCCATGATCAGTGTTACTCGAATAGATGGAGATGGAACCAGGAGCATAGCTAGTCGAGGCAGCGTTGCACCTCCCGTCCCATTTCCATCTCCCGCCGCACCTTATCCTTCGCCTATCACTCCCTTCCACATTTCTGGCGCTTACCCTCCATCCATCCCATCTTTAAGCAATAAGAAAGATAAAAGAAGAATTCCTTCAGAACAAAGTTCTGCTGGAAGTGGATTTGCTAGTTATTTTGGATTCGGCAACACGAAAAAAGCACCGGGTTTGTGAGTGGCTACTTGAAAATAAGATCGTGTGAAGAACTCTGGGCCGCTGACATGCTTATAAGAGTCATTGGCATCGGTGGTAGTAGAAGAAAAGTAATTCGGAGTAGGGTTAGGGTTAGGTGTACGGGTGTGGGAATCGTGGAGCCCGTGTCGATGGAAGAATTGGAGTTGGAGGAAATTTTATTATAGAGGTGGATTTTGGGATTTTGGGTTGTGGGATTGTAGGGTGGGAGACAGGTATGGCATCTTGTTATTGGGCGGGGTAGAAGGTGTGATTATTGTTATTGGGCTGCAGCCTGGGGGGTGTATGTTATATTCATTCCATTACGTTCTTTATGAGGGGTTTTCTGTTTTTAAAGGTCTGTCTGTAACTTAGTCTTTTAGTTTAATAGATGGGTTTGGAGATGAGTTTGATGATGAGCCTTAAGACGAGCAGAGGATGAAATTAATATATTTTTTGTGAACACTGTCATCATCTTCTTACTTGCTTGAACTTACTAGTGGAGGATCTTTAGTGTGTTGTATATTTATATATGAGATGAGTACTTGAGTAAATATTAAATATTATCAAATCTCATTTGATTTGCTACATTGCTACATTGCTACTCTATTAACTCTCCGGAATCTGGCATTTGGATTCTGATTTCTGAAGTCTGGATTCCATTTACCATGACCATGAACATGAACATGAAAATGAACATGAAAAAAAAAAAAATGAAAAATTTCTTTATTTACATTTAAAAAATTGGGGGGTCTTGCCTCCTTTCATTCCTTCCCGTTCCTTCCCTTCCTGTCTTCCCGTTTGCCCTATCCGTATCTGTGTTTGTGTTTGTGGAAACCAATGATTGATTGATTGATAGATAGATAGATACTATGCTTTCCCTTCCTTTGAAAAAGCTTGCTTAGACTTAATGACGCGGCTATGCAGTGCCGAGTCAAGATGAGACAAAAAATGGATTTGTAGAAATTAGAGAGATAAAATTACAACGAATTTATTCCCCTTCCCAATTTCCCCGCGCGCCTTGCCTTGCCTGAATGCCCATTGGTTGATATGTGTGAAATAATGCCAGATTTCGGTAATGGAATAATCTGGCGTGGTGTGTATGGTGTGAAGATTTCTTTAATTTTTCCAGCGTTGGGATTTATGCATTCCTTCCGCATTTTTAGGCTCTAATCAGAGGTATGGTAGATGTTAGGTGTTGGTTGTGGTGGATTGTAGTGGGCGACGTCACAATGGAGAAGGAGAACGATGGTCGCGAGTATGAGGGTTATGGCTGGTGGAGTGATTGTTGGAGGCATAGAGAAACGGTGAATCCGATTAGCAGCAAAGGAATCTAACCAACGGACTGGTAAAGGAGAAGAGGTTCGCCGACATTTTCGATTTCCGGGATTGTGCATTTAAGATCAAAGGCTTTTGAGAGGACAATTTTGAAGATCTGGAAGTGAAGGGTTTATTAGCTGATGTATAATAATTGAGTAAAATGGTGCGGAGCACGAATTGCTATGTAGCAATGATATATAGACTGGCTTACCTTCTGGACATTGATGCTATGACTTGTACTACTAAAAATCAGACTCGCGCGCATTGCTTTCGCGAATCTTCGAGCCTAAAATCACTTCCGTCAGCACATCTCAAAGCTCAACAAAATCAAGCATTTGTAAAACCAACCTGATTCGAGATCTCCTCTTGATCCTCTCTCGGGAAGTTCACAAAATGATCGTATTTAGTGCCGACCAAGAATGGAATCGCCGTCTTGTTGAAGCCCCTCCCCTGTCTATACCACTCCTTGATACTATTCAACGTACTCTTCCTCGTCAAATCAAACATGAATAATATAGCCACTGCATCGTTGCAAACAAGTGGTAACATATTCACAAACTCCCTCTGTCCTCCCAAATCCCATATTGAGAATGTGATCTCGGTATTACGTATAGATATGGTTTTCTCCATGAAATTGACTCCCAAGGTTTGAATATAATCTTCATCCCAACTCCCTTCCACATACTTGACCATCAAGGAGGTTTTCCCAATTTGTGCATCCCCTACCATGCCAACTTTGATGACGACGCTATTCTTCGAGCCTCGTTGTTGTTGCTGTTGTTCGGTACTCGCACCTGAACTCCTTGAATTTTGTTCTTGATATGCATTTCCATAGTTGCCATTTCCTGATAGACCGGAAGCTGGACGCGACAGTGACGCAGGAAAGGCTGTGGGAGGTGTAGGATATCGACCGTTTGTCGAATCTTCTTGTGGAGGTGAGGCAGGGTATTCTTGTGGATATTGTGATGGGGTTTGAAAGTCTGCAGATGCAGATGCAGAGTGTCGCGTGTTATGTGTTGGCGTATGTGCTCTCTCCTCTATTCCAACCATAGCATCGTCCTGAGGTGGGTCGACTCCCTGGTTGTCATATGCGATTTCGCCGTCCATCGAGTCTACTGCGTCGTGAAATTGAGCGGGAGAGCTCAGTGGAAAAGTCGTCGGATCCAGATTGTCGGATTTATGGGTAATTATAAAGATGAATGTGTAAGGTTATGGTTCTTTAAAAAGGGTGAGATATCGAATTGGCGGCTGAAAGGAGGAGATCAACACTGGGATGTTGTGGTAGATCATCCACACTTGATTGTAGTGTAAGTTATTTTGGTATTTTGAAAATTGTCAAGGTATCTTATAAGTACCGTGAGATGTATATGATGATAAAGTCAAGAAATGAATGACTAAGATTCACTGAATGATTTGTATAGTATTTGCTTGGATGAAATTGAAGTTATTCGGAGAAATATCCAGGGGGTCTTCCTTTTCGCAACCTGGTGCAAGGCAGCAAAATGTCAGGCGGTGGCTCGGCGCTTGGGGCATGGGCACTGTTAGCACTATTCCAACGCGTTTTCCTGCGCGAATCTCCTTGGAATTGTTGGTTGATATGAGAAAAAATATGATGTTCTATTCTTCTGAGTGGTATGTATGATATGAATAGCATAGAAAGGTTGAGCGGATAAACATCGACCAGTACGCGGGTGAGTATTTGGGTTTTATTACATCAAGAAATTTATACTAAATAGAGTCGAGTTTTTATTTTGTCTTTCTGTCTTTTCTGTTTGTCCAGTTGACATTTCGATTTCTACTCAGAGGGAGGATTTTCATTCGATAATATTATAACTTGGCAGCTCACGATGGCCGTTTGAAAGCGCCCTGCATTCGACGGGTTTACTTTAGTTATTTTGTGATGTCCTTGTCTGATTGGTTAAAATTATTTGTATCCATATAAGCAAACCTTATTTTTATTATTTCACACCTCTCTTTAATCCATTGTATCATTCCTTGACTGAAGCTCAACTGTACGCCAAATTTCTACCCCTCAACACCCGTTACATATACAATAATGGCATCAATCGCAAGGACTCTAAGGCCATGCACCTCAAAAATTACATTCAGCGCGTTTAAGACTGTTCCATCATGGCGATCCTCTTCTTTTGGAGCTGTTCGAGCTTTCTCATCATCTAGGACTGGTGAGTTCATCTTCTTATCAAAAGTCATCCGATGCCGGGCCTATTTTACAGAATTCATTCGCAGACTGAAGAAGTTGGGCAATTCTTTCAACAGACTTCACACTTTGGCACATGCACATTTGTATTTAATCATGGGCAGATTCAGCGGATATCAATCCTGCCAGTACTGTCTCAATGTCCACTATACCTACTAACATCCTCTTTCTTCAACAGCTTTGAGCAAAAGATACACCAAAGATCACGAATGGGTTCTCCTCTCTCCCGACAACAAGACTGGCACAATTGGTATTAGTGATTATGCCGCACACGCTCTTGGTGATGTCGTTTTTGTCGAGCTTCCCACAGTCCCCATGGAAGTCAGCGCTGGTGATGCCATTGGCGCGGTAGAATCTGTCAAGAGCGCATCCGATATCAACAGCCCTATTACTTGCAAGATTGTGCAGGCAAACGCGATGTTAGAGGAATCCCCAGGCACTATCAATAAGGGTCCCGAGGATGAAACAAGTGCAGGAGGCTGGGTTGCCCGGGTCGAGGTTGGGGAACAGGGCATTAAGGATTTGGAGGGTTTGATGGATGAGAGTGCTTATAAGGCATTTACTGAAGAATCGTGAGCGATTTATGAGCTGGCATATGACATGGGATGATGGCATGATGGCATGATTGCATGGATGAATGGGGCATAGATGGAAAATTCAACTCAACATTGATGAATGGGTATTTGGGAGTGGAGTTTATTCAACAAACATGGGCGCTGAAGTGGAATGATATTGGATTAGCTACATCCATATATGTATGCAGCCTTTAGTCTCCTCTGAAATATTTGAAGAAGCTATTGGTGGTCCAGCCAGCTGAGCTATGTAAATTTTGTTTTGTGTAGCCATGTGTCCATAAAAAAAAGAGCCTTTTCCGGTACCATTCACGCATTACCACCCTCTTTGATAACGGGTCGATTAAGGTTAATGGCCTCCAGTATCCTGGCAGCACCCTTACTAACCAAATCTTGAGCGAGAGTCCATCCAAACTCGTCGGCATCTTTGGGTGTTAAAATTTCCTCCAATTTCTCGGATTCCACACTCTCTGTGCCGTCAAGACTAACCACGATAGCCTTCATCAGCAACTTCCCCTTTTCAATCCAGGTTGTCTCAACTCCGATCGGTACACTACAGCCGCCCTCTAAAGTCCTCATCAGACTTCTTTCCGCCAACCCTGCTAATTGAGTCGGTTCATGTTGCAACGCCGAAACCATTGTGTTTATTTCTTCATCGCCATCTCTGACCTCCAAAGCCAATGCACCCTGTCCCACCGCATGCAACATGCCACCCCCTTCTGTCTTACTATCCAAATACTGCGTAATCCTCTCTCCCCAACCCATTCTCAACAAACCCGCCGCTGCTAAAATCAAACATGAATATTTTCCATCGTCTGCATCTAGCTTATTCAACCTAGTCCCAATATTACCCCTCGCATTCTCGAACTTCAACTCGGGATACTTCATTGCTATCTGTGCGCTTCTCCTCACGCTACTCGTTCCTACTACACTTCCAGCTGGTAGCTCCGACAAGGTCTTGTAATTGCTTCCTGCCTTCATGATCAATGCATCCCTAGGATCTTCTCTCTCGAGAATTGCGCCAATTGTACATTTTTGGGGTAATTGCGTAGGCATATCTTTGAGACAGTGAACCACAATATCCAACTTCCTTTCCAATAACAAAGTCTCAAGTTCATGCGTCCATAAACTCTTTGCGCCGAAATCATGAAGAGCAGTTACTTGATTCTTGTCGCCCATAGTTTCCAATTTGGTGATTTCGAAGTTTAAATTTGGATGGGCTTTTTCGAGCGCAGCTTTCACTTGTTCGGTTTGTACCATGGCGAGCGCAGATTTGCGTGTGCCGATATGAATAGTTGCTGGCTTTTCATTTTGAGATGTCTCGCGTGCGGATTGGTGATCGAGGGCGCGGAGGGGTGCAGTGTCTTTGGAGGACTTTTCTTGGGTACTAATGGTGGGATCGAGGACGGAGCGGGAAGAGGTAGATTCTTTTTGTTCGTGGGTGGCCATTTTGAATACGGATGGATTGGAGGTACTTGGAGCTTTCAATCGGGAGAAGGGGAGCTGAACATTCCTCTCTCATAGTGGGGGTATTTCGGGTGAGCTTGAATCGCACTAACCCCTCTATTGACAGGGGTACAACGTTTGCACGAGTATCTCACCACAAACGGAATTCACGAGAACACACACCAACATAAAACACAAAACAGAATCAATCATATCTTAACTGTATTTACCACACTCGCCATTCCCAAGCAAAACTTGAGTATCTGCTGGTCAATGGAACATATCTTTTTCGTCATGTGTACAATACCAAACAAGCGGTCTTTCAACCTTCTTCGATCCATGTCTCATAAAGAAACTCGAATTCAAACAATGATCTGTTTGGTGTACAAGTACTAAACTAAACATACGAATATGTAGTGTTTGAAGTCAAGCCCTGCTATTTGTAATATCTACATATCACCAAAACAATCATTCTTCACTTACCTTTATATATCACATTTAACACCTTCATTTTGTTCTTCTGTAATCTCCTTGCAATCTCCAAAACACTCTCCAACTCTGCCGCATCCGCACGGCCTAGACCACACTCTGTCGCGATACCACAATCTTTCACAAATTCACTTGCCCTTCTATTCCGATTTTCGTTCCGTCAAGGTCATCCTGATGCAAAAGTCCCAGATACAACTCTGTGTCATTCTTTTGCAAGTCCCTCAATGGTTCAAAATACTCGCGATCAATACGATCTTTGGGTACAGGCATATGAACCCAATTCACAGATCTTCTCTTTCTTGTGCCGCTCAAGACTCGATTCGCAGTATCGACTAATAGGCTCATGTCTTTCGGCTGCGTGAAGTGTTGATGTCCAAGATCACCGTAGCAGAAATGGAAGCCCAGTTCGATGGATGGATTTATAGCATCCGCCAATTGAAGAACGCGATTGACGATACTGTCTTGCAAGGCCATGATCCACTGGAACATTGAGTTAGTACTTGTCCAGTAGGTCGAAACGGGAGATGATTGGCTCCTACAGAGCCAGCGGAACTAGGAGCATGGAATAAACAATCAACTGTACTTACATGTGGTGGAGGTGATACGATCCCTTCCAGAAATGCAAACTCCACAGCAACGTCCCACTGAATTGCTAAATCTTCTGTGGGAATCTCTTCTTGAATATGACGAACAGTTTTCAAAAAAGCCTTTGTATAGACCGGTTCAAGCGCTTCTTGAAAAGCAGGCTCTATCGATACATGAAGAACATTAATCGGTGTAGGAAGCGAAACCTGGAATTTCACTCCCATCGGTATAGTAGCATCATCTCGAAGTCTACAGAATGTAGCATATGAATTGATGGCTGCACCGTCATATCCGCTAGGCATGAGTTGAATTTTCTCCGGGGAAATAGGGATCGGTCCTAGATCCTTTGCTAGAGAGAAATATAGAGAGCGGACCAAGTAAGGGTATCTGTAGAAAACGCTTCGTTGCCAGTGGACAAAGTTCCCTCGATTCCCGGGCTCGCCGTCAGGAATACGCTTTAATTGGGTGGGAAGTGTGGTATTGAATGTGCGAAATATGGTGGATGTGTCAGGGAGACAGATGCTACCCACGAAATGCACATTCTTGATGGAGGGAGATGCCATGACACAGCTAGTGCTGTATAGAACAGAGTACTCAAAGAGATTATGATAATAAAGGTACACGGAAATGGTCCAAGAACTTAATCTAGTTATACAACTTCAACAGAACAGGATGAATGATATTATCTCACATTGGATGGCAAGAACCTCACATTTATATCATTCCACCTCTCGAATTCCCTCTAATACACTTCAGGGAGGACGAAGGCATACATACACGCCAATTCTTTTTAAGGCTGAAGAGCAGCTATTCATTTTAAAAACCAGCTACACGATTGGAGTAGATTGAACGACTGCACCAAATCCAGAGATTCTATCAATTCTCCTTTTTCGACCAGTGCTTCAGCATGGAGCTTACAAACAGGGATCTGGAAAATGGTTCTTCAATAAGAAATAAACCCAAAAAAGATGGTCGATATTGAATTCTATTGGAGGGTAGACATTCTGTAAGCATATCTTCCCAATCCACCCGCGATACTAAAAGAGGGCTAGATCTCCAATCAGCCTTATTCACCAACATCATCAAACATGACACAGACAGAATATTCAGCCCCATTGCATAAGGTTATTTACCCAGAAAATTGGATATACCATACCTAGGTACGTACTCATAGTAAGCGTACCGATATACCATATATATTCATGAGTGAGTCCAACTAGACTAGACCCCCTTTCCTAATGGATTAATCATTAACTTAAAGTAAGATAGAGAAGAGCATCCACCTATAGCTAGTAAGATTTCGCATAAACTGATGTAGTTATCATGAGATACAGTACGGGAAGAAATTTGGGAGTTGAGTTAGGATTTTTGGAGATGCATATGTGATGTTGGTGGCGGGGCGGAAGGTGGGTCACTCGGCGCGGGCTATGTTATGTTGATGATAGATTGAGATAGAGACGTTGGTGGCTTGTTGGTGCGAAGAAAGTATGTTGACATTATAATGGCAATGCATATGATGTTGAGTGATTTTGAATGGTTTTGATATGTGTGTGAGAGGATGGTTTTACTAACATTTGGTGATGGGAAGAAGAAGCGTAGGAAGAAGAACAAGGAGAAGAGGATGTGATATGCAGTTGCTTAATTATATTGTTGTTTTTGTTTTTTTTGTTGGGTTTTGTTTTTTGGGGATTGCAAGTTAAATGTGATGTTGGTGTGGGATGAATATAGATACAGATATAGACAGACAGACAGACACGAGAAGAGCCTTGTGATACAGTAAGGTTATGTAGCTCGCTTAACCTTGGGTTTTAACTGGACTGTACTGGGAGAATACCTAAGTACCTAGGTATGGACGAGAAAGAGAGGATCGTGGAGAGAGAACAATTGTAATAATGATGATTGATGATTGGTGCCTGGATACGATATAAGACGATATGTGAAGTGATGTGATACGGCGTGGTAGAGTGAGGTTTGGCTTTTAAATTTGCAGAATGGGTGTGGAGATGTGGATAAGCGGGATGGAGATGTGGATGAGGGTGAGGATGAGGAGAATTAGATTATTAATTTGAGATGTCGATATAATACGATATAGTACATATAATATAGTACAGAAGACGAGGCACGGTAAGGCACAGTAAGGTCATGAGGACCTAGTAGTCAGTGGGTGAGGCTCCTTGTGCCTAGAACGAGGTAAATAGGACCTGTTAAGTGAGGAAACAAGAGATTCACTCATGCTTTCGTGCAGTACGCCAAATAATTATTTGAAATTTATATACAACCAGTCAAGCATTCATTATGTTTGCTATGGACTTGCTATATCGTGCTATTTCTATATATATCTATAGCTATATCATACGGCTTCGATATCTTTTCATCACCTCATTTTACTGCGTTTATTTTTTCTTCGTAACGGTTCATGAGAAGCGTTCTCTGTAAGAAAAAAAGTGCATCAAGTGCATTTATTTGGATTGCCAAGCAAACTTGACAGAAACGCCTTGGCTACTTGTGTAGACGGTTGCTTGGGTAGATCCAGATGGGGCGGAGGTAGCGTAGAAGGTGGAGGAACCACTGTAGGTTAGATAGCCGCCGGAGGACTGGGAAATGTTAGGTTGGGTGAGATATGGGGGACAGGGAGGAGGGGGATGATGCAGTATGAGATATTGGAATAGAAAAAGAAAGAACTTACTCCGAATACGGTAGAGCTGACGCCGGAACCGCAGCTAAATGTACTGCCGGAGATACCGCATGCACCTTTGGAGGATTTCAGGGTGAAGCCGGAACCTTAGGGGGAATTAGCATGTTTCGTATCCAAAAATGTATTCTGATTCGCGCATGGAGGAACCGTAGTTTTCGATATTACGCTTTGCGCATTTTTCAAGAAGATAAAGTAAAAGGTGAAATCTTACCAGAAGCAGTCGCAGTATATGTGGCACAAGTTCCTGAAGTGTACCAAGTACCATCACTAATCAAACATCCGTTATTGGAACTTCCAGAATACGCCTGCAAATATCCAGTTCCAGAGAATGTTCCGGTTCCAACAGGGGCAGTAGCGGTGGTAGTTGGGGTTCCACTGCCACTGCCACTGCCACCACCAGATGAAGAACCAGATTTGACACCGTATTTAATACCAGTTGAAGGACATGACCCAGATTGACCGACGGGAGAGATAGGAACGAAAGTTCCCGTAGCGACGGAACCGCGTACTTCGAAAGAGTACCATACTGCGTTAAGAGAAGAGGAGGTGCATTGGATGGTGGCGGGATAACCAAAACCGGCGGTGAGGGCTGCTTGGATTTGTGCGGAGGTGTAGGTCTTGGTGCTGGATGGCACGATGCCGGCGTTGGCTAACCACTACGATAATGTTAATTGTCTGCTTCGTTACTTAGGTGGTGAAAAACTACTTACTGTATATGTAGGAAGGATCTTGAAAAGATCAACAGCAACGTTGAAAAAATCTACAACTTCTGCACCAGTGGTGTAGCTGCTATAGCAAGAAGGCTCAAGGGTACTGATACAAGTTCCGTGCTTGCTCCACTCGTGTTCCCAGAATACCTCGTTGGTTGAATCATCACTGACCCAGTAGGTGTTCATGTACGAGAGCAAAGATGTTTGACCAGCAGCGGAAAGAATGTTGGTTATGCTTGAATAAGCACGGCTGCTATCGCAGTTTGAATCATATGTACCATCGCAGTGATCGGGCCATAAACCATGGATTGTCCAAGAATCGGAAGGACCTAGAATATGATTAGTTAGTGGTTTCTGAAGGGGATTTCGGAAGGAATTATGTGTACCTGTGCTAGGATCCGAATCCCAAAATTGGGTTTGAACCATTTGACCACCAGGAGTATTGAAGCAGCAGGTATTGGTGGATGAACCACTACAACTCAATGTCGGGCTCGAACATACTAATGGAGTTGCTGCTAGACTTGCTGCATGGGTAGCTGGTGCTAGAAGCACAAATGGCAAAATAACTTTGGATATCGAGGAAATCATGGTTGCACACGGATTCAGTACCAAGGGAAAGCGAGGGAAATCGATGCTTCTATTTCATTTCAAAGGAGATTCCATATTATCATCAGGCATGGCCGTATATATAACATTTTCCATGCACTTGCCATGATAAGCAATCTTCCCCAAAAACGTGTCACACTCCATTGGTGTCGGAGTGTAAAAGAGGCATTTTCTAAGAGAAGAAGGTGTATGAAAAGAAAGGTTGGAAGAAAGGGCAATACTCCACGCTCATAGGTCAATTGTGATATTGAACTACGATCTTTTGAAGCTCTTAGATGGACTAGAAATGCGGCTTGATACTACATTGATCCGCAAGTATGCTTGTCCCTGATCGGCAGTCAAATAAGAGGATATGATTCCTCCAACGGTGCTCCGCAAATGAAGAAGGTTGATGATTATGATATGGGGTTAACTGATGGTCAGGTACATTACGTTTCCCTCGCAAGGGAGCATTCGGCTATCTCTCACTTACCTTGGAAGGATTTCTTCTGGAGCAAATGAGAATCAAGATGTTGTGCAGGTGTCAAAGATGGAATCCACTGAAGATAATGAATTTAATTAAAATTCCTAAACTTTCCTACCTTCCCTTGTGGATGATGCTATTGATTGGGTTGTGACTTGTTGTCGTAGCTTCTTAAGTGATTTTCGGAAGGTGGTGGGACAAATTGCTGGGGGTTTGTACGGGGCATGGGGCTTGGTGTAACCTTCTGAGATAAGAAAGGACAAGCGGGACAAAGCAAGAATCTTTATACTTTTTCGCTTCTCGCCGTTATCCATACATCGTCAATACATTTATTCATTCATTTATCCGTTCACTTATCCGATTCTACTCTAGATTCTACCACGGTTTGAAGATATGGAATATTCCTGGACGGAATCTTCGGGCCCTTTAAACCTATCAAGTTATTTATCAGTGATCACATGTGATCTACTCGAGTATCTCCGTAAGGAATTGAGATAGTCAAATAGCTTGCAATGGATCGGTATGCGCCGTGGATACAGTTAAGATCTAACTGTGGGGACACCGAGGCTTGAAGAAATGATAAGCAGGGCAGGCCATCATCTATCAATTATGGATATCCATCAATCAATCAAACTACAACTGTGGTCCAGATGCGACTGACAGTTCACTTGGCTACGTTTTTAGGTATGATGATCCTCCGGCAATGATCCTTGAATAGGTATATAAGGTTAATAATGATTACTTTTAGGCAGGTGTTATGCACCAAATTTGGATATCACGGAGCTATATACACCGAATGATAGACAAAACTTTTTGCTCGAATCCAAAAGGTTTGACAGTGCTTGTAGTCGAGAGATTTTTCCAACTTGGAATCAATTACTCAAGACTACAACGTCGTCCTAAAAGGCCAAACATGGTTTCACAATCTAGGATCCAGTACCAGGCAAGCTATACACTGTGCGGTTTATACCCGTCAACATAAGGTCTGCAAGCAAATGCTATGCTCTTGTGCCAGGAATGTCGAGCCAAGCTTCTATAAGGTAGGTTCTATAAAACTTCTGGGCGCCGAATAAGTTTTTGAATCAGAAAAAGATTAACGACGACGCAGCAGGCCGAACTTGGCAATTATGGTTACGAGAAGTCGAGGCATGCTCTTTGTATCAGGACGAAGCATCAAAAATGAACCCCTCAGAGCCCCTCAGAGGTGTCAAAGGAGGTATGATACCGAGGACTGGGCTCTCCACGTTTTTCTCCATGGTATCGACCTGATTGTGCAATGTGCTCTGGTCTATTAGAGAATGGGCCTTTCAGTCCATGAATCCGCTCTCGATCCATTCACTCGCTTAATATAGCTATGGGTATTCATGTCACATAAAAAATTGTCATGTAGTTTCAAAGTATGGAATCAGCCGACGGGACTGCGTCCAAACAATTCGTCGTTGACTGCAACAAAATTTCTTCCGTCTCATTTCCTCACATTACATTCTAAACTTTGGCCCCTTTCGTATAGTTCCTACCACGGTTGGATCTATCTATATTTAATATGATAGAAATCATAACCTATCTGTCGCTTATTCGTGGTAGGAGGAACATGTATGCAGGGTTTTACAAAATGTCAGCCAAGACTTGCGACGAAAAGCGTCAAACGTATAGGGGTCTTGCCGAAATTATTTCTGAGCAAGCCATATCTGTTTATAGTACACCAGAGTCATATCTGGAGAGGCAAAAAGTTTTTGCTAGTGTGGGGTTGCGCTGTGACCTTGGGGGAATTTCTCATACGACGCTAGAACCTGCCAAGAAGTAGACGTATCAAGTAACTAATGCCAAAAAGGGACAGCTAGGCCTGCCAATGCTATTTCAAAACGTCACCGCGACCTTCCAATCGTGGCCAAGATAATGGCTTCCTCGCATTAAACCTGTGCTGAGCCGCTTGAGAGCTCCGTACCATTTCTGTGCATCACGTTATCTGTGTCACTGGGCGTTGGACGAAACACTCCATCTCTCTGATGTGGAAAATGTTTATAATCTAAACCTATGAGATTTCAGAATCCCATTTTAGATCAGCCATTCAATTGGCTCGAACTTGAAGTCGAGACCCGTGGGATAGGATGTGGGGTTGGCCAGACCTATATTGCACGGCCCTAGAAGTTATTGGCAGCGCATTTCCCCAGTGAATTCTTGATATAAGAGCTCTTGTCCTCATGCATCCAAGAGTTTTAATTCTCAGCTGTGCTCCTTTCAATTCTCTTTCAGTCTTCATTTTACACTTGCAAGCTTGACGCTTCTAGATTCACGTTCAATTCATTAATTCCAGTACCTCCCTTTCACAGCCCGCCTCCAAAGCAAGCACCCCTCAACATCCTAATTTCAAAATGTTAAGTAACTACATCGTCATTGGCGCCATGCTTGCCACTAGTATCTCGGCACTCCCACTTCCTTTAAACATCAACCTCGGAGCTTATTCACCTGCCTTGGTAGTCGGTGATGGTGAAATATCATTCGGAGGAAAAGCAGATGTATCCAATCTTATGAACGCACTTGAAGGAGCAGCCGTTAGCGGAGCCGCAACAAATGGTGCCGCAACAAATGGTGCCGCTAAAGCACAAACACAAGCACAAGCAGCACCAGTCGCACCAGCCGCAGCCGTTGAAGCACCTGCCGAAGACAAGACTGAAGCCCAAGTAACAGCACTACAAGGAATGGGCAAGGAAATTGCACCTCGTGTCGTTAAGCTCCAACGATCGAATGTCGAAAAAGCTGCCAAACGTGATATTCAAACCTTGACTGCTGCTCTCAATTACGCTGCCGGTGCAATCAAGACGAGTCCCGAAGTCCAACTCGGAACAGAAGCAGCTGGTGTTGGTATTCTTGTCAAGGCTGGAAGTACTGCTAATGCACCTGCTGCTGCTGGCGCTGCTGCAAAAGTTAAGATGGGCAAGCGTGAGGACGGTGTTGCAGACGCCAAGACAAAGACTACTGTTACCACTATGTTTATTCGTGGTGGACCAGCCGGTTAGTTACTATCCATTCATCCTCAACCATAAACCCCAAGCTAATATAACAACAATATAGTCGGACAAACAAACACCATCTCTACAGTCCACAACGTCGAAGATCTCAATAACTCAGCGGTCACCAAGCGTGAGCCAAGTCCAGCTATTGATGGTGTCAACCTCAATATGGCTGAGGGACAAGTTGCCGAGCTTACTTTTGTAGAGACAAGAAGTGCAGATGATGAGGAATAGATTTCCTATCTCGTCTGTGTGACAGAAGAATATGGATAGGGGAAGGAGCGGAATTTCAATTTATTAGCGTCGGAAACAATTAAAAGATAATTTGTTTGATATACTCTCTTGCACGGCATGGTAGCCATGAGTGTGTTTTTTTCTTTCTTTCTTTCCTTTTCTTTTCCTGTTTTTTTCGGTTACTACAAAGGCGTTTTCATAGCTCGGTTCGGTTCAAGCTCTTGTATACCATATAGGTTCTTAACGGTGGTAATTGGAAGGAAGATGGCTGGCATTCTGGGGACGGACGGTCAAATAAGTGATGGATTAAAAAGTAAAATATATCACATTTTCTAAGATTACTCTCTTCTTCTATTTTTTAGATATATACTATATATATCAATATCTGAAGAAAGATTATACTCATATTTCAATCTGTTAATTTGTTCTCATTTGGTTTTTTCAAAAACGAATTCTCGGATTCGACGGGTTTTGAATGTGATGATTAAGGTTAAGGTTATATCTACTAGCCTTTTTTTCTAAAGTACTTTTTGGGTCGTAATGTTAGTTTCTGCTCGTTGTTTAACTGACCCGGGAAAACGTGGAAGAAAGGTGGAAAAACCAGAAAATCAGTACCCCCAAACACCTCATTCAACACGGAAAATTCCAGACCCGTCTAGATTAGTTTAGATCCCCTGTTTCAAACATCTGTCATGTTGAATCAAGGGTCCATATCTTGCATATTTTGACTTTGACTTTCACCCCGCTTGCTAGAGAACCGCTTGAGAGAACCGCTCTTGTGGGATTTGGGTATCGGAGTCAAGTGTTTTGCTCATCCACTCGCTTGCTCACAAGCTCGATCGCTTAGGGACGTGCGATGTTTGAGAATTTAGGTTTTTTAGGTTTTTTAAGTTTTTTTGGGGTGGTTTTTTGGTTTTTTTAGAATTTTGGTGAAACGTTGGGGTTTTTCTTGATTGGGTTGGGCTGGGCTGGGCTGGGCTGGTGGGAGATGAATTTGGATTTGCATATGGATGTGGATGGAGAATTTTAAGGGTTGGGGGATCTGCGGCGGGGGCGTGTGTATGCTGGGGTGATTTGTCGAGTTTGATGTAAGTTTATTTTTGGTCTATGATCTATTTCTTTCTGTTTCGGGGATTTGTAGCTTGTGGTTTGTGGAGAATTTGTATTTGTAGGAATTCTTGTGCATTGTGGATACTACAATCATGAGGAATTTCTACTCTTGATACTCGGTAGTTAGAACTTGAGAGAAGAATAATCTAGTTGTTATTTTTTATGTGGAATCGGAAGATCCCCCCGAGACGAGTGTCAATAATAATAAGGAATTTAAACTCAGGATATATAGCTCGCTAGGTCTATACCTCATTTTCGAGCCACTTTTAATTTGTATTATTCTTTTATATTAAAAATCAATATCTTTATCTATTAATATCTTTATAATCAATTAAATAATTTAATTAAATTTGAATTATAATATTAATAAAGTTTGAATTATAATTATTTCAGTTAAAAGATTTTAATAAATTTCTTTTAAATAATTTCTTTTATTTTGTATATTACGAGGGATGCGTTCTAGATCACATAGAAATGGCCTGGATCCTCGAATAATTTATAACTAGACATCAAGCAAAGGCTTAAGATAATATCAATAATTGCAATTCGTAACTAATAGTAGAATATACTAAATGATTAATCTTGAATACAAAGCTCTACATTAAAAGAATCCATCCTGATTATATAGACCTTCGTATCAATTGGATCTAATAGATCTAGAATCCGATTTCTTAGCTCCCCTAGATCCTTAAGATCCATCATATAACTAAGATCAGATTATACATCCGAGCTTGTTAAGGGTAGGGAGATTCCGAGAATCAATTGCTATACAATTTTATATACAAATCGCCTTACTTTTCGATAAAGCCCAAGCTCATGTGGACAGGTTGACTGTTACCTTTGTAATATTGTAAATCTTGACTCAAAGATCTTAAGAAAATTTATAATGTATTTTTGTTTGTTTTTGTTGAAAACTAATAATTTTTAAAATTTGTATATAAATCTTATATAAATTAAAAATTGGAAAATTTAAATTTATTATAAAGTTATTATTAAGTACAAACGATGATTTTTGATATAAAAAAGTAATTTAAAAAGGGAGTGGCCCGAAAGTAGAGTACTAGACTTAGAGCTCTAAAAGACTACTACCTAATCAGCTATGCTTCAATGGGTTATTCCAACGGACGGAAAGCAACAAGACCGGTTACGAGACAGAAAAGTGAGAAGATGGTGATAGCTTAATGATAGACTTCTCTGAACAACCACTCTGCCATATCATCGTACATTTTCTTTCCTAACGCCGTATCCTGCTCTTTCTTCACTTTGTCTTTTTGCTTAAAGGCCAGCTCATTATCAAATCCTAAATTGCAAAAGTCAGTAAATATATTCCTCTTCATCACTCCAATCAATAAAAAGTAAACAAGATCCTCAACATACCATGCTCAGCCCCCATAAACTTCTTCCACCTAACCCCATCCATCTCCCAATCCAGCTCACCCTCCACCCTGTCCCTCCCTACCAATTTCTCGGCAAAAAGCTCCGCATCATAGCATAACATATCGAGCTCACATCCGACAATAAAAAGTTTCTTCGGCAAAACCTCTCTCTTCGCATACGCCACGCTGAGTCTCGGTTCACACAAATCTGTTCCCCGAGGTATATACCCATAATCATACAGGTTGTCCAAGTCCGCCAAGCGATCTTTAGGCGCATATGCCGGCCTCGCAGCAATACCAACCGAACGCGGCGTCACAAAATCACACAAGGGATAAATTGAACAGACGCCCTTAATCTTACCTTGAAGAGAGGCAGCCTGTGGAACCGCGAGGGAAAAAGTTCCACCGGCGCTGAAACCACCAAGAGCTACTTTCGCGCGATCAAAGGGGAGAGATTCGTCTTCAAGGATGATGTTTATGAGATCGGTTAATTCGTTGATGGCTCGTGGATATGGTGATTTGGGCGCTTTGGAGTAGTCGAGGGAGATGACGAGGACGTTGTGTTTGGAGGAGAAGTAGCTGCAGAATGCATCGTCTAGGGCGGGTCTTCCGACTATGTAAGCGCCGCCGTGAATGTCGAGGTAGAGGGGTGGTGGTGCGTCACCGGATTTGTAGGTCGAGGGGATCCAGATTCGGTGAGTGAGGGAGGGGTGCTTGGGGTAGGTTTTGGTGAAGGTTGGGAGATTGGCTCGGCCGCAATTATAGGGGTGTGTTCTGATTGCTATTGAGATATTGGTTATGAAAATGAAGACGCGGAGCCTAATTGAAAGATATATGCGTTTCCATATTGAGAATGTGGGCAGATAGATTGGTCCTCGGGGTAGTGGTGGTGGTACCATTTTTGATCAATGATTGGGTTTGTGACTATTTAGACTGTACACTGATATGGAATGTATTTAGATGATCTTACTGCTTAACCTTATATATCTAGTGGTAGCAACAAAAATTGTGGTTCGGATGCGGATGCAAAAACTACCGCCAATGGCTAACGCACACAGTAATGTGTTTATATGGTATTAGACAGCAAGATCCTCACTCCTCGTGAATAGGATTTACATCATGGAGTCTCATACGGACATTTTTAGCCGGAACGATCTCAGATGACAAGTCTAGTACCCCCTTTTTGAGCCACCGCTAATTCGGACCACCCTTTTACACCAAAAATGATGATTTTCACCTATTAATAGCTTTACAACGAATGAATAAAATTAGTTGAAATTTTTATTATAGACTTGCCTTATAAATATTAATAATTGAAATTTAGATTTTTCATTTTGTATAAGATTTATATATAAATTTAAAAAAAATACTAAATCTTGAATAATTTTTTATTTAGTTAATTATAATTTGTTTTTAAAAGTTTTAATTAAAAAATTATTTAAGATTTTAATAGTTTTTTTTAAATTTATTATTGTATAATTATAAATTCATAATTAAATTTTTAAAAAATTATATATCAATGAAAAAAGTTATTAATAAATAAAACTTATTGTTTTTAGTATAAAAAAAATGATTCAAAAGAAGAATAGTTTAAAAATGAAAGTTATCAAAATCAATAAGTTAATTTGTATTAGATTATCTAAATTATAAATCTCTTTATAGAATTCTGATAATTAAATATTTCTATTTATTTTTTAAATAATTCAAAACTTTTTTTTAATTATAAATTATTATAGATATATTTTATTATTTTTATTTTCTTATAATATATTAATTAGAAAGTCTTTTAAATTTCTTTTATTATTAAATTCAAATTAAAAATATTATAAAATATATTAATAAAATTACCAAAATTTATTTATTATTATTATTATTATTATTATTATTATTATTATTATTATTATTATTATTATTATTATTTCGAATTGAATAAGATGAATTGAATGAATAAAGTTAAATTGAATAAGTTGAATGATTTCAATTGAATTGAATGATTTCAGTAGAGTTGAAAAAAGCTCCAAGTTAGATTTGCCTAAGGTGGTAAGGCTTATGCCAAGCTTTTTGTTAGATTATTTACCGGGGTATTTACCGGGGTATTTTATACCAATCAGATTATCAGGATCGCGACTCATTTAAGCGAGTTTCTCATTTTCTACCACCCACCGGGTAAACCTCGCGTACAGCAAAGTTATGGAGTCGGCAAGCCGATCAAAAAATATTAAAAATCAAAATTTCAAAAGAATATAGATGATTAAATTGAGTTTTAAAATGAAACTTTTTTCTCAAATATTATAATATAAATTGATACGATTCTCAATATATAAAATTTGAGATATTCAATTAATCATTGAATAATCAATTATTGAATTTATTATAAAGATGTTTGAGATCGATAAGATTATTCATATTCAACAAATCAAAGCTTTCAATTTGAGCTTTCAATTTGTAATTGTTGTGGGATCCCTTAGGGCCATTTACACCTTACATAAACTCTATTTATTTCAAAATTAAGTTCATTGGCGAGTGAGCTAGAGTGAGTTATTGGTCAATGAGCTAGTTTATTTTGACTTCGGAATGAAAATATTGCCCTACATCCCGTAACAAATGAAATGCTTCCGCCGGTGTCGGCTGATAGACTTCCGATCCCTAAAACAGGAAGAGGATGAAAAGGACACAAATTCCCAGGCTTTTGATCGTGAACCTGCTTACCCTAACAACCTTGGAATGGATATATCATATAGGGCGTTGGACCCTGAAGATGGAGAGACAACGATCCGATTAGGCTTAAATCATCAGTGCGAATGTATTCCGTAACGTTGGCACGTGAGTTCTTCTACAGTGGCTGGTTTCACTACATTTCATTTCATTTCGAACGCTCCCAGCTTTATAATCTTCAATCATCACGTTTCCATTATGCGAGACTCGAGAAATCATTTCACTTGGGGCATTACGGCTAAGTATGGTGGCAACAATATCAGAGACTCGAAAAATCTAGGTATCTAGACCACTGTTAGATCGTTATGCATATGCTAACCAATTATGTAGATATCTTTCCCTCTTCGAAGACCCTTTAATATTATTCTACCTTCAATGTTAATATATCTCACATCATTGTTTGAGATACATGATCTTCCAAGGAAAACATACGGAATCACCTAGCAATACTTGGCCTTAAGACTCGAGCATCTACGTAGCCAAGGATCAGGGCCCTTGACGAAGATACTAGCAATAATGTCTATCAGTTATACAACCCTGGATGTCGCATTAGAGCCAAAGCCTATGCCTTGGGTGTATCTCTCGTGTCAATCATGAGTCGTGGGAAGACTGGCACACGAAAATAAATCCATAGCGATGATAGTTCATCACGATGAACACTCGTGTTGCTGTCCCAACAATAACTGTGCCATTAAAGGTCACGATGTGTAAGTATCTTATAGAAATGGGACTTGCTCCGATCTTGGCAGGTTGTCATTCTTCCTCCGCTCAAAGCCAAGCTTTACGATGTCAGAAATTGATTAATATAGTCTTCGTCTGAAGGTCCATATTTAAGCGCTTATACGCTGCCTACATCCTATCCCAGTCATTTCATCGGTCGATATGGGATTTTAGAGTTCTCTTCCGTGAATTATTCTAGATGTGACGGTGATACATCAACCACATAGATGTAGGCTTTTTCCTTTTTTAGAAGAATTCGAGTGGTCTTCATGAATGTATGTCTGCTCGTTGGAGTTCATTTGAGGCAATATGTCTGCTGAATTAACATTTTGACATAAATTCTGGCACTCTCGATTGGGTCCTTAATCTGTTGAAGTTAGCGTTGATGGCATGCAGGCATGTGTCTCCAGTGATGAAAAGTCTTCAGTATGTCACTTCAGGCACAATGGATGAAACATTGAAGGCCCTCCTTACAGGGGCGATTGTGATGTTGAACACAGTAAAAACACAGGCTCCTTGTTTACCAAGACTCTACTTTCATTAGCATCGACGTCAACGGGTCTGACTTCAAATACCGAATATGAGTAGTGAAAATTACCTACCAGTATCGTGAGTTTCGTAGGTGAGATGATAGAACGGACGAGAGGAGACCCCCATCCCACTCTCAGTGCCGACCTGTGGAAGATATAATACAACCTTAGTGGAGGTCGCTAGTATTAAATACAGGTACCATATTATAACAATTACTTAACCAAACATACAACCCCATACTACGAAGTTGAAATGTAAATACGACTTACGAGACTAGACTGCATACGCCAAGGCTAAGTTATATATATATGGATCTTATCCCGAAGATATTCCAACAGCTCAACCTTGTGTAATCTCCCTTATATAGATTACCTCATCCATAATTCCGTTTCATATACAATAGTATTTCCATAACCCAGTCAATAGTGTGTTTCGTTTATATATCCACAAAACCCCTATACATAAAATCATTATTAAAAATAGCCTTTCCCCCGCAATGTATATAGCATGCCATTCCGGTCATGAAAAACGAGAATATTATCGATCCCAATTCATCCTCAGATTTCTAGGTCAAGTTTCGACATCATCACTTTCATTGCGATGATGTATTCGCTCCTCTTCTGGTTCGCTGCCGCGCTCTTCACCTTGGCTCATGGAGCAAATGATACAGCATCTGCTCCAGGTGCTGCTCAAGGGGTAAGTCTACGCTCTACTACCTATTTTTCAGTTAATAAATTTGACCGTCTAGGTTACTGGTGGAGGAAATGCCGATCCCGTTACGCCTACTACAACTGCACAGTAATATCAAATGTGCACTTGACACAGAAACGTTTAACTAATTTACTCTTCAGATTGATCTCGTACCTTACGGACTCTTCACCGCGAGTCATCCTTATTACCAAAACCTTCGATTTCCGTGGTAGTATGGGCAACACAACAGCGGTTGGATGCATACCATCCAGCAATACATGTGGATCTAGTGGACAAAATGCCATTAACCCAAATGACTGGTGTGGATCTAGTCCAAAAACCACGGTCACCTACGACAACGCTGGTACCACAGCAATCCAGGTCAAGAGCAACAAGAGTATCATAGGTGTAGGCAGCGCCGGTGTTATCGTTGGCCGAGGACTCAGTCTAAAGGATGTTACCAACGTTATCATTCAAAATATTCACATTACCAACCTCAACCCTTCATTGATTTGGGGTGGTGATGCTATTTCATTAGTAAGCTTCACACCTTAGATGTGGAGGTCTCAAAGGCTAATATTTTGCTAGGTGGGCACAGATTTAATCTGGATCGACCACTGCAAAATTTCACTCATCGGCCGACAAATGCTCGTCACTGGATTTAAAGCCGCTGGCCGAGTCACCATTTCCAACACTGAATTCGATGGCAAAACTTCTTGGTCTTCATCTTGCAACAATAAACATTACTGGACGATGCTCTTCCTAGGCGCCGAAGACTATATCACTCTCTTGAACAACTACATCCACGATTGTTCTGGCCGTGCACCAAAGGTTGGAGGTAGTGGTGCTATAAACATGCACGCAGTGAACAATTACTTTGCGAACAACGACGGTCACGATTTCGATGTCGCTAAAGGCGGTGCTGTCTTAATCGAGGGCAATTACTTCCAAACCGTCAAGATTCCTATTACACCCCAATCTTCCAAAGATGGAGGATCTATCTTCGACGCCGTGGCTGGAACAGAGTCTTCTTGTTCTGCTCCCCTGGGTCGTGCTTGCCTCTCAAATTTAGCGGTTGACTCGGGAGCAATTACTGCTTATGGTAATAGTAACTTTTTTTCCTCGTTTAAATCGGAGAAAATGGGTACTGTCCCTGCTGCTATTGCAGCTTCTGCTGTTCCGGCTTATGTGATGGCTAATGCTGGGATTGGGAAGATGCAAGGGGAGTCAAAAGCTCAGGATCGAGTTGTTGATTCGGATGTTTGTTATTAGTACTCGTGCCTCCTTTTGTTTTTTTAGGTAATGAACTTAGTTTTGAGCAGTGTGTTCAATTGTCTGTGAGATTTCCAAGTCTCTAGTTTACCCAAAAAATGATAAAAGGATCAAAAATCTTTCCAGTCAATTTGGGTTGGGCGAGATATGCTCAATGTCACGGAGTTTCCTGGAAGGAATGTATTTGTATGTTAAATATCATATACTGAATATAAACCACATCCTTTTAATATAAAGGAACCAAATATCTACACAACCCAGACCAGCAAAGCAAAAACCTCAGTCGAACTGAACTATTGGACACGCTGATTTTGAGAACTAAACATAATCTGTACATACCATCACTAGAACTTCTTCCGGTAAACATTCCTCTTTTTCTTGAGCATATACTGTTATACACATATGAAATTCTCATCAAAATCTCTATTTGTTCTCAATAATTACTTAATACTTATCACTCCATTGAACATAATCTAACATCCTACCACCAGCTAACCAGATTAATGGACTAAGGAATCTTATGGATAACCATAAACCTACCTGTCTGGGCTTGCGATACGTACTGGCCTCATAATGTCTGGCTGGTATGAAAAAGAGGTGAAGCTATGTAGTCCAATAATATAATAGCGATCGATCCGTATTTCAAGGGCTCCGGGGCAGTGCCGCGAGTCTCGAGACTCTTTTCGTAAGGAATAGGTTTACTGTTCTATAGCTTATCTACAATGAAGATGCATATATGAACGGAATGGAGACTTGTTATCCCATAAGTCAATGATTTCTATATAAGTTAATCAATCACTTAGATTTGTACTAAAGTCTAGCATATAAAGATCTCTGCATGTACCTCAAATCTCACTCTCCTATAGCTACGCCTCTCCTTCCATCATTCTCTGCTGCCCGTCTAATCCTAACATATACTCTGCTCCTTCCAAGCTTCGACATTGTATTCTAGATTCTGATAAATATTCTTATTATCATCACTTCATAAAATTTCCACAATAGAGATTTTCTTTTCACTCTCATGAGATTTTCTCTCCTCCTCTTCAGATGAATATATTCATTTTTATCCCAAATTTTCACATTCATAAACATTTTTCTTTTATTTGGTGGAATTGTTTCCTTTTTCAAGCTTTCTGAGTATTTGTAGCCATTTCTTTATGGCTGGTACTCCTATTTCTCCGGTGGGATGGGATTTTGTGAAATTTTATGAGTTTTCGGTTATGATTATGGTTATGTAGTGCTGCAGAGTGACAGTGAAGTGAGCGGTACAGTGTGATGAAGCTATACATGAGGAGAGGGTATACGAATAACATGATCTGAAATATCAAAATATTATAAAGCATACAAACAACTACTTCTTTCTATTTCATCCCATCCATCCATTCATGCGCTCATAACCAGCAGATCTACTCCTAGCATATATATATATATATACCCGAAGAATAAAGCCACCTCCCCAACCCCTTCCCCAAATATAAGCACAAAATCGAACAGCCACATGAGGAAAGCATATCAAAGTTATGTACCTCCCTCTGAGATACAATAAAGAAATGTGGCAGAAGTCCCGAATCTTACTTTCATATTCAATACCATTCATACAAATATCAAATTACTTCACGAAATCTCTATACTGATCTATTTATATATATTTACCCCCTTCAGATTATAATAAAATCAGATCTGGTATATAACACATACATATATACATATACACATAGCTTCAGCGACAAGATCTGATTATACTTATAATCACAATTCGCTCTGAGATAAATTGAAGGGAAAGGTATGTTTAATGGGCTGGTGATATGTACATCTATCTGCAGCAGCTGTAAAGAGGAAATTATAAGATGTAGATATAATACTTAGATGCTGACGATGATATTTTGATATTTCAATGTCTTAGATATATAGGGTGAGTAAAATGTTGGACTAGGTATATTATATAACTCTCTATCTAGTAATTATATATCAAATAAGAATAAGATAAATCTCATAGAACAAAAATAAAAATATATCTTCTTGAAAAAAGTCTAATGTATCTTCTCTGAACAAAACCTGTGGTCAGTAGACTCGATCTGAGCCCGAAGATGATTCACTCCGTCTATTTATCTATTTAATATTTGTTATATATATATATCTCAAATACTATATATTCTTCATTCTTCACTCTTTATTTATTCTTATTTTATTTTATTTTATTTTCTATACAATACAATTAATATTATATATTACATCAATTAAATTCTATATCTCTATCTTCATCCTTCAAAGCAAAACACCATAAGTATTTAAGTATTATATTATTATATTATTACATTAGACCACATCCCCTACATCCTCTACGTCTCTTACATCTCCTACATCCCTATATCCCTATATCCCTTACTCCATATATCCTTTACATCCATTACTTGCCAACCTACCAACAAAACCCCCAAATCTTCAAATCCCCAAATCCTCAAATCTCTCCATACACCACTTCCCTCTTCCCTCTTCCCTCTTCCCTCTTCCCTCTTCCCTCTTCCCTCTTCCTTACACACATAAAGAAGAAGTAATCAAAAGAAATAAAATCATATTAAACTTATTTGTATTAGTTTATAATTTATATTAATTCAATCGAATGATTAATATATCAATACTTATACTTCTACTTCTACTAAACTACAATTCCGTTTCCCCCCATCCAATCTGGAATTCTAGAATTCTAGATATAAGATTTATATATAGATTATCTATATATCTATCTAGCCTTGCCTTCTCTAATCTATATACAACAAGGAATTTCAAGCGAGAAGGTAAGAAGGTAGGTGTCTACTTAAAGTTATATTAGATTACAGTTACACGCACATACATCGTATACACATATAAACACAAAATATATTACATACAAACAAGAAACTCAATCATTACTCACTAAAATCATTAAAATCTATCATGGTATCATTATAAATATATATACAGACAGATACAGTTTAACAACTCCGGAGAAACATAATCAGCCAAATGGCTATAAAACTGTGTAGGTAGATAGGTACCTATGTCGGTCAATGCCTGATCCATTTCCTTTCCTTTCCTTTCCCATTCCATTCCAATCCCCATCCCATTTAATCATTTCAATCATAACTCTTAAAATGATATTTAAAAATTTCCATTTCCAGTTCGATACTGATGAGCCCCTCCATATCCATCCGCGGGCATCTCTGCCGCATTCGGCACCGTATACGGAGAACTCGTTCGGTAATCAACTCCATTGATTTGTTGACCATGAGTAGCTGTAACGGGAGATACAGGACTATGACCATATCCGGTTTGGGAACCATATCCTTCATGAGATCTTGCCATCATTGTCGTATCTGTTGCGTATGAGTTTCTCACATCGTTAGGACTAGAATGGACGGGTAATGAGTCGGGTTTTTCCGAAACTATTCCTCCGGCCATGTATTCACCATCGCGGGCTGGTTGACGTTGCCAGAACTTACGACGGGATCGACCAGCTGTGTAGCCATTGTTGGGGGAGGGACCGAATGCTTTTTCTTTCTTGTGGTGTTTGATGAGGGCTATTTCGACGAAGAGTGAAATGAAGAAGAATACACTTTTTTAATGTTAGTTTCAGTTTCTCTACTTATTCTGCACTCAATATAATGATAGAAAGGGAGGTAAACTCACGCAGCAACAATTGCAACGGCAAAACAAGCCGTGTTCAATCTACAACTGTCACGTAGACTAGGCAGACTTGTATTTCTCCCAGCACCTACACCAGAAGTCCTATCATTCGTGTCCACAATTCCATTACCCAGAGGAGTAACCACCGATCCAGTACATGATCTACCACCTCGAGTAGCCCAAGCTATATAGCTAAATGCGCCTGTGAAGCAGAAATCGAGGATAATAGCGATGATGGAAAAGAATATGAAGCCGGCGAGACAGCAAAGGAGAGAAAGTCCAATAGCTGTATAGACAAAGCCAGCACCAGAAATACCTTCGACGGCTTTGATGTGATCGGAGATGGGGAGATTATTGGTAGATAGTTTGGCGAGGAAATAGGCAAAGATTCCGAGGATAATGGCTGCGCAGCAGAATTCTACGCCGCGGAGGAACCATTGAAGGGCTTTGAGTGCTACTCCACCACCTCTCATGATGAAGTGTCAAGAAGTATGAAGAAGTATATTTTCTTTTTTGATATATGAGGGGTAAAAACTTGATAGTGGATCGAATCAAGGGGACGTTGAAGAAATCAAAGATATAAAATATGGGGTGAGTCGATGGCTATATTAAGATGGTAAGATTTGCATGTAATGATGTCGTCAAACTTAGCAAGCAGATAATAAGTTGCAAACGAAACATGCGTCAGTGGTACGCCGTACTCGAATATCAAATCGTATATATAATAAGAAACCCTGGTTTTTGTTTTGTTGAAGTTTTCTTTGTTTCCTCTGGCCTCATATGCATTCGTCTCTTTGTTCCCGTCGAGTTCCAACTTTCGGGTTCTTGGACCTTTGAGGCTGTTCTCGATCTCTAGATTGTGAACGGTATCGAGGGGCTTGCGGTAGATGCAGAGATGGATGATTCTTTTATTCACACGGCAGTGCCATATACCGCGGTAGAGGACTCGGACGAAAGCACCAGATCACGATCATCTTTTCTCAAAACAGAAAATTAAGAACATCAACGTTCAGAAGTGATATTCATGATATTCCAAGCAATTCCACATTAAGCCTTGGTACTCTTCTTTAATTTGTTCTTTCAACCATTCAAATATTCTTAGAAACCTCATTCTAGCTCCTCGGATTCCGAATATCCTTGGGAGCTTTGGTCGAGACTTGATGACGTCATTATTGGCTGTGTATGATCCTTGAAGAGCTGGATCATCATCGGGTGGGGAAGAGCTAAGCCACAAATTGGAAAAACAGGTTATCATTTGATCACGTGAACTTGGACGGGTCCGTGAATTTATGGCTTGCTTGGTCGGCAGTGATTTATAAATAGATTATTCAAAATGATAATTGCTAGGTAGTTTCGATTGCTAATGCGTGGATTCAGTCAAAGCCATATGAAGAGACTAGGAACGACTAAAATTCCTGATGAGGAAAATGGTTGACTTGACACAAATGAAGTGTACGCACGCACGCAGGCAGTGTGGTTATGAAATCCGCAAAGGAATATGAAGGGCATTCATTCTTAGACTCTCCCCGTTGTTCTGCTCAAGGACAATCTAAATCATGTGATATCAATACTTTGTAATGCTCTACAATGACCATACACACAGATGGTTCTAACAAAGAGAGAGACGGTTGCCCGCGAGCAAATCACAAAACACAAAACATCAAGACCGAAACCTCAATAGTAGAATAAAAACTCATATTTATTTATTTTACTTCTATTTCAACAAAATTCCCAACAAAATCCCCCCAAAAACTTTTGAACTCTCGTCTCATCTCCCTCCCACCTCTCAAACACACTTCAAACACACTTCCACTTCAAATTTCCATACGAATCCACTAGGTTCCTCAAGTTCCTCAACCTAGAAACACAACTCATCACATCCACTGCATTTGAAAAAGCCTACCCTACCTACTAGATATATCCCAACAATGATTGCTGAATGAAGAAGATAGTAGATACTAGGTATGCATTCATCATATTAAGCCTTATACCTGATACAAACAAAGGGCTAGGAAATGATGTGGATAGGGATATTAAATATCAAGCACTAAAGCACTAGGTAGTAACTATGGTAACAGAGTATCTAGTACTAGGTGAGTATCGAATACCTTCCTACCTACTAGGTATGCAAACGCTTCAGCATAATGAAATCCGACAGCTTTGATTGATAGACGCTTCGTAGAAGAGAGGATACAAGAACTTTAGGAGGGGGGATCAAGATAAATCTAAATTCTATAGCATATATTTTTAAATACAATGAGATAATATATGAAAAACTGGAATATCATGAAAATACATCTCTCATCCATCTCACCTCACCCTACCTTCTCTTCGGATACTCTTCAACCCCTTTTGAACTCAATTCTTCTTCGCTTGTTTCTGGCTCTTCATTATCTCAACCCTGGCGTTGATAACACTATTCCTCACCTGCATCGCATTACCAATATCGTAAAATGCAACATACATTGCATATATTGGCAAGAAAACCCACAGCATATTGAAAAATACCAAGTACACCCATTTAAACATAAAGTTACTCGTGTTTAAATTTTGATTTCCCGTTAACCATTCAGGCGCAAATGTCATGAAACCTATTCAATCCACCAAATCAGCGCCTACATTCTAAGTTCGAGAAAAAAGGGAAAGAAATATAAGGAGAGGAGTATAAAAAGGAAATCCATAAGCATACCACCATACAATTCCCCCGTAGCAAGTACCACCATCCAAAAATTAACCCTCCAATCCTTCCTCACAATACCCCAACAAATCCAAAGCGCCAACGGTCCTGCCCCAAGCACCGTCAACAATTCCAAACTCACGACTGTGAGATCCGCCCCCGCCCATCTCCTATCCGCCTGCGCATAAACCATCCACAACTTACTCGCCCAATTATCTGCATACTGAGCTCCATAGACAAATTGACTCGTGCCCAGGAAATTAGTGAGAGCAACTGGATGAGCAATCGATGAATCAAAGGGAACGCGGGAGAAAAAGCAGTTGTAGAGAAATGAACCTTCGAAGATGGTGTGGATGAGGAAATCAAAAGAGTGCCAGATGAAGAGGATGCGGAGGGAGGAAGGAATGGTAGGACTCAGGACGCGGTTAGAGAGGATGTAGGAGGAGAGGAGAATGGCGACGACGCCGAGAAGAGAGAGGATGGTGGTTTGATCTATGTGCTCCATCATTGAGGACATGGTCAATGGAGATTGGATTTGAGGATTAATAGGTTCGAATTCAACTCATCGAACTGTGGAGACTTGAAAAATAGAATACGGGTAGATTTTTGAAGGTAAATATCATAATAATATATAGAGATGGTTGACAGCTCATACTTTCCTTTCCACTATTGGTCTATCAAAAATTGGAAGCTTCAGCTGGAAATGAAGCTTTGGCCACTTTTCGGCTTGACTTTAATCCGTAACGAAAGGCGGCCAGCCGTGAATGTGACTATCCGGGCGGGACGTCCCTCCCCCTAATGACGTCATAGACAACCCCACCACAAAGTAAACAAAGTTGGTTGAGAGCTGCCCCTGATGGAAAGATCTTTCAACTGGGAAAATTCCCATATTTGGACAGGCCATGATTATTCATCCGATGACCAGATCTTCCCACTAGCCACAATATGGACGGAATCAGAATTCGTACTGACTATCGAAAATTTTCACACATGCACATGCATAATTGCGCAAGTCACAAACGTAAAATGGGAGACATTTATTTTGATTATTCATAAAAGCATCGTTATTGTTATGAGGGTATTAAGACCACCAATACATGAGTTTCAGGCTCATCACCTCCCCAGAGAACCTCCGTGCATCGCAGACGCCAAAGTCATTATGATCGAATGCAGATTGTGAGATCCATCGAATTGAAGAATTTAGTGCTTGGCAGCTTCTGTGATAAGAATTAGTATGTGATTATGGAAATGTTAAAAGTGAGAAACATACCCTTGTGGACATCAGCCTTGGTGTTGTGTCCAGTCTCATCAACCTTGTCCTTGACGGCATCGACACCGGCGTTGGCACGGGTGGAAAGGCTGGCATCACTGTCCTTGGCGACTTGCTTGTTGACCTCCTTGGAGGTGGTGGCAGTGGCACCTTGAACAGTCTCGGCGACGTAGTTGGCAGCGTTCTACAAGATAAAATGTTAGAAGATGCAGGAAAAGTGAGAAGAGATCGTTGGATCATGGGCAGGAAAAGACTTGCCTTGACGGTCTCCATTGTGAAAGTTTTGTAGTGTTGATTTGAAGGTTTGGTTGAAGTTGTTGAGTTGTTGCACTGTAGTGTATTGTAGAGTTGTGAGTTTGTAATGTTGATGGAAAAGAAGTTGAGAAGACGAGGGACTGGTTGAGGTTTATATATTCTACTCTCTTGCCATCAAACTGAAGCTAAAACCGCATTCACTCTTACCCTGATGGTTCTTGTGCGTCATACTTGGGAAATGGCTCGTTGCCAAGTTATCATGAATAAGCACTCAAAGGGAAGGGGCATTTTCTCCAACAAGAGAAAGAGCTCATGCTGTTTGTGTTTGCTGTTTTGCTGTTTTGCTGTTTTGCTGTTTTGCTAGCTAGATACATAGCTACAACAATTGAGTTTTATTCATTTACAATGACGTAGGGAGCCAGGCACCAGGGCCGTTTTAGCCAATCAAATTTCGTCAATCATGACTTCCTTGCGTGCTTGGTGTCAAGTTACTATAAACTAAAAAAGGGGTGTGGTTAAGCAATTCATGAAGCTGAGCCATAAGTGATACAAGTAGTGATTTGATAGAATCTGATTGGTAGATGAGAAATGTGCTTAGTGCTGACGCTTTGTGGCTTGACCAACTTTTCCCATCAAACAAATGCGGGTTTTCCCTTTCCGATGTTATCCGCATGGCAAAAAATGGAAGATCCCCCGCTATTGAGCTGAGCGCAGGAGCCACTAGTTCCTCATTTGAACTAGGTCAATACTTCATTTGCATATAAAAATCAGAATTTCTTGGTTGTTGGAAGGAAAGTAGGAGTTTCTGGAACGCTCTACCCTAATGCCAAAAGCAATAACCCCACTTTTAATGTACCTCGTGAGCTTGTGCTTACGAAAAATCATCAAACGGCCTGATGAAAATTCCATGCTGATACTAAAGAATTCCATGTTGCTCCTTCCATGATCCATTTGTTCAAGAATGCTCGATGCTTTATGCTCGCTCGATGGAGATGGAGGATCTCGATCCCCTTCTCCATCTCGATCATAGACCCCCTAAACCCAAAGGATTCTATGATTCTCTAGTCTTCACATGCACGCGTACAGTAATTGCCTCGGACGCTGGCTGTGAGCATCTTTACGCGTTGCTACTAACTAGCGATGTCACCTCATTGTGCTATGTTCTATTTGCCCTTTGCACTCATCGCAGTCTGCTGATAAAAAAGCCTTGGAGTCCGAATCTGGTGTGCGAAATGTCTGGTTCCCTTTGCTTTTCCCTTTCGCATTACATCAGTTTGGGTGGCATGATCCAAAAACGAGTACAACTTCTTGATGGTTGGAAAGAGGACAATTCTGTTTTCTCGTCTCCATGAGTTGACGACTTTCCTGGTCATGTGTTGCACATCTCTACCTTGAAAGCTTACCTACCGTGAAGATGTCCTTTGTCATTCAAGTCTACACCACCAATAATCGCGTCATTTATATCCTCAAAATTTCACCACCTTGTCTAATTCCACCACGGAACATTTCTTCAATGACCTTTCCTTCCAATAATGTCTCTTGCACGATACCCTCTACGTGTTTCGGCTCGACCCTCCCGTACCAAACTCCACATCCTGCCAATGGATGAGCTTCACCATCTTTCATCTTAGCTTCAAGTGGAATGTATAATATGACATTTCCAGCAAATTTATGTCCCCCGATATGACTGATTAACCCAATTCTTGCAGTATTCACATTCGGTTCCCTCGGTCCTTCCAGGAGCTCTGTAGAGCTATCGACGCTAACCTCCACTGCACCTTTCAAGACCTGCACTTCTTTCGTCGGCAGAACTCTCTCAAACTCAGCTTGCAAGATTGGAGCTAGGATTCCACATCTCATGTCTCGTCCTCCGTGTCCGCAAATCAATATCAATATATCCTTCACATCTTTTACAGCAGGCAGAAATTTTGCCTGTTCCTTACTCCGCAGCAAACGATCTTTATGTATGGGAGATATGCTGTCATGTGCAGCATCCAGTTTCGTTGGAAGTAGATATCCTTTTACTAGAGCCTGCACCGAATCGAAAGAGACCCGTGGAAGGAATGGAATATATTTGAACGACGGTACTATGTACGCAGATGTCGTTATAATTTCGGGTCTGTGTGTGGCGATGGTGGAAGGAAAGGATGCATTCGTAATCAAAACATTGTTATAAGGCTATGACCTGTTAGTACCATCTCAACTGAATGTACGAAATTGTTCTTATTACATCACTATACATTCCACCGCGACCCATCAACTCCTTGATGTCTGCGGCGAGGTTGTCTCCCGAATTGTCTTCCTCAATACGAGAAGGCCAATCTGACTTTCCCGTGCATATTAGAACCTGTTCGGCATATGCCGCCATGGTACCGTTGAGTGGTTTTGAATGATCTATCTCCAATCCTTCTGGCATCTTGGGGTTCTCAGCGCAGGAACATGTTGGAGAGGGGCATTCTGGAATGGTAGGGAATGATGGAGGTTTGTGAGTCTGAGAAACATAACGAGTACTCAAAGAAGCATATCGAATAGAAGTAGGTCCAATTGACCTACAAAATGACTGCAACAACATATGTAGAAAGTTGTAGCAAAGCAAAGATGACGATACAATGCTATCAATCAAATTCCTGTTACCCTTAAGTCTTATTTAACCTCGCTGTATTCTTATCTCCGTAGACTAACGTCGGATCTCGGAACCCGCATGTCGGGACCGACATTATGGGGCCGTAAGGAAAGCCGTGTGCCGCTTAGATTATTATATACGGAGCAGAGTACTCGAGTGTGCTTTTCTCTCTTTTCCTCGATATTGATTCTTTGAGGTCTATTAAGTATGTGAATGTGAAGTATGTGACGTCCATCGGGGTGTCTGAAGAGTACTTGGGAGCTGATAATGCCCTTGCACCTTTACGCGTTCATTAACCCTCTGGATACCTACGGCTGCATGTCTCAACAAGAAGTTGGATGTTTGAACAACGTCAATGATTATGTCATTTGCAAGTCTTATATATTGATAAGCTTATCCAAACGAAGCTATTAATAAATAGCAAGGATCGACTTCGGAGTGCGGAAACTTTCATTTCCTACCTCAATCCAATCTTCTGTTGAAAACAAACAAACGACAGCCCATTTCCTTCACCCACAATCCTTTTGAGGAACTTTTGTCATTTTGCTACAAGATTGATATCTCATACTATGTACGGTTGAAATGATAGGTGAAACCTTTAATATTTATGCCTCTTTGCCTGATCCATTCATTCACTGTTTCCTCGCCTTTCTACATGTTGCTATAAGCGACCAGGAGGCTTTCTGATATTGACAAACCTCCTCGCCTCTTTTGTTTCTGATGCGTAACCTGCTCGCTCTCGCTGGCACAAGAAAATTCCACATTGAAACTATCAGGAATACGCATTTGCACTCGGTTTCTATATGCTACAGCCATGTCCGACTCGGAGATAGATGAAGACTTAAAGAGAGCTATTGCTTTATCTTTGAAACAACCTTCACCGCCGACAATCCGTAAAAGGGAGCTCATCGATCTCACTATTTCAGATGACGACGATGACCTTGATGCGCCTGTCACGACACGTTTCCGATTCTCACAACTTAATCCCGTTCCTAATACAAGTACGGATGCCAAACCGAACACCAATTTTCAAGGTGAGCGTAGTTCGTACACCGAAGAATGTTTAACATATCATCCTGATACTGACTCTGCCTGTAGTGTCCAGCCAGTCAAGCAACACACTCTTTAATGGCTTGAATCGTAAGCAGATGGAGGAAGAACGCATAGCAAGAACTCAACAGAGGGGCAAGGCACCAGATGCCATCTCTAAGAAAAGAAAGGCACCGGTCTCCTCCCCGACATCTTCACTCAGTGAAGGCCGTCGGTCAAAATTCTCTCGACCAGAATCGATAGCCTGCAACGAGACAATCGAACGCCACCAGAAAAAGTCTACAGATCGGAGCCGCATGGGCCAAGGCATGAACAACGTACTCGATGATTTATCCAACGGATTTGCAGAACCAGACTCAGAGCCTGCCATCGGAAGTTCCGACATCTCTCAGATGCTACCTAAACATAGGCCACGAGGTAAGGTCTCAGAGGTTGGTGTGCAATTTCCTTACGGGGTTGTAAAAAAAACCTTCGCTCATGGGTATCCGCGAGAGGATGACATCAACATTGAAGAGGTACTCCAACATTCAACCCTTGAACATGCTGTAATGAGCGCCTTTCAAATAGAACCTGATTGGATTGCATCGAAGATTTTACCAACTACAAAGGTTACTTGGGTCTTACAAGCAAAATCCGAAGCCGAAGTAAGTAAAAATGTTCTGATTTATCTTCATTTGATACCGGGAAACCTTCCTTGGTATCCTTTCCCAGCGTGTTTATCTTCTCTTCTCTCAACCCAAACCTGTAACAGTATCGATGTGGTCGCGTTACGTTGTACACAATTCTCCCATTGTACAACGAACCTAAACAGAATAGTTACTTTAACAAAAAAGACAGAGTGCATGCGAGGACATCAAATGAGCTCGGAATTTCTGCGTCATAAGACCAACCACAATCGGTCGGCGCTACTCTGGATTGGATCGAGGTACTAGAAACTGCTTGGTGCTCGTCTAGGACTCATCCCGACATTGCGAAGAATTCATGCAATTCCATGGCATCTTCAATGGTTCTACCCTGCATCCCAATAGCAGTCTGTCGGTCCGTACACTACGTTCATGCTGTATATTGAATTTCACTTTCAATATTGGATTTCTTCTTTGGAACATTCAGTCCGCAAAGTTCTTAAGTTGTCGAATATTAAAGACTACCAGGTCTGAGCGGCAGCTGGAAAAAGATTCCGGCATCAAGACCACCAGTATTCCAATTATTGTCACTCTCTGCGAATCATTGGGGTGGAAAATAAGCACTCTGCTTCAAGTACCATGTTGGCTAATAATTCTTAGAAACTGAACTGGAAATCATCGGCGGCAGACAATTATCGATTTTGCTTTCCCCCTATGGATGGCAACGTTAATCTAATGCATTCAAAACTCCAACTCTTGGGGCATCCTACGCATTTACGACTAGTCATACCCTCGGCAAATTTGACGCCATACGATTGGGGAGAGAGCGGTGGGATCATGGAAAATGTGAGCGGCTCACTGTCATCTTAGAACTGCACTAACACAGGATGATGAGGTCGTATTCTTGATTGATCTCCCACGGTTGCCGAATGGCAAGAGTGTTTCTGACGACCATTTTACACCATTCGCGAAGGAACTGCTGCACTTTCTTGAAGCCATGACATTACCGCCTAAGATGATTGCGAGTTTCAGAAGTTTCGACTACTCTAATACGGCTCATCTGGCACTTATACATTCCATGTGTGTTGATTCCAGAATCCTTCAATATCAATCACATCTAATCCCGATCAGTGGAGGGTCTCACTCTGGTGCGGAATTGCTACGAACCGGCTATCCGGGACTTGGCAGATCTGTAAGCAGCCTTGGGCTGGAGACGGACAAACCTTTGGAGGTTGACATTGTAGTAAGCTACTCATTCAACAAGATATAACGTTACTATTGGATACTAACCTGAACAGACAGCGTCTATCGGTAACCTCGATGACCGATTTCTCGGAACAATATATCTAGCAGCACAAGGTAAGCAATGCCATTATGACAACTGCATCATTTCCGAACTTTCCCCACAGGAACCCTGCGAGTCTTGTTATCCGCGTGATAAGGCAGGTTATAAATCAAAGTCCGGGTTCTTATACGAGCACACAATTTTGTCTGGTCGTTTTTTTCCTCCGCTAAACGGGGCTGAATCATGACATGTGTGTACTAGGCGATAATGGATACAAGGAATACAAGTGGAGAACCGAAAAGTCCACAAGGTGCAAAACGGACACTGTGATGGAGAGACAGCTCTCCGAAGAAATTGGACGCGGCCTCCGCGTGTATTTTCCTAGGTATATTTATCAACCCTGCATTTCAGAAATGGACACTAAATACCCATATACAGCAAGCAAACAGTTGCAGAAAGCAAGGGTGGTACAAATGTATGGAAACTCCAATGATCATGCCGCGATAAGGATTTTAAATGTTATTCACTGACTCTGCGATTCACAGGCTGCTGGCACGATTTGTTTTCGATCGAAATGGTACGATGCAAGTAGTTTCCCAAGACACCTCATGCGCGACTGTCACAGTCGTAGGAAAGGATTATTGATGCACAACAAAATGATATTCGTGAGATCTCAAAAGAGCCAACCAAATCCACGACCTATCGCATGGGCATATGTTGGAAGCGCAAATCTTTCCGAAAGTGCATGGCAAGTCTTTTCTGTTTCCACACTATAATTTCCTCCCTTTCAGATTTTTCTACGTATAGCAAGATAATACCCCCCAGCGCGAACTGCCAGCTAACGTAAACCAATAAAGGGGCCGCATGGTGAAGGACCGGGTAACAAAAGAGTCTAAGTTGAATTGCAGAAATTGGGAATGCGGTGTTTTGTTTTCCGTTCCCTTCACCGATCTGGATACATCAGCTGCTGTCACTAAAGCGGGCATACCGTCCATGGATGCATTTGATGGGTCCATCCCCGTGCCCATGGTTTTCCCGGGCAATATGTATGGATCGAAACGTCCCTGGTATTACGACGAAAGTCCTTAATCAAGTCAATCTTCCGGTGCGATTTTTTCCCTAATGGAGCTTTCCGAATGTCAAGCCTAAGGTGGAATCCGTAGATGGAGGATAACCTCCTATAGCGTGCGCTGGCGTTGTAGAAAGATCTTGGTTTCGACTGCGGTATGCCGTGTGCCACGTGCCGTTGGGTGTTAGAAATTGCTCGATATAACTCTTTTATGATAAGCATACAGTTAGTTCAATGTGCAGATCTGCAGAAAGCAACAGCCATAACCGCTGGGGATCAAGGTTTCATGAAACGTGTTTGTAGGGTAGTGTCAATAATTACTGTTCCACCTTGAAGTCTGACCCCTGACTTTGAGAAAATGCGGAGAAACTTTAAGCCAGTATTATGCCTGACAGGAACAACGAATAAACTCCATGGTCGCATCATGCCGGACCCTTGCCCATACAACAATGTGCCAGTTCCTGAGGACGGTGAAGAAAGACCGCCCTCTATCATCTACGATATTTTTGGGGGTGAAAACAAGGCGAGCCCCTCCCAGAATCCTTCTACCGGCAATGGATCTGCATTGCCGACGCTGTCGACATCCCATGGTGACCTTGATCTCGTATTGATCTCATCCGAATAGTAATCTCTCATGGCTTCCTTCCCATCGCATCCTGAAGATCGGTGTATGATTACTAATGTGGGCCCAGCATCACCGTCTTGCACAGCCTCATAATGGGCATCATAGCATTCCTTGTACGGTATTTTGCAGGTACGATCTCATTATGCACGAGAACAAGTGTGGAGTATTTCACATTATCCGCGGTGCCAAAAATATCTCTCTGTGTTTGAAAAGAATTGCATTGTGGCCATTCTTGCGAGAGTGCAGTATTGACAAAATACTACAGCATGAATTTTGAGACGTTCGTCCATTGTCTATCCGCACCAATGTCCATATTCCTTGATAACAGTTAGGGAAAGCATGGTAGACAAAAACGTGTCGACCAGGCAGACTCCCTGCTCAGGTGTAATTCGCTTACAGGCCCTACTTGGCCAATTCATCGGCCGCCCTCCTCATCTCGTGGTATTACAAACAATTAAGCCCACTTATCACCGTCAAGGACATTATGTTCACGTACCATATTTCAATGAGACAATTTTGGAGCCATCATTGGTAAGGATTCGTAAGATTGCAGCTGCTTGACGTGGACACGACCACTTCTTCCCCAGAACCACCATAGGGTATTGGAGTCGTTTCGAAAGACGGCGAAACCGGTGTCCGTCTACTGAGTAGTCAGTCCTGAGATTTGGCGATCTTCACTGGCATAAATGCCGATCAGTCTGCGCGTACCACTTCCACCTTGCCCACTTCTGCCGTTGGGCAGCTGTGCACTCCCACGTCGGAAACAGCAAGGGTGCAGCGCTTGACACAGGACTCATTAAAGAAAAGCGTCTGCCGTCCAGTGAAATTGCTCTTTTAAATTTGAGAGAAGCGGATCTCAACAAGGACCACTCAAGTGAGAGCATCTGTAGCAATAGCTAAGTCCCAATGTTCCACAAGATTTAGCGGGGGGAAGTTCATTGTACGGTAGTTGTGGTCGAAGTCGGTACTGAAATCTGGTGCGAAATGAAATGTGGACAACCCCCCACTAATCTAGGATCAACCCATGAAGAGACATGAGACTCAAATCTTGATTAGGCTCAAGTGCGATCACGGCTCCGCCTGGAACTTTCGGTCAATTCTGAAATTTTCGCTAGATTGGCACTGCGCATATCTACGAATAGAATCACTAGAAATGTGCATTAATTTACTCGCCTTGGCTCTCAGGGCACTTTGCTCGATTGGGAAGATGCAGGATCTGTTGTAGGTGGACATTTGGGTCGATTGTTAATCTTCAATCTTGACAGTTGATGGGCTTAGAAGCAGGGGAAGAAGAAAAGGAGTGAAGACTTTGTGTCGCAGACTGGCAGCATCGGTAACCCTTTCAATTTATCTAACAAAATACCACCTTGAGTAAGGCTTGGCGTTTGCTGGCGGGCTCTGCAGTTAAAATTGTTGCATCTTGGTGTGGACATAATCGTATGAGCCTTTCGGGATTTACCCATGCATACTACGCCAATTGTGTCAAGCGCGGGAAGTCGATCGATATGTTTCCTTCCTGTCGGCCGGATTAAGATGAACCGATGATGAGTTTAGGCTTCATGGATTGATGATCGATGCGTTGACCTACTTGCTTTAACTCCGGGGGGCTTCGATGAATCTGATGATCAATTTCATAGCTCAATACATTCCTGCCGTTCAATACACTACAGTGTGACTACACTCACTATTGGACAGATGGTCTGATGAACGTTGATTATGACTCGCATTCGCACCGATTTGTTTAGTCTATTCGATAAAGCTCGAGGAAGTAGAACACCACGAAATCAAGAAAAGTTTTCACAATCCACCTCTTGACTCTTGAGTAAGTGTATGTGTACTCGGTACCGTACCGACAATGGCAACATTTTGCGGTCTGGATTGCCTCTATCTGCACTGTCGTGAAAGGATCCGGGGCAAATTCGAACACAGCTTCCGAATTGTATGGGCCAATTCCGATTCGTCAATCGTTCGTTTAAGCATTCGCATAATCGCACATTATTACTGTATTTCAGCACAACCTGGATGAGGTAAGCATCATTAGGTAGGTGGCGTTGCATAGTACTTTTACAAGTGTGGTCTTAAAAGACTAGTCGAATGGCGAACCACTAGTCTCAAGTTCTCAACCTCGCACACCGTCCAGGGACTCCTGTTATTCGATACTCTTGAGATAGCTCGATACAACAAGCAACTAGGGCAACGACGATCACTTTATAGCACCGCATTAGCGTCACTAATCATTTAGCCTTTCTTTCGGCCCTCACACAAATCTCTTTACAGTTTACACATCTAAAAAGCATAAGACTTATACCTAACAGCCCGTTTCTGCAACGCGGAGAAGTAAACGCATGCTTGTGCGTATTTAAGTGAGGACCACACAGACGACTTCTCCTAAAGATACCGTGAAGTTCATGCAAACACTAGAGGTCGATTTCAGGGACGGGAAGATGTATTTTAATTCTTTAGCTCTAAAGTCAAATCAAATTAGTGATCACCGTCAATTTCACAGTCGATGCTCGGATATTTTTATGTGGTATGCGTACTATTTTGGTTCGGGGCCCATGGGAATTCCAAAATGGAAACTCTAATACACCAAACAGCCACTAAATCACACTAGATGCCTGTGACAAAGGCCCAGGCAGTGCCTAAAACATAGGTGACTACGCTTTGATTGTGGTAATGGGCTACAGTATCCAGGTTTTTGGCAATCGATGTGATGAAGTCACTGTAACCCAAACTACCACCTAGCTGTAGCACATTCGGTAGAAGAGAGAATATTATGAGAAAGCTCGCTATAGTGTATACATACATATAACATCCGATGTCCCGACTTTTGATATAATTTTATTCCTTGGTGGTGTGTAGTACAGTTGACACTTGAACTGCACTCACTATCGTAGACTGAAGTGACATCCAATGATTTGGAGAACCAGGTGAGGGCCATTACTGGACACAACGACTTTCAAGAAGCCCAATCCAAACTCTTTCACCACTGATGGTTAGCCCTGTCGGGCATATAATCACCTCACTCGGACACACCGTCCCCCTTAGGTGCACAGTCACTGTCCACTGTTTCTCAAGCACAAGAAACCGAAGAGATAATTTCCAGGGAAGAAAACATAAACCTTCATGTACGCTCACATGGTACCTCCTTACCGAAAACCCCTCGGCTCAATCATATTTTGTTGTATTCAGTGAGTCCGATAATGTATGCACAGAATCCGGACGTAAAGATCTGCTACGGCCTGGATACCGAACCATGCAGACTTGTCGATGGGGAATCCTTTCATAGAGTTTGGACAAACTAAACTTCCTCTCCATTACAGTTTGACCATTATTTCCATTGGAGCCGCACAAGATGTTTCAACTTGCTTGAAACAAAACGCCCAGTAGCAGAATGCATGTACTAATACTACCAAAAACTTTTCTCCCATGAACATGTGACAGTCGAGGGGACGTTCCATCTTTCTCCACTGGAATGCCCTCCACTCCATTTGCTTTGAGTAATTGACCTATGGATAGCAAGGATTAGTCGAGTGATAGAAGTATCAGCTTAGATACCGGTAGTGCTAGATGGACTTTCGTGAGGTAACCTAATTGGCGGCTTTGACACTTCCTAAGGGAACTTGAAGGAGAAATAGTGTGAGCTTTCCTAACTTTGAATCGCTTGGCCACAAGATGATCACCTATCGAGACCAATCAACGGCACTTTCTCTACCATAGTATCTCATTATGTTGTAGGATAGTACAACAGTAGTACATATCAAGCATTTCCTCAAAGTTCAAACTAATGTCTCTTGAGACCGGTAACTGCCATCGGCAGGAAACATCGTGGCACGTCTAATCCTACAAGCATTTTCAAGCGCAGAGTTTGTATTGTTATCTGTTAATGACATAGGTGAGTGTTCGTCTATAGAATGTTACGGTAACATGCTTCTACGATATTTCCGTCTTCAGATGTCCGAATTCGCCGATACGTCGTTACTCGTATAACGACATCGGCTCCTTATGAGCCCATGCTGCTTATTCTTTGCAGACAGACATGCTAACCATCGCTCGCACCTTGTCCATCGATATTGGAGTTAAATTACTCAGCTGTGTTCTGTATGAAATTAAGTCTGCAGACTACAGGCATGATGCCTCGCTCTGCGGAGATTTCCCACTTCCAATGATCTCCACCCCAGCACCCGGTATGAGCGAAAGCGCAATGCATTGCCATCATGGGCACGCAGCTATACGCTTGTAGGGACTTGATCCAAGGCGAGCGTATTAGGCCAAGCACTAATCACTAGACCCTACCACCCGTCCTTCATGATTGTTGATTCATCATTAGATGTAATATTCTTGGAGACTTGGACGCCTTTGGAAACCTACGCCAGGGCCACAGGTAGTCCTGATCATGAGTCCCTGCATTCTATAAGTGCAACACAGCTTTATATTCGAATACATACGCTCTGCTAGTACCGGCGATGAACCATTCGAAAAATAGCCGGACCCCCCATGTAGCTGATGCACAGATGTGTGATCACTAGGAGGGATACAAAAGTCATACCTAGCACATTTTGCAAAGTCTTGGTATGTCCACTTCTAACTTTCAACCATCAACATCGATTTCCACCCGCTACCATGCATTTCAGATTAGGACGAAATTGGTTTCGTCAAAATCAAAGACTTGTACAAAATAATCATTTTTTAATGCCTGACCTACCCAGATACCAAATAAGTCTGGAATCATTAGAAAAGTCCGTCCTGTTACAAACTCCACTTTTCCGACCTCCTTCCCTCCTTAAGCTAAGCGTATTAATTCGCTGCTTTTTCCTTTTGCCTACTAAAATAATGTAGATATACCTACTATTTTAGCTCAATTTCTCCCCCACAACTTCTGTCTTTTTCCTCAATTACTTCTTTCTATTCTTGTCTCCTGCTCTTTCCTGCCTCGTCTTTCCTCGACTAAGCCAACCTTGCCTTCGTGGAAACCCAGAAAAACCTTTCCCATTCCATTCAATCGGATTCAGAATAGAATCATCCTCTTCTCTCGCTCGCCGCATATCAACATTGAAAAGAGGATCGGAACGTATAACGAAAAGCCCAAGCTCTAATTCGTTTATGTATAAACTCGTCAACCCAACACCGAGAACATTTAAATATCCTCACGACTTCAAAGATCCATTACCACGGAACAGTCATTCAGCCTCATAACTCTAATATCCCAAATCATTATACTTTGTCTTCAGCCTTATTCAATCATTTTATACTTTACCTCTAAGTCGTAGCCGTCGGGTGCGTGTGGAGCGGACAACTACTAGTTTTCTCCTCTTTCCCACCTAACGTCTTCGAAGGTTTTGAAGATTCGATATATTCAACACTCGCCGTCATCATTCGTTATTGGCTATTCAGTATCCAATTACTGCCCAGGAAACAGACAAGGGATTATCACCAAACTGTACTGCTACGCACACCATCTTCTCCCGCCGGCCCATCCCTTTCCTTGGCCTTCCCGTCGTTGATACATAACTACAACCTACCTATCACACTTTACACGGTATCGGACCAAGCTGCACGATGGCTTCAACCGGCGTTTCCATACCCATGCCCATGCCAGTTGCAACAAATGGTACCCTCGAGCCGACCTGGCATGGGTACATTGGCAACACACAAGATGCAGCCATCCTTCTCGAAGCTTGCTTTACAGGAACCCTCAACCATCTTGCCCGTCGCCCCCATGATAAAGAAAGACCTGAACTCATCAAGAGCGGAAACATTTTCATACACGAAGCAAACTCATCCGGAGTAAAACGATGGACCGATGGTATAACATGGAGCCCAAGTCGTATGGTGGGAAACTTTCTTGTCTATCGAGAGTTGAATAAACCATTTGCGCCAGGAGAGAAGAAGAGAGCCACGGCGAAAGACAAGAGACTGGGCATTCAAAAGAAACGTGGTGGTCCTGGAGTAAATACAAGTCGCGTTTTCTCTTCTATGCATGGAGCACTAAACAAAGAGATGGAACGATCACTAGTCGGTTCGCTAGTCGATTCGTACGACTTTAAGGAGGATGATGTTTGCCTTATCAAGAAGACAATCACCATCAGTGTAGGAGACCTTACTCACCACATTGTATCTTATTACACGATCGACGATGTCGTCTCCGGTAGACTCTCAACCCCACGATCTGAACCTCGATTCCAGCACCTCAAGCCACGTAGGGATATTGTCCTTAGCAAAAGCTACAAGCACCCTCTTGATGATCCCAACGTTTTGAGCGAAGATGACGACGTACGTGAAAATCACTCAGCATTTCACAATAACTCTGGTCGGGGCGATTATTATTATCAAAACCGAAATGCGCCGAGACTACCCGCACCATCCTCGCATGGAATGCCATATCAATCTAACAATTTCCCGCTCAGTAACCATTACGCAATAAATGTCAACCCCTCATCATACAACATCACATCATATAACTCAAACGTTCCTGCAGTAAGTTCAGCTGCTGGCTCATATAACACACCTCTTTCTGGAACAAGTCCGAATACCATCACGCCTTACAACACGGGAATTCCTGTGTCGGGTCCAAATGGTGGCTCTTCTTATCCTCCGTTCGCACAAGTCCCAGGCATGTACGATGCACCAAAACCGGAGGCATACAACAATGTTTACAGACATCAGCGCCACAATTCCAACCCTAACATGAATGTGACGCCGCTTGCTCAACGACCAACGAATTATGGCCAGCAACCGCTTGTCTCTGGGGTACCTGATATAGTATCAGGCATGGCTGGAATGTTCCAGGGCCAAATGGCCTCGAGAAACTTCAATGAATCCACTTATTCTCCTACAGGCCTTTACCAATCGAGGGATACACCTAATTCTTCTCACGGCTATCCTCAGGCGCAACGAACCCTGCCGCCTAGCCAACCATATAATCCACAAGCCGCAAATCAATATACTCAAAGCATGGAAGCCTCGCCGGGCAATGCCAGCACTGGCCATGCTCACTACATCATGAACTCTCATGCAGGTTGGCCTTCTCCACACGGGGTATAGAGGCTGTTTGTTGGTAAGCCACAGACATTCCAATCTGCCATGTCGAGGTTCTCATCCATTATCGGAATCGGACCACTCATCACTTGGCCACGATTTTCCTCCTCTCCGTCGACACGCTCCTTCAAATCATCATTGGGAGCAAGGACGGTGATCAAGTAAAATTTCACTGTATATTTCGACAGTCCATATGGCGTTTTCGTCGAGAAAAGTCTTATGATTGTCACTTTGGCGTTCCTTCTATATTGATAGGAAGCTTTGTTATCTTCGTTTTGGTTATTTGAAAAGGGTTTATGGGACGAAGTATTTACTTGGGGCTGATACATCGGTTTCATCAGACCTTAGTTTCATTTCAATTGTTTAAATACATGTATGTATATATGGGTTACGGGTGCTACCGGCGCAGGCGGATAGATACTGGTTACGGGCGGTTGTTGGCTCAGGCGTATGTGTACTGCAAATCTTCAACAGCGATATCTTTGAGATAATCGCAGGGGCGGATACCATTTTTATACCACTGTTAGACGATGATTCGGACGGTACCATTCATTTTTGTTTTGTTTTTGTTTGTTTTTTTTCAAGCGTCGTTGATTTTATTCCCCGACACCGATGTGTGCTCAACAGTTCCATGGAGATTAAGAGAGAAAGAGGATCTCTTTTCAATGGGTCAAAGTTTAAGAATCATATATCAATGTTTTTGATCAATGTTTTCCACGAAAAAGAAAGGGTTACGTTATCCATGGATGGGAGAGGAGATTTTGCTTTATATTTGTTTATTGGTTGTTCTTCTCATTGGTATCTGTATTCATCTTTTTCATAGATGTATTTATTGTATTAATTATACTGTTATCATAAACTTATTATATTATAATTTTATATCAATGATTATCTCCAAAGTGTGCTGTAGTGATTTTCTATCGATATATAGAGTAGTGACTGATGAAAACCTAATACTTGGAACAACCAATAAAGAGAATTCCATTTCTATTAGTAACATACATATACAGAGCATAGAGAGAGAGAGAGAGAGGTTTGTAATAAACAGCTTATCATTGTGATACCTATCACAAACAAACAAACGCGCGGTCGCGGCTGTTGTGTCCCGGGAAGAGAACCCCGCCTTCCCCGCCGCCAACAACTTTATATTTGATTAGAAATCTACCTAGATACCCGTACATTTTTGATCCATCCATCCCTTTTAATAATCTTACAATAATTTAGATACTAAGGTATCAAAGGTTCTTCCTCCCTCTTTCCCTTCGAAAAAAAAAACACAAAATTATATTACCGCCCTTTATTTTTCAAAAAGTTAACTGTTTGATTGGCTTTAAAGTTTATGCTCATTGGGTTTTTGGTAGTTGGTTGGTAGCTGGTTGGATTGGGACTGGACTTTTTCTTTTAGAGTAATAGGAAGGTATTAGGATGCGATGAGTTCGTCGCGGGTGATATCGATGGTAGAACAGCGGGGTTTGATGTTGTCGAGGGGGGCGGTGGTGGGTTTAGGGATGGGAATGGGAATGGGAATGGGAATGGGAATGGCGGCGGGGAGGGAACGCTTGGTCTTGGTGCATGGGCTAGGGGTACGATGTTTTTCGAAATCGATGTTGATTTGTAAAAAGAGGAGTACCAGTAGTGCAGGTTTGGCCTTGGGTTTGCGATGCTCGGGGAGGGTTGGGGGTGCGCTTTTTTCTGATATGTGAGATTGCTGTTTGCTATCTGCTATTTGGTGGTGGTGATAGTGATGCGTGGGTGGAAAGGATATGGATCGAATGCTAATGGGTTGTAGGTCTCGACGCCAGAGAGGGATTGTGAGGTATGCGACGGAGAGTAATGGGAAGAAGGAAAGGTAAGGGATATTTTTTGGCCTTTTTTTGGTGGGAGCTAGGATGGGGTGTTTCTTGGAAAAGTTGTTTATGTCACGTGATCGGATTGATGTGGAGTTGATGCTTTCGATGGGTCAATTGGTGGAAGGTGGTGAGCTGGTGGCATCTAGGATTTTCTTTGGCTGCTGATTGATGGTTCTTCTACTACAGTTGATTTAATTGCTCATCCATATCAGAAAAGCTAACGCAAATACCCTCTAGCAAACAACCAACACCCACACCCTCAAAACCTCTCAAAGTCCTCAAATCCATCAAGTCGCTCACCCCGCATGAAAATATCTATACCATCCCCAATATCCTCACCTTTTCTCGTCTCATCGCCGCCCCCGTTTGCGGATATCTTGTTCTGCATGACCAGCATGCGTGGGCTGTCGCACTCTTTGCTTATGCTGGGATTACGGATTTGGTAGATGGATGGATTGCGAGGAAATGGAATTTGCAGACGGTCGTGGGAACCGTTATCGATCCAATGGCGGATAAGACTTTAATGACGATTTTGACGGTTTGTTTGGCGATTAAGGGGGGTTTGCCTGGTATGTTTTCTCGGATTTATATTTGCCTTGTTGTGTCCACGTTTGGTCTACTCCATTTCCGAACATCTCAGCCATCGAAATTGCTCTGTTTTAGAATTCCCCCAAAACACAAAACTAAACAACTTCCTTCCTATCTTAGTCTGGCTCGCAACCATAATCCTCGGTCGCGACATCGGACTCGCCATCTCCGCCATCTACTGGCGATGGATCTCTCTTCCTCCTCCTAAAACCTTTTCTCGTTATTGGGATTTCTCTCTTCCGTCTGCAGAAGTACATCCAACTACTATTAGTAAGTATAATACGGCACTACAGTTGGGGTTGATTGGAGCGACGACTGCGTTGCCATTGATTACTTGGGATGTCGGGGTTGCTATGACAGGGTTTCAGTGAGTTTTTTTGAGTTTTATTTTTTGGTTTTTTGCCTCTTGCCTTGGGAGTTTTTCGTTCTGTAGGAGATTGGGGAGGAGAGGGGTTTGAGAGTGATGAGGGCGTGGTATGGTGTGGTATGAAGAGGAAAAGGGAAAAGGGAAAAGAGAACGTGAAAGAGATAGAGGATGAAGAGTACATAGAGAGCGAAACGACGAAAAAGAAATGGTAGAAACGGGTATACTAACAAACAAACTAGATACCTAGTAGCCACGACCACCATTTGGAGCGGAATGAGTTACATTTACACCAAAGACGCCGTAAAGATAGTAAACCAACAACAAGATCCTATAAAGAAAGAGAAGAAGCAGGAACAGGAACAGGAACAGCAATTAAAATAGAAATAGTGTTAGGAAAACGCACGAATAGATGATGGATGATGGATTATATATAGTTGTAGGAACTCGGGCTGTACATATATACATATATACCTATTAAGAATAGACATTGTACTTTCGTCCCAAAGACGATATATGTATAATTAAATTTTACAATTATCGCACAGTAACCAAGCATCTTAATACCAGTGTTTGAACTAGCAGCTCATAATTAGCTGCTGCCCATCTCCTCAGCGATCACCTCGTGTTATCTCATGCTTCCTGGCCACCAACATCACTACTAGGTATGTTTCTCCTGTCTAACCTGGTCTGACCTGAGCTATTTCCCAATTCCACAAGCCAAAATGCAAAAATGTAAAAGTGTCCTAAAGACAACGGAAATCTTCAACAGAAAACCAGGAAAATAAACTTTTTAAAAACTAAACAGGTCTTACAAGGACAAGGTTATCGCTGTATTGTATTCACATAGGCTCATCAATACCTATATTATACATACATACCTACATATACATACACAAAATACCACAGAGAATAAGAGATTTATTATCAATCGGAAAGTAATCATAATGAATACATCACCCTCCCTTCTACAGATATTTTGTAAGACGAAAGCAAAACAAAAAACATTTAGAAATGAAATACTTTATAAGATTCAAGTCTTACTTGGAACTTTTTTTCTCTTTTGTTCATTTCATCAAAATATAAATATAAATACAAGTATACATACAAATATATATAAATAACACTTTCCTCCCCCTTCTCTTCCTCTTCCTCTTTCTCCTTCCCTATATCTTCTTCTCTTAGTATTTTGAGGAGAAAGGGCATAGCATTCATCCTCGAGAGATTTGAAAAGAGGATCTATAATTTCATTCTATGATCATAAATGCTGTGGATTATGAGTAGATGTAATTACATTGAATGATTCGATCCACTGAAGGTTCTCAACCTTCTTGAATGTTTCAATGCCCTTGAAAGATTCATAATTCTTTGTGAGATTATATCCAAAAAAATATATATATGAAAAGAGTTTGGCCAGGAAACCCCTGACAGCGATAGGAAAGTATATCATATACAATATCGCAGCCAGTATGGCAAAAGATTATGTTTATTATAACGGATTCATTTCTGTTTAGCTACCAATGATAACTCTAACTAAAAGCTACTTGAGAGTATCTGCGACGATAAAATCCAGTGACCAAGAAACATAATCTGAGATCCGAGAATTTTTTTTATGTTTTTATTTTAAGTATTGCTGGTTCCTCCCACACAGCTAGGCAACACCATTTCTCCTCCCCCAGTAATCCAATTCAATTGCTGTAGCCCAGGCAGTCGAGTCTTGCCTTAAGAAATGAACAAAACAATTGTCGCAGTATGAGATTTGAGGTATGACCATCAATCGTAAGAACATTTCCGAAATCGCTCCCCAATAATACAAGGCAAACCAGCCCTAACATTGCGAGAACTAACAAGGGTATACCAAGCCATCATCTCTATAAAAATGTCACAAACCCTGAAAGTCACATGCACCAACTCGTAACCATAACGCTCTCACTGGAGGAAGGGAAAAGTGCATGATAACCAGAACGCCAATATAGTAATCCTACCTGTGATGACATATAAGCCATCACCCGAACGCCATTTGAAAAGAGAAGTGAAACTTAATTGGCGCAAAAGACTACCTTGCTGATCCAGAAAAGCCAGGAGAGTCCAATTTCAGGATTCGCCTTAAATCATTCTCCATGCCTCGATAATCGGGATTGCCAGTTCCAGGTATGGTACTAGAAGATCCTTGTGGCACAGGGGAAGAATCCGTGACTTGAGTAGCATTATTAGGATTATTGGCAATCGCAAACTTATTTCCATAGATCTGAGAGAGACTCTGAGATGGCCCATATGAATTCGCACGATCCGGCGTTCTTGTAGGGGTTTTTGTTGGTGAGACTTCTTGGCGAAGACCAGATCGAGAGGATTTGGGGATATCGCCCGAGCTTCGTGAATCACCTTTGAGTTTGTAGTTCATTTGCGGGGACCTTCCGGGGAATCCAGCACTTCTGGGACCAACAGGAGAGCTTTGTCCACCTTGATAGGATATTGCTGAATTTGCTGTTAAGCTTAAGGCAGGCCTAAGGTTACCGTTGGTAGATGGTTCCTCAGAAAACAAATAGGCTTTAAGTTGCTCCGATTTGTCTAATGATGACTGAGAGTTGCTTGGTGAGGGATGGTGTGGTTGTAAAGGACTCGAGGTCTTCCGTGCTGCTTTGATCCTCTCGTTATAAGGAGTGGAGAATGCCGGCCCCAACGGCAATCCGGGACTATTAGATCCGTCTAGCTCCATGGAAAACATACTACTTGCTGAACCACGAGAAGTGGGCATGTTTTTATTGCGGTATTGACTGGTAGGCTGCCGTGGAGTTCTCGTACCACCAGGCGAAGCAAGTGGGGGATTGAAAGGTCCAACAGAACCGGTTGCATTTGAGTTTGTACTTCGGGCTCGAATTTTTTCAGCCTTCTCCAGTTTATCTGCTTTGAAGAAAAGGTCAAGGGGTGACTCCTCTCTATGTGACAAATCACTAAATATTTGTGCTGAAGACGGGGTTTGTGAAGATTCGTCTGCCGACGAATCTGGCTCTTTGATCGCATTTCCAGCTCTGATTGCTGGCGATTCTGGGACAGACTTTGAATAAAAACTGGGCATAGGCAGAGCCGACGGGGCAGGGGATGCGTGGAAAGTTGGCCCTGCATAAGCCTGAGCTGCCAATGGTGTTTGAATAGGTCTGGCAGCAGTTGAACCACCGGTAGATTGAGCGCCAGTCAATGGCGGGGTAGTTCTGTCATTCCTTGTTGTAGCAGGAGACGTCTGCACATTTTTGGATCTTTTCTTGTTGGTCGACTTCCTTGAACTATTGTCGGGTAGGGCTGAGTTTGGTTTGCTTTGAGACGCTGGCTGATTCTGCTGGGCTCTTCGAGGAGTTCGAGGAGGGGTAGTAGGTTGATCAGAATGAGTCATCGAGGAGTGCATATTCTCCGAGTATGCTTTGCTGTTGAAGTCATGCGGGCTTTGAGCTGGGTTTCGAGGCGAGGCTGTTACAAGCTCCGCGGCTGAGGTTTGGATTTGACGTTGCCCTTTGTGGGGAGTCATCGAGGACATCTCTTCTTGACGCCTTTGCATATGTGGTTGGATGGATAAAATCTGTCTTTTAAACAATAAAATCTAAAAGATTGTTCTTGATTAACAAGAGACGAAAGATTTCCCGTATTTGTGCTATTGCGGGCGTGGATCGGACGGTACGAATGACGGACTAGAGATAAGGAGGTGGTTGTTCGCTGGGGATATCTCGTAATCTAGTAGAAGAGTAGTTTTTCGGTGGAATCTATTTAGTTGTATGTGGTGGATTGGTTGAAGTAAGTTATTCATTGTTCGGTATATGGGTTATAAGATTTATGGTTTTAGCAAGAGAGAAGAAAGAGGCTGAAGGAAGGTGAGTAAATACGATACGCAGCAACCGCCCTACGGTATCGTCTCACTTATGGGGTTTAGGTATTAGTCATCCTTTCAATCAAAGCCAATTACCTAGGTAGAAACCTACCTAATAAGTACGGTAACTAATAACAGCCTTAACCAAACTAAGCCTAAAGTAAATTGATTATACACGTGATCTACATGCGACACCACGGGCACTACGGCGAACTACTAAAGCTTCTATAATTTTAGGTTACGGTATAACAAATAGTACCGTCATATTCCCTTGATTGCTATCGACCCTACGCTCAAATCCATAAGCCCTGGAGAAGCTCTTTCTCTCGAATTTCGAAAAAGCACTATTCATCCACAACAAAAAGGACATCAACTTCATTAAGGCCGATCAATAACCCATCGCATATTAAACTCGCATAATCATTCGCTCGGCGCCCTCGAAAAGTACCCCGCCAACACCAATAGTTTAGATAACCCATCGAAACCACAAATATTCCCGTCACCATGGCAGACGTAGATATGACAGACGCCCCACCAACTACAGTGAAGAAGGGTGGTGCAAAGAAGGCAGCGGGTGGTGAAGGTTCGGAAGGCAAGAAGCGCTTCGAAGTGAAGAAGGTATAAATCCCCTGAAAATTCACATCTGCACAGCTCTAACCAAATGTTTAGTGGAATGCGGTAGCTTTATGGGCATGGGATATTGTTGTTGACAATTGTGCTATCTGCAGAAATCATATTATGGATCTTTGTAAGCTTGAGCGTTTCAAAGGGGAAGTCAATACTAACCTTCACAAAGGCATCGAATGTCAAGCAAACCAAGCCTCTGCCACAAGTGAGGAGTGCACTGTAGCCTGGGGAATTTGTAACGTTAGTAACCCCTTCCGCTAATTCTATCTAAGCTAATATTGAACTCTGGAACAGCACGCATTTCATTTCCATTGTATTTCCCGTTGGTTGAAGACACGCCAAGTTTGCCCGCTTGATAACAGAGATTGGGAGTTCCAGAAGTATGGCCGTTAAGTCTGGGGTTTGGGAATGCGATTGGATTGCATGGGATTTGAGGGAAGACGATGAGGCTACGGTCACGAGCGGAGAATAATATACCAAAAGGAGCGGCATAAATATCATTTGTGTGGTTCATCCAAGGATTCAATATGGAGGAACTTGCAGAATTTCTAGCAGGGTTGGCGTTATGGACACAGAAGTAGAACGAGAATTCGGTACAACGTAGCTTTCACTTCAAAGCTCTGGTTTGTGCCAATATATTATCTGCATTTGTGGTATTCCCAATCCTATGACGCCTCCTGTGTAGATATCCTTAAGCAATCCTTCAACCAACAGTCTTGCCATCCACAATAATCCCTTGCGATGCATCCCTTCCCCCTAAAGGTAACCATCTAACAGGATGTCTCTTGTAGAATGGCCATGGAGGCACAACTATGGCGAAGGTGAAGGCCGTTCCAAGCAAGCCGAAGGCAAGCGCAAGTTTAATATCTTGTTTGAAAAAGCCTACGAAGAAGGCAATGGCCTATTACTATCAATCAGTACTTTCCGAGTGACTGGGGGGCATTGGATCATTTACTCCGGATATTGCGAGTAAAGCGGTTGTTAAGAATTCGGCCAGTCTCTGTCCTTCAAAGTCCTAGAGGTGGAACAGGAAATTAGCATTCAACCAGTGTCAAACCAGCTTCTCATCTCCCAGGAATAAGAGTGAAGTGCATATGATCGATTGTATACTAACAATTTGTCCTTCGGCAAGATCCCGAACCTGGTCAAGAATTTGGTCTGCCATATTCGTAGTTTGTCTAAAATAGGATGACAGGTATACAGTGACAACAAATCAAGCCTTTTTCTAGATAAGGAAGTCGATTTCGTGAAAGGTTACCAATTTCCAAGGTGTCCCTTGAGCTTGAGTTAAGGCCACACTTCAGCCTTGCTGTGGCTACTAATCGCCTTGGCCGAAAATTGGATAACCGGGATTTAGAGCACATGCATAAGATTTCATAGATTTTGGGTGAGGCATGAGCGATTTTGGTACAACTAAATGTACAATTTACATGATACTGTTACTCAAATGGCTTGATATTGAAGTTATCATGTAGCTGGCATGAGCTGTACGAAAACCTCCAAGTCTTGGCTAAATCGATAAGATGTGAGTAGACAAATTCAGACATGTATGGTATGGCGATAATTCACAGCTAGAGAAGAGGCGGAAAAGAGGGAGAAAAGAGGCAGAAAAGAGGCTTGAGGGATCCGAAACGAACAAAGAGTTATTGGATCTCTTAAAAATGCCGCGATGTATCAAATTAAGAACGGTTCGTTCTACCAATTAACATTCAATATTAAACTTCAAGATGTCATCCGATTGCACCAAAATAGCAATTAGACAATTACTCGAGGAGAATTCAGACAATCCAATGAGCCAATGAACCACCCCCGTATCCGAAAAAAGAACTTGTATCTTTTAAGAGTATTGCAAGGTCTTGACCTTCTGATATCAACACACAATCATCCCACACCGAATACCTTTTATGGTCCCGCGCAGAAGGATTCTGCTCCAGAAAGGTGTTCATGTGGTGTAGTTAAATTTTTGTTATGAAAGGAGAGGGGGGAAATGGTCCAGTGCGTACAGGAAAAAGTGCCGTTTACATGTATATATAAAATGGCTGAGAATGGTAGGCCAATTTCTTCATTGCACCAACCAAGCATTCCTTAGCAATTCACCCGTGTGTACTTCTACTATGCTATCTCCTATGCTATCTACTACGACCCCAGAACCGAACTTGCAAGAAGATGCAAGAGTCTCAGATGTCAGGTATTATTAGGTAGTACCGGTACTTTCTGTGCAGTAAGCGCCTCCCGTGTCGTCTCCACCAAGATTTCTTTCAAGCTTTCTTCCTCCACTTCTTCTTCTTGCACTCCTTGAAAATTACAACCCAAAAACCAACATCTTGGTTTCGACCTTCCAACTTGTTTTTCATCCAAAAGATATCTTATATTTGACTTATTATCTTGATCCATCATTTATTTTAAGACCGGGCAACATCCAAAAATAAGTTATTCGGCCTTGGGCTGCAACCTTAGCCTGAACGAGAGAGGTACGCTTAGGGTTTTCCAACATCACCTCACAAAGGCCGAACCTTTCTACAAGTTTCCGCCCTCGAAAAACTTCAACTTGAGATCGGCCACCCACAAAACCTCTTTTTCCACTCTTCCAATCTTCCAACAACCTAAGCCACGATCGACTTTATTCAAATACCGTCCCATATCGAAATATTGAGATTGTCGCATCAGGACTGTCGAACTCGAACGTCAAATTATTTCGGCACTCATCGCCTCGGCGGCTTCATAAACAACAAACCACCAAGTTGGCGGGACTCGTATTTCAAGACTTTTCCTTCATCCGTCCCCTCCTCGGTCCAGTGAAGATCTGGGCCTACTGCGGAGGCGACAAGAAACCCCCATAATTGCACCTAAAGCAATCCAAATCGAAATATATAAACTGCGCATTTACACATAATCCAAAGGGGTAGCGGATGGACGAGTAGCCATTCTTCGTTAGGAATCACACTGTACAGGGACGACCTGTGCAAAGTCAACTATCAAATTGACGCCAAACAAGCGGTGGGCGCTCGTTGCGACCTGCCTAGAACTTTGAAAGCTTTGGCTTCCTAGAAAATTTGTATGCAGTCGTTGTTGTAATTGTCGGAGCTTACTGGCTAATCTGGATGCAGAACTTAATCCAAATATATTTTATTCAGTTCATACCTCAAAAATGTCTGAACACGAAGATACATCCCTCGATACTGGCTACAGCACGCCGGTGCCAGAGTTGGATGATCACAGATACCAGTTGCAGCCTCTGCCAAAGGCTCGCTCCCGCAGTGGCACTATTGATACTTTGCATGCCCCATCCTTCCGGGCTCCACAAAGCCCAGACCTAACACGCGTGAACAACACTCTTCTTCAGACAATCGCAAGAGATTTCGAGGAAGCCGTTGTCGATGAGGATGCGAGGGGAGTTTCTCCAATTGCTATTCGATTGGCAGATAGAAGTCGTCGAGGAACCGCGGATACTGCTGAGATTCGTTCTCTATCACCACCAAGTTCAGTAAAGGCCTTCGCTGATGCAAGAAGAAGGGAAAGGGAGATGTCCATTTCGGACCCAAGCTCTGGAAAGGCATTTGCAGATGCTAGACGACTTGAAGATCATAATGCTCTTCATAGAACTGAATCACGCGCGAGTCACCGCAGCCATCGCACTTTCCGTAGCAGACGTTACACCAACGATAACGATGCAAAGAGCTTCGCAGGCTCATGCAAGTCAGCAGAAGAGGATGTTTGCTTTCCACTACACCCTTCCCCAACCAAAAATACGCTCCAGATTAATTTTGACACTCTCGAGGATTTCATTGAAGAAGAGGAAAATCGTGCTAAGACTCCAGTCAACCACGCGCAACCTCGAATTTTCCACGACTTGAGAAACAATGGTGCGATACCCATGATTGTAACATCGGAAGGTACAGCTGTCGAGATTCCTTCAGGCCCACCTTCTATCAATGAAAAATTGGACTTATCTAGCCTTGAAGAGATTACACGACCGCAGCAGCCACATCTCGACACTAACAGGTTTGAATACTTCTCCTCGCATGGAGTAGATACTATTCATGCTCCAGAATTCGGGGATCTCATTCTCGAAGGAGAAGACATTCGACACCTATTCGCCCGCCCACAAGGACAACAAGGAGAGGGCGTTTGGTGGTTGAACATGAACAATCCAACAGAGAACGAGATTCGAGTAATCTGCAAAGCATTTGGAGTCCATCCCCTGACCATTGAGGATATCACAGCTCAGGAAACACGAGAGAAAATTGAACTTTTCCCTTCGTACTACTTCGCTTGTTTCCGTTCCTTTTCCGTCGTGGACATTGAGGATGGCCAGGAATACGATCCATTCAACATTTATGTCATCGTTTTCCGAGAGGGCTTACTAAGCTTCAGCTTTTCACCGAACACACATGCAACCAATGTTCGGCAGCGCATCACGTTGCTTAAGGATTACTTGTCTTTGAACAGTGATTGGATATGCTATGCTTTAATGTAAGTTTGCCTAATTCGTTTTAAGATCATAGACTAATAACTTACCAGCGATGACATCGTGGATTCTTTTGCACCGGTTATCCACAAAATCGATAATGAAACAGATACTATTGAGGATCAGGTGTTTATCGCTCGGAGTGATGATATGCATACCTTTCTACGAAAAATTGGAATGGTTCGAAAGAACGTCATGGGATTAATGAAACTTCTTGGAGGCAAAGCCGATGTTTTGAGAGGTTTCACGAAGCGTTGTAACTCCAATTACGAAGTCACCCCTCATATGGATATTGGTCTTTATCTTGGCGACATTCAAGATCACGTTGTCACTATGATGACCAGTTTGGGACACTCTGAGAAGATGCTCTCTCGATCACACAGCAATTACCTGGCACAACTCTCTATCGACAACATTACCCAAGGAAACAACGCAAACAAGGTCCTCAGCAAAATCACTCTCCTCGCTTCCATCCTGGTTCCACTCAACTTGGTATGTGGTATGTTTGGTATGAATGTTAATGTGCCTTTCCAAAACGCTCAGAGTCTCATTCCTTTCTTCACAATTTTGGCTGTATTGGTGGTATTCAGTCTTGCTTCTCTGGCACTTGCAAGACGTTATAGATATATTTAGATTTTCGTGGAGGAGAAGAAGTTTTTGAACTAATAATACTTGTGGGGAGGTTGAGAAGTTTGGTTTATGTAGCACAGAAAAAAGGGCTAAAGTCGTGGTGGTACCATTACAGATCTCTTGGATATATAGATGTCTCTAGATTTTGATAGTGTTAATATTGACTAGATGCTACGGACTTATGACCTCAGTATTGTGATGATTGACATTTCCTCCAAATTCAGACAGATGGGACGGCCGCAGAGTGTACCCCACGTGACCCTATGACGCCGATGCCGACATCCTGTGAACCCGGCAAAATTTCTGAAGCTCTCTCAAGCTTCAAATATTGAATCAAACAATTCCAGCCCGAGCAAACCACCACATTCCCTCTCTCACACATATACAAGGACAATTTCCCTATTTCTCGAACCAATTCTCTATAGCACAAGTGCGAAACCTCAATACATAACAAACGAAACACAAGCAACACAAGCAAAAATGGACTCTTCATCTCTACAGCAAACACCAGATCTCTCCAAGTTGTCGGATAGGGATAAGCAGGAATTGCAACAGTTTATTATGAATGAGACGCAGAAGGCTAGGATTCAACAGTGTATGTATTTTTCCTTTCTTTTTTTGGTTTGTTTGAGGGGGTTTTGTTTCTTTTTGCGTGGGGATTTGGCTTGATTGCTTATTTGGTTGGCTGTTTGATTTTGAGATGGGGATTGGGATTGAGATTGAGGGTAGAATTGGGAAATAGGAATTAGTCTACTGATTGCCATTCCATTCCTTCCTCCCTTTACCGCGCTCCCTCCTCCATGATGATTTGAAAGGAGAGTGGGCATTATCAGCAGGATTTAAAACAAGAATCAAGAATCAAGAATCAACAAAAACACCAGCTGACCAAACCAAAACTACAGCCGTCCACTCCCTCACAGATGTCTGCTGGAAAAAATGCGTCACGGGTAGTATTCGCAGCGGGAAACTGGATAAGAGCGAGGAGAGCTGCACCATGAATTGTGTAGATAGGTTTTTGGATAGTAGTATGGCGGTTATTACGCATTTGAATGCTATGCGGGCGAATGGAGGGGTTTGAGGATTTTGATGTGAGGTTGGTTTGGGTGGGGAGGGGGGAGGTGGGTTCATGGATGGGAGGTGGATGGGGAGGGTGTATTATATGACGAGATGCGATGCGATGCGTGGATTTTATGGTTTTGGAGGAATATCTACTATAAGACGCCGGTTCGGACTCGATATCTATCTGGTAGATGTGATTTGTGGAAAGGTGAAGAGACGGACGGACGGACGAGGTCATAGAGTAGGAATATGAATGGGGATGAGGCATGCATGCATGAATGATGTCTTTGTATGAATAGCAAATCCGGGCGGGCTATGGCAGATTAGATGGGATTAATGAATGAGATGATATGATATGATATCCTTATTTGAACCCCGCTCTTGGTCGGGCTGTAGAGGATATTGATGAATCGTTCTTGGCATTATAATATACGTCTAGATGAGGATGTGCAAATTTAGGTGCGGTACTTGTCTCTGGGCAGAAGCTTCAGGTTGTGAGGGACTAGGTTAATGCAGGATCATGTGCTGTCCATCACTGTGGTTGTGCAATGTAGAACCTGGGGTTTTCATGCAAATTATTTTCAAGTGCAGGTCGAGCCAGTTCACTCGATGCGAAACCTCGATGTCAGTTCCACTGGAGCAAGACATAGATCGTAAAGAGCCGTCACCAAGAGCACATATAATCAAGTGCATCAGGAATTGTCATTGGCGGGATAGTACTGCATTGGTGTACATATTTTTAAATTCATCTCATTACGCCGCATGGATGTGGGTATCAGCCAATCGTAGAAAAAGCTGGTCATTTATCAACCATATAACTTTTTATTCCCTCAAATCCAGATTCCCAATTCCACTCCCATTTTGACAATTTAGACGATTGCGAGCTTGGTGGCAGCAATGTCAAGAGCATCAACATCTGCGGTAAGACGGGCAAAGGCCTTCTTGGATCCATCTGGTCTGTTATCGATATATTAGCAACTGTTAAAAAATTTGTTCATCAATTTAGGCGTACCGGATGAGGGTGTTGATCTTGACGGTGTCAATGTCGTAAAGCTTCTTCAAGGCCTCCTTGATTTGAGCCTTGTTTGCCTTAATATCGACAATGAAGACGAGGGTGTTGTTCTCCTCGATCTTCTTCATGGCGCTCTCGGTGTTCAATGGGTGGATGATGACCTTGTGCTCATCGAGACGAGGTTGAGAGACGATGGAAGTACGTGGGTACTTTGGTGCACGGGAGAGTTGAAGTGTCTTGGGTCTGTGGAAAGTGGTCGAGAGACGGACCTTGCGGACCTTGTGGGAGTGGACCTGATGGAATTGTTAGCATCAAGCGTCAATAACAGCAACAGATAGAAGAACTTACACCCTTCAAGGTAGCCTTAGCAGCGGCATTGGCCTTCTTGTTACCACCCTTGGCGGCAGCACCTATTAAAACTTACGCATCAGCAAGCGCTCTTGAAGAACTCGCAATATCTGCTACTGCTGGTGCGCATCTTTCGCATTCCTTCGCGTTGTATTTGGAAATATTTTCATATTTTCGTATTTTCAAAGCGGCCCGCAATATTCCCCAAGGACAATATTGCGATCAAGAATGCGATCAATGCTTATTTGAGAGAAAGGGAACTGTACCTTTCTTTGCTGGAGGAGCCATTTCGACGAATATACTTCCTGGTGGATTAGTATTGGATTTGAGTTGTCGAGGAATTGATGGTTTACTTCAAAAATCCATCGAGGTAAAAAGATCAAATTGAAAGATCGTGTGAAAAAGTTTCGCTAATCGGCAAAACTGTATTTCCGACTTCCGAAGTATCGGGATGCATTTTTCCCTCGGATTTCTTCAAGTAGATTATATATATATTAGCTGAGTTTCGTTTCTTTTTATAATTGGTTCAATTCATCTTTCACCTTGTGGAGATCCTTAGATTTTAAAAGATTCATATTGGGTTTTGTATTTGTTTTGAAGTTCTTAAATCTTTTACCATGGGCGTCAATAAGAAAACCAAACTAAAGTCCCTCTCACAAGGTCGACCACCAACGATCAAGAAACCAGCTCAACGTATATCAAGCAAAGCTACTCGAACTATTATTCGTAATCATCATACGTTGGAGAAACGAAAGGCTAAAGCTTTAGCTGAGGGAGACGAAATTACAGCAGCAGCACTAACACGTGAAATTGCTTCACAGGGTGGATTGGAGAGCTATCAACGTGCAAGTCTAATCGGACAGGGCAATGATAGAGGTGGTGATAGCAGCAAAATCTTGATGGACTGGCTAGCGCCGCTATGTAAAGATCTCAAGGGTTTAGCAGAGAAGAACTCGCCAGTCCGCATGTTGGAAGTTGGAGCACTGAGTACTACAAACGCTTGCTCAAGAAGTCATACCTTCCATGTTGAGAGAATTGATCTAAATAGTCAGTCGGAGGGAATTACACAGCAAGACTTTATGGAACGACCGCTACCAAAAGATGAGACCGAGAAATTCAACATTATCAGTCTTTCCCTTGTGTTGAATTATGTTCCAGATGGCGTAGGCAGAGGTAATATGTTGCTCCGGACTCGAAAATTCCTGGAAACAATCTGTCCGGCTGGTGAAGGATTCCACGAATGGTTTCCTGCATTGTTCTTGGTCCTGCCATCGCCTTGTGTGAACAACTCTCGCTATATGGATGAAGCCAAGTTAGAAGCGATTATGGAGAGCTTGGGATACTTTATGGTAAAGAAGAAGCTCTCGAACAAGCTAGTATATTATCTCTGGCGTCTACAATCACCATCAATGAAACCACGACAATGGAAGAAGGAAGAGATTCGGGCTGGGGGTAGTCGCAACAATTTCTCGATTGTGCTTAAGAATTGAGCAAGTTTAGAGGGAGAGACAGTTGACATTATACATCGTATGTTGATAAATCAGTCGCGGCCAGTCTACCCAACTTCAAGATCATATCAATGTACAAATTCAGATAATGATCGTCGCAAGCAACACGGATACCTGGCAATGAATAGAATGTTTAACTGGCCCCCGCACATTGGAGGAGCGACAGCAAGATGCAGACCGGGCTACTCGGACTCCAAATTTTATATGGTGGGTCAGCTATCCTCGAGAAACATTTTGCTCTCTCCTGATAAATATATAGACGAGACGAAAAAGCACGCAATCAAGTGTCAAGACGGTGCTGGTTAACGTTTTATAATGCAGAACAGTCAGAATCATGCCTTCGGAGGTGGGGAGTGGAGAGGAGGTACACTTTTCGGGCAATATGTTATCTGCCTCATCCATGGATACCCTTTTCCGTTACATGGTGCTTTCGTGTAATTTATACTCCATAAAGGACTTGACGGGCAAGTGGGGCATTTAATCCATGCTTTACCTGCGCCTTGTGCATTATCAAGTTTCTAATCTCATCTCAATGTTACATTGTGAGAAAGCAAACTTGGAAATGAAGTAAGTTCTGGAATGGCAAGTTCTGTGGTGGGGAGAGATGGAGAGATCTCAGAAAATGTTGCTGTTGCTTTGAGGGAACTGACCATTGAGAAATAGAAAGCGAGAGGAAAAGAGCAGGAAGAAACAAATACCACCATAGCTGATGCTTGCACAAATATACAAGGGGAGTGGTGTAAAACTCTGAATTGTGCATAAATCGAATTTCGTATGATTATCGGCTTTTGGAAGGAAAGAGCGATAAGCCTTATCTTTAGGAGGAGAATCTTGGGTTTTTGAAAAGGCGGACTAAAATCTCAAAATATTTCCTTCTAGGTCTCTCGATTCCCTACTAACTCTCTACTAACCTTTCGCACAACCCACACCAACCACACTCAGCTTTTTTCATCTTGGCCATTTTAATTTTGCTCGTGTGTCCCTTCTCAAGAGACTTGCAGTACTTGCGAAGAGATTGATCGAGTGGAACTGAAGTATTTGGAGACCTTTCGACTTTATCTTATCAGGTTTTCATCGGCGGAAGTTGACGATATCACACATTAACTAATAATTTAATACCTCCTCATCATGGCGCGTCCTCCAAATCGAAATCCAACAACTTTCTATGAATACGAACATGGAACATCAAGATCTCCTAGAGGCTCTATTAGTAGTAATAGAAGTGTCCGATTTGACTCGGGCGATTTCTCTCCATCTGCAGAGTCTGATTATTTAGTCCCCGGTGATCAAAATGATCAAAATGAAGGTCTTAGAAGACGGAGGTAATCTTTCCTTTCCCTCCTCTGCCTGTCTGGACAGCTAATATGTTTTTCGAAGGTCCTCAATTGCCATGCGATTCAATTCCATTACCCATGCTGGAGGCGTGAACAGTATCGAAAACTTCGCGCGAAGTCTGACACGAGCTTCCGCATTCCACGAGATTACTCCGCGTCGTCCATCATTTATACTTGCAGAGGATAGCACTGAGGAAGGTGATGGTGGAGATCTAGAATATGTAGGAGTACAGACGGACTATGGGCGGATCTCTCGTTCTTCCTTGATCAGAGAGCAGTTACGGAGATCGACTTCAGATAATACGGTTGATGATGAGTCTGCACTTGGAGATGAAACAGAAGGCAGCCTGTCCCGAGTCGCCAGTCACAGGAAGTCCGAGGGGGAACGTGTTGCTGGAGGCGATCATGCAAGCGTACAAGGAAGTGTAAGGGGGAACCAATCTATCTTTGCGATTGCCCCGCATCTATCAACTCCTCTAGCAGGAAGCTATGGAACATCTTACGGTACATTACGTTCAACATTGAACGAATCATCAATGGTTCATGCCGGCCAGCTTTGGCGACAACAGCAAGCTACCGGCGCAAATGTTGCAGACGGGGAACACTTGCCACTGATCGTCAAGGAGGTCGAAGAAGATGGGAAAATTGTGCTTGTTGTTGAGGGGCAGTCCACTCTTCCACAGACAATCCTTAACTCCACAAACGTTCTTATCGGAGTTGGTTTACTCAGTCTCCCCATGGGGTTGAAGTACTCAGGATTGTTATGCGGCATGATATTGCTCCTTCTATCAGCACTTGTTACGTCATATACTGCGAAGTTATTGGCCAAGTGCATGGATCGAGATCACAGTCTTCTGAGCTTCGCAGACATTGCCTATGCATCCTATGGCCGCAGAGCAAATATAGCGACTAGTATACTTTTCACTATGGAGCTTCTTGCGGCATGCGTTGCCCTGATTGTTCTTTTTGCAGATTCCCTGAACTCACTAATTCCATCCGTCGGAGTAAATGAGTGGAAAGTTCTCTGCGGTCTTCTTTTGATACCGCTTAATTTTGTCCCTCTACGTCTATTGAGTTTCACCAGCATTCTTGGGATCATATCGTGCTTTTCAAGTATGTAAAGATGACCTGCGACTCCAACACCTTGGCTGACCATGATAGTTGTACTAATAATTCTCATCGATGGCTTCGTAACACCACGAACTCCTGGTTCTTTACTGGAACCCGCAACTCAGTACATATTTCCAGCCAACGTAAGCCATCTGCATGTTGCTTATTTTAATTCCTCGATCTATCTGCACTGTGGCTACTCCCGCCATATCAATAACAAAATAAATTTTTGTTTGAACCGATGCATTCAAGTAGCGGTTCTCAAATCCAAAAGAGCACCCCTAGTTTAAAGTCATCGAGGATAAGGACGCCGCTCTGATTTTGCACTCTACTGACTCTGATTCCCTTTAGTGGCTCACTCTTCCACTTTCGTTCGGCCTTATGATGTCGCCTTGGGGGGGACACTCGGTCTTTCCCAACATTTATCGTGACATGAGACATCCATATAAATTCGACAAAGCAGTCAAATATACATTCAGTTTCACAGTAAGTTCCATTCAATCTCCAGCTCTACATTGTGCTAATAAAAATCCCCAGTATGTGCTCGATGCTACAACTGCACTAGCTGGAATATTGATGTTTGGAGGTAAGTTCCCATCGATTTTCAGTTTTCGGGCTCTTTTGCGCTCGTATTCGTCGTTTTGTCCATTTTTCTTAACTCCCGAGCATGCTTCTCTCGCAAACCGCCTCTGTGCGAAACGGCTACTGACATTCCTATAGATAACGTCATGGATGAAGTCACAGCCAACATTATCGGAAACTCAAGCTATCCTCGCAGCTTATCGCTTATGATATGCATTTTCATTGCCATCATCCCTTTGACCAAGGTTCCCCTGAACGCTCGCCCCATCGTGTCTACAATCGAATTGCTCTGTGGACTTGACTCTCGCGCTATGGCTGAATCACCGGCCCTTACTGGACTCTCAAGCTACACCCGTGGTATAATGAAAATCGCCGTTCGTATCATTGTACTAATCGTATTTGTGATCATAGCAATCGTCTTTCCGGCTTTCGATAGTATTATGGCGTTCATGGGTTCCGCTTTGTGCTTTAGCATTTGTGTGATTCTGCCGCTTCTGTTCTACGTCAAGATGTTTGGGGGAGAGATTAGTAGGAGAGAACTGATCTTGGATTATTGCTTGATTGTCATTAGTTCTATAATGGCGATTGTGGGTACTGTTTGGGCTTTCTTGCCCAAAGATCTCATTCATGCCGAATAATGCGGGCACGGTGAGCAAGCGCATTTATGATATTTTAGGAAAGGTTGCACATATTTTTCTGTAATTCTCTATGCTGTTAATGTTTATACGGGTTAACATTGGAGTTCTGCATCATATACGGATGGTGGTCATTTGATACTCCCTATTCAATCGCCTCCATACCCAAGTCGTCGATATAGTTTGTATTTAGTTCCTGCGTTCTTTCTTGTGGGGAAATGGAGAAAAGTTGTTGTTTGCTGTTAGCCGTTTATTTTATATACATGACGGGAATGAAACACATAGGTACATACTCAGAATTGGAATAAAATAGCATATACCACCCACCACGCCGTCTAAATACAATGTTTTGTTTTTCTTTTTAGTGAATATGCATATACATAATCTCTCTGAGCACTGTGATCTCAAAAGCTACCAGGTAAAGATTAAGATTACTTCTTTTTTGTCAGGTGATACTGCGAGAGAAATAGTGGTAGTAATTATGATGGTCTTATCTTTTATGTGATGTTTATAGTTGTTAGATAGCTGGGGATTGCTGATGGGTTTTTTGGGTGGGTGGGTAGGCAGGTAGGTAAGTGTAAGTATAAGTGTCCGATAGCCAGGACAGGACGGTATTAGATAGGATTGAGTTTGGGAGGTTGAATCTATTTCATATGTAATTGAAATCTGGAATGTGAATGTGGCGCATAAAACAAGATTTGAGTAAGTCTATTATAGTATTGGATTCATTTGAGATATCGAAGACAGCTGGGACAGATGGACTTGTTCAAAGTTAAAGAGTCATTACCATGATTGATGTAAACTTATTTGTAGTAGAATTTGATAACCCTTGGCCGCATCGACTATGTCTAGATTGGAAATTTATTGTCTTTATGAAGTCCATTGCTTGCTTCATATAACCTCGGAGAAATATCTTTACATTGTGGCATCTGTCCACATCTAAAAATCCAAAGTATCGTATCCTTCCGCCAAACCTTTCACCTAAACGCCGTTGCAATGCATATCTATACACTTTCATCCCCTCACCACAGAACAACCCAATCATATCAATCTTCCTTCCCCCTCACTAAATATACCCCTCTCCACTTTCTTTCTAGCAACCTCCTCAAACGTATTAGCCTTCTGAACCGCCCTCGACCTCTCCCTGACAAAAGCCAACAACCTCAAACATCCACTCGGCGTCATACCCTCAATTCTTCTTGCCTGTCCCACACTCTCGGGTTTTGTCATCTTCAACACCGATTTCTCATGCATGGAAATCCCGTGTATAGAATCATAATCTAAATCCACCGGCAATTTAAGCATTTCATCTTTTTGAAAGACTCTCTGTGCTGCTTTTTGTTGTGTGACATATGGCGCATAAACGGCTTCAATGCCAACTCTATCTCTGATTCGTTGGGTGTAGGTCAAAATTTCTGGGATACGATTTGACAAATCGTTGATTGTTACGTCCCGGATTCGTAGGACGTCTAGGGCACTTCGCATAGTACTATCGTTTGATACTTTGAAACCATCGTTGATCCAAACCGGAGCACTAAATGTACTTTTTTCAAGAGCCGATTTGAGACCTTCCATTTGAGCGACCTCATCATTGAAGGCGGACCAACGTTTTCCACCTACTACTCCTGCCAATCTCCCCTTTTCTGTAAGTCGCAAATCGGCGTTGTCGGCTCGGGCGCTCATGCGGTATTCGCTGCGAGACGTGAACATGCGGTAAGGTTCGGAAACACCTTTAGTGATTAGATCATCGATCATGATTCCAATGTACCCATCACTGCGAGATAAAACCAATTGTGGTAATGATTGTGATGCAAGTCCAGCATTGATGCCTGCTATGATGCCTTGTGCGGCTGCTTCCTCATAACCTGTAGTACCATTTATTTGACCTGCTAGGTAGAGACCCTGAATTGCCTTTGTCTCCAGTGTTGCTTTTAGACTTCGAGGATCAACATAATCATACTCTACACCATAACCTGGAGCTGTCATTGTGACATTTTCTAGTCCGGGGATAGTTCTCAAAAGTTGCTCTTGAGCCTCCGCTGGTATAGTCATGGAAATGCCATTGGGATATATGATGTCGCTGTTAAATCCTTCCGGTTCTAGCCATACAATGTGTCTATCTTTATCAGAGAATCTTATGACCTTGGATTCGAGCGACGGGCAGTATCTGGGACCTTTCACAGTCTCTCTAATGTGTATAGACTTATCCAAATTTGCCCGGACCACAGCATGCGAAGCCTCATTCGTATACGTAGCATGGCAGAGTAATTGCTCCTGAACAGAAACAGTTTCGTTGAGGTAACTGAAAGGCTTCGGTGGTTGATCTCCTGGCTGCACGGCAAGATTCTTAAAATCGATCGAATCTTTTGCAAGCCGAGGAGGTGTCCCAGTCTTTAGTCTTCCCAAAGTAAAACCAGCATCTTTCAACGATTTGCTCAAGCCAAATGTTGCCGCTTCACCCATGCGCCCTGCAGGATAACATTCTAAGCCGATATGGATCTCACCGCCCAAAAATGTGCCAGTCGTGATGACCACTTGTTTCGTAGGTATGATTTCTCCCGATTCCAGTCGCACACCTGTAATCTTGCCATTTTGCGTCTCACCCTCGTCCTTCGAAACTATGATATCGGCCACACTGCCCGTTACAATTGAAAGGTTCGGATACGCTTCCAACTCCTCCCGCATATGCTTCTTGTACAAATCCCTATCGATTTGCGCTCTAGGGCCCTAACAAACATTAGCACGCAACATCAAAGTGCCGCCACCACAATAACCACCTACCCAAACCGCAGGACCTTTCTTCCGATTCAACACCTTAAATTGCACGCCCGCCTTGTCAATAATCCTCCCCGCAACACCATCCAGCGCATCCACCTCCCTCAACATAGTCCCCTTCCCGATCCCCCCAAAACTAGGATTGCAAGAACAAACACCAATATTCTCGAGTTTCGGCGTAATCAATGCAGTCCTAGCACCAGATCGCGCAGCTCCCGCACAAGCTTCTGCTCCCGCATGACCCCCTCCAATGACGACGACATCATATGGTCTAAAAGTAGAAAATTAGTTGAGAAGTGGAGGGTTGGAATTGGAGGGGCGCATTTTATACCTTGTATCTGCTGCAACACTCGCAAAGGAGTTTCTTTGGACAAGCCAATTTCTATTGATAGTCCGCAGTAATGGGCGACCATATGCCACCGCAAGGCTTCGATTCATATTGGCATTTCGAATGCGTTTGTGCAATTCTTGGAGCAAATGGGAACTTATGGGTGGAATTATTTTTCTATGTGTATCGGAGTTTTTTTACCCCTCGCCGATTGGCTGCGTGAGATTCAAGGAATATTAACAACAACGGCATTGGCACATTCGATTTACAACTACTTTTTATTATCAATTATGTTTGATTGTAGTTATTACAGATATATCTAAGTATTAGCTTCATCTATTTCTGTGGCATAATGCTTCAATCATTTTACGAAGCCTCACACACAATTTTTGGTAGATAACCTTGCCCCTCATTATGAAAAAGACGGGTCGACGTCAATATCGAATATATCAACATCTAAGTTTCAAATAACAGACGTAAACGTAAAAGCATCATTGTCTTTTCTGTTTGCTTTCCAGGATTTTTAGAAAGGCGAAATAGTTGGTGCAGTGATATCGAATGGGAAAGTACATTTACAGAGAATCAATATCAAAACTTGTTCTGCTCAAAATGGTCGATAAGAGTGATAGGGGGCGTTGGGATGGTGGTGAATTAAGCGATAGGTTGGTCGGTTATAATTCAAAAGTAAGTGAATAGACATAATTTTAGTAGGCATTAGATGTCAGTGAATAAAATCGTAGTGAAAGCTTAACAATGAATAGGGAGAAATGAAGGGCAATAGTTGGTAGATTGTAATTGAGTGAGGAAGTAATGAGGAGGGAATGAATTAGATGATGTGAAGAAGAATTCAACAAGATGTTCAAAAGTAAACAAGAAGTCGATCAGTAAGTAGTGAATAAGAGAGTAAGATGGATATACCTTTTCAAAAGTCCCAATTCATACTACCTACCACCATTTCCATCCCATTCCATTAACCACTACCAACCATCCTTAGCTAGCACTCGATCACTCCACTTAGAGCCCTCAAACCATCCCACACAGAAACTTTTGTTGCACATCTACATTTCTTGTTACAAGCCTCACCCTGACAAGCATAAAGAATATATCGATGGCTCTTTTCATAGCCTAAACTATGACAAACTATGGCAAGGTGAATAGCCAATGATGCCACTATTCACTCCGCGCCAAAATCCACATTCTTGTATATCTACCCCAGATCTTGATTCATATTCTTTTCGATTCTAGATATTCTTGTTTATTTTCCTCGATCCCCAAGTTATCATTACTAAAAATATCCTATTGCTTTGAATTGGGCTTCCCTGTTATCCATCGACCTAAGACTTACCTGGTAGTAATCATCAGCTCGATGCAATAACACAATTGGCATAACTAACCTCCCTCCTCGCCAAAATCACTCCTTCTACTTTATTCTTTCCATCCCCTAGATAATTACAATCCAACCTCCCAGAAAGTATCCTAAAAAGATTCGCTCCCCAGCCAATCCATCAACCCCCTACCCGAACCTCGCACTAATAACCAAGACTGCCAGCCATTAGCCTCCCCTAGCGGATAAACGAGTCGAGTCGAGTCCAACTTGGTCATAACTAACCAAACCCAACCTAACCTAACCTAAAGCGATACTAGAGCTTGCCCTCAGTCCCACACAAGAAAAAAACCTTGGAAAGAACACACACAACAATCTCATCCATCTCATCACCTAACTCTCGCTTTCTCCCTTGTCCTTCCCCCCCCTGCCTTTCTTTCTCTTTCTTGTATTCTCCCCAAATTGCTTTTTAGAAACCATCGTCGCACTGGCAACTTCTTATTTGCAACAAACACCCGTTTATATCTTTTATATATCCGCACGTCGCATCCGTACATCATATCATCATCCCCCATCCCGTCCCCCATCTCCATCCTCATCCTCATCCAACTCGGTCCGAAGCCCACCCTCCTCATCACCATGGACCGTCTACTTCCGTCCTGTCCACTTCTTCATCTTTACATTCATCACTCTCCCTCCATACCATTAGAAAACCGGACATGCTGCCGCCGCATCGCATCGCACCATATCAGGGAAGAATATCTAAATGGAGCCTGACCGGCGTCAATGGTCTGGTGCACACCGCAGGCCCAACAATGGACGCTTGTTGAATATTCAAAGCTTTTTTTAAAGCAGCATTTGAATCATCCAAATTATTCAGACGAGGAGCCGCGCCCACCTGCCAACAGCCTACCTACTTTCCTACCCAACACATACCGCAACACACATCGATCATTCATCCTCTATCAAGATCAAGCAAATCACAAATGATGTCATATGGAGAACAAAGATATAGAGCGGGTAATTATCTGGTATTTATCTAAAGTTCATCCCATCAACAGAGCTCTGAGATGATAATCTATCTAATCCACCAGAAAAGCGAGTCCTATCTAAAAATCCTTTCTCTGTCTCTCTCTCTCTCTCTCTGTTCGCACTAGCTATCCCACCAAAGAGCCAATATCGACACATCTTCTCCGTTCCTATGATAAAATTTGTTGGTATATTCAAGAACAAAGCTCCCCCACGATGTTCGATCCTCCATAAGCAAGTGCGAGTAGTATGTTCGAGAGAAAAATAATCAAAGACAAAAGAGTACGACTACAAGTGGAGGTCATGCCAACCTCCAACCCACTCCAAATCTCCGAGATCCGATTGCTTATCCTTGCGCTTCTCCTGATAGTGGTGGTCTCGGCCCTTGGCCCGCGCCCATGGACATTCTCTGCCACCCTTATCTTTGATAACAATGTTTGATTTAGTATCCCAAGCACTAGTACCGAATCCTGAGAAGCCTAATCCAACGTTTCGACGTGGAATATTCTGTGTCTTCCACGTTTCCATAGATCGTTCAGTATCTGACGCTCCTGTGTACGCCCTTCTACGTTCTCCAAGCGCAGACCACTTATCAAAAGCGGTTCTCTTTGAGGGTGGTGAATAGCGAGGCGAGTGTTGTTGAGTGGGATTGTCGTGGAAGAAGAAACCATCAGCCACCAAATCCTCATCAATGTCATTAGCTACTGCACGATGGGCTGCAACTCTTGGAATGTTGACAAATGAAGAGGTGTGAGGTTCCAATGGAGATCTAGTGGTCTTCTCCCCATCGGTCTTGCTCTCATGGCTCCAAGTTCGCGAGTTTGCCATTTGGCGTGCTTTGAATTGATTGTCGAGCTCTTCCTCTTCTTCCATCTCTTCATCCCAGAGATCACCCCAACTCTTTGATACCATGTCACTCTTCTTGCCAAAGACTGATGCCATAGATGGCAACGGGATTGGCTTCGCCATGGCGATAGGTAGAGATCCAGAGATGGGGGTAAGACTGGCCTTTGGAGGACCAGCCTTCATGTGGCGCCGGATGGCGAGAGATTGCATCGAGGATCCAAAGGAAGAATCGAGGACTGATTCCATTGAAGGAGTTTGCTCTCCCATGGAGAACCAATCCTTCTTGCTTACTTCAGAGCCTGGGAAGAGGTCCTCAGAATCGTAATCCTCATCTGGAATGGCGGAGAGTTGACGAAATTGTTGAGGTGGACTGGCATGTAATGCCTTAGCCCATGGGAATGAGGCACCCGCATCGATTTGAGGGCTTTGAATGGAAGGCGTGCGCAGTGGCTCACGGTTCGAGCTGGGAATGCCACGACGATCAGCAGAGCTGAAGTCATCGGCAAACTCATCGAACGTTGTGAAGCTGAGTACACGTTCGATGGCCTCGCGAGCGCCAGCAAGCGATCGCTTTCGAGGGTCAAGACTCATACATTGAGCAATGACTTCATACGTATCTTGTGACATTGTTGGGAAGACATCGAAGAGTGATTGCTTGTCTCGAGTGAAGTCAAGGAAGAGGGGATCCGCCTCTGTGGGTGTCGTGAAAGGGTTACGAGAGAATAAGATGTTCAAAAGGCAAATGCCAATGGCCCAGATATCGGCTTGCTCTGGGGAGTATCCCGCACCAGCAGAATCATATTGTTCTGGAGACATGTAGCGGTCACTTCCCACGGTAGTTTCGTATGACCACTTCTCTGACGTTGCGAGGCCAAAGTCACCAAGCTTCATCTCCCCAGATTGAGTGAGGAAGATGTTTTCAGGCTTGATATCACGATGATACATGCCCTTGCTGTGAATGTATGCAACAGCATCGATAAGTTGTAGCATAAATTGACGGACATGTTCTGTTTCGAGCGGGCCAGTGCCAGTTCGAATAGCTTCGTAAAGATCACCCCGGGAGCAAAACTCCAAGACAATATACACATGGGCTTCGGTCTCGAAGGAGTGGATGAGATTGACAATATTTGGATGAGAGCCAAGCCGAGCGTGGCAGGATAGTTCTTCCGAGTGCTCATCAATGGCAAATGATGAATCGGCATCAGTCATGGTGGCAGATTTCTTAGTTAAGCACTTGATAGCAACGATTTCGTTGGTGATTAGGTCCTTGGCCATGAAAACCATTCCGAATGAGCCATGGTTGAGGGGGGATATCGTTTCAAAACGTCCATCAAGGACGACACCGTCGTAGAACTTCTCTCTTAAGCACTCCATTGTTGTGATTAAGGGTTGAGGTAGTGTAGCGTGGTGTGAGGAAAAGTGAAGGTTGAATGGGAGTGAAGTGTGCAATTAAATAAACTTAAAAACAAAAATGCAGCTTTGAATACTGTTACAACCGAAATGTTTTTGGGCCCTGAGAGGTAAAGAATCGAGAGATACAAGGTGGAATTCGTGAAAGCTTTTGTCTTCTCTAAACAAAGTTGATGGTGGCACAAGGGGAGCTATGCTCTTTGATGATTGTCGAAAGTAGGAGGGAATAAAAGAGGTTGTAGTTCGATCTGAATGAAGCAAGGCGATAAAAGGTATGTATGGGGAATAAAAACAAACTCGCAACGCTATATAAATGTATCCTAACCGCCGAAAAAGGAAAATGAATAACTGTTGAATAACTCCGGATCGTAGAAGTAGGGTGTTCAGAGGCTCATATGGGTATTTCGAATACGCTTTGACAAAAGAAATTTGTTGAATAGTTCGTTAAATAGGACAAAGAAGGGACTTGAGGCCCGGATTTAATAAAAAAAGGAAAGAGTTGAAAATCGTTATGTTGACATAGGAGTCAGACGTTGAAAGAACGAGTGTCTGAGGTTTGGAAGGTTCCTCGAATAGTACGAAGCAACGTACTAAGTGGTATGAAAATGTGATGTCGATTTGGTAGGTCGAATCGAGGAAGAAATGTACAATTGAACCTAATCAATTATGCAATATCGAGATAGAGTGGCGTGATGATATGGTAGGGCAGATGTGATGGATGAATGCACAGATCTGGGAGTTATGATCTGCGAGTAGAAGACTTTGACAGCGTATGTATCACAGACCGAGGATGATCGAATTGGCTATCGTGATAAACGCTTAGATGTTGATCTGGAACTCATGTGTTTAAATTGATGTGTTGATGGAACAAGGAAGTAGAAGATATGACTCTTCTTCTGCCAATGTTCGAAGTTTGTAGGTCGACGACAAGAGGGGTCCGTTGCAAAGTAAACGAGGAGAGGATGACGATTGATCAAGAGGCGGAAGAATGTGGTTGACCTTTGATGGAGTTGATGATTACAACAAGATCTGCGAAGCTTTGTTGGATGTTCAAGAATGTGGTTGTTGCTGGGGCAGCAAAGCAGTATGACGCAGAACGAGGCAAGTGATGGTGGTTGTAGCTTTCAAAGGAATGGGCGATGGAAAGGGATGAATGAGTATGGCACGGTCGAGTTCGTTGTGAGATTGGGGAGGGTATTATCGGTCGGGATTATTGGGCGGTGGTGATAGGAAGTCGGAAGTATAAAGAAAGAGGAGAAGAGGTGAAAACAAAGGAAGGGGGAGGAGGGAAGTTAACTGCGAACGACGATAATTGTAGCCAGTATGATCGTACGCATATGTGGAGTTGAAGGTGTGAGGTGGGTGGTTTGAGTTCGGCAGGTGGAAAGAGGAAGCAGAGTGTAAATAGAGGATGAGTCGAAGAGAAGGGAAGGGAAGGCTAAGCGAAAGGCCGGATTTGGTGTAGGGATATCGAGATGAGGTGTCTAATAAGTGTCTTCTCCAATTGGCAGGGGATCCAAGTAAGAAAGAGTTGAGAACCTTGTTAGATAAATAAACCTTGGCTAGAGCCCATTGAGCGTCAGTCAGTACGTGCCTAGAGAGGTACGTACTAGGTGGGTAGGTAGGTATCTTAGAGCTAATAATAAGGCTACTGTAATAATCTATGTCGGTCGGGACTTTGACACGCAACTCTCACACGGGAGTAAAGGCTTGCTAAATAAACAGATAAAACAATTCACAAATATCAATATAAATAAATAAATAAATATAAATAAATAAAATGTTCCAAGGTCTGAGTTTGAGGTCTGAGGTTTGAGAATTGTGCATTGATTGGTTGAGAGTGAGAAGAGTAGGAGAAGTTCTGATAAATGTACAGATGAGGAGGTATCAATTAAAGATAATCAGTACTGTTACTGGCACTGGCACTGGCACTGGTACTGGCACTGGTCCTGAGTGGATTCGTAGATCGCAGCTGTGTCAGTCAATCCATGAGGTATTATTCGTAAAGTCTCTGGTGATGAATGGCCGTGGGTCGTAGTTCGTAAGTTGTAGGTCGTAAATAAAGAAATATTATAGGTTTGGTCTGAGAGATGAAGTGATGATGTGATGATGATTGTACCAAAGTATCTCTCCGTGTCCTGTCTCCGTCTCCGTACTGCACGAGGTTGTTGTCCTTCCTGTATGTATGAATCCGCGGCAAATGTTTATAGGAAAGTCGCTGATCTTTCTTTGTTGATGTGAGTACGGAATGTATGGGGTGTATGGACTTGTGCGAGGTAGTGTATCAAGTAGTGTTGAGATAGTTACCCGTCTGGCTGAGATGTGCCCACGGATAAACAAGATTCGAATAGGTTTGGTCGCCTTTGACTTGATTGACTTATTATCGAGGATCGCGCGGTTCTAAGTGGGAGGTTTTGGACTTCCTGATCTTCTAAATGTTCCAGGTACCTGGATGATTCTAGTTCGCTCAAGTGACCAAAATCTCCAAATGATACAAGCATGCGATGATAATAAGGGAGGGAAGGATACTGCTATGTGATATTAACATGAACAATTCAAAGGGTTGCACTTGTATTCTACATCTAGTATCTCTTGTTCCTGTCATCATTTTTTGCCTTTCATTATCCATATAGAGTAAATGCTCATTTTTGATATCAAACAAAGAAAATGATTAGAAAAGGAAGTGGCATCCTTCCCCTCGCGTTGCCAATGCATTCATTCACCTTCATTCTCACCCCACCTCAGATTTGATGGGATGGATAAGTGGATGAGTGGATGAGTGGGTGGGTGGATGGATGCACACGCTCAAGCCTCAGTGCTTTCAAATCTGGTACCTAAGTAGCTAATAGTAACTTGAGCAGCTCTCTAACTAGTCATTCATTAGATTCATGCATACTAGATACACACACACACTCTCTCTATCACACACTCTCTCTCTCTCTCTATCTCTATCTCTCTCTCTCTCTCTCTCTCTCTCTCTCTCTCTCTCTCTCTCTCTCTCTTTCAAAGGCCAACGCTTTTCCCTTCCTCACAGACAATTCAAAGCTTATAAATTCCACAAGTGCTTGACTGTCTCCGGTGTAATATGACTCAAAGGAGTCAAGGGAAAGCAAAGACCTCCATGGCCCAATTCCACATTCCATTAGAAGATCGATAAGAGCAGCGATGGATGGACCTCAGCCACCAAACACGAAATAGGTGCAGCTAGCTAGTGGTGGTATCAAAAGGCATCACTGTTATCCAATCATTCTAGAAGGATTCGAAACATTTCATCACTAATATGTTGCTGCTCTTACAGACTTCCATTTGATTCTTCTCTTTAGACGGCGTGGTGGAATTAAGTATTATTGGTTGCTAATATTAATGCTAAAATGCCCAAAAGCCCCTATGGATAAACCAATCTTAGCCTTTATGCAAGCCCCTAATCCTAATGAATGAACGCCTGCATGCATCCCGTCCACCCAACAGTCATCCTCCCACACCCATTCCAGAATAGCTAAACCAATAATCTGGAAGAACTTCAATGAAAGAGAGGAAACTTAACCGCTCTCAGTGCTTTGATCTCTCTATCTGATATATCTTTTTCGCCCTGTTGGCCCTTGAGCTGGGGAAGTTACCGTTACCGTCACCGTTACCGTTGGCGTGGGTAAGTTCTGGGCCTCATTGTTATTAGATGATCAATGAACTTTTACTAGGGGATGGCGAATCTGGCCAGTGCCTTGGCTCCTTCCATTCCCATTACATACAGAGTACATTTACCTATCATGCTGCGGTGGGGTGGGCCTTTGCATTTCCGCAGTCCGTGGTACCTACTAGGACCTCAGAAACGAGGACGGAGTAATGAGAAAGGCCATGTCGGCGATAGTGCAGTTGGATTTAAAATACTTTTATGCTTCCCCCGAGAGGGACGGACTTTGGGAATTCAAGGATGAAGGCCGAGTGACTTGAATTCTCAAATTCATCGAGTGATTCAATGATCAATCAATGGCTCCCAAATAACTAACAAGGATGCATGTCATCCATCGGTCATCAGTCATCAATTCAATCAACCCTTCACCCTTCACCCTTCATGTTCCAACGGTCTGAGTGTGATATCCTTGTATACAAATGACACATTCAGATATGGAATTGTGCTTGAAACAGTAATAATAAGAATCACAAAGAACACATAATACAGAAATATCCCAAATTTGCATCGTTTCCCAGTGACACATCGTAATTTAACAAAGCAGAGAGGACAGATAATTCAGATTGATGGGTGGTGAAGCTTATTAGTAACCTGCTGCAAGACAAAGTGTATACCATGCTCATGCTCTCCTCTCTTACTGAACTCGACCTCTCCTGCCGCTGCCATTGCCACTGCCACTGCTACTGTTACGGCTACTACCTACTACTACTACTACTACCCAGCCTCGAAAAATGATTTCTGATCTCTCTATGATACAGGAGGATACCGCTGCTTCCGAAAAAGCCCATAATGGGTTTGACTTATCTTTTAGACCCAGGTCGTGTGACCACCTATTTTGAAGAGACAAAGAATTGTTGCAAGCCACTCATTGGCATTGGGAAAATAGATGAAGATTGAAGAGGCGAAGGAACTTGGCCCAGCCTCTTTTTACCTCCTTTTCTTTCATCATCTGGGTAGATCATTGTAATCCCTTCAGATCATTTGATCTGGCGTTACACGTATACATTTCTAAAATAATCATCCAGTGACATATTTCATCGCTGCTGCCACGCAAGGTTTCCAGATTCTTTGCTCATATTGCGCATTCCTTCTTCATTATTAGTGGATTAGTTGGAGGGACATTCCGAAGTCGCTTTCAAGCCTTATCATGTTCGACAAAGAGGGGAAGATGATGGATTAAATTGACATATTTGGCGTAATGCGTGGGAAGTCACCCCATTTGCTCAGTATTTGAAGCACAAGACAACATTTCGTAACACGGATTTCGTCTTTGTTATTGTTGCATGGCATCATTGGCATGTTTTTCAACATCAGTAATGAGTGATCTCTAACATTCACGGAGGTCTCCGATTACACTTCACTTCACTACACTTTCCCCGCCTCATATGAGACCCAATTCAAGACGACTTCTCAAGTCTTGACTTGTTTACTTGTTCAAATCCAGACCACATCATTCTCTTCAATGTAAGTCGACATGACTCTCCCCAGCAAACCAGCAGACTCGAGAAGTCCACACTCCACAGAATCTAAACCCCCCCGTTTGAAGATCCCTTTCTTCCTTTCACTTGGAACTCACTGATCTTGAAACTCGCGCTTATGTACTCTGTACTGCTTGCTGTACTCCATAATTCGGATGTTGATGCATCAATTGATACACATACCTCTCCCACATCACATCTCCTCCATGCCCAGCCGTCCGTCCCGTAATGCTGCAGTGGTGCTCGTTAATTATTCGCAGGAAAGCAAAGCATGGCTACCCTGAGTATGTGGCGATCATGAATATATTAATTAACACACGTCAATTATTGTCGTCGTGGGGTATTTTGATGGGCCGCACAGTCGATTAGCTTGGATGCTTTTGTGCTCCTTGAATGCATCTATCGCGTCTTCGAATCGCAATGGTAAATTGTTTCATTAGAAACCATCTGGATGTAATTTATCCTCGAAATTGAGGGCATCATTATAATATATTACAATGTATTATCCTCAATTGAAAAGCACATCTTCATTTCACCTATCATGAGTCACCCCGCTACACCCTCATATCTCTCTTCATTCCAGGCTTGCCGACTGGTTAATCGTAGGCGAGCGCCCTGTGTTCTTACTGCACGAAATGAATTACCGTTTGCTTCAAGAAACGTATGATCGACGGCCACCCTTTCCGCCGGTGTCTCCATATTCTAACTAAAGTATTGTCTCCATCCCGGATATCATGCCATCAAAATATCCCGAAACTCTCCCTCAGATATAGTATGATCTACTTGATAAGCTCATCTATTGACAACTTCTCCCAGCAAGCCGAAATCCACAGTCGAATCTCGCATATTTTACGATGTTTTCATCCATTGGGAATGGGAACCTTTGATGACGGAGTCCATTGATTGGATCTTCATTTGGAATTGAAACATCTAATTTCTTCGATATACAATAGCAGCATGGTTTGAAACAGTTGAGCGGGTAATTAAGTAATTAAGTGCATGTATGTCTTGTGAATTGTTCGCTGGTCGAGTAAATACTTAATAAATACGCATGGATGTACAAATCTCATTCATGACATGCATATATATGATGTTGTTGTAACATCAAAAAGAGGAAGATCAGCTTGTTATCTCTACTCTCAGATCAAGATTCGACGCTCCAAACTCAATATTAAAACTTGCCCATTTTCGAGCATCATAAAGTTCTTAGCGGAGATAACAGCAGATAGCAGAGCAGATATCATCATTTATCGTTATCATTATCATTATCGCTATCTTATCTGTTATCTGTTATCGGCCCCTCCACATAATATGCTAACCAACCTTTGGACTGTCCAATGCTGATTCCCAGTATGGTGCACACATGCGATTTTCGTAATTCCTATTCCCCATCACATCACATCATTTTACTTTTTCTATTTGTCCCTGTATTCCTCCCATGCCCACAGGTTGAACCGATGGCGACACATTCGGATACCGGTTGGAGAAACGGAGATGAGGTAATATTCGAGGGAATACTGGAAGTAAGATCATAGGTAAGATCTACCCATCATCACGACAACTTCAGTCCTTCCGTATGAGGAGAAAGCAGCGGTGAGGGATTCTCGCATGACGATTCTCTCAAGGGAGATCACTTTGAACTGGAGATGTGAAGTTGGATACGAGGAGAAATGTATATCGAAAGCTCAGAGACCAGTAGACACCTATTTTTCCTAGAACAATCTATGCTACTGGTGTACCTACCTACCGATTTCTCTATCTTTCCCCAGACCAAAATATCTGTGAAAGGTTTTCTACCAACATCTCACTATCGATGTCTGAAATATATCTATATCGATATAACTTGATACATATCCCTTTCCCAGAGTAATTGGCTCAACGAAAGCTATCTATTCCTTCAAAGATGTTTGTTTACCTATCCAATGACAAAACTATCGTCATCAAACGATGGTAGCTATCGCTATCTACCTACCTCTTTGAAACTCATCATAGCTTTTATCGACACAGCGACGATCTAAAATGGGTCTAGATGTCAATCTGTATCCTCACTCGCCTCGTACATATGCACATACTTAGGTATATACCATGCGTGTGCATCACGGGAATGAGTCCCTGAGTATAAACGAATGATGTCCCTTTCGAGTGGAACCCGCGGTTAAAAATGCTCAAATGCTCTGAAACCTGCTCTATGGAGTATGGTGAATTTGGATAATGTTGGGGATTGTCTCAAGCACTGCGTGGAGCAGTAAAGGGTCTTATTTCACATCCTGTTTTCGTATTGGGTGAGTGAGAGTGTATCTCAATTCAAACAAAAGGTAGAATGTGATCAAATCCAAGCAGGTCGTTGTCTCTCTAACCATTCCAACCCCTTTGTGATTTATATCTTCACCGCCATCATAATTCGATAAGTTTTTGTTTCTCACTTAACTCACTTGGCTATGCCACCAAATCCGGAACATTATCAACAGAACACAGAACACGTTCCGGCGTATCTACATGTATCCAAGCATCTCTGTCTCTGTGGTGCTCTCTCCTAATTTGTTGCGAGCCCCCTGCCTATATTACTGCATGAAGCATGAAGCATGAACAGCCTGAATTCATCCATACGAATTACCGAACCCAGCTCTGGCCTGAGGACACCACGCAGGATTGGCGAGAAATCAAACTACTACCCCAAAGAGTATATTTGACGAATTAAATAAATTCTTACATCAAAATATCAACGCTACCACAGGAATAAAAGAACGGAACGTGCGATTCCCTGGTGAGTATTTCGTACGGAGTAGTCTAAGGGTCGATCACTGCCAGCGTGCATCTACGCATTGCCTAAATCCTTACCATACACTCAAAGATTACGCAAGAAGCTCGCTACGTTCGAAATTCGAAGTTCGAAGTTCAAACTTCACCGCTATCTTTCTTCGATCTCGGGATTGATATTGACACTGTTATCGAGGGAGAGAGAAAGGAAAAGAGGAAATAAATCTAGAAGGATTCCCCGTATTGACGAAGATATGGAGGCAAAACCACGAGTTAAGGTGGTATTATTAGATATCGGTCAGTGATGAAAACTTTTCCCTCGGGCATTTACGGTTCCTGTTTTGTTCCTGTTCCTTCCCGTTCCTGCTTTTTCCAGTATCATCCCGTCTGCAGAATTTGCGCCGGAATGGGATCTTCGGATTAATATGGATCACGTGCGTACATTAGAGAAATGGGTTTGTGATGGAATGCTGATACTTTTTCATTTTTTCTACTACAGAGGGGACGGTGTGTCCGATTTCATTCGTCAAGGATGTGTTGGTAGGTAAACAAAAATCTCCTACTTCTTTCTTTCTACTGGTCAATTTCTTCTGTATTCTATGCAAGAAGTCATGGGTCGCATATTCTTGATCTCTGGCAATGCGCCGTTACCGTCTTGGTGTAGTTACCAGCCACGGTCAACGGTAGCCAATTGCGATAATTGACCATTGTCTTGATGATTTGCGCCTTTTGCATCTCTACACAACTGCAGAAAACTGTTGTACTTCGTAAGCTACAGCATGCAGATATCTTGGAGGCAGGAATCTTGATTTGCGCATAGTCAAGTGAGAGCTGTGATGTGCTGTCGTGTTACCAGCCTTTTCTCTCTTTTCCAAATTCCAATGCTTCTACCCCGCTGTCATTGGTTGGGACGACAACGACAATGGAGTTTCCCTATTTGCTCCGCATCGTCAAGTCGAAGGATGACAATGGAATAAGATAGAATAGATAGGACAATTGGATAGCAAGTGTGATGATATCTCCAAGTCGAGCAGAGATTGGATTGATTCTTCATTGCAAATGGTCGCATGCCACGTTCTCAACCACTGCGTATGGTCAATCCAATGCACGGACGGATCAGCGTCCATGTCATTTGCGGGGAAGAGCGCCCCATATAAGTGTCTATCTATGTTTGATGGCTTGGTTGCACCATATCCCATCGAAAATGTCACTCAATAGCGTTTCATTTTGTCTTGCTCCGAAGCAAACATTTCACACACCCCCTGAGTTCAAAGCCCCACCATATATACACCACTGGCTTTACCCCGCAATGAGCATGCCAGTAACCTATACACTTGAGACATGTATCTCTATGTACCAATGAATATGTCAGATTAGTTCATCTGCCACGACCCTTTCGAACTATTACTTGTCATCAATGTAAAAGCATAACCCGACAACTAACCACGCCAGCAGTTCCCATACGCTCTCGCAGCACTCCCAGAAACTCTATCCATTGAATGGGACTCCCCGTCCTTCCTTCCCTATCGCTCCGTCTTCCCACCTGAACACAGCTCTACCCCTGAGGCACTCCTCTCTCATGTTCGCGACCTCATGGCTCAAGACCTCAAAATCTCATATCTTAAATCTCTCCAGGGATATCTGTGGCTCCGCGGTTACGAATCAGGGGAACTGAAATGTCCACTTTTTCCGGATGTGTACCCGGCGATGAAGAAATGGAAAGAGAACGGAGCCAATATTTGTATTTATAGTAGCGGGAGTGTGGCCGCGCAAAAGTTGTTATGGAGATACACGACCGAGGGGGATTTGAGAGGTTGCATCTGGAATGGAGTCGACGGGGTTGAGAAGATCGAAGGTGGGTATTGGGATACGGTTAATGCGGGGTTGAAACAGGAGAGCACGAGTTATGAGAGAATCGCCAAGGCAAACAGGGCCCTGGGGGAGGTAGGTGAGTGGTTGTTTTTGAGTGATAATGTTAAAGAGGTCAGAGCTGCAAAAGAATCCGGAATGAAGAGTTTTGTGGTCGTAAGGGAAGGGAATGCGGATATTAGTGCTGAGGAGAGGGAGGGGCAGGTACTCATTGAGAGTTTTGGGGAGGTAGAGGCGATGGTTGAGGTTGCTGGTGAAAGTGCATGATGATTACGAAAATCGAATGCAAATATCAATATTGTGAGAGGGGAAAGTCTTGCTTTTACATTCACTTTCTTTCTGTATACTATCAACTCTCTTAGCCGTGCCATGTCGCATTGTCAGATCATAGTGTGACCTGCCTTTTCAATCCATCAAATCGCTATCTCCCTTCACTATCACCGGCTTACCATGCCTGTTCCTTTTCCATTCTCCCCTACACCAAATCCAGCTATCATACACTACTACAACCTACTCATCATCCATCACCCATTACGCGTCATCTCTCCCCATCCTGAAACATTCTAACCCTTCATCCAGCTACCATAACATTAACACATCTCCGAAGATCGAAACACGCGAGATTAAGAGCTTTTACATTTATTCTACTAGTTCGGACAATACACGCTCCAAACAATCTCATGTTAAGCCCCCTTCATTGTTAGATTGCAGCCCGGATATATTGATAACGGTTTACTGCCTGTGTATTTTACCTGTTCTTCCGCTTTCTTTCTCTTCCCTTTGTCCTTGCATGCCCGGAGCAAAGATAATAAATAATACATGTTACTAATTATATCTTTTGTGTACGGTATGTGTGATAATATAAGGTTTAATTAATGCTAGCAGGATAGAGATTGTAAACTCGAAAAGGTGTAGTTTGAGCTGAGTGTTGGGAGCACAGCGCAGAGGGCGTAGAAGGTATGCGGTACAGAGTTTTATGTGCAGATGTTGATTGGCGGGTCTGGACTTGTGTTGAAAGTGAGGTTTAGGTCTAGGTTTAGGATGGTCACCTTGAAGGTTAGGGTTTGAATGTTTGGGCTCAGAGGGCAGATTGAGGGGAATGCGGGGTCGCGAGTTTTCGAGAGGGGATTAGATTCTGTATGTGAGGTAGGATAGTATACCGGAGTGAATAGAGTGGTGACATAGTGAAAAAACGACATAATTGACGGAGGAATAGGAATGATTAATGATTGAACTAGTTGTACGGAATGTCTATTTTTCTGTAGAAATAGAGAAAACGGCATGGAAAGATCTTCCGACTCGAAGTTAGATGATCACTGGGTAGGGATCTGAAGGCATCTCTTTGTGCTCAGCGGGGATCTTTGCTGAAATTCCATGTGTGGATATAATATTAGCTCGGGATTCCTATAGTAGTCCAAAACTAGCAGGCTAGATATAAAAGCTTACAACACTTAAAGGCTGTGAATATTTGGATATAATTTATTGTTGGAAATTGATTCAATATCACCCTTCCTCCAACCCCCCGGGGGAGAAAGACCTCGATCTTTCATTTTTGAATCGTAGCTTAATTATTGGAAACTCAGACTAGTCTCCTCTGAAAACGGTAAGAGTGCTCAAGCATGGTTCAAAGGCATTAAAGTTGATGGACAGAGAGGCTAGTTTAGAGATCGAGCATTGGTCTTTTGGGTTGCATCAATTGTTCAATTTGCGCAGATACACGGCTGCACATGTTGATCTAAGCATTCAAGACACTATATGTTGATATCCCAGCAACAGCTCGTGGGGAATGGCGGCAAAGGAACAATTGCCCATTTTCATTCCTCTATACTGCCCACGGAGCCTCGAGTCATCTGTTGCATACTTGTGGAAATTTTTTGATAAGGTTAAAAGTTACAGATATCCGTAAGGTAGGTGAAATCAGACCCTCTTATGTGCTATAGCGTCAACTATTCTTCTCCTGAAGTCCGAGGGATAAGCGGATGACTAGTCAAGCTATTGCACTCAGAAATACAAATGCAACAACTGCATCGAAGACATCTATACAGGTAGATATACAGAGCAGCATCGGCAGAGAAGCTCTCGCCGATTTTAGTAACAAAAGGAAAAGAAGCAGAATTTGGAGATCTGGCTTCAAGACTGTTAAAACCATTGTCAGAAACTAAGTAAATGACGAGGATAGAAGTATTCGCTGCGCAAAGTAGTATGAAGGTCCGAACCATTTCGTGACGTTCGATATGCGTACGAAATGCAAGTAAACGACTAATTTGTTTGCGGTATCAATTGGGCAACCGGTCTAGCGTGAGCTATTTGGAGTGAATCGGATAGGAAAATTACAGGTTTTGTTCATTCTCAAATATTGTAGAGAGAATGGGTTGACGGAAGGAATTCTCGAGACATTATACACTCATATCAAACACTGTCGGCACTCAAAGATGTTCGTCTGGCTTACTCACGCCATCGGTATTCTGTCGGTCCATATCGGTATCCTGAGATTGGCAATACGTGAGTGATCATGTTGAGACGGGGATTTCTCGCCTTGGGCTCCAATATTTGCCTCAGCACACATTTATTCGAGGAATTTCTTATAATTGTTCATTAGCCCAGTTTTCCGTCGAATATAATCATACATAGCAACCTGGTATCCTCGATTATATCAATAGAACATTTTTCGCATGTTGATGGCTAGACCAGTATTTAATTTGTTGTACCTGACGAGATGGGACAGTTCCTTTATTCGCAGTTGCACAAATATGCTATGATGCATACACATGTTAGAGACGATGTTGAGAGAGTTGTGAAATAGTGGGAACGGGTGAATCCGCCATGTAAGCTTCACACAGCTATCCAATTCCTCAAGCGCACATCCAGGTTAGCGGGGAACGATTCATGAGCTGCATTCATGTCCCAATCCGTGTTATAATCTACGTTTCCCCTTGGCCTTGCCCGCAATGCTAGGAATCTGACAGATTAATGTGTAGATTTATCCCATACCATCATGTCAACTTGCTAACGGAAATTTTAACATCCCAAATGACTTTACGAATTTCGCATTCGGCTTGTGGTGACAATTGGATATGTAGCATGGCATTTGCTGGCCCCATCTTTGGAGCATACTTTGATGGAGAAGGCGCAGAATATATGAGAATGTACATTTAACGACGTTGGAGAGAGATTCTAGTAGTCATGATGCCAGTTTGACGACGATGAATTTCTGTTCTTGTGTCTAATGAGACATATGATCTACTTTTCAATGTGCTGTTTGAAACACTGAGATTGCACAGAACGAAAATAATCATACAAGTCATTGGAACTGTGGAAAGATTGAGTTGTACCTCACGGTTCAGCCTTGCAATTTTATTTTGTACTGCAATCGGGACCATGGGAAACCCATCTGCAGACGAGCTACGCCTGGAAAATCGCAGTCATTGCAGGTTTCCTCCTAATATGTAATCAATCATTTACCGGAAAGGAAACTTGATGATTATTTGTGAAACATAGGAATATATTCTTCTTGGAAAGGCAGTAATCCTAGCTACTTGTGGGACCCAGCTTGAGACTGGATATGGCCATTTGAAAGAGACAGCATGCTTCTTCTCAAAAGCCATGAGTAAGTGTCCTTCAAAGATGGAGCGGCAATTGCGCTCGAAGCAGAACACATATGGGAATGCTTTAGCCTATGGGGCCACGTAGAGACTAAGCGGAGTATTGTGAGAATTGTGGTTAGCTATTACGGAGTTTGAAGAAGGTCTCGGCTGGGCATGAGTGGAACCTTCACGGTAAAATGGCATACTACTGAAAAAGTGGATCTGAGCCTCGGGAGTGGTATCAGGTGAGAAGAAAAACCCGATAGAATGGTTAGGGGTAGATGCGGTATGAGTGCCGTCGAATATAGCCGTAGATGGGATGGCAGGGGAGGTCCTGAATTCATAGAAGTGCACCCAACTTAAAATAGAAAGCACAAATCGACAGACCTAGAAAAATATGAAGGGTAACAGGATATTGATGAAGGTAGAGTGGTCCGTGTTCTACCTAATACACGGACAGAAACTATTTCCGCATGCACAGACTAACGGTCCGTACCATGACACGGGAGCTAAACAAGCGAGAACTTTAAGGAGGACGCAAGTTGACTAGATTGCAGCTAATAATTCGAATTTGCCGCTAATACCATGTGTTATTCTTGGAAGGACAATTCTGTGAAGATGAAGAAAGCGGGTGAGAATTCTGTATCTTTACTCAGATGGCATAATGTTTCTGCTCTACTTCTCGCTTCTCGTGATCTAACGACAGGAATACATACATATAGATTCGAAGCTGGTGGGGGAGCCATATTGATACCTCGCACTGGCTATTGTGAAGTTAGTTTGGGATTTTTTGTGAATGACTTCGAGAATAGAAGGACGACATGTATTCAGAGGCTCACGTTAGATCTATTGGCGACTTTAAGATTTTCTCGAAGTCTCCCATACGTCAGAACTTAGACTTGGGGCTTCCTGGATTGATCAATTACTCACCCAGTCTGAGTTCTGGAATGGACCAAAAATCGGAATCACGAACACGCTTATCTTGTAGTAGCGTTGTCTAGTGACGTGGGGACGCCAGTGGAAGCCCGCGAGGGGGCTAAACTAAACATGCAGCCCCACCCAGAGAACATGGTGACTGGCCGTTTGTGAAAGCTGACGCGAAGAATTTTTTTTGAGACGTGATCTACGGAGTACTAAAATTCCATCTTGAAAGGGGGTTCCGCGCATGAGATGATGCATGCAAATATTCACATCAAGTATCGAATAGACGTTAGCGAGATCGGGTGCTAAAGACCTGAATCAACGTTCTTCGGCGTAGAATAATTTCAATGGCGTAAATTATTGTACATGGGTCTCAGAAAAGCATTGCATATGACGAGCCGGAATGTTCTGTTGTTGTTGCCGGGGATGCAATCACACACCAAGGTCGGCTGGCATAGCGAATCATCACATGCGCCCAAAAGACGCGCCACATGTGAGAATGTCGGTCAAGAAAATCCAGGCCGCAATTCATGCATCTGTCCAAATTTAGAAGGCTCTTTGTTTAGATATATTTGTAGCCGTCAGGCAGCAACTAGTAGAACAGTGGCATATTTCTGTACATCCATGTCTGACGAACGTGGCTGTTGCATGGATCTTTTTTTCCTTTGAGATGCAACAGCACTTCCTTTAGTGGGGGTCTCATGCGGATGTGGTGTTCTGAAAGTCTTAAGCTCTATTCTTGGCCGACCATACCAAATTCTTGTACGACGCTTGAATAACCCCGCTCATGTAGTCTTGGCTGTAGATTGAAAGATCGCAAGCGACTGGGGCTACGTGACCTATGATTTTCGTCCCAGTATTTCATGGGACGATTCCGGCCGATGTTACAACTTTGAAAGTATCACAACAAGTGCCGGGACGACTTCGAGTTGCAAACCTACGAATCCGGCGGAATTTCAAGCGCCCAGGGATTGTTTGCGGGTCGGAGTATTTTGTCCCTCGAATATTCATAGTGGTCCCCTTCGATTCCACCGTAATATGTATGAATATAGCTGAGGTAATGATTCCGCTTTGATCACAAAACTAAATGATTTAATAGCTTATCCAGACCCTTGTCTATCACCCAGCAGTATGACACGCTCCAAATGCAGGTCCATGCTAGTATTATTCATGCCCAATGATTCGGATATATGATGTTAAGGGCCATGCGTATTTAAAATATGGGGCTTCATTGCTATTCTTGTTATCGCTGTTCTTATAATTTGTCAACCCTTCAACTGTTTCATGTTATTCGCAGGATCATCATTGCGGAGGAAGAGTCTTCGTAGCATCCTTTGTGGAGCCTTTAGAATGAACAAATGCTCCGTAAAGTCAATTTATATATGCCGTGTCCTTCCAAACATCGCGGTACTTTGCCCATTCCTCAAAACCTGAAAGATCAGTTCCGTCTTCAAGTATGTAGATCAAAGTGAAACCCACCGAGTTGTTTTAGTTCGTCCACATCATTTGCCACACCATCAAAGAACATTCTCCTCATACCTTGCTGGTATAATTTTTTAATACATGCATTTAGTAGTTCAGGGCGTAATGTCTCCTTTCTTTGTGCTTTAAACCAAATTAGTATAAAGGGAATTGCCATAGTGAAACAGTTCAAACCACTTACGGGAAACACATATGCATGTAACCCCTCCAACATCATGGCCGATCCGCCCTGCCCAGGGTAAATTAGAAGATATTGAACTGCCACAGGATGGAGTGTATGTGAGGGCCGTTGCAATGATTTGATCTCCCTCCAGACATAATATTATATCTTTTACGTAGGGCCCGTTCATCAGATCAGAGTATTGATCGAACCATCCCAGGTTGCCTTGTTTGATGGATGCTTCCTCTACCAAGAGAAGGACCTGGACCATATCCTCTTGTACACTCTGTCGAAAAGTGAAACCTTCTTGCTGTTGACTCTGCCGAAAATTCCATTTTGTGAAGTCAAGAATCAAGTCATACACAGATTGGCCCTGACCCTGTAATTCCCTATTTAGTGTCCAGCCTCTTCGGCGAAACCACTCGTCGTTCACAGTCAGTGTCCGGGAAGAAGAAAGAGGTGGCCCATACAGGAGTCTCGGAAATGTGCTGCCAAGCTCAAAACGGATAATCCCTCGCGATTGTCCAAGTTGTTTAATAGCATGATTATGAAGACTGAGACCAATACCTTGCTGTCGATATGTCTTTCCAACCACAAGGATTGCTAGAGACGCAATAAGCCTCTCGCCTACTCGATCAACGTATGAAAGGTATGTAGCACAGAAACCAAGGACTTCCCCACCTCTAGGATGACGAACTACATAATGTTTTGCGTAACCTGGGCGGTGAAGGAGAGATACGAAAGCCTCAAGGTCTAAGGAGAACCGGACATCAAAACTATCAGTCCACAGATTGAGAACACTCGATACGTCTCTGGTTTCGTTCCATTCGTCAACAGCCCAAAGCTTAGGCCGCACTGGCACCGTCTCGCCGGATGCTGAACTAGCCAGTCCTACTCTAGGATTGGGCTCACGCTCTCCAAAGATTATTGCAGCTGCATCTTCCATCTCTCTCGCGGTGTATCCGGAGGTTAGAATGACTGTGGGAAAGGGAATTGGATCTTGCAAGTTTTTCTGATCACCACATACCATGATGATACTAGGGACCGTCCAAATATTAGTAATTGCTTATGAAGAAAGACTTTTTCGGGGGAATGGGGGGGAAGGGGAGGGAGAAGGGGGGATGAACAATTAAAAAAATAGAGGATATAAAATGTTCAGAAGTAGACTTTCAGTAAAATTGGACAGCAAGGAATGTGACAAAAATGATAGATTAAGCATACCAAGGCTTGTGGTCGCTGACTGCAAAAAGGACTTCTGCGTTTTCGAGCTGAAGCCGATGTTGCGGTTGTTTGACGAAGCAAAGTATGATGACATGGCCCCTTTTTATAAAACCCAGATGAGTAGAGGTAATGCCATATCTGCGTTGATTAGTCTCAGCCTCGCCAAGTGTGATATTCCACTTGCCTTTTTGTGTAGGGAATATGCCGAACTTTGGCGTGTCTCCTAGCTAGAGCCCGTCCTAAACATTCAAATGGATCACTAGTGTCTCTGACGTCTCGACTGACTGGTACTACAATCGGGGTAAGAAGTACAAGAACGTCTGATTTATCGAGGGATCGGACTCTCGTCAAGAAATCCGCCGAGTCTCTCAATATTGTAGCTGAGATATTTCCTTCAACTGGCCGGTCTTCTGATATTTCTAATGACGTAAAAATAGACTCTGCGCCTACATCCCTAAGTACAGTCAGAGCGCTGATTGTAACTATCTTATGGCTATAAGTGAGGATGCATACATTAGATCGTTATTGTTTCCTGGCGCCGCATGGAAGGATGACATAGCTGAGACCTGTTTTGAATCAACATTTTGGCCTTTCTTTTGCATTTCAAAGCTACTTCAAGTTACCAAGTTGTAAGGGTCAAAGACTAGAGAGGAGATTGTGAGAAAGGGTGTACCAGAAGGAGTGTACCGGCAGCATGGTTGCTCAGCGTTTCTATGGCTTGCTTGATGACATCCCTAATTTTCGCCTAATTACGTTCCTTGTACAGGTGATAATATAATGAGTTAAAATATTGTTTACTGCGTTTAGAGATCAGGCATGATACGACGTTTTCCACTTTTACACAAATTCAACTGTAACACAGTAACACTGTTCTCTTTTACTCCGGCCGAATTAGATTGCCGCCAGTGCAAAAAAGCGTGTGGATTTTATACCCTGGTGAGAAGGGCCATAGTCGATCGAGGGTAGAAACGAATATCATAGGACAAAGACAAATTTGTGCACCCACACGTTGCAAGGGCCGACGCCGACGCGCACAAACCTAGATGCGGGTGCTTTTGTAATTGATCATCGACGGACTGGGCTGAAGTGCAAAACCATACCATGATAGGGTGGTTCATTGGAGCGCCAAAATGAGACCTTTTTGTTCCCGATGAGGTATCATCCCGTGGTGGTGTTAAAACCACGGAAAGCTTTGGAAGAACTAACAAGGTTTACCAATTTGTTCCGCCCAAGGGGACAATAGCCGCACCACAGGGGCACCACAGGGTTTAGCGTGATGGACCAAAACCGCTGTGGTAGAGCGAGTATATATGTAAGATCATCCGAGGATGCTTTAAATGCTCCAACAATCAAAATCTTTCGAGGAATCGCAAAATTCCTTCTCCTGTAATTCAGGATATATTCCCCTCCAAAGATTGAAATGCCAGAGAAGATTGACTTGTTTTCCGTCTTAGATTCCAGAGGCATAAAGCTTCAGCACCGTGGCCTTAGGGCATTCCTAGTGCGTGACGAGCTCGGGCTTGTGCCTGCATTATGCATGCTCAGTACTCAAGTAGGATGAACAAAGTCCAGGGGAGCCAGCCGATTTCGTACAGGCATTTGATATTTACATTCCGATATCCCAACTAGGGTATGAGCACGACGGGCTAACAATAGGATCTGAACATTCGACTGCATATTCTCGTTTGAATGGACGATTGGCCAAATTTTCTAGAATTGTTCTATGACCCATAAGCAGAAACGAAGCCAAGCCCAACAGGTTAAAGGTTTTTCGAGTTTATGTATAGAACTTTAGTCTATACGTCACATGTCCTGTTCCAGAAATCTAGCAGGATGCTGTGTAATAGTTTCTCTTTTCCCAGAATGACAAAACGAGGTCTGAGGCAACAATATCAGCACAGCAGGTCGACACCTTGGAATCATCTACTCACAAGTAAAATTCGGCAACGCATGTGCATCGAAGAAGGCTTGCCTGGTCTTGATTCGCCTCTCTGCTTCTCGCGGGAATTCCGAAGGATAGATTCTCTAGAGCACCAACACATGCTTGCTATCTATCCCCTGGAACAGGGCAGAGTTGCAGATTTCCAATTTACTGTCTTCCCATAGAACGCATCCATTTGCTGGCACATCTTCCGTGCGTGGCACCGGTCAGCGCCATTCCCTTACATGACGACGGAAATGGCTCTTTTAGCCAGGCCGACACGAAATCATCCTTAGTACATGGTGCGGTTGGCCGGCAAAGAGAAATGACTTCATAAGCGATGCAATGTATTAACAACAGTGAGTGTACAATAGCAGCTTAAAGCCTAGAGATCATATGGCAAAGAAGTCCCACCCAGAATCGAAAGACGTCGTATGCATTGTGGTCATGACTAGATTTGGATAAGGTGTGCCTAGACATACAGGCTTAGCGGTCCGGTCTAATTACCAATGTCGATGGTATTGAGATAGGATAGATGGTATCTTAAGCTACCCGATATTCTGAATCTTTTCGATGTTCAAAGTGGATGCGGAGGAGAAGGGTAGATTGCGATTAGGGATAATTTTGAGGTTGAGGCGGTCACAGTGTGTAAACGCGAAAGGAGTCGTCAGGGATCAGCTGCCTTCGGTCTTCGCGCACATTCTTGGTAACACAAAAAGGCTGAGGAGGGAGTTTTATATGTACTAGTTGGTCTCTCTATTTGGACCCAATTTATTCTTCAAGATGATTTGAAAATATCAATATATTATTCCATTTCAAAGTATTCTAATTAGACCGGATAGAGTTCTAATATATATGTTTATTCTCTTAATGAGAATATATATATATATATATATATATATATACACATATATATAAGTATTTATACATTTATTTAAATTAAATTAAATTAAATTACTTTTCTTATATTTGAAATCCTTCTTCAATTAAATAAATCCGATCTTTCAGATGGAACTTTTATAAATTCAATATAATATAAGAAACTCTCTCTTTATATATAGATATAGATATATTTTGACTTTTATAGATGATTAAAGGAAAGTATTAAAACAAAGTAAAGATCCTATTCTGTCTTTAGTTCTTTTTTCAAGCTTCTCAACTAAATCAAAGTATAAATAGAATACAGAACTGTGAATTATGTAGATCATATTTCAATGATATAGCTGTCCGAGAAGAAATACTTACATAGGCCGGGTAATATCAGCTCGGTCTTTTGATTTCTCCTCCTAGTCAAGAATCCAGAACATCAAAAATACGCAACATGTATACTTCTGAATGCTACATCACAACCACACAAAGAAATCAAATAGATAACAAGAAGAGATCAAAACAAGTATTCACTGGCTATGGAGAGTCCTTTGAGAGAAGAAGGGGACATCAATGATATTCTTGATGATTTAGAGAATGGTAAGGAAATCTACGCGCGACTCTCACGACCACAACAAGCCAAGCCCTACCACAAAATTATGATGGCGAATGAAGAGATACTGACAATTGGTACAGCTTCACGCATTCCTTCAAAGCAACGATCTGTGAAGATTTCAAGTCACCTTGATAGGCTGTGCTCGAGAGCATATGGAGAGGGATTATCCAACGCGTCGTTGGAAAAGCTTATTGATATCATCACTCTTCCCAACGAGCTTGATCAAGTGAGCATTGGCAATTTAATCAAGTATCTTTATCCAGCCAGCAAGGTTTCAGATCCAATAGTCATCAAAGTAGTAGGGTGCCTGGGTCATGGAAAAGCCAAACCTTCCTATGCAGCTCAGGCAGCGTTGTTGAAATGGATAGTCATGGTCTATGATGTTCTGGAGAATCAAAAGATTTTGTCACAGCTTTATGCTGTACTATTCAACTTACTGGATACCATCGCCCTCAGGTATTGTCTACACTTCACACGTGTCGGCGTCTCATCTCACGTTCACGCAGGTCACAGTTGTGTCACGTGCTGTCCATCATCACCCGCCGAAAACACGTTCGGCCATTTAGGATACAAGCATTGTATGTTGGGGCAAGTTAATTTAACCAGCTTGCTAACTTCTCTTAAGAATGCAATGGACACGGAAGGCGGGCCATGATCCGGCTCTAGTAGGGCTTATGAGGGTATACAAAGATTACTATCCGGAGGTAATCGTAGGTGATGTGACTTCCGGAAGGGCCTCAGTCTTCACGGTAATCTTCCACTAAATATTTAGATGAAAATCATGTATTGATATCACCAGCACCCAAATCGTGAATGGCGAGAAAGGCTCGGCGAAATACAAGAAGATCATCTCAAGAGGATGGAAGAGGAGCTTGTCTCTGCCCATCGGAGCTTCCGCGTGTCACGAAAGACTGTCAAAGACAGGAAGCATGGATCCTTACCAGGAGTAAATACGATGTATGCTCAGGATGTAAGTGCTTGTTCCTAAGCTTATCATCATATCTGACCAGTCGAAAGACTTCAATTACACTAGAAGAGGTCGAGGATGTGAACGAGTTTGTCCAGAAGCTTGAGAAGATCGAGCTACCAAACCAATTGGTGGCTGGTATTCATGACCCTTTGCTCCAAAAGTTGCTGTATCTCAGGTCTTCTGAGGCTACGCTACGACGAATAGATTATTGGCTTCTGGCCTTTTTCGAGGATCAGCTTGAAAATGATCTGTCCTCTGAGAGGCTGATACCAGATATGCTGGAAGTTATTCTGCAGTATACTAGGTTTACCAAGGTCGGTCAATATACAACAATGTTTATCGCTCTACTAACAATTATAGATACTGCCTTCGGCATGCCTTTCCTATCTGAAATCGTTGCTGCCTTGTTGGGACGGTTTTACAAACCGTGATGTGATCTTAGAGCTATTGACTTATATTCATATTGGTTCTTTCGATGGTATACCTCCCGCCACAATCAAAAATTCAAGACTAACTTAGCATTAGACCTTCACCAAACAATATTTTACTTAATTGAAGATGCAGTTGTAGATGGCGCTCATGAATCACAGCTTGCTCTCCTCAAATTTTATAAAGCTGTGCTCAGCCAGTGGACTCTCAGCCTAATCTCACAAGCTCCAAGCCCATCAAACAACGGCACAAACATAGTCGCACTCGTACATCACGTCAATGAGCTAGCTGTTGCAATACTACAACAGTCTTCGAGCGTTGTCATTCACGCAACTATCCTTGATTTCTACGAAGCGAATGCATTCTTAATATCTTATCCAACTCTAACACCAACAGTTCGGATAGCTATTCCCCCACCTCAAGTCGTTTACACGCTATACTTCAGCTCTAACTTATCGGTAATCGCCCGCATTTGCAACATCCTCGCCCTCTACAAGAAAGCTTTCGAAGTGGCTATGGCTCCGCGCACAAACCCGGCTGCACCAGGCAATCAATCGTATCCCAAAGAATATGTCAATCGCTTCAATGGTTTTTTGATGGATATCTGCAATTGTTTATGGAGATCACGAGCCTTCTATACGACAGATGTGAACGCACTAGGTTGTTTACTTCCAGAGCAGACAATGGGGACATTAAGTTCTTACATTTCCAAGCTGGAGACATCACTTTCACTAAGTTCTCTATTCACTATTTCGTGCTCACCAGCGACATGTCGTCATGCCATCACATACATGAGGGAGTTAGAAGATCGGGCTGAGAATGAAATCGGCGTCAGACACGCTGGGCCGGTAACACAAGTGTCATTAAAGAAACTTGGAAATGACGGCGGATTGTCCATAACATGGCAGGACTATCGAATGGGTGTTTTAAGATTTTTGGAAGGCAAAGGTCTTCCTGGGGCTGGAGAATTAATGTATAACACTATGAAGCATCTCATGGCTGCAAGAAATGTTGTATAGTCTAAAGATTTGACCGACATTAACATAGTGCACTGTATCACAACACGGCCCTCATAGGCTGCCCGTATCAAGACGTGTAAAAAAAATGTTCCCAAACCAAAGTGTCTATTCAAATTCCATGCTCGTCTTATGATTAAGTATTATAACAATGCTAGGTGTATATCCATCTGCTGTATCCCGCTGTAGTAATCAGTAACTGCTCTTCGAAAATCATATGAACCCAGTCGTCACCGTGCCATTCCTTCATTCTAACATGCAATCGTGGCATCCATACACATCATCCTCCATGCTCAACTTAGGTATCCGTACAAAAGTGCCAATCATAATTCCTTCCCAGCTCCAGCCATAGTAGTCTTTCCAACTGTTTCCTTGACCACAGCATCTAGTATAGGACTCGCAGATGTCAGAGCAGACTTGGCTGATTCATCCCCGTTATAGTAAAACCAGGCACGGTTGGTAAGGAATGTGATGTGTTGTGGGAGGTAAAGTGTCATAGCAATGATGATCATGCTGAAGAAGAGGAAAAGGAACGAATCTGCAGAACAAGATATTAGCCACGCGTGCCTTTCAAAGTGGATTCCTCTGGAAGGAGATAATGAGCGCAATCAATGGAAATGATCAGGAGGTTTGCCAGCTTAGAACATTAAAAGGCGTACTGAATATGAATTTCTCCGTGGGTGTCAACATATACAATGAGAATGTGACCTGCTCAAGCGTATCAGAATATATCTTGTTTGAAGTGGAGGAGCGCACATACCTCATATTGATATCTCTTTCTCTGCAGCCATCGAAATGTAGATGCGAACATAGACATTGTTGCCCCTTCTGGTTTCCTGTGATCCTGATTCGTAAATAACTCTATTCTCGTAGTTTTGAGGCGTGCTTCTTCAATCGTGTTCAACAGAAGAACCGCAGCAAGTTCCAAGTCTTGGTAATTCAAAAGGACTAAGTAGACTATACACAAGAAATTTGGGATGTAAAATTGAATCTGAGAGAAAATTAAGGGTCGATGAATTGAGGATTGGGAAGAAGAGAAGGACGAAATGGAAATGGCGGAGGCGGAACTTTTTGTGAGTACTCGAGTAGGAGTAGGAGTAGACGTATGTATATACCTGAATATCGAATTTCCCGGGGTATGATAACCACTAATTAATTATGCTACCTAGTAATTAATGCGATCAATTTTCATCAATCCGAAAATACCACCTCAATAAGACATGATCCAACCGAAGTGACAACTGTATACAACTACGAAGACTTATTTCATGGCAATTGGCACATTGTCAAGATGTACAATGCTACAAAAATTACTTTCAATACTTCCTAAAGGCGTTGGCCTTGAAAATGCTAATGTTGTTAATTCAAGCTCAATCATCAAACGCAGCATTTGCAGCACAGCGACATTATGGAAGAAGAAGATGCCAGACCGTCCAGCACCGATAGATGAAGCCGAATTTACAGAGGTATTCTTGCATGGCAGCGGGCCTGGAGGTCAGAAAATCGTAGGTCGTCCCTCTATCGAGTCGAAACCTTACCTGAAATCCACAACTCATCATTTCACAGAATAAAACTTCCTCCGCAGTTCAGTTAAAACATATTCCAACAGGTATGGTCCTCAAAGTTCAAGCCACCCGCTCTCGTACACAGAATCGCAAAATTGCCCGGCAAATGCTGGCGGAAAGGATTGAGCTATTAGAGAAAGGGAAGGAGAGTAGGGTCGCGATTGTGGGGGAGACGAAAAGGAAAAAGAAGAGCAGTGCAGCGAAAAAGAGTAAGAGAAAATATCGACTTCTGGCGGAAGAGAAAGCAGCGAAATCAGAGGACGACAAGGTAGAGGAACAAGAGGAGCTTGACGAGGATGACGGGGAGATTTTTGAAGACAAGGAAACTTTGACGCAAGAGTCATCAAAGGAAGGGGCGTGACCTCTCATATTAAGAATATCTCTTCGGATTTACCGCGTCATGATTCAACTAGAGTTCTTAAATGTCTTTCTAGAGCCATGCTGCCATCGATCATGGCCGTGTATATCCGCATATTTTGCTGCTATATCCGCCCACCTTTCCACTATATACTTGGAAGTTAAGCATATATAGCTCCATCAACTACTGCTTCACATTCAACACTCAACATTCACATGATGACAAGCTCAAAACTTTACGAAATAAACTCCTCCACTCGACTCAATGTCCTCTCTTCAGGCGTACCCAACTCCTCACCAGCCCTAATTTTTCTACATCTCTGGGTTGGTTCTTCCAGCACCTATTCCCCTCTTATGAATCTTCTCTCCGCCAACTATTATTGCTTAGCTATTGATTTCCGAGGCTGGGGCTCCTCCACAGGCACACAAGATCCAGATGCGTATCATATCCGGGACCTTTCCAAAGACATTTTTACTCTTATTCCCCAGCTCTTACCCCCAGATCATTCTTTCATTCTAATCAGCCATTCAATGGGCAGAAAAGTTGCTATGCATCTCTCTTTTACAATTGAAACGCTTCCTCCTATAAAGTCTTTTCCTAAGCTCCGAGGCCTCGCACTTCTTGCGCCTGCTCCTCCTACGTCCTTGGTTCTTCTCGAGGAAATGGCAAAGCAGCAACTGACTGCTTTCGATACTATTGAAGCTGCTACTTTTACTATTATTCGCATCCTGTCCGCTACGCCTCTCCCTGACCATGTGGCCGGTAGTCTAGTGACTAATGCGGTAACTGGCAATCAGTGTGCGAAAGCAGCGTGGCCTGAATATGGAATGAAGGAGGATATATTGGAAGAGTCAAGGAAGATCACTTTGCGGACGTTGGTACTTGCTGGTGGGGAAGATAAGGTTGAAACGTTAGAGAGAGTGAAAGAAACACTGGACAATCTAAGCGGGGTAGTGGAGAAGAGAAAGATATTGATAGTCCTGGATGGGGGTGGGACATCTGATGATGTTGGAGGCTCCGAACGAGGTGAGTCGTGAGATTGTGGGGTTTGTTGGAAGCGTTGTGCGTGAGATGGTCCAGCCCAAGGATTAAACTCAGGCTCGTGGTTCAACGAGTGGCATATATTGTCATTGATATCGAAGGTAGTGATTAAAGGTTAGAAACGAGTTGTCACGAATTTTTATGGTTGGTGAGAATCCGCATTGTGGGATCGAATACGAGTTGTGTCGTTAATGCGTAATGCCATTAATGGTGTTAAATATACTAACAGTATCGAACATCTAACACTAGTTCATTAAAAACTACATTTCATATCAACTTCTCTGAGCATTTCAGATAGATGCTTGAATACACCGACACCTTAATTAGCCCTGTCTACTCATATTTGCCGAAGAGGAGACCACTACTGTAAATGATTTGGGAGTGTTTATATTATTTATTTAGAAGATCTGCAGTAAAGAGCGCGTGCTAGCCAACCATGGTCCAAATCTTCCATCCTTTTCACATAAATCATGGCCCATAGGAGCACTGATTCCAATGTTTCCCCTTTGGTAGCCAACCCAGAACTCCATTATCCACGTCTTGGTATCATCATACTCAGCCCAATTGTATCCCACCGCCAGCACCCGTGTTCAACGATCGATCTACATCACATTTAATCAGACGCAGAATCAAACTCAGATTCGGCTACTTCTCTTAGCAGTGCGAAGTCAAATTTTCCATCTACTTTCGCAATGATCCCTTCTCGGACAAGCTGCTGCTCCAATGGCGCAAGATTTTGGTCAGAATTCTGACTCATAACCGAGAGCACAAGACCTTGGTTCGTATCTCGTAAAGTCGAGACATAACTCAGCAGGCCATCGAGGGTAAAACTGGAGATTGCTGCGATAGAAACATCTCGCAAATTATGTAGATTTGATAGATATGGTAAGATCTCATCTCCAACGCCATAGCCTGAGAAGTGAAACTTTTCGAGAAGGGGTAAGCTTCGCGCGAGGCGTTTGATTTCGTTACTACTAAAATACTCAAATGACTCAACAATGGTGAGTTCCTTGAGCTTAGTGAGTTGACAGATAGATGTGAGGAGGTTATCAATATCATCTCTGACTCTAAATACCTCATCCGAGCCACCTCGGAGCTCAAGGACCTCGAGCTCAGTCTGGTGAGAAATGGCCCTATGAAACTCCGTATCATTGACAAGAGAAGGCCCGGTGACTACTAATCGTTCTAATCGAATATTGTTTCGTAAGCAAATCTGCTTTAAAATGGCCGGGGCACAAACAATTCTGTTTAGAACCAATTCTCGGAGCTTCTCGCAGTGTCCCAACCATTCGACGGTTTCAAGAAATACATCGTTTTCCGTAGCTTCCAAATCTACAGCATGTTGACTGTCTTCTAGATCAAGTATCTCAAGTGCAGTACAACTTTGAAGAATGTTGAGATTCTTGATGGCTTCCGAATTGAGGCTTTGTAGCTTTAAGCTTTTGAGTGATCCACAATGATGATTCAAAGCAGATAGAAATGCTGGGCCGATCTTACAATTAGACAGAACCTCGAGGGAAAGAAGACTGTTGTGTCGGAGACCTTTTATAAACGAGGCGGGATTGCGATCCGTATCGTCTGAGCACACAAATATGCGTATTTCGTCAAAATTGGGGCATTTATTAGAGATCACCGCCGCTACGTTCTCGTTCAAAGATTTTCCATCCCAAATAGTCATAGATTTCAACCTTGACAAACGACCTACCCAACCTGGTAATGCGACTGATGTAATATCCCCAGAAAGATTCTCCAGAACGACGGTTGTGTGGGCTTCGTCCGCGCGGTCGCTAACGTATTTTGTTATAGATTCTCCTATTAGATTGAGAATAGTTGTGGTGTTGAGTCGGACTTGTGGTCCTCTCTTGGTGCGCGTTCTTGGTGCGCCATCTACACTTAAGAACTTTGCCATCTCATCAGCAAAGAAGTTATCCATCGCAGACATTCGGAAGGTGCCATCCTCAAGGAGATTTGAAAGATTGGTTAAATCGAGTGAGCGTATATATAGACAGTATGGATAAGCGGTAGCCCCTAGACTAGAGCGTACAACAGATTGCCATGACAACGCCCATTTAGAAACCGCGTTGTATTTAGAATTGCGCCCTTGTATTTTCGACCACTCAGGAGCCTCTCCTTCGCTACTAATAATCCTTAAGTATTCATTGTGTGATCTGCAAAAGGTTATTGAAAGGCTTGATTTGGGAAATGGATTAACTGGCAAGATTCCTACCTATATAGCCATTGCAACGCCGAGCCAACCAATTGCTTGCCAGCGATGGCACAATTGAAAAGAACTCCAAATTCAAGCTGAGTGCCCAGTTCTTCGCAGATTTGGAGAAGTATATCTCCTGGCAAGCTTACCATCTTGTGTTCATCATGTGTAATCCTATGCGCTGGGCTGGAGATGGTACCCTTGGAGCCTGCCTTAGTCCCGAGCCTTGGAGACATTGTAGGTGGCGATGCACCTTTCGATTGTTATTGATGTTCTTAAGCGGACTTAATCAGAAAAAACAATGAGATAGGACTTATATGTACGTATGTATTGTAATGGAGATTATATTATAGATGTTTTATTATAAACATTAATAAAATCAAATTTGATTAAATTAATAAAGCTTTTCCCTTCAATATTAGATGTGGTGTTTGTAGAGTTATCGAGTAGACGCGGGGCAAAGCGCGTCATTAAGGTAGGGACGCGACAGAAGCACGTGATGTTGACTTTCTGTTCACTTCACCATGACCAAGTAGATATCACATATCACCAAGAGATCATTGTTTTACTTTCTTCGTGATTTTATGTTAAAACATTTTCGGTATGAAGATCAGTGTATGGTTTTTTCCAGACCTTTAAAAGGCTATCTACATATCTATCTACCTAGTATTTATCGCATTCACAAGATTTTGTTCTTCGAATTCGCCATGGCGGTTCTGACTTTCACACTCACCCCGGAAGCTCTGGGAAGATTGCATGATGCACTCGTGTGTCTTGGAAAATTCAGTGAAGCCGTATCTATCGAAGCTACTCATAGCAGGGTGAAATCAAATATCCCATTATCATATAATTAGATTGCTAAAGTCTTTACAGCTCATTTTGACCACACTCAACTCCACAAAGTCAGCTTATGCTTCCTTCACCTTGGTGGGAAATAAATTCTTCTCCAAGTACCAATATACGCCAGCGCGTAGTGGTCGTCAAACACAGGAAAAGTTTAGCTGCAAGATTTACAACAAAGTACGTCTGTGGCTTGATACGCCATCAGGATTGTTAGTTGATTATTTGATAGGCCTTATTAGCTGTTTTTAAGGGTCGTATTGGGGGTGATGCTTCCAAGGAAAAGGACACTGCCATTGAAAAGTGTGACGTGTCAATTGAGGATGGAGACGGGGCAACAAAAAGTCGTTTCACTGTGAGAATTTTATGCAGGCATGGTAAATGAATGAATCACGATGGTGGATTGTATTCTTGCTAACGACAGCACCAAAATTAGGGGTGTTGAAGATTTACCGACTGAATTTCGAAGCCGTCCCCCCTCTGCATGCGCTGTTCTCAAGGGATGCGGCTAGTAATAGCTGGTCGATATCTTCAAAAACAATGCGCGAGTTTGCAGAGCATTTTGGGCCGGGGACTGAACAACTCGAAATTTTTTCTACCGGGAGCCGCGTGAGCCTGACCAGTTTTACAGAAAAAATTATGTCCGGGAACGGCAAGTCTCACCATTTCAACCTCATAACTTATGCAAAATATTCATTTTTTTTATAGCGGTCTTGAAGCAGCCTTTGCGCACCACAATAGCCGTGGAAACCTTAGAATTCGTCGAGTTCAGCGTCGAAGAGCAGCTTCGTATTGTTATCAGCGTCAAAGATTTCAAGTCAATCATCGCTCATGCCGGGATAACCAACACAAACATCACAGCTTTATACTCAAATCCTTCAAGTCCAATGCAGCTTACGTACAGTGAGGATGGAATGCAGTGCGAATTTATCCTTATGACAACCGGTGAGGCAAGGGCGGCATCTGCAATACCAGCGACAAATGTGGTTCGAGCTTTAAAAGGACCAGCTGTAAGACAGACCTTGGAGGCCACATCGAGTTTGAAAAGAAGTAGATCTGGCTCCGAGATGGCTGCACCAGTTAATTTAGAACAAAATCCGGTTCGAGAGACCACGAGGAGAAAGATTTCTAGGCCTTCTCCTCCACCTCCCCAACCTAGCATTCAATCGCAAGCGCTGTTTATGCCGGCGAACGATGACGACCGTAGATGGGACCCTGTTGATTATGAGTATGAGGACAATGAAATGTTATTGTGGGATGCAAATGTAGATGTAAGTTTGGTGAAGACCTGCCCGAAGCTATTTCTAACACTTCACAGGAATCCTCGGCTAGTGATCCAAGTCGCCGATTACAAGAGACTCAGAACAAAAGTAACCCCAAGGATTCGGAGGTACCCAGCGAAAAATATATAACCGTGCCAACACAACGTGTGGCACCAACTCAGCGACTATCACAAGTAAGTCACCAAACTCTTATAGCCAGGAAGCTTATTAACGTGTTAGGTTCGTGGTATGTTTGATGAGTGATATCTTGGGGTAGGCGTTCATAGATAGAGACCTCAACGAGCTACAAGACTGCTCGGATCTTACAAAATGGGCCGGGTCCGGGAATGACCTTGAAGAATGCAGCCCGCATACTCATGCTGACAACTGGGTATGTCGGAATCTCGGGTCCTAGGCAAATAGCCCTTGAGGGACTAGCGGGTAGCTTGTGAGAATAATGATTTGTCCACCTTGCGTAGGCTATCATGAGTTGAGGCAGATCCAGCTTGTAGCACACCCGGCGCCGATATATGAGATTTTTGCTTCCACTGGCATGTATTTAGTAGACGCCACTACATTCCAGGTGTCCTTCACATCTCCATCTTTAGTTTTCGGTCCGCAATTTCCGTGCTCACCCCATCCCCATGCACAGACTTCGTCCTCTGTGGTGAGTGCCAAACCATGCTCACTGCCAATAGCAATTTGACTCACGGATGGTAACTGTGATGGAGCCAACTGTCCATGATCATCTCGTCCCCAAGAAATAAGTGACCCATCACTTTGTAATATTAGAATACTTCCCCATGTGCTACCAGCATCTGTCCATCCAGATATTTTCTCCGCTGCTGAAGATCTAATGTTCCACTTGTCAGACCCTATAATTCTGTATTGACCACTGGAGGGCTCTGCCAAAAGACATGTGAATTCCCTTCCACAGATAGCTCTAACAACTTTGAAATCGAGGCCTTCGATCTTGCGAGGAGCATACACGACACTGTCAGGGTGACCAAGTTGTCCTTTTCGGCCACTTCCCCAACCATATACATCCCCATTACTCAAGACAGCGACCACATGACTGACAGATGTGGCAATATCGACTACTTCTAGCCCACTGGGTGGAAATTTTTCAATCATCTGAGGTTTGGATGATCGAAACAGAAATTTTCCCAGACCTAATTCCCCTCTATTTCCTGTACCAAAACAATACACCTTCGTTGCATGACCATCTGCATCTCGCTGGACAATAATGGATGTTTCCCAAGTTGCTGCGCAGAATGCTATTGGTATATCATTAATTGTGAAATCATCCGAAAGTTTCACACGTCGAAATGTTGATCCAGCAAGGTTCGAATCGGGAGTGAGCCCACAGGCTCCGTAGGATGGATCCCCCGAACAGTATAATTTACCTGTGGTCGACAATATGAGGCTGTGATTACCTCCAGCTGCGATTTTCTGGACTCTTTCGGGAATGTCATCTTCGAAAATGACCGGCTTGGGAACCGATACATCTTCTTTATGACCAACTCCAAGTTGTCCTGAGCCATTTGAGCCCATGGCATAAATTGTGGACATTGTTGGACACCTCTCGCGATGTAAATGAGTAACTTCTGGATTGTCGGGTGAAACGAACTGCGTTTCAAAGAAGAAGAATCAAAGAATATGAATGGCTATCATGCCATGGGAACTTAGAAAATGTGTAAATTAAGTTGGGTTTCGCTCTCTGGGTGTTTAACACGTGATGTGTGCATTGGGAGCAGAGCTAAAGGTCACTAGCGTTATAATTAAGCGAGTAAATTTCTCACACATACGGCTTGAGAATAAATTTTTCAATTGAACAAATCTATATTTCCTCCTCCGACACGACAACCTCGAAATCGCCAAACCACCACGATGTCTGCCACGTAAGAATACTCCCAAACTCCTCCGAAGAGTCGATCGATTGTGTTGGATTCGGATATGGTCGCGTTCCTCTCGAAAGCTGGAACCTGAAATGGTTTCCAGCTCGAACTGTCTCAAGCTGCTCCCTCGTTGATTCAGGTCTTTTGACTTGAGCTTCGAGAGACGTAGTATGGGGTCTTGAGGTTGAAGATGAAAATTTTCTCCTTTAAATCAATTGTCACACATGAATGGAAATACAATGGTACCTTTCAAGACCACGAAAACATTCAATAATGTTGTGCATATATCCTAGGCTTCTGCCAAGGTTTTGTCGGATGAGAATATTTGTCAATTGAGATCTGCAATTCTACCTTCGTAGGAAGAGGGATTGTGGATGTCGATTCAGCTTTCACCGATTAAAGTCATTACAGTCGAGTCTGCCTTTTGTGAGAATGCTGCGCTATAGCTGCAATTCCTTCTCGGCGCTCTTCTCCATACATATGTATGCGGGATACAAGACTAATATTTGATACAGAACCACCCCAACCGCTCAGCAGGTCCTCATCCCTGAGACGCTTTTGAAAAAGCGCAAGAGTCAAGCCAAAGAGAGAGAGGCACGAGCTGCTGAGACCGAGAAGGTCAAGAAGGTACGTCGTGAACCCATCCCACTTCCACCTTCAATGGCATGTGTTACTTTACATGATGCATAAACAACCATACTTGTGGCTAGACTTCACGTCAATGTTGTCCAAAATTAATCATCTTTCGGGTCTGACAAAAGTTTCAACACATGCCATTGGTATTCACATTTATATATGATCGCGAGACTAATCTTTCTCGCCATATAGGCCAACAAGGAGAAGCGTGGTGTCATCTTCAAGCGTGCTGAGAAGTACGTGAAGGAGTACCGTGATGAGGAGCGGGAGAAGATCCGTCTTGCTCGTGTCGCCAAGCAATCCGGTTCTTTCTACATCCCAGCTGAGCCCAAGTTGGTTTTCGTTATCCGTATCAAGGGTATCAACAAGATCGCACCCAAGCCTCGCAAGATCCTCCAGCTCCTCCGTCTTCTCCAAATCAACAACGGTGTCTTCGTTCGCATGACCAAGGCTACCCTCGAGATGCTCAAGGTTGTTGAGCCATGGATCGCTTATGGTTACCCTAACCTCAAGACCGTCCGAGAGCTCGTCTACAAGCGTGGTTACGGGAAGGTTGACAAGCAACGCATTGCTCTTACCGACAACTCCATCATCGAGGCCAACCTCGGCAAATACGGTATTGTCTGCATGGAAGATTTGATCCACGAGATCTTTACCGTCGGCCCCAACTTCAAGCAAGCCGCCAACTTCCTCTGGCCATTCAAGCTTAGCAACCCAACTGGTGGTTTCCGTCCAAGAAAGTTCAACCACTACGTTCTTGGTGGTGACCTTGGTAACCGTGAGGAGAAGATTAACGCTTTGGTCAGGCAAATGAACTAAAGCTTGGTTGATGGGGCTGGGTGTATTTACTTTGGCTTAGCGTTTACTGGCATGTATGGCGTATAAGAACCCAAACAAATGACACACTTCTACGAAATAATTGATACCATTTTTGATTTTACTGCGAAATAACTTGCATTTCTCAAAGTTCCCTCACGTGCCATCCCAACACCACCGCCATGGATTTTTGTCACTTGCAAAGCATTGTGCTCGATGATGTCCTTCCTGTCTATCCAGTCTGCTATTGAACCGAAACATGATATCTTCATTGTACTTTATAAATGTTTGCTTTCTGGATTCCCAGGTCTTTCCACAGAGATTGAGACCTCAAAAGCACAGGTATTGACAGCGCATGCAAAGCCACCCGTAGGAATATGTACTTGTAGAGAGATTCCTCCACAAATTCATGTCCATGTCAACTTCGAGCTGCTGATTTACACCATATCAGATTCTACCACGCCATTCAGGCTAAACCCAAGCCAGATGGTCTATCGTATCTCGGAATTTTGTAAATAATGTTGAAAATGCTCTTTCACATCCAATAATTAATAGTATAGTCATCGACCCTCTTCAGACTCAAAACTTAATGTCAAAACTTGTTCCGCACCCACAACTGCTGGTGGCGGCAGGATTGTCAATAATCTTGAACTCGGCACCGATCAACTTGACTTCGTAATCTATTTTGCTACCCTTCAAGGCGTCAAGACTGAAGACATCCATAACGACGTTGGCATGTGAATGATCGCTAATATAGCTGAATACTGTATCATCTTCGCGAAGATCCATTGTGGCTGGGGTATTTGACTTCGAAGCGCTAGATGAAGTAGGCATGGGATTCGGATCTGTGGATGGCGTATTTGGAGAGGAAAAGGATCCGGATTGGACAGGATCTTTCGAGAAAAGATCTCGAGAGATATTGGCTGGGAGATCGCATAAAGACATTACATATTGGAAGCCGTGGCAGCCCCCCGATTGGACTTCGACCCGGAGAGCGAGATTTGGATTGTTCTCTTTTTTGCGGAGTTGTTGTAGACGCTGGGGACGAGCAATTAGTACATGATCGGATTTGCGGTGCTTGAAGAGGGCGGTAAGTGGGAAGACGACAATACGTACATCTGCAGCCCGCGGTGTAATTTCAATCTTCTGCTCTGTGCCATCATCGTTTTTTCGCGGATTGAATGTAGTGACAGTAGCTTTCGGTGTCCCATTATTCGAGAAATACCTAACAGAGTCCCTTGATATCCTATTCCGCGTGAGAGTATATGGCTGCAAGGGAGCACCCAAACGTGGAGCGAGGAATTCGAAGACTGGACGCGGGGTGTTTTGATGGAATGGCCGAGCTGTCGTGGCGGTCTTTATAAATCCTTGGACAACTGATGTAGGAGTAGCAGAGGTAAGCCCAGCACATCTACGTGTAATACATCGGGTCGCCATGATCAATAAGAGTCGGAACCACGGTATTGAACTGGATTGAATATGGGGAGAATGGAAAGCTTATGTAAGGTAAGGTTAACAACATTAAAGTCAAGCTCAACGATGGCGGTGAGGAAGGGCAATATTTTACTCTGTGGGCAGTTTTCTCTGATTGGTGGATGTACTGAGAACCGATTATATTAAACGATCTCTTTGAATCAAATTTATTTTTATTTATTATATTCAACTTATAGATATGTATATTATTAATCAATTATTAATTATTTATATTCAACTAAAAAGATGATAATATACTAATATAAATATTAATTCCAAATATAAATATAATAATATTATATATAAATTATATAAATTATTCTATTTAAAAATAATAATATATTAATAATATTCATTACGTCGTTTATATTATTGATATTTATTATTATTATTTATCATGAAAGTTTATTATAACAAATTTTATATATTTATCTATTATTACTCATTCTTAGCTCTTATAGATCCATAAGCTTGACATTAAGTCGAGCGATGACTTCACACATACATATCAGATAAAATCTCTTCTCTGGAATGTGATTCATTGTTCAGATCGCATATCCCCTATTTTTCTCAACTTTCGTTTTATTTATATAAAGCCATGAACTTTCCTTAGTACGGCCTACCAAGTTTATACAGCATTGCAAAAACCAAATCTATCGAAACCAGAGTAGCAAGCATTATGGTCACCATCAAAGATGTTCGAGATTCTAATGCCACTTTCAAAGCTATAGCTACTCCTGGTATGGTTGCCGTCTTTGGTGCAACATCGGGTATCGGAATGGGTACGTTGAAAGCATTTGTCAAGTACGCAAATGCTCCGAAAGCATATATAATTGGACGATCAGAATCAGCTGCGGGTCGTCTAGTCAACGATCTGAGACTCTCAAATCCATCAGCAACACTGTGTTTCCTTGAAGGCGAAAGTTCTCTAATCAGGGAAGTGGATAGACTATGCGATGAGGTCAAAAGCAAAGAGGAGGAAGTTGATTTCGTATTCCTAAGTGCAGGTTGCTTGTCCTTTGATGGTCGGACCGGTACATCCTCGTCATTGTCCCTTCTTTACCATTGACATTATCCAGAATTATCTGAAGGAATCGAAATTCCTCAATCTCTCCGTTACTATTCTCGCCTCCGCTTTGCCTACGATTTACTCCCTCTCCTGCAAGCAGCACCCAACCCCCTGTCATTTCAATCCTAGCGGGTGGTCGAGAGAAATCTATTGATCTCAACGACCTCGAAATGAAGCAAAATTTCACCATGATGGAAGCTGCTGCAATGGAACAACTCAAACAACTCTAGCTTTCGAAGAACTTGCGAAATCTAGCCCTCGCATTTCTTTCATTCACAAGTATCCGGGATTCGTTGATACTGGAGCGGTTGGTAGATTGATGTCTTCTACGACGGAATTTTATGCTATTTTAGCAACCTTTTTAGATTAGTGATATTACCTGTTCTCAATTTATTTGCAATGAGCGTGGAGGAAGCGGGCGAAAGAGGATTATTCTTAGCTACTAGTGCAAGGTATCCGCCTGCCGAACCAAGAGAGGGAGATGTCTCAGGGCTGGAATTTCCTGCTCGTGTGGAGGTCACAAGGAGTTCGGTAGCAAATGATAATGGAGGCCCAACGGGCTTTACAGACTTAAGGCAGATGGTGAGTCTGCACCTGATGGTGACGTCCTACCGGTTTACAGGAAGAAGCATGCTAGAAAAATTGTTTGGGAGAGCACGATCAGTGTTTAGGGGAGAGCTTTGGAGAAGGTGTAACGGCTCTCTGCGCAAGCTTGTGACTTGAATATGATTTGGATTTTTGCATGGTCCAAGGTCATAATTTGATTGAATAATTGTTTTGAGTAGTTTTTTTTAAAAAAATATAACGGTGAGTCTTTGACAAGCACTGTGTGAACCACAATGCACAATCATTACTATTGTACAAAATACTCATCTTTCAAAGCCCACGTACTTTTTTATAGTCTCAGAGTATCATGAAAATCATTTAAATTATTCAATTTATTCTCACAAATGTCAGAGCACTGAAAGCCGTTGTATTTGTTGCACAGTATTCCCTTAAATTTTGCCTAATTTCTCCCCAACTAATGTCCTCTCTCTACCTCTAGGTTTATTCGCTCCCTTGCTTCCTTGGCTCGAAGTCGATAGAGCAAATACTATATAGAGGGTTATTCTTTATAGTAAACCGTTGATGGGAATTAAAAATTTTACTTCTGAGCTAGACTACTAACTCCATTAAGCTTTGCCTCCCAACGTTGATTATGTTGTTCCGTCTTTCTGCCGCTGGTAAGTACATACTTTGAAGAAGCAACTTGCCAGTGGAAACGCACATCTTATTGTGGTTTAATCGTGGGTTTGTTTGGTTCAAGTCGGAATAAGCTGGCGAGAAATATTGCCTAAGTCGGCGGTGGTTCAAGGTATTTCAAGCTCAGAAATTTTCAAAGCTTTCTTTGATCATAAAAACTTACCATTAAAGAATGGGTGTCAATTTATTGATGATTAGTGGGCAGATGCAAATAGAGAAAGAGTAGAAGGCTAAATCGTTTCTTGAAATCTCCATTACTCCCATCTCAATAGTATGTGTTCGCATTACCCCAGATCATCATTCCGCCGACTCACTCGTCCGCCGAGGTCTAGGACTTAACGCGAATCGAAGTGAATGCGGTGTATATCTATGCTCACTTACACAAAGTACTAGCCAAGGACCACGTCACACATATCAAAGCCCGGTCAGCCACCTGTCTTTATATCATCTATTTAAGGCTTACCGTTCCTTGTTCAAGGACGAGTAGCGCAATTTTACATCTAATGCTATCCAATGCTATGTCTTCATTCAAATACGCCGCCCACGATCTAGTCTACTATGCGCCAAAGAAAGAAGACTAAATAGAGTGGTACACCAATGATCTGATTGCTCATGTCCAAATCCGCACAGATGTGAAAGAAAAAAGACAGAATCATGCTTTTCCTTCACTTTACTTTGCTGTTGTCTACCTATGAAGAGGTAAGACTACGATGACTGCAGTCACTAATAACCCAAAGAGAACGTCACTTCCGACTGCACGTCAATCACCCGATCCACTTATTACCAACCAAACTCCTCTTAAGCTAAAGAAAATCAAACGAAACCGCGCGATGCTAACTAATGCATCTTATCATGTTTTCTTTTTCAGATCATCTCGACGTATAGCCCAAAGTTTCATGCCAACACCATTAATAACTCCTTTCCATGCAAAATATACCCATAGCCGCTTGAATGCATCGGCCCCACCTACAAAGAGGGAGACCTAGGGCGAACATTGGCCAATCTCTTCGACATGAAGTCAAAGAAAGCGAATTGACCTGGCGAACTGCCGACCTCATAAACGAATCGGCTTGCAAGATAGCTACCGAAGATCGCACGGAGATAGTTTTCGGGAACCTATTGATATTAGTTGAGTGATTGCGTAAATAGAGATAGATAAACTTACTCTTTGCATAATTGTGTCAAGACCAATCTTGGACAATAACAATTGTGGCAAAGCATCGAGTAACACGGATTTTCTTAACTTCGCATCTCTCCATAAATCAGATGTTTGCAATTCTTCATCAAGTTTGGTGATGGCCACACTAATCGTGTCACTCAATGTGCTCCGTGGAATGCCCGTCTGTTCATGTTCTCGCCAAATAGCCTCAAACTCAAGCTCGGCATTCATCTTGATGGTCTCTTGAACTTCCTTCACATATTCTTTGTAGAATTCCGGAGCTTGGCCATTGTTTCCTACACACATGTTTTCCACGAAACCTTCATCGTCGAAACTCAAGGATGCAAGGACTTCTAGGGATGAGGATGTCACACCACCCTTGTTTGCAGAAGCATCCTTGAAAAGAATGCATCCGGCTTCTTCTAGTCGTAGCTTGGCATCTTGCGTAATGAAAAGGTTGGCACCTTCGACGATGTATGGAATGGTCGACTTCCCATCCTTGATAAGCTTATTGACACTGGAAAGGTCAACAGCTGCTGGGCGACCACCGCAAGGAACAAAAACATCAGTAATGCCAGTGTCACGAAGATGGAAAGTGTTACGGAATGTTGTACCGTTGCTGATGGAGTCCCCGTTGGGCAAGGTGATGTTTGTTTCATCGACAAGAACACGATAGCCTTCGTTTGATAGCTTTGAGAGATCAAACTCCGAGATCATAGCACGCTTCGTGGCCAAGCGCTTGAGTTCATCAATGTTGAGACCTTGTGGATCGACAATTACACCACTGCCATCGACAATCGAAGTATAGGTTTCGTTACTCAGTAAGATCTCATTGCTTCCTAGATCACCATCTGGGCCACCAGTTTGCATCTTCCGAACCTTGATAGGATCAAGCTCCAACTTTCGATAAATGCCTTTGACGTATTCTCTGACTGACAGAGATGTCATACCATAACTATCGTGTGGTATACCACCTAACTTAGGAGACTTCCCAGTGAAGAATGATTTCCACCACGGAGCATTTCGCTTCCGAGCGTGCTCCGTAGCCCAGTCTACAAGATCAGCAGTGTTCTCATCAGGACCCATGAAAAGAATCTCTTCCTTGCCATGGAGATCAACGATAGGATTCTTGATACCTGGGGACGAAGGCGGTAGGAGAAGGTCCATGATACTATCAATGTACTTCTCGAACGCTACACTGGCTTTGTCCTGCTGATTGGCATCTAAAAGAATAACGCCCTTGGAGCCACCTTCGGGTATATCCTTGTTCTTGCGTTGTTGGGTGTTGGCTAGACCATAATTCTCGTCGAACATAGACCGAGCATTGATCGAGTATGCCTCACGATTTCGAGATTTGACAATTCGGATTCCTCCTCTAGCAATGTCCCGGAATCGAAGGTGGAATCCACGTGACTCGGATGTAATTACCAAAAACATGCCATATAATGGCTGAGGGTACTCGATCTCAGGGAGGAATGAAGGATCAAGGCGGAAGCTCAGAGCAACCTTGGTAGGCGTGTAAAAGTTGGTCTTCAAGAGAGAATTATTGAAGATACGGAATGCAGTCATGACCATGTCTTCGTGCTCATTGTTCACGGTCCTCGAGATTAGCTCTTTGAGTTCTCTGTCGTTGAGAACGTCTCCAGATGGGGAAGGTGGAATCGAATCCTCGCTGTATCCGGGAGCAAGGCTAAGATGTGTGGTTGCAAATGAAGCGTATAATGAACGGACAAGTTCTGGATGATTGCTGATAATCTCGAGAATATAATCCGAGGTAAAAGTCTCGGTGCGCAGTCTGCGCTTGATGGTAGATAAGATCTCGGCGTGGGAGCTGTTGAGTGGATCTAATGCAGATACCAATGAGGAGTATTCGGAACCCAAGCGATTGAGGAAGTGCTGAACGAAAACCCAAACACAATGGCCATAGATTGTCTCTTGGAGACTTAAGCGTCCACTGGCAAACAATGCTTGGAATTTGTTTTGTGGTATGCAATAAAGCAGGGAAATCTCCTTGGTGATTTGATGAATGGATTGCTCAAGCGTCGGGAATTTCCCCGATAGGTTGCTTGCAGGCTTGAGGTACAAACTCATCACAGTGATACCATTGCTGAACTGCTCAACATATTTTCTCGAGCTTGTCACTCCGTATGAATGGTAGAGATCACTCAGAGCACTGAATAATCCCAAGGCTGTTCTGCGCCTAAAGGCCACGACCAGCCTCTTTTCGTTTGAATCTTCAATATCAAAGACTTCAATAACTGGTCCAGTACGAGAGACAGCAAGTTCAATAATCTCTTGATAAATCTGCTTGGTGTTCTTGGTAGATTTGGCGAGGAACATTCGGTCGCTGATGACTTCTAGGCGAGTTTCGCTGGGCGAAGGATTAGAGTCAACGAATTGGGATTGATACACGAAGTAACAACGTATCGAAGAATTTGTTGGAGTAGGACCACTATACAAATTGCTTGTAGAGCGGAAACTTTCAACGCGAAAGCTCTGATTCGAGGATGTATCCAGATATTTGGCTTCTAGTCTGTGCTCATATCGAGGACCGCCAATTGCACTAACACCGGGTTCGCTGGTGTCAATATATATGGCGTGATCAGAAGACTCCATGTCCAATCGAATCTCTTGACGTTTGTCTTCCCGAGCAAATGCAGCAACCTTTGCAGCATAAAGCGAAGTGATGTTGCTGACGACGGCATCAACGCTCTCAGTTTGGAAGTACACGTCATCGATTCCAAGCTCATTGTAGAACCACTCCAATTGTGCATCAATCAATTCCTCTGGTATCCATTTCATTGCCTTGATCTGTTCCCTTACTTCAAGGAGTTAGATTTGCCCAGTCATCAGGGGCCTAGCTAACTCACCTTTGCCCATTTGCTCTGTCCTGCCTTTGAACTCGGGGGCAACATACCCAACCGTGGCGGAACGTAAAACGCGGTGTCCATTTCCGTTGCCATTCCTATGGGGCGTGTTGAAATGTGTTGGTTGTGGTGAAGGTTGTCGACCGGGAGTTCGGATAACTTGGTCCACCAACTTATGGGGGGAGCGTGGTGTCGAACTACTGACAGTGGCCATATTTTCTTCCGTGGGAGAGAATGATTGTTCGTTGTATGCGGGAAACTGCTGAGAAGCAGCCATTGAGTCAGTATTGATAGGAGAAAGAAGTGCAGCCATTACTCGCGGTTGCAATGTAGAGAATGACTTCTTGCAATGAACTGCTGCGACCAGATAAAGAGGAACAGGCAGTGAATGAAAGTAAAGGAGAAAGATAAAAGGGTGATCGACGCCTTATCTATACTAGGCAGCCGGTAAGGTAGGGTCAATGGTTGGAAGAGGAATGAGCTGTCGCGGTCCAGCTCACGGATTCCTTGACCGCTTCATTCCTTGACATGACTTGCATTTCCTGCATTGCTAAGGAAGGATGCTTATCAGTTAATTCACTCCTCCAGAGCAAGCCTGAACTCAGAATAAGTTCCGAGGACGGTTGTCTGAGACAGAATTTGTGCTCTTGCTCATTAAATCGTGAAGTGGTGAAATTGAAAATTGCCAAGCCCCTGCCCCAGGGTGGTGGAGGCGTTTATTATTTTGATAGGAGGCGATAAGGAAATTTTATGTGGGTTGGGTTGCAAAAAATAAGGAATGGAAGATCTGCGACGCCATGGATAAAGAAACGTACGTACCTGATAGATGGATAGATAGATAACCTCGGACAGTTTTTGTACTCGAGTGTCGTGTAGTCCTCGTATCACATGTACCAATTCCAAGTTGTTATGTGAGAATGGTAGGAAAGTACTACTGCGATGCGACTTCAAAAGAGGTATGTGAGATGTATATCATGCAAGATATACCCAGGACTTGGGTGGTTCGTTGGTTGTGTTCAAATTGAGAAGGTACTAGAATTATAAAATGTCTGGCTGGAATCACAGAAAGTGCCTGGCTCTACGCTCTTAGTTACAAGTCCCTAGTTGATTGATGTAAGGCTTCCGGTTAGGAACGGTTGGATTCAAGAAATTGAGTGAATAAATTCCAAATTGAAGGCGGCTCAAGAGGTGGATCCAAATATAATTGGGCGATCTCGAAGCCGTATGGCGAATGGCAAATTGTCGAATGAATGGGGAAATGGTGATATGGCGAATTGTGTGTATATTGCGTATTAAAGAATAAGCAACGAATAAAGACTTTTTGGGTTTGGTTTGATTTGGTTTGGTTTGGTTTGGTTTGGTTTGGTTTGGTTTGGTTTGGTTTGGTTTGGTTTGGCTTGGTTGTATCGTCACCGTAGTACCTATTTGATCAAATCAGATGAGATCTTGAATACCGCAGCGGGACTTTTTTAATCCTGTACGTACTGAACAGGGCTGATGATGGTGATGATGGTAACAATGATGATTATGAATATTCCGGTATTATCTTTGCGGATAGATAGGCTAGCTGGTCTTATCTTCTTAGGAGAATGGTGGCAGTGGCAGACCAGGAAGTAGATGAATAAGATTATTGATAGTTCTTTCTTTCGTCTTGCATTCTTCGTATTGAGCGATATATGCACAACGCGATTCTTACTCCTTGTTTGAAAAGATAAGAGGAGATGCAAAGGAAGAAAGAATGGAAACAACCCCGAGTCAGAATATGATAAGGTGGGAAGGGAAGTGAAAGCTTCTTGTTATTTATATCTTGATGAAGGGGGGTAACAGTAAAAGTAGGTAGGTGATGATTGATATAAATGATATGCTCGATCTTTCAAGCTTTCCAAATGAACAAAGTGGCAGCGGCAAGTGAATCCATTTATAATAAAATCATACTTCAAACCCAAAAGCCTCAATTGAGTTAATAAAGTTGAGTTAATAAAAAGGTTCAAGAATGAGCTCTTTCTTTCCTTCATTTTCTTTCTCCCTCATGCCCCATGCCCCATGCCTCATGCCTCATGCCTCATGCCTCTTCCCTCATCCCTCATCCCTCACTCCTCATCCGTCATGCTTCGTGCCTCATGCCCCATGCAGTGGTTGATTGCTTTGATTTGCTATGTTATTGATTCTTTTTTCGGTTTGGTTTGGGATCTGGTGGATGTGAAGGTCAGGTTCTGATGCAATAACTAGCTCGTGTTGTTCGGACGGGATTTCTTTGGTGGTACCTGACGATCTAGTGAAAAGTCTAAGGTACAGGAAGAATTGGATCGATTCGATCTTTACCGCTCTTTAGACTTTAGGTAGGGTCTGCCTAGTAACCTCCTTCCCCAATAGTGGTAAGTGGGCATCCATCTTGCTGGTCGGCAAGCGGTTATTCGAGGCACATCACTAAATTTGTAACAGATCGTAACCCTGTGAGCAGCTAAACGAGGTAGATGAATCTCATCAAGTATATTTATTGCCTATCTAAGACTACGACCGACTTTACTTTTGTAAACTATCCTTATATTGAATCCAGTGCGGTGGCAGTGTGGCTTGTTAGTCCAAAGGTGGAAAGGAAAGGACTTGTTAGGGCTGGTGGGCTGGTGGGCTGGTGGGCTGGATAGTCATTCGCAAAGCCTTTACGCCGTGATCCGAATTATCCAATAATGCGTTTTTTGGGTTTCCGTGGGGAATTTCATTCAATGTTCCATCTCTCTTCCAGAATAATTGCTACTTTTATCCTTTTTTATCTTTTTATCCTTCGCTCCTCTATCAAATCGTATATCTACCCCGTTACTACATAGAAAGTCGTTGGAAATACATATCACATGATATCTAGAATTCAAATCCATAAACCTAGATTAAGTGAGTAACCTGCAATAGTAAAGTAGCTGCTGCATCTAACGTAAAAAGTACAGAGATCTGAGGCAAGTTTTTGTCCTGTTCTGGTTGGGATGCTTGACGCAGCTCTTCAGCCACTCATGGTCTCCGGAATAGGGATCAGCCAGGGAAAGGGTTGCACTCGGACATTCTAGCATGGTAGCGAAATATAGTACGTTTACGTTTCACCCCAAGGGAAAATATTTCAGATCCAGTGATAAACATCCTTTCCATAGTCTGTCTGTCTGTCTGTCTGTACATCATGTCTCCAATGGCAATGGTAGTGACCTTTCAATGGGGCCAATGTAGGAGTATCACTCAATTGACTACCATTCAATTAATTAACTAATTAATTAGATCGACATTACTTGAGCATCGGGAATGGAATAATTCCCTCACGCATTGCATATATATTATTACGTGGATCAAAAATTTACGTTTTACTCTTGGACTGCTTTTCTGAAAAGAAGACAAACTTATTGATGTCTCAAAGAGAGGCTATCGAGGACAGACAATCCCTCTTTCTCAATCTACTGCACAAAGTAAATCCACCATAATCCACAATTTACTCATCTAGATTCTGTCTGCCACTCTCACTAGTTTCGCATCTCAGATCTCCAAAAGCATGAAGAAGGCTATGACCAATTCCCCATTCCCCCCATGATCCCGTGATATTCGTTCTCATGACCCTTCTAAATGTGGCCAAAGAAAAAGTCAATAGAGTTAACAAGGATGGATCCATAGATATTTATTCGCATTGCAAAATAAATTCAAAGGAAGGATACACCATCCAAATAGATTTGTATAATCTATATATAGTAAAAGTAAGATGTAGATGATAAAATACAATTAGCACAATTAATAATAAGTTGACGGAGTACAAGGACAGTACAATGAAAACAACAAAGTTGATGACCTAAGCAAAATATGTTGGTGATCCTCGATCACGCTTTCCCTTTTGGGACCTTAGCTTAGAAGAACCTTTTTCAACCCCGCCATTTACTAATCCCCAAATTGATTTCTCTTACCCCCAGGAAATTCAGGAATCATACTCAGCAACGTCAACTTTACTCAACCATTACTCAACCCTTGGTCCTCAAAATTCATCCATCATCATCCCCCCCTTCATCCCTTTCATCCCTCTCATCCAATTGACCCAATAGATCTTCATTTCATAGCCATCCGTCTCCTGACTTTGACAAACCAATTCCCTCATCTCTCATTACCTGTCGTCATTCGGAGTCTGGATTGTATAATGAGAATTCAAGAGGAATCTCATGACTAAGGGCCTGCATTTCTCATTACACATCGCTGCATGCCAATACTGGGGTCAAAAGGTTCCAACAAGGTCAATATCGCAATAGTCAATCCATCAAGTCCCATACTTCCCCAGCTTCCCAGGCTTCCCAGGAACGTGTTAGTTTCTCTTACCCCGGATTGTGTCACCTGCCGCTTAAAAAAGGGACCGTGTTTGACATTTACCCTAGACTCTGCACGGCACGCAATTTGAATCCGGAATTTCTTCATAGAACTACACCGCTAGCTTGATGAAACTCATCGTTCGTTAAGTAATAGCGCATTTAACTCGCATATTCAAATTACATTACGTTTCTCTTGTCTCATGGCTTCTCCGGAAAACAATGTTGGTCATGAACAGCACGATCAGCATAGACAACCGGGCCAGCACATGAACAGCAGAGAGTATGCTGTGTCCCAAGACGTTCAGGATCCTCTTCGTCAGATTAGAAATGAATTCCTCATTCCTTCTACGGCTGATTTGCGAGCCAGCACTTTGTCAAGTTTAGGTACGAGATTCTAATCTCGGGGGTTGGATCTGATAGCTAAATGGCACCTTAGAATCTTCAATTACCACTTCGGGCGATCCTTGCGTTTACCTTTGTGGAAACTCACTTGGCTTACAGCCGCGTATCACCTCGACTCGTATCGAGCAATATCTCAAGACTTGGGCAACCCAAGGTGTATTTGCTCATTTCAAACCACTTTCTGATTCGCCTTTGCCAACATGGCTTCACGTAGATTCAAGTGCTTCGGGGAACATTGCCCCTATTGTTGGTGCGGAACCTTCAGAGATTAATGTCATGCAGACTTTGACTGCCAATTTGCACCTCATCATGTCCGCATTTTACAAGCCCGATGTCAATGGTAGACATAAAATCATATTGGAAAGCAAAGCATTTCCATCAGATCACGTGCGTCGCCCCTATTCGCATTCGTCACCAATCGTCTATGCCGGCTAAATAATTTACAGTACGCCGTAGAGTCGCAGATCCGACATCACAACCTCTCACCTGCTATATCGATGATAACCCTCGAGTCAAATTCAATTGCCGGGCCCACGCTTCCCACTGATTACATACTTAAAGCCATTGAAATCCATGCCAAAGACACAGCTCTTCTAATTCTCCCAGGGATTCAATTTTACACAGGTCAATTATTCGACATACCCCTCATTACACGCAGAGCTCGTGATTGTGGCATATTTGTCATTTGGGATCTCGCTCACGCAATTGGTAATGTCCCACTTTACCTGCATGATTGGGACGTCGATGCAGCCGCATGGTGCACTTACAAATATCTAAATGCGGGACCGGGGTGCATCGGTGGAATGTTTATTCATGACAGGCACACACAAGTCCGTGATTCATCACAAAACACGGATGCAGGTCCTGGGTTCCTGAATAGATTAAGTGGTTGGTGGGGTAATGACAAAAACACGAGATTCGCCATGGAGAATAGCTTCGTGCCGATAGCCGGCGCTGCGGGATTTCAATTGAGCAATCCAAGTGTGCTAGATATCACAAGTCTAAACGCATCATTGGAGGTGTTCAAACTTGCCGGTGGAATGGAAGAGTTGAGGGCTAAATCCGTGAAGATCACTGCTTATTTGGAAGACTTACTTTTAGATACGACGATCTACGAAAAGGGAAGATTCTCGATTGTCACACCGCAGGATAGGGAACAGAGAGGGGCTCAGCTGAGTCTGCAGTTGGCTGATGGATTGTTGGATGTTGTTATGAAAGAACTGGCGTTGCGGGGAGTGGTCGTGGATGAGAGACAACCAAACGTAATAAGAGTGGCGCCAGCTCCTCTTTACAACAGTTTCGAGGATGTATGGAAGTTTGTGGCCGCGTTTAAAGAAGCAATGGATATCTCTTGGAAGGTAAATCTCGGCGAAGTGTCTGCTAAGGGCACGGGAACTGGAGATGTCTTCATGAGAAGATAAGACATCCTTTTGAGGCAATCACGGTGATGAAAGTTTTTACCTCCATGTGCCGAATGTATTGTCTATTATCTCCGAGTATCGTCAAATAATTCTGGCCGGGCCTCATGCAATGCCGTCGGGTCAGATGTTTTGATCTCTATCAATACTTAAAAACCGATTTCCGGCCATCCAAACCCTTGAGCTATCAAATTTCATTATTGACAGCTATGAATCTGATGTTGCTCCCTTGTCCCGTATCAGTGCGCAGCCGTAACGGTTCTCAGTTGGTGCCTGACCTCAAGTATGATGCTCTGGGCAAGCCTAATCAACTCCAGCCTTCCTATGCGACCAGTACCTGTCTCTTTGCATTTCACTCAGCATTCCAGGATTGTATATTGCCCAGGGCTGACCAAAAATGGCACAATACCTTTCGCCAAGAGTCCTGGACAAGCTGCACCACATACCTTAGTCACTATCTTCCGAGTAGACCGGAGAGGAATAGAATAGGAAAACTGACACATTGTAATCACATCGGTCGGCCAACAACATAATATTGCAAGGCGAATATGCATCCTTAAGGAGAAATAAGTCCAGACGGTTCTTGTGCATACAGGCATTTACGGTACCTATGTCGCGCAACCTGAGAAATAGAGATTATGCATGGCTTGTGTGAGTGATACTTGAGATTATGTATGCTGTAGACACTGTGGAAGTATGTCAACCGTCTTGGAAGACTAGAGCCAGGTCTAGGAATCGTGTCTGCTTTCTATTCATCTATTTTCCCGAAAACAATATATACGGAAATTTTTGTGCTACTTGTATTTATGCGCTTTTATGATATTTCTATGATAGTTTCTCTAAAACTGATGCTATAGTATCTAGAGTGCGAAGCTTATCTCACAGGTATACCAGTGTTCTTGATTCTATAGATGATCATCAAATAGAATTTGCATATGTATACGACTATATCAAATGTACTAATAGATATTAAATATAGAATATTTTAGTCTAAGAAGGAGTCGGAGAAGCCAATCGTAGCGGGGTAAATATTATCACGAGATTTATCCTGCTTTTCAATAGAAAAATCTTGTACGGCATATAATCCTAGAGAAGCTATACCATTAGCTTCAATGATCAATGTATTTCCGATGAATAAGAACCTGTATTCTGTGATGTCGAATATCTTTCGGTACTTGACCAGCTCGTGATGTTTTGGTGTTGTCTCAGACCTACATTCGAGAAAAACTTAGTATATATTATTACTGGTCGTTGTTTATCAATAGCATTCTGAGAAGTTAGTCCGTATGTAATTCGTTTTTTATTTTGTAAAGAAGAGTTTGTATATTCAGTTTTCTACAAGTAGAAAAACTTGAAATAAATCTGTCATCTTCTAAGATATCAAACTTCAGCGGAGTTGTAGTATATTTTGTTATAGATAATTATCGGCTTGTCGATATTAAAATCTTATTATATATAAGATGAGCTTATATAGAGGAATTTTAATATATAAGATCCTGTGAAATTGTACTAAGGAATCCTATAGCAATTATAAATTTAAAAAAATATTTTTTTGGATATTATAGAATAGTTCATTTATATGAAAAATATTAATTTTGTTTAATTATAGAATTTAATATAATATGTTTAGAATCATTTTTTTATAATTATCAGCTTGCTGATACCAAAACCTTATTATGTATATAATATATTAAATATTATTATTATAAGTTGAATGAGATGAATTGAATGAATAGAGTTGAATTGAATGATTTTAATAAAGTTGAATGATTTCAATTGAGTTGAACGATTTCAATTGAATTGAATTGAAAAAAGCTTTAAATCAGATTTGTCTAAGGTTGTAAGGCTTATGTTAAGTTTTTTATTGGATTTTTTACTGGGGTATTTTAGACCAATCAGATTATCAGGATCGTGATTCATTTCTCGACCAATCATATCGCAACCTTAAGCGAACCTCATTTTCTACGACCTACATTAGGTAAACCTTATATACAGCAAGGTTATAGTGTCGGCAAGTCGACAATAATAATAAAAGTTATTTTTATAGGATATTAATCCTATTCAATCTATTCAATTACTTATTTCTTCAAATTGATAATCTTATTATTCAATATTCTATTAAATAAATTAATCAATTTTCTGTTTTCAAAAAGATAATTAAATAAAAAGAATTGAGTTTGAATAAAAAATAATACAAAATCGCTTTGTAAATCATTTAAAATATCGATAAAAAAATTCTAATTTCGCTCAGATCTCTATTAATTAGAATCTATCTAAAATGATATTATAATAAAAATAAAAATAAATTATTATTTATAATTATTAATCATTAAAATAAAAAATATATAATATACAATCTTATATATTATTATAATTTTTAACTTTAATTGAAATTCAAAGAAATAAAATTTTGAATTTAAATATGAAAAATAAACAAATAAAAAATGCATTATTAATAAAAATAGATCTTTTTATTTTTGAATCAATAAATATTCTTAATTTATAAATATAATTATTTTTAAAAAATACATATAAAAGAATCATTTTTTTTAAATTAATTTTATTAGATCAAGAAATCTTATATTTTGTATAATATTTAAAATAAAAATAGAATCTAAATATTTTGTTTTAAATATTTTTCTTTTATTTATTTAACTTTTTTTATAATTTCAAAATTTAGATTATTATTGATATTATAATATTCTTCTTTTTTAATAATTTCAGTTTTATTAAAGTTTTCAAAACAAAATATTTATATATATTCTATTTCAAAGAAAGATAAAAAAATTTAAATAATTCAGATAACCATTAAATACAGACATTGATCGAGAAGAATCTGTATAATCAGCAAATAGATTTCAAAGCAAAAATGATTTCAGGAATGTTGAGTTTCCGAAAATAGAATTATTAAAATTTCGAAAAAGTAATTGTATAATAATATTACCAAAAATAAACTTATAGATAAATATAAAGACTTTATATCCTAAACAATATCGATTTCATTCTTATATAAAAACTTCGAATTCGTTTACTTCGATAAATTTTGTTATAAATTAATCTATAAAATTATAATTTAATCTTTTGTTTGAAATTCCAAAACAAAGTTTTATTATCTATAATCTGTATTTGAATAATTAATAATCGAAATTTTTTATATTATTTTAGAAAGTTCTTATAATAAATTATATTAAATATTATTTATAATTTATATTATATATATATATTATTGAATTTCATTTGTAAATAATATAATATATAATTCGAATTATTTCTGAACTAATAATTATTACAAATTAACTTTGGAGTCGATATTATTATTAAATTTAATAATTAAATTGATAAATTTTGAAATATAAAAGTTTCGATTCGAATAATTAATAATATATAAATACAATCTAAATTAATTAGATTGATTTTTTGAAATATTAAGATTTTGATTTTTATATAGATCCTCATTTTCAAAAATAAAAAAAAGAATCGTTTGAAGAATCTGATTTATTACAGTAAATAATTAATTAATTATTCTTTCTTTAGTTTTGTAATTGTTTAATCTATTTAAATAAAGTTTTATTATATTCAATCAAAAGAATAAAAGGAATTTCGAATAATATTATTAATTTAAATATTTATATAAACATCATTCAAAATTTAAAATAAAATTGAATTATTACAAAATTCATTATTATTATAATTTTCAATTAATAATTCTTTTCTTTTTGATCTTATAAAAATGATTATAAATTCAAAATTATTAAATATAAATCTTATATTTATAATAAAGAATTAGAATTATCGATTGAAATATTAAAAACTTTAATTATTGTCGGCTTGCCGACTTTATAACCTTGCTGTACGCGAGGTTTACCCGGTGGGTGATGGAACATGAGGTTCGCTTAAGGTTGCGATATGATTGGTCGAGAAATGAGTCGCGATCCTGACAATCTGATTGGTCTAAAATACCCCGGTAAAAAATATAACAAAAAGCTTGGCATAAGCCTTACAACCTTAGGCAAATCTGACTTCGAGCTTTTTTTAATTCAACTCAATTCACAATTCAATTGAAATCATTCAACTCAATTCATAATTCAATTGAAATCATTCAACTCTAAAATCATTCAACTCTAAAATCATTCAATTCAATTCTATCCATTCAATTCATCTCATTCAACTTATTATAATAATAATAATAATAATAATAATAATAATAATAATAATAATAATATATTTAAAATAATATTTAAAATAATATTTAAAATAATATTATTTAATTTTTAATTATCAAAAACAAGCCGATATTCTATCTGCACTCTAATATATATATTTAATATTTAAATTTATTATAAACTTTTAAAACTTAAATTTTTACTAGACTTTCTCGAAAAGTCAGGGGTCCGGAGGGGCGCAGGCCCCTGGTATTTATTATTTCTAAAAATAATATAACAAATATTAAAATTGATACATGTTTATTTCATATATTATATTTTCGAAATTAAAATGAATAATAGATTTTCAAATCTATTTTCTAATTATTTGTTTCGAATTTTTTAATAAATTATTTTATTTTTTATTCTTTAATAATCTAATCTTTATTGTTGATATTTTATATATTTTTATTATTTGTATTTATGAAAGTATTTTTTGAACTTATTTTTTATTTTTTATGAGAAATTTATAATTTTTTATGAAGCTTTATTATAATCATAAAATATATATTTGATTATCAATTTATCTTTATTATTTATATTTTTGAAATTATAATATTGATTTGATTTATAAAGATTTTATTGTTTTTCTTTATAAAGATTTTGATTTTTTTAAAATCAAAATAATTCGTAATATTATTCAAATTATATATTATAATTTATTTATAAATAAAAATTTAAATATTTTATATATCAAATTAATATTAATTATATTTCCTTTTTTATTCTTTTTATTTATATTTTATCTTTTTTTAAATCAAATATCTTCTTTTTAATTTATATGAATTTTATTATAATATTAATTTATAAAAGGTTTTTATAATTATTATTTATTAGAATAATTTGTATATTGAAAACTCTTTCTGAATAATAATTATAAAACCTTTTTGAATTATATTTAATTAATATATTGTTTTTATTAATGAATTTATTATAATTTGAATAATTTTTAGATTTTCCTTTATAAGAATATTACTAAATTTTCTAAATTAGTAATATTTTTTTTTGAATATAAAAAGATCAAGAAGTATTACAGATCTCGAATTATAAAAACAATCATATAATTCCTTTATTTATCGATAAACTGATAATTTGCATATTTGGGATTAGATTTATTTATTTTAGTATAAGAATATAATGATTTTAAAATCAAATTTATATAATTATATAGTTATCATATAAGTATTTTATAAATATATATAAATGCTTTTTATATACTATAATTTTTCAATTATAAATTTTGAAGAATATAATTGATTTTGTTTATTCAATCTTTACATAGCCATTGCATATCATATACCACATCATCTATAATTCATTTTGTTTATTCAATTTTTAGATAATTATTGTATATTATATATTATATTATTTATAATTCATTTATATAATCCGATTATTTAATAACTTTTCCAAAAAAAAATTTAAATTTAAGAATATCTTCTTAGATAAATCTTTTCTAATGTTTTATTTAAAAAAGAAGATCTATTTCAATATAATCGATAAAGATAAATTCTTTTTTGAAAATCTATCAATATCTTTATTATATATCGAACTTCTTTTTTTTTTATAGAATCTA